TACATAGATAAGCTTGTCTTCTTTAACTAACTCTACAGTATCAACTGATTCTATCTCTGTAAGTAAGTCTATCAACACTGATTGAAAGTATAAATCTGACTCATGAACAGTCATATGTGAATTATGTCTTTGAAGTTATATAAGTCTCAAGTACATATCATCTGTGATATCTGTAATAATCACAGTTTCTGCAAATCTTCTTCAGATTTCAGAGAGATCTTGTAATTCAAAGATAACTCTCATAAGTCTCTCAGCTCTCAGATCTGAGTTCTCACATTCTGCTTATTATAAGAGCAGATTCTCAGTCTTCATCTTTCAGCTCATTCACTCTATAAGCTTTAGAGACATTACAGTGATCTGAGATTCTGAGTTCATCAATACTTCTTATACTTATAGAGCAGTAGTACTGTGACATGATCTCTCTCTATAAGTAAGCATTTTTATTGAGAAAGTAACAGATTCAGGTGTCAGCTTCAAGACTCTTAAGAAGACTGTTACTGACTCTGTCTATAACTTCTTAAATTTCTATTTTAATTTGTCTGAACAGTTTGCACAGAGATATTCTAATTTAGAATAGATAAAGCAGAGTTTCTTTTTCTTAATCTTTCTGTTATATACTCTATTCATAGAAGCTTATAAAGCTCTCTCTCTCTACTTAACAGTCAGATATGAATCTCTCTATACTTTGTTATCTTTTTCTAATAAATCTGTTCTCTGTTTTTCTGGCTCTTGTGAGACTGATCAGTGATTCACTCTTCACAGATCTATGACTCTCACAGTGATCTGTAAGCAGTGAATAAGAGTCATCAGTTTCTTCAAAGTCAAGAGCTTAGAGTCTTACTTAATAAGCTTATTCTACATGTCTTTATTCAGTCTCTTTATAAATATCATTATTCAGGTCTTATTTCAGAGCTCTGTTTTCACAGATCTTAATTCATATCATAATTTTATAAAGCACTGTGAGTAGTCTTTATCAGATTTCTTATCTCTTTTTCTAATATTAATGATTGCAGCTCAGATATTCTCTGTTCAGCTTATAAAGTTCTTCAACTTATTCTCTAAATAGATCTTGAGAACAGATTAGTGAGATCTCTCATGATTATTCTCTAGATGATTCAGTCAGTTCTTGACTTCAGTGTAATAGAGGTCTGTCATTATTAGACTGACCGCTGAGATTTTAAATTTCATGTTTGATCTCATTTGATCTGATCTTATACATTTCTTGGTGTGAATTCCGCTGAGACTGACTATCAAAAAAACAGATAAAGTGACTATATATCAGATCTTAAAATGAAATCATGACTTGAAAAAAATGAGAAAGTGATTTCATTTAGTTTCATTTAGTTTCATTCTTGGCATAAAGTTACTATTTTTAGACATTTTAAGATTTTTTTTAGATTATTTTTAATTTTTTAAAAAGTAACACTTTTTAGTAATACTCAAATGAGATTTAAAGTCATTTAAAGCAATAAAAATAATTTAAATTGAGAAGTGAAAATCATGATCTCATTTGAAAAATGTGATAAGAGTAGATAGTAAGTCTCACTGAGACAGTATGAAACTACTATCTAATGTTAAAACTGTGTAATGAGATCAGTTAAATTGATAATGAAACTATTAAAAAATCTGGTTCTGATTTCAGACATGATCACATAGTCAGTCTAGTTATTATATAGATAACAGCTTCTTTATCTTTTATATTACACAGCTGAGCTTGTGAGTCAATTTTAAATACAAACTTGTAAAAGCTTTTATAAATTATGATTTAATAAGTGATCTTAAGTAATCATAGCTTAAGAAAGTTTCTTTTCAGTTTATAAGTATCTCTGAAGATTATGTCTAGAGACTCAGTTCAAGAGTGTTTACAGACAGTAAGTATTTCTTATAGAAAAATAGCTTAATTCTGTGAAAGATACTTAAGAATATTCTTCACTAAGATTGATTCATTTATGAATTTAAAGAGTTTCTCTGTCATAGATATAGAGAATAATATTCTGTAAGTAATTAATAAGTTCTCTGAGACTTCTTTTATAAGAGTTATTTATAATTCAGATAACTGCTTCTGAGTGTCTGCAGTAGAGTTTACAGAGATTAAAGTATATAAGTTTCTAGTTCTTTCAGTTATAATAGACAGTTACTGACTGACTGAGCTTGAAATATAAGAATAAGTGCTCACAGATGATTATTTAGGTGTTTGCAGCTTGACATGATATGTACTGTTAACTACTAGAAGTATTCATAATAAAAAGATAAAATATAGAGATTAAATGTATAATAGTATTCAAGCTGAGTTATGAATAGTATTCATGAACTCCAGTCTATATAGTTGTGTGTAGCCAAGGGCCGCTAGCTCCATTGATTACATGAGAGATAGGAATAGGGGTAAAGAATCCGCGAGGAGCGGGATTTCTTACAAATACTCATATTTCAGAGATTTTTCTAGTTCAGAGAAGATATCAGATTTATCAAGATTGATAAAGTTTAATATCTTCTTATTCTTTACATATTTTAACATATATCTATATCAAAGTTTTCAATCTTTAGAAACACTAAAGTGAATAGTTATACTAGTTATTATCTTATCTATTATATCAGCTTATATTGAATAAATTGAGAAATCAGTTCAAGTATTTTGAATAATAGATATGATTGAAATTCAAGGTACATAACAGTTAAGTATTTCAGAATGTATATGAGTGAGATTTAATCATCTCAGTTCAAATGATAGTTACCTATTTGAATGAGAATTGAGGTCAGTGTCGTGCTTCTATTCAGATACTGCTTGCCAGGATTTGATGTATAATAGTTGAGTAGTTCGGAATGTATACAAGTGAGGATCAATCATCTCAGTTTGAATGATAGTTATCTATTCAAATGAGGATTGAGATCAGTGTATCACGCTTCTATTCAGATGCTGCTTACCGGGCTCATAACTGTCAGAATGATATCTCAGATGAATATGTTAGAAATATATGAATCTTATGTGTATCAAGATCTGCTTCTTATATTATCTGTACACTATCTATTATATCTAATTCCATACAAAAGATAGAGCTATTTATAGTAAAACAAATGTGTGAGCCAAGAGAGCTAGCATTAGCCAGTAACTATTAGACGAGTTTTGTAGTAAGCTGATGATAAGAAAAATAGTAGTAATATGATGTTGGTGGCGTTCATTAGTGTATGACCTCTTATTTCCCGACAGTATGGCACACTCGCACTCACCAACCCTTCAAAAAAAGTTGATGCATAACGGCAGAACCAACTTCCTTTGACCCTTCTCCATCCCCCTTCTTTGAACCCGCATCTAACCCACATACATATATTTCCTTTGTAGTTTTCCCCAGCGGCTAGCAAGGACTAGCACTAAGGTATGCATAATGTTATAGGAGTTTATATGAGGAGAGAAGGACCGAAGAATTTGATCGAATATACATGAGTAAAGGCGGGAGATAAGCTTGTGGATTCGGAATTATGGATATTCTTTGCTCATTGTCAAAATAACAATGCCCAACGCGCGGTGGGTAACTGTCTAGAAAGCAAGGAAAGACACAAAAGGGCAAGGGGGAAGGGGGAAGGGGGAAGGGGGGGGGGGGGGGGGGTGGGGGGAATAGCAACAGATCTACATGGTGTTTTGGGAATTTTGCAACCGGCCGGCTGATGGATAGGAGAAATCGAGCAGCCGAACACGGATAGTAGAAAGAAACGAACACTACAGGGCGCGCAGAAGAAAATCACATATTCCTTACCCAATTTCAGAAGCGTGGGAGTGAGCATTATCCACCATCAATGATCGATGTATTATCAACGCACTTCCAGAGGAAGACACAGTTTGGCGCTTTTCATTGCCCTACTCTCGAATGGATAGCAAGGTCCCCACAGATGAGACGATATTTCATAGATAAGGGCTAGTTGGATGTAGATTGGTAGAAGAAAGTATGGTGCTGTTCGAAACTGCTGTGTCACGGATTTCTATTTTCTGGAGAACATTACTGGACTCCGGAATCGGATACGGGCCGGGGAGGTGGGAGGCGGGAGACGGGGAAGAATTGATCATATTAATCCGGCGAACCAATAAACCCGACAATTAGATTGTCTTATACAATGCACAATGGAAAGAATGAAAGAGGAGTGAGGCGGATTTTCTAGCGCATGGCATTTTGTGTCTGCGTGTTTGGAAATCACCGCCATATCTCTTCAATCAGAAGGTGTGTTAAATGCACCGCTGGCATCCATCCCATCCATCCCTCTGGGCAAACACATTTGATTCAGGTGGAAGGATATTTGATATCCGTCTCACACACGACAATCTTTTCGGAACCAGACGTGGAACGAGAGAGGGGAAACACGCAATTATCCATTTAAAGGGTCCCGCATCAGATATAGATTTGAGATACCACGCTGATAATAGTACAACCGCGTTTCGATTTTCAAAAATGGGAACAAAGAATAAGGGAGAACAGATTTTATCCCCTGCCGCGTTGCAAGTTTTTGAAGAGTCTCATGCCTTTCAATAGCGGCAGGGAAACTATACAACTATACAACTGGTAGTTGCGCAAACAATAAGGCGTCATGCAACGTACGCACATAGTCAATCTTGGAAATGGATAGGCCGGACGGAATGGAAGAAAAGTTTCCGATTAGGAAGCTTAGGAAGACTTGATCGATGAAACATCAAACCTCTCGAGTCGGGTTCGCTGAGAATAGTAATATCTGGAAACGTTTGAAATTAACTGGACGTGTGTGTAATATCCAAGGAACCAACATCCGCGTCATCAGGATGGGGAAATGGAGGAAAGGGGCCACAAAAAGTAGGCCCTAACAAAAACCAGGTTATTCAGTCCGGATCAGGTTGAATCCCTTCAACCTCGAATCACCTCCTGAAACTAAGACTGGGGATGTAAGCCATGAAAGTATCCGCCTAGGGAAAAATAGAAAAGCGTGAGCAAAACTTGCTGTTCGTCGCTCTGGAGAGGGGTCTAAATGTGTTCCCAGTCAGCAATAAACACACATTCTGTACTGAGGAGTTGCTCAGTGGTGAAAAGGAGACAGTCGTCAGTTACTGGCCAATAGACGATTCCACTGCAGTCATAACATCATAACCCTCTGGATGGTTGTGTGTAAAGCGATTGAAGCAAGTTCAGCGTTTGAGGTGTGACATCGGCAGATGACTAAGCCGGCTATCCACTCTTGGCACCCTCCACCGTTAGCCGGCTGCCGGCAGTGATCTCCGCAAGCGCGTCGTAGTTAATTCTGCGTGTTTACAAATTCAACGCGAGAGACGAAGGGGAGCCTAAGTTGGTATTCATTTTCTTTTCTGACGAATGGATTGGTAGTTAGCAGACTATCTTGTGTGGGTTTGTAGTCAATTGAGCCTGCGCAGGAAAAGTGTGAAAAGTCTTGGAAAGTTGCTCATAAAAGTATAAATATCGCCTTTACGTCAGTTACAGAAACTGAAACAGAAAATAATACCTTAATTTATTTACTAACGCAGTAGTCATCCAAATGATGCGAAGCGTGCCGACTGTTGCCCGACTCTCTGCATTAAAAACACAATTGAACCCATCCCGCAATTTTCAAGCCGTCGCGGGTTCCGTACTTGGCCAACAACTCCAACCCCGCACCCGCCCTCCTCAGCAACACACGCCATTGATATCCCAGTATCACATCCGCACCATGGCTACCACAGCACCGTCCATCCCAACAACCCAAAAGGGCGTCCTAGTGTCCAAAATCGGCGGGCCCGAAGTTCTCGAATACAAAACCGACCTCCCCGTCCCCACCCCGAAGGAAGGCGAGGTGCTGATCAAAAACAACCTCTCAGGCCTAAACTTCATCGACACCTACTTCCGCACAGGGCTCTACAAAGCCCCGAAACCAGAGATCCTAGGCCGTGAGGGCGTCGGCACCATTGTCGCCGTCGGCCCGGGCCCTAACCCGAAGGATTTTGCCGTGGGCGAGCGCGTGGTCTGGATGAAAAATTGCGGCTATGCGGAGTACACGGCCGTCCCAACTGAGGCGACCATTGCGCGCGTACCGGAGGGTTTATCGGATGAGGTTATCCTCGCGGGGTTCCTGAGTGGGCTTACCACCCTCACGTTTGTGAAAGAGGCGTATCCGGTCAAGAGGGGGGATTGGATTTTGATCCATGCGGCGGCGGGCGGGGCGGGTTTCCTTATGACGCAATTGGTCAAGTTGGCTGGGGCGAAAGTAATTGCGACGGCTGGGGGTCCGGAGAAGGTGGAGCTGGTGGAGGGGCTTGGAGCAGATGTGGTTATTGATTATAGGAGTGCGCAGGGAGCGAATTGGACGGAGAAGGTGATGGAGGTGACGGGAGGGGAGGGTGTGGATGCCGTGTTCGATTCCGTGGGGAAGGATACGTGGGAGGGAAGTTTGAAGGTTGCGAAGAGAAAAGGGACGGTGGTTTATTTTGGGAATGCCAGCGGGCCCGTACCGCCGTTGCAGATCCAGTGAGTGTTCTCCCGTTTTACTATCGCCTCTTTTTCTTCGTCTGGTTGTGTGCGTGTGTGTATGTTGCATGCTGAAAGACGATATATATTTAGGCTGCTGGCGTCGAAGAATATCAAAGTTCTCCGTCCAACTGTTTTCCCATACATCTACACGCAGGCTGAATTTGACCACTATACGGAAGAACTATTTGGTCTGCTGAAGTCCGGTCAACTGAAAGTTAGGATCCACAAGGTTTATCCACTGGAAGAAGTTGCGCAGGCTCACATTGTAAGTCTCGTAAAGGCCGTTCTTTGCTAACTTGGTTACTTGCTATACTTTTACGAAGATCTTTTTGACTGATAGTTTTGATGATAGGACCTCGAGGGTCGAAAGACTACTGGGAAGCTCCTCCTCAAGCCGTGAAAGCAACACTGGGCTACGGATTACACTGCGCTCTCCGATGGTATGTCTGTGTCTTCTGACGGGAGATGAAATGTTTGCAGATGGAAAACGCTGAATAGTCGTTCTTGTCTTTATGGGCGAACAATGAACACTCTCACTGAGCTACGACTAATTTTATAGTTGGAGAATGATAAAAGATCTATGAAGTACGAATAGTTCGATTGTTCACCAACGCGATATGATTCTCTTTCGTCTTTCCTTTCTAATTTTGTGATTTTGGACATCATTTACCTCTAACCTCCGGCGCCCTTTTGGTTGCATTCCTTAATCATCCCCGTCAACCTCCTCCGAAGCTCCAGCTGCACCATCATCCTCTCCTTTTGCAGCGCCTGGATTATACCATACTTCATCATCACCACGAAGATCCCTCGGTTCCTTCCACCCAATCATACTCTCATTCAGCAAGATGGTGTAAAAGGAGCAGTAAATGGCCATCACATTATCGAAGTAGTGCAAGCCACAATTCAATTCCCATACAGTGGTGTCAACCTTCATCCCCACAAAACAGAACTGCAGCATGCTCTCATCTACGAAGAACTCGTACTCATCCGCCACCGAAGGAGAAGAAGGCTCTGTCCCACAAACTTGGCCGGGGGGTAAATCCTCCTCCGACAAGCCAGGATTGCGCCACGGTTTCGCTCGAAGTTTGCCAATAGGCTGGAGATCCGGAGCATGCTGCTTGTAGAAATCCCGCACATTACCGTCCACAGGCGCGATGGCGGTAACTTCAAACCCATTCTCATCCACACAGGTAGCCTTTAGCTCATTGGAATTAGCCAGGTCACGGAAACGAACAGCCTGCTCGTAGCTTCCCGCACCCGCAAGGGCAAATTTCACTACTTTACGCGCAACACTGTCTTCCATGCCCTCTGCACCAACTTCGTTGCTCCATTCCTGGCCTCCGGTGTAGAAACCGTAGAAGTACCCCCCAAACAAGGTTGAACAGGCCATATTAAAGTGTCCCGGGGCCCAGCAGTTCGTTTGTTGGGCTTTCCAGAGTTCCACCTTTGCAGTGTCGCAGACCGCACGTGCGGCCAGGATATTCTCGGTATACTCCGGGCAGACATCATGTAGTAGAATGTAATTTAGAAAGTTTCTGATTGTCCCGGTGGCCATATCGACGAGTGCTTCGGTTTCTAGTCCAATATATAGAGGGAGGACGGATGACCTGTTGGAGAGAGCACGTCAGGAGGTATTGCATGAAATGGAAGGTTGGAATTGGCAAATCTGGACTTAAACGTACAGGAACCCTTTTGCAACAGCTTCGAAATCCACAGCCCAGCCAACACGGTTTTCCGGGACTGAGGCTTGCGCTGTGGCAGTCAGAATGTCCTCAGCATCTTTGTCCATGAGATCGCGTTGGTCGTTGCCTTCAAACATTTTCGGCCCTACGTCTACGCCTCCGTAAGACATGTACTTTGTGAATACGCTCCTGCGATCTGAATCCATGCTCCTTTTTGCTTGGAACCGCTGTATCGCTGTCTCAAGGCGCCTGTGAGAGAGTTAGCATGAACAAGCAGCGTAACCCAACATCAACATTCAGTAGCTTACTGTTTGGCAGGTAGGGATCTGATAAAAAAAAAACAAGACATTCAAGTCAGCTCATGAGAACGCGTGTCTCCCTGTGATTTAGAAGTCATGCTCACCTATCGTAGCGATTTTTGTTTTCTTCATATTCAGCAACAGTGATAGGGCCGTCGGCAACATATTCTTCGAATCCTGATCCCTAAATCCGCCATAAAAATCAGACGACATGTTATTATTACTCATTGAAGAGTCACATTAAGGACAAGAGGGTGATGCTCGCCTTATTTTTCCCCCTTGACTTCTTGTTCCTCTTCTTCTTTTTCTTTGCAACCGTGACCTCAGCTGTTCCCTCAAGCGTATCGGGTTCCTCTTCACCATTTTTCGTAGCAACACCCACATCTCCCTCTAGAGCGCCATTATTGTCACCGTTGGGACGAGCAGTCTGGGTATTTGTCGGGCCCCTAGCTTCAATATCCTGTTGGCAATCTGAACTCCCTTGAGTTTGTTTGTCCCGGACAGGCAGAGGTGCGATTGGCTTAGTCTCCATTGCACGAGACACGCTTGACGTAGTTTTAACGTAGAGCAAATGATATATAGCTACAAGAATAGCTGCAGATAGAGGAGAATGGTTGAGTTAGACCTGGTAGACCAGGTTGTTGGAGATTGTCAGACGAATGTGACGAGGAAGCTTGGGGGTGGTGAAGAAAGCAACGGGAGAGCTTATCAAGCATGCTGAATGCAAGTAAATGCACTCAAGTGTATGTACATGTACATGTACTTTGTAAAGTATCACTTCCTTAGTGTTAATGAAATATAATTTGAATAGGGTAGATGCAGGGCTGCCTTCAACCAGAAGTTATACAAGGCTGCCATGTAAATGGATAGATCTCCAACCTCGATGCTTCCCCCCCCCATGGTTTCCATAGTTTGGCACAGTAGTGAATATGAAAACGGAATATAGATAGGAAATAAAATAGGCTTCATTTCCAGAAATACTTAAATAGAAAACAACGTATTCATGCGTCTGGGAATTAGCACACCACCAGCAGCAGTTGTAACTAGTTAGTAGCAGCAACTGAAATCATAGTTACAGCAGCAGATACCCGATGCATACCATATTGTCACAAGTGAATTGAGTAACACTTTTCTACCTCAAATAGCCAATAGGACGAAGAAGCTAGACACTTCAGTCCTGGAAACAACATTTGATCTGTCCGGTTGGAAATACAGTAGAAGATAGATAGATGATGAATGGATAGCTATTTTGGCTCTCTGGTCTCTATCAATTCCCACAAGCAGCAGCGCCCATGTAACTAATTAGTTAATACGGTGAAATACCCGGATAAATTACAGCGTGCTTGTTTCCAGGCTCGGCAGTTACGAAACAATACCTGGCAATACCGACCGATGCGTCACAAGCTTGGAGCGACTTCTTACTTCTTTCGGCTTCACCGGTTGATTCCAATTAATGATTGCCATCAGCGATGCATCCATCCGCCCAACTCTCCATCCTCTCCTTTCCTGTCCTCTTCTCTCCTCTGCGTCCACGGCTGAGCCATCTCCTCCTTAAACCTCTTCCGCTCCTTATTTGTTTTTGAAAGCTTGCAATAGTTATCCTTCTCTCCTTTGTCAACTCTCCCCCCGCTATACTCGCTGTTGATTCCCCCTTTGTTGTCCGCTATCATAATGCGTTGATAGCCTTCTCATTCTGTGTCCTGTTTGAGCTCCCAACACCCTTGTTCTGCTAGTGTCAGATTGGTTACTGTGTCTTATCATGCCCTCCGCTTCGGCTCCGGAGAATCGCAAGGCCCAGAAACTCGAGGAGGACACTTTTGTTGCATTTGGTCACGCCGCTGCTGGACAGTAAGTTCCTATCCGTCAATGACTATATATGTATCTATCTATATATGTGTATCAAGAAGCTCAGTAGCTGACTAGAACTGTCTCTCTTTCGCAGTGATGGCGTGCTCTGCAATCCCTCCGGTTCACTAATCGCAAAACCATGTACTCTCCAAGAAATTGAATTCTACGAGTCTAGTCTCCACCACCCTAGCTTCCAGCAATTTATGCCCCAGTTCATTGGCACTCTATCCAACCCTACGCCCGCAAATGTCCTTGAAATCCCAACAAGCGAAAGCAGGACCTCTTTAGTTACTGCCGCTGTGGACCCGTCTGCGACTTCATCCTCCGGCACGGATTCACCTCTGACTCCGGAGCTTGGTAGAAAGCCCGATCTTGTTACCGTGCCAGTTGCCGTCGCCTCGCATAAAGAGCCCGCCGAATGGTTTCCGTCCCAGGGACAGAAGATCACCAGCAGCGTATCGATAGTGCTTGAGAATGTGACGGCAGGTTTTAAGCGACCAAACGTCTTGGACGTAAAGCTTGGCGCCAGACTCTGGGCGGACGATGCTGCTCCTGCTAAAAGGGCTAGGTTGGAGCAGGTATCTTTAGAAACTACGAGTTCTGTGTTAGGATTCCGCATCGCCGGGATGAAGATATGGGTTGGTGAGAATGCGGAAAAAGAGGAAAAGGTTCTCGGAACTACGCAAACGAAATCACATGACACCATTAAATCGAAACAAATCGTTGTCGAGACCGTGGATGGGTACAGGCGGTATGACAAGTGGTATGGTCGCTCATTCAACGTGGACAACGTTAAGGAAGGCTTCGAGACATTCCTCGATGGCGCCAAGGAGGGTAAAATCGATAGGTCGAAATTGATCGCCAAGAGAATAGCGGAAAGGTTACGCGCTATGCAGGCAGTTCTTGAGGCGGAGGAGAGCAGAATGTACTCCTCCAGCGTCCTGATTGTCTACGAAGGGGATCCAGAAGCGTTGGAGGAAGCTCTCGTCAGGGAAGGTAACGCCGAAACTCAAGGAAATAATGGTAATAAATTAGACGACGGATCGGAATCGGAGGCTGAATACGAGATAGAGATTCCTGGGGGCTCCTCAACCTTGCAGATCGTCGATATGAAGGTGGATGGGGAATCAATCACACCAGGCGGCATTAAGCTCGAGATCAACCCTAACAACCTCGGGGAAATTGATTTTGACATCGACGGAGTAGGAGAAGAAGAAGACGACGAAGACGCAGATGAAATACCGCACAAAGTCCAGGATATCCGCTTCATCGATTTTGCCCATGCAACATGGACGCCTGGGCAGGGACCGGATGAAAATGCACTGCTGGGGATTCGAAGCTTAGTGCGTATGATGGATGAGCTTGCGGAAGCCTAAAAAGAAAAAGAAAAAAAGCTGGTCACAGCCGTGGATTTCAATTGTGACTTGTGGCGCACCTAGAAGGAAAATGGAAAAGGAAAGAAAGAAAAAGGAAGAAAGATATGAACGTGCAATTGAATAAAACGAATACGAACTGATATTCCATCCGCTATTTTATGGCATGGCAAGGCGGGCAAATTTCTCACCCTTTTCATTGCTTGAAACCGCGATCCTCAACCTGCAAACAACACTCTCTTATCCCTCTCGATATCCTAATTCCCTAAGCCCAAAACTTGCATAGAGCGTTGATATTTCCTAGTGATTATAATGAGATAATGAAAACGAGCATGCGAACACCTCACCACTCTGAGGGCGGTTAGATGCTGGTTATTCTCACAACTAACGGAAAACAAAATAAAATAAAACCATAGTTACATGAAACAATTTCTTCATCGGCTCAAGGGACACAAGGACCATCCTGCTACAGTGAAGCCATATATTGTGTATTGTAGACCGACTAGTAACTAGACATCTGGGCAAGATGGTACAGCATATACATGTACATGTACGAGTTTACTCTGTACAAGTATTTGTAGGCTACTGGGGCAAAAGAGCTCAGTCACCACCAGCGCACTGCTGGTAGAAGGGCCGATCAACCCAGGACCCTCAACAGTATTATTTATTGAAGATCGGATGTCATGCCGCATTAGGCTAAGCGGCAAAATGCTGAAGCTCGATGATAATGGGATCGGATAAATATTATTTGCGACCCCGGCGGATTCTCCAGTGACAAAAGGCGGAATGAAGCAAGCGGTATACGACATACACGGGCAGGATACCAGGCAGTCAGCAAAGACGAGACTGATTCGAGATGTTCCCTACACGCGCATTATTGAAGCGATCGGTATGGAAGGGTAAGTTCGAGAAGCTCCCCCCCTTTTTTTTAACTACAACCCCATTGATCCTGCGCTTTTCTAACCACCGGCAACCCCCGTGTGACTAGGCCCGAATATTGTCCCGTACGTTTCTTCAATTCTTTTTTATTATATTTCCTTTATTATATAGCTTTGCGATTCGGAGGAGATAGAGGGCTATTTCCCTACAGTCATCGAAAATCCCCCCAATCGATCAATATCTCCTGAAAAGGGGTAAAAGAAAAAGAAAGAAAAAGAAAAGAAAAACAGGAAAAAAGCCCTGAATCAATGCTAAACAAAAGCTCCTACTACAAAACAGTCTCCCGCTACCAAAGACCATGCCTCCACCGCCCGGCACACCCGCGATAAAGACCCAAGCGCGCTCTGCGACGATCCTGCCCAATTTCGTCGGCTTGAAGTTTGCGGTGCATAATGGCAAGGTGTACAATGAGGTGTATATTACCGATGAGATGGTGGGGAGGAAGTTGGGGGAGTTTTCGCAGTATGTTGTTTTTTGCTTTCTTTTCGCTTTTTTTTTTTTTTTTTTTGGTTTGGCTTACTAACTCCTCGTGGTTTGGCGTTAGGACACGGAAGCGGTTCAGATATGAGCATTCCAAGAATTAAGTATATGTATACCTAGGAACGGGGGATGTGTGGCTGGTAGTATGTTCCACATGGGCGCTGAAGTCGTAGCGGTTTGGATATTGCTACTGTTGCTGGTCTCGTCGTGGGATTTTCGTGTTTGGAGCGGAAGGAATGGATGTTGAGCAATTTCTTCGACGAGGGATAGATAACACATCCTTTAATGTTCCCGGTGTGCCGTGTGCTGTTTCCCACGCAATAACAACAGCAACAACAACAATCGACCTATCTACCATGGAAATGGAGCGGCGGAAGGTTGGATAGAGGGGCAGGAATGAGATGTCGCGGCGATATCGAGCCCCGCCTGATCTCTTGTGAGCAGTATTGAATGAGATGTTTGCAAACGGCCCCAGGGAGGTGTAGGGGGGGCTTCAGATCGTGTAGCCCGGTAAAGTTTTTTCTATTTCCTACAAAAATTTAGAGCGGGCGTCCAGGATTGATTTTGGGAGAAAAATCAAAAGGTTCTTCTTTACTTGTTCCTGCTTTGTATATGTATATATATTTTATTGTATATTAGAAGTCCAATAAACTTTTCGTTGCTATCATACTCCTTTACCCTTACCCCCCAATGCGAAACAACAGGTGCCCATGGCCCAGTGCTTTTCTTATACCCTGTCGCTAATATTCAGCATAGTCTATCGACATATATCATTTGAACTTCATAACTAAACTGAAACATGCATGATATGAGGTGACATGGCCATGATATAACATGATAATGTATGATTTAAAAGTAAACCCCGCCATTTTCTCCCCAGCCTGAACCGCATCCCAAACGCCATCCCAGATTTGTGGACTTGATATATAAAGTAATAATATAATATCTGCACCTCCCGAAGCAATCCCCCAGTCAGCAACCTGGGATATTAAAAACAAAAGGGGAAAGGCAAAAACAAGAAAAAATGAGGAATCCCACTAAAAGTAAAACCACCTCCCATCAAAAACCCAAAACCATCACCGATAGAACTCCCCCCTCTTCACACTAACCCCATACTCCGCAACCGCCATTCCCAAATCCTCCATCGTCAACACAGTCCGCCCCTGCTGTCCCCCCTGCCCCCCACCTCCAAACCCAGGCCTCTGAACACCCAGATGCAATCCAGTCGCACTGCTCCCTTTCCCCTTTACCCCTTCATTCCCACCGCCACCGGCTGCAGCCGTCCCTCCACCCGCCCCTACCCCCGCAGCACCGCCGCCTACACCTCCGCCAGCGCCAGCTACCCCGTGCGCCAAGCCTGTCGAGAGGTTTATGGCGCCCATGGGATTATTTGAGGAGGAAGTATTGGAGCTGCGGATGCGGGAGTATTGGTAGGCATCTGCGGCGATGTCGGCGACGAATTTCTGCGTGGCGAGAGCGAGGAGGCGGGCGAGGTGTGGTGGGGTTTGGTTTGGGCCGTTGCCTGGCGGCGGGAGACCGGCGAGGGTGAGGTAGTGTGCTGTTACGGCGTCGGGGATCTATGGGGTTTTGGTTTTGTTAGTTGAAGAGGAATTATAGGCATGATGGGGTGAGATATATGTCTTTCTTTATTATTATTATTTTATTTCGCAGGGCAAGCGAGGGGATATATATTTTATCTTTTTCCATGAGGATAAATGTTCCAAATGGCAACAGGTTTGTAACAAAACAAGTTGGAAGCTGGCAGGAGAAGATGAGAAGGGGAACAGGAAGCAATAGGAATCTCACAATAGGCGCATATTCATCCATCTGTCCCAGAAACTCCCGTAGGCTCGTATCTTTCTTCGACGGCGGCAGCACTGGCGCAGCTGCCACAGGGTTCACTGCAGCATCTATTGGGATTCCCGGTGCAATGATTCCTCCCGGTGCTGCGGTCGTGCTTGTGCCAGTGCCCAGTACTGGTGCTGGTGCTGGTGCTGTCGTCATCGTCGTCGCAGCCGTGGACATAGACTGCTGGCTGGTAGCTGTAGTAGGCGCCGTTGTAGCTTCACTTGTCCCGCTCATCGTGATATCCGGATTCGTTGCCATGGAGGGGCTGCTGTTATTGGTGTTGGTATTGGTATTAGTATTATTCTTATTACTATTGCTCATTTCGGTATCAGGGTTGGTATCCGGGTTGGCAGCGTCATTATTGTTTGCGGGGATAGCCGAAGCCGACGGATTGTTATTGGGATCTGAAGGGTTTGAGGACTCAGGGTTTGCTGCGGTGGTTGGTGTAGGAGTAGCAGAGGCGGCGGTTGATGGTGTTGATTGTGCTGCTACTCGTGGTTGTGGTTGTGGTTGTGGTTGTGGTTGTGGCACAGTGTCTGACGGAGGCAGCTGGGAGTCGGCCATGACTGGCTGCGGCGTTTCTTTGTTTCTTGGTTTGGTGTCACGGATCGAGGTTATTTAGGGCGCGAGGTGTTTGGCGTTGGTTGGCTGTACTACGTAGGCGATCGATTTGGACTGGATGGGATGACGAGGAGGTGCAGATGGTGTGGCTGATAGTTGATTAACTAGTAACTTAGTTAACTTGTTGAAGAAGCGAAGAAGTTGAGGATGTTAACTAGCTACTTGCGCAACTTGCAACTCTACACTACAGAACGAGCTCCTTGCAACTGCTACTTTATTTATAGGGAAAAGATAAAATATTGTGAAATCTCTAGATGAGGAATTGGTATTCTGTTTCCACTTCTCACTTTAGACAAATTTTTTGTTTTCTTTTCGTTTCGGCGCTTCTAACTTACAGCCAGCAAAGCAATAAAAAAAATTAAAAAAATAGTTAAAATAGTTAAAACATCATCCTCAGGTGCAAAACGAATATATCTGTTAGCAGCAAAAACTCTCGTCGCGCCTAGAAAACAAATACCAGCCCTTCGACAACCGTTTAACAATCCTTTTAGTGTTTGACCATCTGGTAACAACCTTCCGTGAATACAAATGCAGAAAGAAAATATAATATTCCGGCCACTCCAACCAAAATAGAAATATCCCACCCAGTGTAACCAGACGAGTAAGAAAAAACCAGACTAGAGTAATACCAGTTTGTTTTTTACCCCATGTACCATGAAAACTAGTTCTTCATTGCTGGTTTTGAAGGGACGGGTCAACCATGCTCTGTGGCATATTTTGTTGCATATTCTGTGGTTGCTGCTCAAGATGCATTCCGTCATGCTTTGCGTCCTGCGCTAGGCTTTGGATCAACGTCTGCTCCATGCTTTGTTCCTGCGCATGTTGCACTTCCAGGTGTTCCTGCTGCTGCTGCTGCTGCTGCTGCTGCTGTTGCTGTTGCTGTTGCTGTTGCTGTTGCTGCTGCTGCTGCTGCTGTTGTTGTGGCTGTGGCTGTGGCTGATTTTGCTGGTGCATCAGCCCAGGGGAGCCAGCCATGCTACTATGAGCAGACTCAGGGGGCATATTTGATCCCGCGTGAGCGCCAGCAAGTGCCATCATCCCTTCAATGCCTTCTACATGCGCTTTATCTTCATCACCCATTCTACGCTGTCGCTCTCGCGCTTCGTGCTTGGCAGCCTGTGCTGGAGCGCGAGTTTTCAGTTCACCAGTAACAAATTTGAGATAGTAAGGTACCTCGATGCCGCTTTTGAGGAAGAATAACTTGAGGTTTCGTGCTTTGTCTTTAAGTTGTACTTGGTTGCGATCCTTGAGGGTTTCGTTAATCGTGCCACCAGGTCCGAACATCGCTAATATCTGGCTCCAGTGGGGCCCCTTGACCCTGTCCAGGCCGGCCATTAATGCATTTTCCTCCTCCGTTGTCCAGGGGCGACGTTGGCTTGGAAGTCCAGCACGACGGTTCGTGGGTGAGGACTTTGCTGTCGTCGCCATCCTGGCTCGTTCGTAGAGGATCTGTGTCGGCTGGGACTGAGAATAATGGGGAACTCCTGGCATGTAACCATAATTGGCGGCAGCTGCATGTGCCCTTGCCGTGACTGACGCATGTGCGGCGGCGGGGTTATATTGTTGAAAATGGAGCGGGGTTTGGTGGAATGTGATCTGGGCCGGTTGCGCTGGTGGCACCTGTGCTGGATGTGTCGGGTGTGCAGGGAATGTCGTTGTCATAGTGGCTTGATGATACATGTGCTGAGAAGCTGGCCGATGGGGACTTTGGGGAAGCCCATGCGCAGGACGGGCAGGCGCCTGCTGTGGAGGTTGGACAAACTGTAATTGTTTGGGCGGTTGTTGTTGGTGACTAGGTACTTGTTGGTGTTGCTGTAACTGCTGTTGCGGTACCTGGGGTGCAAGATACTGTGGCTGTTGTTGAACTCGAGGTACTTGCTGCTGTTGCTGTTGCGGTGGCGGTGGCGGCGGTGGTGGTTGAGATACAGCCTGGGCTGCTGTTGATTGAGCTTGTCGGCCCTGCTGGGCGGCCTTAGCAGCGTTTCGCGCCCCTCTGCCCTGACCTTGAAGGGCGATTTGAGCAGCGCGGGCGGCTCTTGCGACGAGGTCGCTATGGGCGGCACTACGGGAAACCTGGGCGGCTTCAGGTGGGTTGGGGACGACAGAAAATTGCCCTTCGAGGGGGGCGCTGCGAGATTCTTGCACCTCACCATTCGTTGATAACCGGCCTTTACTCGATTTTTTGGTCTGTAGAACAGTATACGTCAGTTAAACCTTCCCATACATAGAATGAGGGATGGAAGTTATATGATGCCATACCTGCTGATGACTAATAGCCTCGAAATTTTTGCTCACGTATGAGCTTAGATCCCTTAAGAAATCCTCCCAGCGATACTTTTCCGGTAATGCCGCAGCAGCCTCTGGGTTGTTCACTTCGTTGAGGAGGATGTCGCGTCGTGAGTAAGCACGTTTTACGAAGTCTGTCTCACTTGGTGCGAGTTGTTTTGTACCTGGCCTTCGGGAAAGTAATCGTTCTTCGAGATCATCGGGGAACAATTCGTACAAAAGTTCGGTTCGTGAGCGTTTCCCAGAGCTCATCGCTGCGATGTACGCCTGAGTTTTGAGCTCCAGGAACAGTGCACCTTGTACTTTCAGCAATCGATTTCCCTCGGGCACAAATATTTCCAGGAAGTATTGGTCGAGTTCAGAAAAGCCAATCTCCTGGCTACCGAAAATGCTTGAGACAAACGATGCCATATTGGCCTTCCTGATGATATCCACCTGGTTTGGTTCGGTGAGATCAAGCTCGCGTGGCGATAGAAAAGATCCTTTGGACGTATATACATTTTTTGTATGGTCGAATAGAGACCTCATAGTTGAGTAGGCTTGTCCGCTCTCGGAGGTGGGTTCGGACACAATTGATGTTAGGTCTTGGTAGGACGATTGGGCAAGCAAAGTAAGAATTTGGGTAGACTGGAAATTTAATTAACATGTAGAACTTCAAAACTGGCAACCCATTAGTAGCGACATACCAAGTTGTCTAATATCGGCAAGCTCTGGATCATCAGCTGCGAGTTGGCCTTGACGAACACTAAAGGCTGCGACCCTCCACCTGAGTTCTTAAGCTGCTGACTGAGGTTGTACTGTTCCTCCACTCGCTCTGAATAACTCATGATATTTGAAATGACCTCAGCAACGTCTGGTCCCAGTTGGTCCTGCGCAAATGCAGAAGTAGCAGCTCCTTGAATTGCAGTGGAATGACCGTTTGCTTTCTTTTCCTCAAGGACGTCGGGGCTCCCGTTGGGTTCAACTTTGGCGGCAGGCGAAATGGGGGGTCCCGCGGACTGCTCTGCAGAATTTTTGACTCCCTGCCCCACATTTTCTTTTGGCAGCGGCTGCTCCGTCATACTAGATGGTTCCGGACCCGTCTCGCCGTCAGAGCCCGTCCGCCGTTTCTTTGCGACATGGGCAGAGGCGTTGTTGGATTCATCGCTCTCTTCCAGTCCGTGTATTACCTTTGAGGATCCTATAAAAGCGAGAAGAATGGTTAGAACACAGATATTCATTCACAGTACTTTATAATAAGCAACCAACAAGCTATAGTAGCTTCATGAGCCTGGAGCTGGCGACCCTGGACAGCAAGACAAAGATGCAGAGAGATAAGAAGGGGGAGAAAAAAAAAGAAAACAGGGGGAGAGTCCAAAGAAGAGATCGAGATCGAATTAGAAACCCACCATTGTTGTCTACAGGAGCAGAGATAGAGGACTGTTGCTGAGCATCCTCTGGGATAGCGTCGGCTGGGTTGTCTGAAGCTGGAGGGTTGACCATGATAGGCGCGGCGGGCGGCGTGGCGTGTATGCACGATCGTCCAGGAGGACTTCCAGGAGAAGAAATGAGGGTTTAGGGATAGGGCGCAAAAGTAGGGCTTGGGGGCTCTTGTGGCAGAAAATTTTCCTTGACGTAGGAGCAGCGAGCAACGGAAACGGCCTCAGAGGAGCATCACAGCACGGATTAATCTTCAACACTGCATGCTGCTAGGACTGGCAACTCCTTTATTATGTTTGAAACAGTTGAATTATCGGAATTCACGCAATTGAAGCTGAAGAGTTCTCCATTGTCCAGCAATCGAGTAGTATGGAGACTTTGCCTGGTTATGTTAGCAAGGCTAGTTCAGAATAGGAATAGTCATTTCGTTCCGCCACTTAGGGCTTTCTAGCACATTGCCCTATATTGCGTCTGAATGCGGAAGTCGTTCAAACCAGCCCTCGAGGCGACATCAACTTCCACTCCCTAACAGCTTACAGTGACAGCGAACTGGCTGTTACCATCTCACCAGCATCATCAATAACATTATAGAGCCAGTGCATTTTGAGATTCAATTCTGGCAATCGAATCCGCCTTGCCAACATCCGCCTAGAAAAACAGAGTATCCCCGAACTACACACGCACTTTAATGTTGGTTGGTGGATTTGACTGGTCTATACGCAGCGTAATATTGAATAGACAAGGCCGAATTAATATTATGGGCTTACTATGTCGGATCTTATTATAGTAACTACCACTTCACCTGACTCCCTGGTCTTCACTGACGGAACTACATAACTAATTTATTATATAACCTTTCACCTGTCAACCTGGAACTCCGGAAACTTTGGAACCTATTTCCAAAGCCAATTCTCTGATGACAACTCCCTGCTACGTGGTAGTTAAATAACATAATACGGCTGAAGAAAAGAAAAATCAAGTTGGAGACTTTGTATACCGACAAATTACAATGCCGTCAGGGCTTGGCGAAATGCAGCCCATCGACGTTGGTTGCATGGCAAGGTTGATGGAGCCACCCCTCAATGCTCAACTTGCATCCAGGTGTGATGATCCCCCAGAGTATATTTGGTACATACAAATATAGCTTCCGTTATCCCGATTCCCTTTTGGTTCGCTCAGCCTCTAAGGTTATATATGACATCGTCGAAACCATAATTGACTGTCGCTCTGGTCCAGACCTTTCGCGCTCACCAAGCAATAATTAGGATCTTTGACCTCTGTCGAATCTTTGTCCTTGTCAAAAGACGCTGCCGGCTTAGTGTGGAATATAGCCTATGTGAAGTGATAGAGAGGACTTTGCAATCATCATGCGGCTCATTTCACCTTACATCGCACTCTCCGTCTATCTCGTTCCCCTTTCCCTAGCTCTCCAGGAGAAAATCTGGAGTTCCGTGGTCTACACATTCTATGGCGAACACAGTCCTCATGCACTGCCTTACCCCATAACATTAACTCCATTGGGCGCCCAGCAATTGGTAGAGGTGGGATCAACCTTCCGAGGTCGTTATCTGGACAACGTCGAGACGAGGATTGGAGGTTTATCACTCCATATGCTGGTGCCGGGTGAAATCACTGTCCTCGCAAGAACAGAGCCGGCCGCGGTTGCTTCAGCTGAGGCGTTCATGCAAGGATTCTATCCGCCGGTGCCAAACTCGTCCGGTAACACCACAAGTCGGGACCTAGCAGACATGGTGAATGGGACCGCCGTGGACTTCCCACTCAATGGATATCAGTATCCGCAAATCCTCACACTAGGCTTTAGGGACCCGAGTAGTGTTTACATTGCTGGCCAGGTCAACTGCGTAGCTTACGGTGCTGTGCTTTTGGAGTGGCTAACCAGCGACGAGGCCCGCTCGATGGATGCACAAAGTTCCGCGTTCTATTCTGATGTCTATTCCCGTGCTCTGCAGGGCGTGTTTGCAAGGGAGGACGTCAGTTTTCTCACTGCATTCCCGATTTATGAATATCTCAACTATCAACATATTCACAACTCGACTGCCCAGAGCGTAATTTCGCTAGACGACGTCAACAATGCACGCTATCTTGCAGATAAATGGGTGTCCGTAGCAAATGGCAACACTGAGGCAGGCGGAAGTGACGGTACTGAGGATCACAAGATCCTTTCTGTGGCCGGTCAAACGCTAGCGAGGTTCGTCGTCAGTGCCTTTGAGACGAATTACCGCACAGGCGGTACTGAGGGCAAGCTGTCGTTACTCTTCGGCAGTTTTGAACCCATGGTGGCCTTTGCGTTCCTGTCCAAATTGGCGTCTGACCGCCAGAGAAACTTTTACGGCCTTCCCAACCCGGGAGCTTCGATCGTCTTTGAGCTTTTCAGCATGGAATCCAACTCCTCCGCCGATGAATACCCTCTTTCAACTGATCTAATGGTCCGCTTCTTTCTCCGCAACGGAACGGATGCATCTGACGCCTCCACACCGTTGGTATCGTACCCTCTCTTCGGCCGTGGTCCCGAGCAACCCGGCATGCCATATCAAGAATTCAAGGATGAAATGGTGAATATCATGATGTCTGTCTCGGAATGGTGCCTTACCTGTGGCGGCGACACTAGCGTATTCTGCCCCGCCTACGCTCCGGACTCTAGAAATAATGGCCGCGCGGGCCCACGGTCTTTGCGACCCGCAGTTGCGGGAGTGATTGGTGCTGTGGTCGGTTTAATCGTGGCAGGGCTTATCGTCGCCTTTTCCTGCTGGGCTTTTGGGCTTCGTATACGTCGGACGGCCACGCGTCGCAGGTTTGACCTTGGCGGGTTCAAAGGCGGAAATAAACTCGCGAGCGACCTTGATCTGGTGGGTGGAAATGTCAAGAAAACGGGCCACCCGACCGCTGGTATTATTGTCCCGCAGGGGGGCGGTGATTGGACTAACTTAGGTCCGGCCGGTTCCCGTGGCGATGAGAGAGTTGGTAGCTGGGAAATGTGGAGCAAAATGACAGCTACTACAGGTTCTGATATTGACTCTAGTAATAGCGATGCGAATCCAAATATTGAAGATTCACGATCGCGGCGGAGTTGGGAAGATGATGATCCCGCAGTCACTGCCATCGCCGAACCTGTCAAAGTTCATGAACATGTTTGAGAGGCACAAGCACCGGCTTCAATGTTTCGCTGGATCGGTAATTAGGAGAAATGTTGTGCCTTTTGGCTTTTGTTCGTTCTTTTCTCACCCCTCTCCCTCTTTCGAAGAGGAGGCATCCTTCATTAATCCATAAAACACGCGCCCCTCAGAATTACAGCAGCATTCCCTCCCAATGTTGATCTCAGCTCACTTTGATACCCATCTCAGTCACTCGTTCCCATTTGGCGTTGGGCTATACAAAATCATTTGCAACAATCTTGAGCACAGAACTGCCATGATTAGGCATCATAATACTGCTTATTATTTTTGTCTTGCAGCTTACATATCCCTTCCAACATTGGCATCTGGCTAGATATACTTTACTCCTGCTGCCAGATTTCCATCAAAATAATGTACATGTATTTGTAAGATGCACAGGTTTTTTTTTTTTTTTTTTTTTTTTTTTTTTTTTTTTTTTTTTTTTTTTTTTTTTTTTTTTTTTGGTGTGTGTGAACTATATGAATGCAAACTGTCTATAAAAAGGTTTTGGGGCAAAAAAATCTCTGTCAATCTCTGTCAATCAATCTCTATGATAAGGAGTGAATCAACAACACAGGACAGTATAGTGAGAGTGTTCATTCTATACTATTATTATTCTCTTGTCTTTCTCTTCTTTGCATTTCAATATGATAACAACACAATAGATGTGTATATAAAAATCATACTGATAATCATGACTACTGCTTCTTTTGCTCATTTTTCATTCATTCATCATCAACATTATTGTCAATATCATCATCATCATCATCATCATCATCATCATCATCATCATCATGATCTTTCTCAACACTTCATCTCATGATGGCATTTGGACCAGGTGTGTGACACACCTGCCACATGGTTGATTGATTACACATCATATACAACTGTTGCTGTTGCTGTTGCAGTTGCAGTTGCAGTTTCAGTTTCCTCCTCCTCCTCCTCCTTCTTTTCTCCCCCTGGACTCTGTTGTTTTCTTTCTTTCTTCTTCTCCATCTCTCATCTCTCTCTTTGCTTGCCATCACAACAACAATCTTCCTCCTACTCTCACATTCTGCGTTTCTTCCCTAGAGAATCGCTTCTTTCTATCCGTTCATCCTCTACTTCATCCTCTTCTTCCATCTCTCTCTCCTTACTCTGCACTGAATCTTCCCTCGAAACCTGTGGCGTCATATCTTTTCTTTGCTCCCTATTCCACGCGTGTTTTTGGTTGATTCGTACATCCAAACCTCTCGCCCAACCAGACAAGGGGACAACAGCTCAGTTTTGGCTCGAAAAGCGACCGGTTCGAGGGGCTTAAAATCAATCGAGATTTTTCTTTTTTGTCCCTTTGTATCTTCTCGTACTCAATTCGACTTTTTTCGTGTATTCTTTGTAATATCCTTTCTATTTTCATTACCTATCTCCCTGTTCCCGCCCACTGCATTCCTTATCTCGTCTCCCAGTCTCGGAAGATCCGTTGGCGGGCACATACCCGCGTTAACTGCCAAGTTTGTTCTTTGTTACCCGAAGCTACTTGTCGTATAAGGAGAAGGCTAAAGTAAACGAAACTTTGTCTTTTTGTGTTTCTGGACATTGGATCGGTAGAGGACTACTCGAATTGGTATGTGTTTGGGTTCTACTTGCTTACCTTCTCATCGGTAGGGTATTTTTTCAGCGCGCCTGGCGTTGGATAAACGATCAATATCTTTTGTTTAGGTCCTTGTCTCACAGTTGGAATTGACCTTGGATAAAGTCGATGTGAATGAGATAATCATTTGTCAAGTCATATCGATCTCGTGTTTATTCCCATTGTCGTGGCATGGATGCCATCCATATTGAGCTTATTCGCTGTCACATACCACCATCGATTTCCTATCCTCAAGCTTTTCGTTATCATTCCTTGCTGAATTCTGGCGTTTACTGGCTGATTTGTAGTCAGGCATTTCAGGCGTTTTGACTAATTTCCGTTTAAGGCTTATACGATTTGTCCACCTTGCGGCGAATAACCTAAAGGGAAACGAAATTTATCCTTGGCCAAGGTAAGATGAGCCTCACGTTTATTTTTCTTCGTGTCGCAGCTACTGATAAAAAATTAGGAATTCTAGTTTATTCGAGGGAACTGCACAGGAGATATTAAACGCAAGTTCAACTCCTGTAGCGAACATGTCAGCCATGGAGGAAGGGCATTCATCTCGAAAAGGGGTTTCGGAGAACGGGCAAGAAAATGCTCAGGCAACGTGTCTTCGTCCATCGTTTAATGAAACCAAATCCAGGAGATATGAGATTCGTACATTGTTAGATATTGGACGTCGGCTTGGTGCAAGGAGCGATTCTTCCGCGTATAGTACCAAGACAATCGATGGTGCGTAATCCTACCTTTTACACCTCAAACACTTATTTCTTCCACGTGAAACTCACAAATATAACAGTCGCCACTTTGAGACACCGCAGAGAAGACTCTGGGAGTCGGGTGTTGACAGAAAAGCCGGTTAACCGCCACCGAATCTCCTCAAGCTTCTCTATGAGCAACGAGGACGGATTGTTGCTCACACAGTCCAACAATGTTCAGTATCCTCGTCGTCAACCATTAAATGCGCCCCAAGGCACCCTCGCCCAAAGTGATGCGGGTTTCGCCCGCTTTCTGAAGGAACACGCATCACCCAAACATCACAGGGTTACTGCAGGAGGTCGAATAGTTCCCATGAACCTCGCATCATCTCCTGCCCCTGAGTTCAAGCTACCGGTCAAAAGTTCCGAACAGGTCGAAATTAGGAAACCTAATAATAACTACTTGCAAAACCAGCCACTGAAGACGTGTGCCGACTTCAATCAGGAGAAAGAGGATATACAACACCCAAGCCTGCGCTGCGAACCAGATTCTAACAAACCTGTCGGCTTCAATTTCTTGGTTCCACGGGCGATATCCGGATCGGATTCAGGGGATACGAGGCAACCTCATCACACGGTTCCGAACTCCTCGACAAGGACAGCCTCAGGTCAACAAACCCAGCGGCAAGTGAATGAACCCCTCAACTCTCATCCCGTGAGAGGAGAAACTGTCCGGCAAATCACATCGGAAAGCACCTCCGTTTCCTCCGCTTATTCTGTCCCTAATGGAGGAGCTGATCAGGCTGGCTGGGTTCCTAACAACCCCCAACCGTATCATGCTTCCTCTTCGTCGGGCCAAATGTTCCCCATGGCATATACAACACAACACGGCGCAGTTTTCGGTATGTACCCTGTCGACCAATCAGGATTAATGATATCTGCTCCTCCGCAGCTATTCCCGGTCTCACCCATCCCGATAAATCAAGCGATGATTCAGAACGCGCAGGTTTCGAACCAGGTAATGTCATCAGCAGGCCTCTCAGAGCCGCTAAACCATAAGTCCCTCGAAAAGGCGACACAGGAGTACGATAAACTTACAGATCAGCTTGCAAATTTGGACAGATACCTTGCAATACACTCTTGGGATATTGACCCAGCTGCGAAGAAAATCCTTATTGATCAACGGGTAGAACTTGTCGTGAAACTTGACGCCGCAAGGTCAACAAAAGAACAGATTGAGGCAGCAATCCAATTCTTGACCTCCCGGCCCATGGGTGAGGAACAGTCTTTGGGCCATCAGCAATTCTCAAATGAGATTTGCGGCCTATCCCCTTGGCCGTCTAACATTGGACAGTACACTAATAATGTATTTCTGGGGGGCATGAATCCAATTGGGTGCTTGATTCCAGGGATGGGGCTACCGATGGCTGATTCATTCGACAATGCTTTTTTAGAACAAGCAAGGCTGCCCTTCACGTTTCCTGGTCCTGTGACCGGCTTTGAAGGCTGTCAGCCTTTAAATGGAGACAATCATGGCAACAGTACGGTATATGAGTGGGCCGGTAACAATGATTTGATGGCTGGCAACAATTATACCATCTCGTCAGATGAGCAGCTGAATATAATTCAACCGAGTGAGACGGGAAGCATGTTCGAGAGCACCAACGAAACCATTACGGAATGCGCTCCACCCGAGATTGCTCGAGTTTATCACGATATCGAAATAGCGGCCAGTCGAGGCGAACCGCTGGGGCCACTCATTGAGGAGCTGGCAATAGTAGCAAGAAAGCTCAATATTTCTGGCATTACGAAGAACCAAGGTCTGGCCATGCAACGTGAAAAGGATCCTCAGTGCACCGCTTCTGCAGGGAAGCAGCTCGCACTAGTTCCGTTCAACGGAGGGACCACAATTGCGAGTTCTAGTGATAAGTCAGACCGTACCCGCTCTGCAACGACTGATTCGCTAGGTACCTCTCAAGACAGCATGTAAGCTCTGTCAGCTAATGAAGAAGCAATCATAAAATGCTGACTTTGACAAAGTAGGAATCAAAACACGACCATCCGAACGCCTGGGAAGATCTGCAACGCCTCATCGCAAATAAATGAGGGAAAAGACAAGAATGGCGTTAAACGCAAAGGTGATGATGATAAGTGAGTATATAAATATGGCGTTCTGCTAGCACGATACAGTGGCTTGTACTAACTGTTCCCAGAAACATTCATTCCGGAGGAAATCTAAACATAACAAAGAACACTAGGTCAAATGAAGAGAAACGACAAACCTACGATGGGGCTAGCGGGGCGGGCAATGCTGACGTCCTTTGTGACAATAACGGTGGTAAGCACCATACCAAGCAGAAAATGAGAGCGCAGGATTCTCCCACGCCCGTTGGCAAAGCTGCTGGTGCAGTCGTTGTAGGCAAGCCAGCTAGCCAGACTGCTGCACGCAGCAATGAGATTCCATTCAGCCCTTGGAAGCAGGTGGGACAGGACACTGGTTCGCCACACAAAACAAATACTTCGACAGCATCTCATAAGGTGAATGCGTACGGCTTCGTACCCCGTTTTGATGGCGCAGGCGACGCGGATGACCGCAATCCCAAGGCAGCAAGTGCCGTTTTGAATTCTACAGTCGGCGGTGCTAGCACTACCAAAACCACGGGCGACAAATGGTACCGCAAGACACCTCGCAAAGCCCCCGACCCGCTAGACGTGCGAGCATTTTTCCAGCACTTGCGTGAAGAGGAGAGAGAATTGATGGATAAGTACCGGAAGGATAGTCGTCCCTTTGGATAGAGAAGTCAAAAAACTCATGCGAAACACCGATACTGGGAGAAAGGGGGTTGTTTGATAGGCGATTGACAGGAATTGGCAGGAATTGGCGCATTGGCGACCACTTGAATATGGCGCGCGGGGAGAGTGAAGGAGAACAAGGACAGGAATTGCGCTTGCATTTGATTGACGTATGATGTTTTGTTTGAGGGATTCGTCTGATTATTGCGTTAGTGATTGCTGACAGGTGGCTAATAATGACTGCATGATTAATGGCTGACATTTGATAACTTGGTTGCTTTTGTTGAAGAAAGAAAACTGGAGCTGAAGAAAAAAAAAAAAAAAAAACCTAAAAAAACTAAAAAAAGAAGTAACGACAGGAAAGTTGGGCAAATAGTTGAGGACCAAGCGATGATGGTTTTTATAGCAACAGACATTTCGAGTCCCAGGATTAGGAATCCATGACAATACAGTTTTGTTCCTGATATGTATGCATTATCGTGGCTCAATTAATAATAAATTTGCCTGTTGGATGAAGCCTCATCTGCACTTTTCGGTAGCGTCCGCCTGCGCATCCAGCACAAGGGCCGAGGCGGGCCCGACAGGAGTGACAAGCGCGGTACCCGAGCGGGCATGCCGATTCGCCGCTGGGCCGTGTTCACTCCCAAGTCACCCCAAATATTTCCCAATGCCTTACTGTGTAGTTAAGGCTGCTTACCCAATCACGCCCAGTTGAGCCTCCTCCAACGTCTTCCTGTCTCACCCATCCATCCAGCACCAACTACCACCACCACAGCCAACAACTCCTAAAGGTTCCCACGGAGACCTGTCAACTATCAAACAGACTTATTACCTCTCTCTTCCTCTCTGTGTGTCTTTATCCATGTTCGTGCTGCCCGTGGAATCTTCTTGTCCGGCTGCCCAGCCCTCATTGGATCCAGCGCTGCTATGAACCTTTGGGTCAGACATACCGTCCATACCTCCTACCCTTGCTAAACGCCCTTTTGAAAAGTAAAAAGAAAATTAAAAAAAATAAAAATAAAAATAAAGAAGGCCACCTTTGCGAAAAGAATCACCTCGTGGGACTGGTATACAAACACATACGCCAAGTTCGTTCAAATTCCAGAGTTTTTTTCGACCCTTCCCCAAGACCGGCTCCCCCCCACCATTCGCTGAATCCAGATTTCCTGCCGATCTCTTGAGACTTCCGGTTTGTCCGCCCCGTCCGCCGCTTTGTCTCGAATACCAGCTACTTTCAATTCAAGGAAAGCTCCCGGCCGTGTCTCACCCCTCCTCCACCCCCAATCCTCTCCCCACCCGACCTTCACAATCTTGTCCACTGGACTCGCCATTCTTGAGATTTAGCCGAACGAACCCAACTTCAGACTTTCGTTGTTTTTAATTGCTTTTTAAATTCAAGATAACAAAAGGAGGATTTGAACTCCTTGCGCTTTTGCTACGAGAAACGTCATTTATTTTATTTTACTTTTATTTATATATCTCCATATAGAAGGAGAGAGAGATAGGAGATGACACAGCTTTTCACCTCCTCCGGGTCGACCGGCGGCGTGAGACATGAGAAACGCAGCAATTTCCCCGGCATATCACTAGCCACCAAGAAACACTCCTCCTCCAACGACTCCTCCCATTTCCCTACGAAGCTGAAGAATTTCTTCCGCATCAACAGTTCGTCCTCCACCAATAGCAACACCAGCACCAGCGGCGGCAATAACAACAGCTCACATGGCGGTGCCGCCCAGAATGACGGCTCCTCCGGTCCGGGCAAATCGGAGACTAAGACCACTTTCCGGCAATCGCGTTTTCTCCCCACTATCACTAGAAATCGATCGACGACGGTTGCCAGCGAAGGAAACCCGTTAGACGAAGGCATGTCACCTACCGCCTATGCGAATCCGTACTTTGCTCACCAAGGATACCCGGCCTTAAGACATCGGAATGACGGTAGTGTGTCCTCGGTTAATGCTGATACCCCGGAGTTGCAGGTGGATGGTGTCGCGGCTAGCGAGCAGGCTACGACGGCGGGCAAGGAGGAGTTGGCGAGAAAGTTGAGAAGGGTGGCTTCCGCACCAAACGCGCAGGGCCTGTTTTCCGGTAATAAGTCGGATGATAGGCCGAGGACGGCGGAGCTGGGGAAAGAACCCCTTGTGGAACATGGTGCTACTACTGGTGGAGTTGGTGCTGGTGACGGTGCCAGGCTGAGTCTAGTTGATGCGACGACCAAGAGTAATTCGCTTACAGTACCTGGTGCTGACGAGTTGTCGAACCTTCCCCCGCCAAACCTGAATCGGAATCCCATTGCGTTTCGGAGGACATATAGCTCGAATTCCATCAAGGTGCGGAATGTTGAGGTTGGGCCGGGGAGCTTTGATAAGATCAAATTGATTGGGAAGGGTGATGTGGGCAAGGTATATTTGGTGAGGGAGAAGAAGTCGAGCCGGTTATATGCGATGAAGGGTGAGTGATTTGACGACATTTTTTAAACACCGGGCTTTGGTTATGACACCGTTTCGTGAGGAGGTCCATGTGCTGACTGAGGGTCGATTTTAACTTTCTTATAGTCCTGAGCAAGAAGGAGATGATCAAGCGGAATAAGATCAAAAGGGCCCTGGCCGAGCAGGAGATTCTCGCCACGAGCAACCATCCCTTTATCGTCACGTTATACCATTCATTCCAATCCGAGGATCACCTCTATCTCTGCATGGAGTATTGCAGTGGCGGCGAATTTTTCAGAGGTAAATTGTTAGCATCACACATGTGAAGGATGGCAATGGCTAAGCTCGAATACAGCTCTTCAAACGCGCCCTGGCAAATGTATTCCAGAAGACGACGCCCGCTTCTATGCTGCAGAAGTTACTGCTGCCTTGGAATACCTCCATCTCATGGGGTTCATTTACCGTGATTTAAAACCCGAGAGTAAGACCGCTCGCGTCCTCCTCATATACTCAAATCTTTTGTGCTGACCTTAATGTGTATTTTAGATATCCTATTACACCAGTCAGGACACATAATGCTCTCAGACTTCGACCTCTCGAAACAATCCGGACCCGGTGGAGCCCCAACTATGATCATAGGCCGCAATGGTGCTTCTCCCACGTCATTACCAACTATAGACACCAAGTCATGTATCGCCGATTTCCGGACAAATTCCTTTGTAGGAACGGAGGAATATATAGCACCAGAGGTTATCAAGGGCGATGGACATACGAGCGCTGTCGATTGGTGGACCCTGGGTATCTTGATATACGAGATGCTTTTTGGAACTACACCGTTCAAAGGCAAGAGTCGGAATAGCACTTTTGCCAACATCTTAAGGGATGAAGTACCGTTCCCGGAGAATTCTGGTTCGCCGCAGATATCGAAGTAAGTTGGATATATTAATGAATGTTGCTACTCCAATGTTTAAAATCAACCACTAACCACCCCTATTTTTTTCAAAAGTATTTGCAAATCTCTTATCCGCAAACTACTCATCAAGGACGAAACCCGCCGACTAGGAGCGCGCGCAGGCGCCTCAGACGTGAAAACCCACCCTTTCTTCCGCACCACACAGTGGGCACTAATCCGCCACATGAAACCGCCCATGATCCCCCACCAAGGCCGTGCCACCGATACGATCAACTTCCGGAACGTCAAGGAAAGTGGTAGTGTCGATATCGGCGGCTCGTCAAAAGCTAAAGGGGTGCCGATGGACTCTGGTCTTGCAACGCCATCTGGAGAAGCTATTGCAGATCCGTTCGAGGACTTCAATAGCGTCACGCTTCACCATGACGGGGAGGAGCATGGGCATCATATGATTGATGATCGTGTGCCGTCGTCGTCGAATGGGCGGTGAAACTGAATCCGAAGAAGTGTTTCTGCGCTGAATTCAGATGTTTGACAATTACATTCCCTGCTGGGCTTTGGTTCAGGATCGAATACCACGATCTAATACATATAGACATACCGGTATATTTTATTCGAACAATTAAACTCCCGAGAAGGACGATATACATCGACGCCGACGAGATGAAGAAGAACAAATATCGATCGCACGACTTCCATTGCTTTTATGAACAAAACTACATCCCGCATTTTTTTTGGTAGGTTGTTTTGTTCGCTTTCTTTTTGGAAGCAGATGAAATTCATAGTGGGGGTGTTTGGAGTGCATATGCTTGCTTTGGACTTGAGACAGTTTTCTTTTTTGCCTGCTCATTTTCACTTTTCGTGTTTCATAATTTACTTCCTGTCTTCTATCCTGTTTTGTTTCCATCTTTCTCTTTTTTGCTTTTTTTTTCTTTTTTTTCTTTTTTTTTCTTGCTTTTTGCCGTATGCATTAAGGATTTAGCTTCCTTACCTCAGCCATTTTCTCTTCGGCTTTTGCTGATGCTTGAGTCGTACATCACTTTTTCCAACATTTCTCCTTCGTTGGGATGCATCCGCTTCGACTGAAGGAAAACCACACGGTATCCCATGTTTATCCTTTTCATTCCCTCAATCTCTTCCCTTGCCTCATATCCCCTCTGTTCCCTGCTTTTCCCTGCTTTTCGCTGAGAAACAAAGGGAAAGGTTAAAACGCGATTGAGTTGAGAAGGAGACATGTAAGCTGACTGCTCCTCCATCTTGAGGGTTTTGCAATTCTCCTTCTACCCTTCTCGCTTCTCTCTCTATCTCCTACTTCCGATACCTATTATCCATCTCCAATCCATCCGGGAACTCCTCAACTGAGGGACCACAGATAACACGACCCCACTCCGCGGAGGCTCTTTATTCACCAGGAGGGCTATATACTTTCATTCCCTGCATGGTATGCTTCACTGCTTTCCTTTGAGGCCCCCGCCCCCTCCTTCCTCCGAATGATTATCTTCCCAGCTTCTATCTTTCGGTCTATCGGTTTTGATTATTCCTTCCGGACCCTCCTCGCCCTCCTTGATCCAATGAAGGCTATGAGAGAAAAAGTCGCGACTATGCTGTCTCTTCCGTCGTCAAAATATTTCCTTCTTATGAATGCCAGACTTATAGCTACACTGCGTGAGATTTCTTTTTCTTGTCCACTGACATTCTTGTTCCCTTTGGGCAGCCCAGCCTATGATATGCTCGGGGATATATGCGAATCGATTGCTCCGGTTCCGCATTATCTTACTTGCGCAAGCGGAAATGACAAAAAAAGAGGGAGAGGGAGAGAGAGAGAGATGACGAGAGATGAAGTGGTTTGAGTGCCGTCGATTTTTCTTTGCGATTCCGAGCATCTTTTATCCATGTCTGTAGATATTAGTTACAGCTGCTTATATATATCATCCTAATTTTAGATAATTCATTATATATTTTAGCTTTACCATAAATTCCATTTATTTCATTATTTACACATTTAATAATTTGCTTCATTTGTACGGAGTAAGGTTGATGAAAATGAATGTTGATGTCATTGGGCAGGGCTTGTGCTTGTGGTAGATTCCAATCATTATGCCCCGCAACAAACACAACCACCACAAACACATATTTAGCTACAAGCAGAGTGATCAAGTAATATTCGATTTGCCTACCGGATACCCTCGAACCATTTTCAGAGTCCTCTCACTCAAGTACTAACCCATTGAACCCATTGCGCGGTCGAAATCCAACGGTGTCAGCAAGGTTTGCACTACGCTGGGGCGTGTGTTCTTTTTTAAAACAACTGTCGAAACACAACGCAAGCCCTCTCACAGGCTTCAGGAGCCAGCATTCTATTCTCCAAATCGAAAATAACACGAGGAAACACCCATTGAGGAGAAGAGGGAAAAAAGAAGTCGAAAAACAAAACAGAAAAAAAAAAATGCCTCGCCCGGCATCCCCCCTCTCATCGCGCCCAATATCCTCCTCCGCCAATGACTACGATACCGATATCGATATCGACCCAACAGCCGCAGATAATAATGACAATGACGCACCCGCAACGATAACGACGGGGGCCACAACTGATCCGACGGCGACTAACCCGCTCCTCCGTGAAAACCCCCTCCTCACCCCGCTAGAACAAGAAGTGCTGGATGAGTATGTGCGGTTATTGGGGAATATGAATAAGGTTAATAATTACATATTTTACGTTTTTCCTTCATCGTGTTTTAAGTTTATATATGTTGAAAAAGAAAGGTCTAACACAGTTATATTAATATATATATATATATATAGCTCTCCGATTCCCTCGCGCACCTCTCCACCCGCCCTGCGGCGGAAACGCTCGATGCCCTGCGCCTACTGGAACGCAAGACGGCGACGGTGTGCACGCTGCTCAAGGCGAGTGTGTATAGTATTGTGTTGCAGCAGCAGATTTATAATGGGGAGGATGGGGATGGGCATAGGCATGATCATCAGCATCAGCATCAGCATCAGCATCATGGAGGTGAGGGGGGTTATGATGGGTATGGGGAGGGTGATTAATTGGAGGGATTGGGGTGATTTAAGTTGTATGTTGTGCGTGCGTGATATGGAGTGGGTGGGTTAATGGGCCATTTTATTTTCTTTCTGTCTTCTTTATACCCTCGTCGCTGGCTGGCTGGATAGATGGCGTTTTCGGTCTCCGATTCTCTTTTTTTATGCATGGATTTCAATGGATGATGAAGGAGACGGTCCGGATCTGTGGTTTTTTATAAAAGAAGATATAGATAATTAAGCAGGTCGTTGAAAACAGACAGAAGACAATATCTTTATTCTAATATAAAAAATAACACATACATACTAATACAAGTATATGCCATCACCGTCACCGTATAATAGCAGGAGTGGGTAGAGTACATGCAAAAAAAACTACGCAAGCAAGCGGTTAGGTAGGCAAGGTATAGCAGACAAAAGCATATCCCGCAACGCTATCTATCATGACACTGCTTCGCTATCCAATGTGTGACAGCAGAATTGCGTAGATAAATGGGAAGGATCTGCTTTAATAGCGGAAATTGTAAGGGACAAAAAGTAAAAAATAGGGGAGGCTAAACGCCAATTTTACTGAGCTCCGGCGTAATATACCCTTCTCACGTCGACCAATTTTCTGCCTCGGGCGCGGGCTATATCTTCTGGATCTTTCTGGCTCATTAGAGCCTCGTAGGTAGCTTTCACTGTGTTCATCTTGTTGCGGGATCGTGTGACTCTGGCGGCCAGATCACGAATACCGGCCGCACGACACATTTCCCAGATGCTTTGTTGGCAACGGAGACCGAAACCTTGGGAAGGGAAGGGATTTTATGTCAGCGTGACAAGATACAATTCAGCGTGGGTTTGGGGGGAGAAATATTTATCCATACCTGGCGGTCGATGCATCAATTGCAATTCTGTAGCGCCCACTTTCCCCCGTACATCTCCATAGATGGTTCGATCCTCATATCTCAGGACTGGTCGCATGTTTCGAATAGCTCGAGCGTGAGCCTGCATCAGCGCCTCTCCAAAGTCACGGGATTTTCCCTCCCCGATACCTAACAGACCCCTGCCGTTTCCTGCAACGGAAAGAATGGAGGTCTGGCGGATTTTGCCCAGACGGGTTTGGTTGGCGACCATTCTCTGGACCAGAGCTTTCACCTGTAAGCCCTTGAGTGTGCGTACAGGCCAACCCGTCGCACGGGAGACTTTCTCGTAATCTAGTTGAATTTCAGGGTCTTCAGCCTCCAAGATATTTGGATCCTGCGCTTGTCGCTTTAGATCTTCTTTTCTGAGCTGGAGGTTCGGGCCTCCGCCAATATTATCGATTGTTTCGTACGGCTGGGTAATATCTGGCACTAGAGAGGAAGATTCGTCGACGGGATCCTTCACAAGGCTCATCTCATCCATGAACTCAAAGATTTTTTCAGGCCTGTTTTCGGCATCCTCCTCAGGCATTTGTTCGAGATAGTTGGCGACCTCCATCATCAATTCCTGCTCAGATTTCATGCGTGGGATCGGGACGCCCTTGGTCATTGGGCGGCGGATATGGTGGTCGACGACAGGCTCAACGGTGGAGAAGTCGTCTAGGTACTTGAATGCCCATGGGTCATCTCTCTGGTGAAACTGGCGAGCCATATCTTCCGGGCTGATGCTCTTTTCACCAGCTTCAATTGCGGCGATCTGATCCGGTGTGTACTCCTCTCCAAGGCGCTTCTTCTCTTCTTCTGAATACGGCTTGAACATTTTTGGCTTAAGCTTCCTAGGGGGCTTAACGGAATGTGGATTTTTCATAGCATTTTTCTCCTCCTTCTCATATTGGGAAAGGGATTGGTGGAACTGTCGCCGGGGGATGGAGGTGAGAGGACCGCGCGATAGGGAGCAGAAGAGACAACGCGCGGGGCGTGCGAGGCTCATGGTGGTGGAAGTAGCTGGTGAGGCCAATACTGGCCTCACTCGCAAAGATCAATGGGGGACAGAGGACGTCGTGATGGATATTGGCGAAGCCTCGCCTTGTTGGGTGGTTTGATGCTGAAGTTGTGGTTTTTGGTTTTTCTATATTTTTGGTTTTCGGCGAGAAATTTGCTGGGCAGATTTTCCCGCAACGCTGATTGGTCCGAATGAAAAGCTTCGAACCAAGCACCAAAAAATTAAAAATTATTAAAAATAATATGTGCGCCGCAAATTTCAAACCTATTATTCCATACTTCATGCACCCCGATTCGCAGTGCATTCCATGATCCCATATCCTCATCGACATATGCTTAATTCAGCCCTTAGGTCGTTCCTATTTTCGGCGCGACATAGTTTTGAACTCTCGGGCTCATGCATATCGCGGGCGCAACACTCTATCTCCTCAAGACCATACCGTACTCACCATCAGTATCAGCCGCTGCTAGGGGTTCATAGCATGCCCCAAAACACACGCAGAACCCCAAATCAGCGAGGGAGTCCGCAGCATAAGAAGAAGAAGGTTGCAAAGGATGTTAAGGAAGGCGATACGGAAGAAGTGCTGCTGTTCGATGTGGAGGCGCTGTTGAAAAAACATGCTGAGAGCGCAGAGAGCGCAGAGCAGAACGACGTTGTAAAAGTGCCAACAGTTGTGCGTGAACACAAGAGCGAGGCCTTCCCAGAGACTGAAGTTACCGTACACGAGATATCCTCCACGGGAGACGGCCTAGCGCTTTCCCCTTCGTTCGATCATGTCTATGTCGTACCATTCACACTTGCGGGAGACAGGGCTCGAGTCAAGGTTGTTAGGACCATGCACAAGGAGTCTTACAGCGTCACAGATCTACTCGAAGTTATCACGCCATCCCCCCAGCGCGATGACTCTCTTATTAAGTGCCAGTACTTCGCCAAATGCGGAGGCTGCCAGCTCCAGATGCTTCCATATGAAGACCAACTGAAACACAAGAAAAGGATTCTAGAGAAGGCATACGCCAATTTTTCGGGGCTGCTACCTGAATTAATTCCCGCGATTCGGGATACGATGGGTTCGCCATTGCAATACGGCTATCGAACCAAATTGACCCCCCATTTCGTCATGTCGAGTCGCATCCGACGCGCCAGCGTGGACGGAGAGAAATCGGAGATTCCGCCCATTGGGTTCATGCTCAAGGGTAGACGAACCGTTATTGATATTGAAGACTGTCCTTTAGGAACGGATATTGTTAGACTTGGGTTGAAAAGTGAGCGCAAGAGAGTTGCTGAGAACCTGCATTCGTATAGCAAAGGCGCGACACTTTTATTGAGAGAAAGTACCACGCGCCGTTACAAGCGTGCGAGTACCAGTCCACAGCCGTCGGAAAACGGGTCGGAACGATCTTTCTCTGAAGAAAGAGAACTCGTGCACGAGCACGGGGAGCAGGTAATTCGAACAGAGTACCCAGACTTCATCGAGGAAAAGCGCTGCATTACAGATCAAAATGAAACCTCGATTGAGTACGTCGACAACTACAAGTTTATGAACAAGGCTGGCCAGTTCTTCCAAAACAACAACTCCATCCTGACCCCATTCACCCAATATATCCGCGACAATGCCCTTCTCCCTCCTTCAAGACTATCTACCGCGCAACCCGCCCCAAAATTAAAGTACCTACTCGATGCATATTCCGGCTCCGGTCTCTTCACCGTAACTCTCTCACCTCTCTTCCTCTCATCCCTCGGCATCGACATCTCTATCCCCTCCATCGCAGCAGCCCGCATGAACGCTCGCGCCAACAAGCTTCACAATACCGGCTTCGCTGCCGCGGACGCCGCCGCCATTTTCAAGGACGTTCCTTATCCGCCAGATCAGACCCTGCTCGTCATTGACCCACCTCGAAAGGGCTGCGACACCAACTTTTTAGAACAACTACTATCGTACGCGCCCGCGAGAGTCGTATACGTAAGCTGCAATGTCCATACCCAGGCGCGCGATGTCGGTGTGCTGGTTCAGGGAGGAAACATCAACGGAAGAGAAGTGAGGTATGAAATCGAGAGTATTAAGGGATTTGATTTCTTCCCACAAACGGGCCATGTCGAGGGAGTTGCGATTCTAAATAAGGTTGTTTCGCAACCTCAGGGTACGACTGTAGCAACGCCGGCGAGGACTCCGGTTCCTGCTGACATCGGCGCTGCGATTCCGCCCAGCTAAGGTTCGGATGAGGGGGCGCCCCGCCCTTGGCAGCCTCACTCCATGGGCATATAGCTGTAATATAATATTGAGGCCTATCCATGATCGTATCTCAAGTCAACCTTGGAAGGATACTGCAATCAAACATTAGAAAAATGGTGCCTTCCTTGACAAAGGGTAGACCGCGGGAAGATGACCGCTAGATCTGGCGGTAAAATTTCACCGGAAGGCAGAAGACTAGAGGATCATTTCAGTCACATTTCTCCCAAAATCCAGTTCGTTGAAGTCAAAAGATATAAGAATATAAATAAGCCATGTTTTAAACACTTGGCCGAGGAGTCGCTTCCACTGTCAAAAGCCAATCAGGAATCCCAATAACTTGTTAATAATGCTGCCACCAATCTCCCAAAGAATAATGGTCACTAATAAGGAGGCGAATATTTATGCCCGGAATAACCGTGCCAAGCGCCTTCACTCCTCCGCACATTATTCAACGACTCCGCGGCGCACCGCGCACTTGCTACTAGTTCATGTCCTCCTTGTTGCGTGCAGCGTGGGGCCAATATTAATAATAATGGCGCCCCCGTTTTCTAGAATGATACAAAGAACAACCAGTTCGTGAGTGAGTGGAGTGGGGAGCAAAATCGCTTAAATATTTACGACCCAAGTCCGAACGAACACTTGCGGCTCTTCGTCGATGGCGCTAGAGCTACAGACTTTTGATCGCGATTCCACCGTGCCAGGCTGTGCAGAACTCCATTCTTCCTCAAATGCTTCACATTCTGGAATTCCTACTTTAGCACCGTGAGGGTGACATGGGTCCTGTCCGAAAGAAATTCGCTTCTAGGGTTCAAACAAGAGGGGAGCCCCTTGATGCCGAGCTACCTACCTCAATGGCCGTGTACTGAAATCACATCCACTTAATTAATTTCATGATACACAAGATTCCCCATATAAAAGTCCTTCTGAACGTAGGAATTTCTGATATCTGAATTCTTGAGTCCAATCTTTCGTTTAAATTCCATTCGTGTCTGATTTTTGTCACAATGGCATCCCCCCCACCAGCGTATGAAAGCCATGACATGCCCCCAGACTACGTCGGGGGCCTTCCCATCTCCGCCCCCGCTGCTCAGTCTCAAACCAATCTCAATCTCAAATTATCTTCAAGAACGGACAAGAAACGAATGGAGGACGAGCCCCCGACTGCGGATGAATGCATAGTGCACCTAAAGCTTCTCGCTGCGATTGCAGATCTCCGCGACGAGGTATCGACGACTGATGGCCTTTTCGGACTCTCCGACGGTCTCATCGATAAATTCAGCTCCGAAGATGACAAGTACAGAGCTGCTGCTATTATAAGGGAAAAGAGATGGCAAATATATGTGACCAGGGCAGTAGATCGATTTGAAACTTGGTTCAACAGTTGCATTACCACCGATAGCGGGAATGGCTTGTTCAATGGCACCGTGACAGTCGACGATATTGAAAATGGTGAAAATTATCATAAGATTACGGATTGGGATACCGCGATCGTGCTCGCTGTTGATACTCTACCACCGCTAGGTTAGTATCGATCTAAAGACCTGTTGTGTACAAATCTATTACCATTGGGTAGACGGTTTCAGCGACTTTTTCTTTCTCTTTTCGGCGGACTAATACTTTTTTCTTGATAGATGTTATCATGGTGTGGCATTCGTATATGCTTAATCCACGAATATATTTGGAGGACTGTATTCGTCTTGGGAGGATGAGCTTTTGGGTGACAGGAATGCCCTGGGCAGCTGTCGATGCAGCTCTGGATAGGGATGACTTCAACTTCTTACCCGGAGATGATGCAAGGGAATACTTTGAACGGATGGCCGGGATTCCCTGGGACAATCTCTTGGACTCTCCAGTCAAGCTGATAAAATGTCCAAGTTGCCTAACAGCTATTGAGGTGGAATGGGAGAGCAGGGAATGGAAGCTGGACGCTCTGGAAACGCCCTTCGAACACAGTGACGGTTACGCAGATAAAGGTTTCCGCAGGATCTGTCCCAGTTGCTCCCTTGTTATCACGCACAGTACCCTTCAGGTCGCTCAGTTTCGGCAAGATATGGCACGGCTTCAATTGTATCAGACACCAATGCCGGGCACCCTTCTTTCTCTCAACGGACTCCCAGAAAACACCAAACATAAAGGCCATGAAAACATGCAACTACCTAACAAAATCATCTCAAAAGTCCTACATAACAATCTTTTAGATCGGACAGACTTCTACCACAATCCCGCTGCTACCATAGAAACAATCCGCGATTACTTCGAATTCGCTTTCAAAAAGGAACGCTACCTCTTTGCCCCAGCAAAAATGCCCTCCCTCCCCCAAACTCGCCAGGAGAAAATTGCCTTCCGCCGCCTCCTCTCCCGATACTGGGGCAACTCGTCAGTCTTCGGTCTCGACCTGGTCGGCGCTGTCGTCCGCCAGGGGACCTTCATTACAAAAATGGACACAATTGACTGGCTCCACTCCCCCACCCTCCAAGCCACCGTGGAGCATCTGTTAAGCAGATACACAGTTTTCATCCACATCATCTCCCAGCACAAGAAACTCGCCGTACCCACCCTCGATATCGATCTGGGCTGGCACACGCACCAACTCGCCCCGCAATCCTACTTCCGTTACTCCCTCCACAAAACGCACGACCGCTTCATCGATCATGATGATAAGGTCACGGAAGATCAGCTCACCATGGCCTTCGAGTGGACATCGAAGAAGTATATGGAGTATACCAACGGCGAACCCTATAGCGAGTGTATATGCTGGTACTGCGAGGCTACCCGTGAGGCGAACTATGGACCAGCTGTGAATATGTATTTGATATCGCGGGCGAAGAAGCTGGCGGAGTCGCTACACGCTGAGCTGGGAAACGGTCAGAATCCAACCGGTACGAATCCAACCGGTGCGAATCCGCACATTTCAACGCATAATGCGGTGCCGGTGGCGAAGATGCAGGAGCCATGGATGGTGGAGAGTAAGCATCATGGCGTGCGGCAGCGGCTCATGGACTATCATCAGAAGGCGATGAGGAGGGAGGAAAAGCGGGAGAGGGCGAGGTCGAAGGAGGAGATGAAGAAGAAAGAGATGCCGGACAAAGGAAAAGGGAGGCACCTGTGGACGGGGATGCAGGACACGGAGCAGAGTAGCGACGATTTAGCCGAAAAACCTACACGGCAGCAACACCTTCTTGCATCTGCATCTGCCTCTGCGTCCACATCTAGTCTGTCCCTATCCGTACACACCCCTGCTAAGGACCGCCGCTACGGCTACTACCCCATCATCTGGGGGTATCCCATCTTCATCCCGTTCTACGCGCCCTACGCTACCGATCTGTCCATCACGTCGGCCATATATCCTACGAACCCGTCGTGCATGAGTACGGACGTCCACGGAGCTGCGAACTGCATACCTGGCACTTGCGTTGCGGAGGTTGCGGCGGGGGTTTGTGGTGGTGATGGGGGTGTTGGGGCTTTTGGGGCTGGAGGTGTAGCTGGTGATGGGGGAGGCAGTGGCGGAGTGGGAAGCTGTGTTGGAGGGGGAGTGGTATAGTGAGTGGTATAGTGATTCAAAAGATTGAATAATGCATTTTTTTTTTTTTTTTTTTTTTTTTTTTTTTTTTTTTGGAGCACATGCCTTGCTTTGGTGAAGATGTGTGTGACTTGATTTCTTTATGTATATTTTTGAGTATGCTATACTTTTGGTAAGCGGAATGGGGCAAGGGGCAGCTGTTAAGTAAGGGTTTCTGTATTTCTGTATGTTGAGTTCATGGGTATACGATTCAATATTGTTCTGTTTTGTTTGGACATAACTAGAGGTCCCGCAGACGTTATCGTGCGACTCAAACAGTGTGAAAAGTTATCCGTGTGCCTCCTGAGATTCGCCTGGTGATGGACGCAAGAATTAGACGGGGAAAGGGCTAGATTCCATGTTCCGTTGGATAAGAATTGAGCTTTTGAACTTTGCTAAACATTCGACTCTAAGCTACAAAACGAGAGGGAAAAAAAAAAAAACGGAAAAAGTAGCGACGCGAAAAAAAGTCGGGAAAATCGCAAATGATATAAATTGAACGAACATGCTTAAGATGTAAGTAGTAGTAGCTTTCTATGTGCTTCCCGGTCCACCCAGCAGAGCAAATCTTCTGACGATGCTAGGTCCAATCTCGTCATATTCGGCCTAAACGAAGACGGAGGGAGGGAAAGGTTAGCTCTATTGAATATTATACTTCGTAATAATTAGAAATCAAAACTAACCTTAGTATGGCAGTAACTGCGGAATTCAGGCGTCTGGCCTAGCAAGCTGCCTCCGAACCACGGGCCATGTCGTTGCCGTTTATGTGTGATCACTTGGACCTCTAGGCCGCCACTACGCGCTCCACCACTCCTGGCTTCCGATGCGCGAATTCGGGCATCGACTAAGTGCTTAATATCACGCTGTAAACGGCGGCCGAAGTCCTTGTATAACGTCGAACCTCCAGAAAGCACGATATTCTTATACAAACCCCGCCGAACATCGATAGGGGAGGATTGGATTACGCCATCCACGACGGTGGGGAGGGGGGTAAGGAAATCTGACGAGTAAATTTCTGGGTTGAAGAAGATCTCGGGTGCAAGGAAACGCTCATATCCAATGTCGATGGTGACGCTTCGGCCGTTGGGCGATGTCACGGTGTGTTTCAGGAACCGGTCAGGTTCTCGATCGTAGCGGGCGAATTCCTTCACGATATCTGGGCATACGTAACAGTACTCCTCCTTGACTCTTTCTGCGGTCTTCATTGAGCTGTCTGCTTCTTGCCGCTCCCTAAGTAGGTTTTGCACAAAGTGTGTAATGTCTCGCCCAGCAATGGGTATACTTTTGATAGAGGACCCGATAACATATCCCTCCGCAACGGGAATTACATGGGTGACACCGTCACCGGAGTCAATTACGGTACCGGTGAGGGAACGGTCAGTCACCTTGGAAGACGTCCACGAGGCTGCGAGGGCTAGGACAGCCTGAACTGCGATATAAAGACCGGCGCAGTTGAACGATTCGAAAAAGATCTCTGCGGTATTTTCCCGGTTTTCTGGCGGATTTAATGGCTAATGTAGATGTGTTAGAATGTGAACCGTCCGCGCATCTGGATGGAGGTGGGGGAAGTAATGGGGATTAAATACAGGTTCGGTGAGAAGGAAATAGTGGTCCTCGGGCTCAACTCTGAGATATTTGAAGATGGAGTTCGACCAGAATCGCTCCATATGGTCCCAGTTCTCGATTTGGCCATGGCGAATTGGATAGTTGATACCATACCCGGGGCCACCCGATGCGTTAATAGCTTCATCTCCAATAAAGAAATCCAAATCTTCCGTCCCCCGTTTGCCTGATAGTTGTGAGCCGGGACCTGCACCACCAGTAAGGAATGAAGGCTTGTTTGCGACAGCAGGTCGACCAGATCCTGTTCCGCCTCCTACACCACCGGCAGACTTTGTAGCGATCGCTGTAGGGAACACGAAAGAAGGAGAATCATTGCCGGCGAACCCTTAGCAAAAACACAATGACGTTAGCCTAAAGTTGGGTATTGGCGGGGGAGAAGGCCGCGCAATTTGAAGAGCACCCACCAAGTTTCGAGAATCCGGTGCCGCTGAAGGAAGCAGAATATCATTAGTCGCAGAAGTAGAATGGAGCTTAATCATTCAATGGTAACATACTTGTCCATGACAACGGCGGGAGTCTGAGCCGCCATTGCGAGTAGGGGTGGGGAAGACGAGAGCGGCGGAGTTGTATGTAGTCAGAATGGAATGGCAATTTGTAGGGGCCTCTGCAGGCTTTTTGATTGCAGTTAATTAATGGTGTAGACACGAGTTACGAGCGTTAGACAGCGGGCAAACCAGCATGGTGCAGAGACGGACAGATCGCAAAAGGCTGTTGGTATAATCTGATGGCAGCTTACTCTGTGGACTCCCTCCCCCTCCGGCGATGTCACTGCAGTTGATGAGATAAGCGCAGTCACGTGGCGGCTGACCAAACCAACGAGAGCCGCATTGAAGCTCTCTCTACTCTACTCCGTATATAAAACTTCGACGAAAGATGAAATGTGCTCCGTACTCAAGACATTAAATTAAACTATTCTCATAGCCATTCTACTGCATCGTGGAGCTACATTGGTTTCTTTTTTGTTCCATTTCTTTGTTCAATTCTCCCAGCCTGCTACGCTTTCTCTTGCTCGCTCCCTTCTTCCATGAGTATAGTATGGGGAAACGGCATTCGGGCGGCTGTACTACTACTAGTTATACACCTCAAGCCGTCCACAATAAACAGTCGATTCCAGGCTGCGGCTTCTTCTAGGACTCTGATGCGTGTGTCTCCTTCTGCAGAAATGCGGCTGTAATGCGCACCTTTTTTGTCTCTGTTCTGTTTGTCTTATTTTTCCCCTTTTTTGTTGTTTCTTTGGAGCCATTTTCTCTCCATTCTCACTCTATACCTTATCCTCCCTCAGCCTACTATTCCTGTTCATTCGTTTATATCCTACTATTATCTTGTCGTCTGAGGGGTATTAGCCTTCTCTATACCTTTTACCTAGAAGCATACCTATATATTTTCCCTATTGCTGCCATTCATTCCTTTACCCGTGAGCCACGGGCTCAGTATCTCCTTAGTAGCCTAGCCCTGCCCGTCTGCATAGCAACGCGACCATACCCGCTCACTTGGATATCTCAATACCACTTTATTATGGTCAGCTAGTGTTTATCAACTTAATCCATTGCGCTGGTTGGCGCATCAAGGTACAAAGGGGGCAGCTCTTGTGTTGAACCTTTTCACAGCAGCTGTTTGACTGGAGGTGTTTGCTTCTAACCACCCAATGTGAATCTCAGGATTTTCACTGCGAAACAGAATATCTCCTCACTTGACTTTACTCCACGGCCTCACTTCGCTCATTAAACCCTGGTATTAGCCTTGAGAGTGTCAATTGTCCCATAGTTGACTTCTGATACCTATTCTAAAGAAACTTGATTCCACCGCAGCCATGGTTTTTTCTCATTCGAAGGAGGTACAGCCTCAGAGGGTCTCTGCCATTTTTATCCATGCCGGCGCGGGATTCCACAGCTACCAGGCTGAATCAACCCATCTTTGGGTATGCAATCAGTAAGCCCTCTTTTTACATTCCCCATGCTGTTGCATTTTTACAGAACTGATTTTGGAATCAGGGCGGCAACACTCGGAATGACTGTTTTGAGAGCTGGAGGACGCGCTGTGGACGCGGTCGAGGTCGCCATCAAATTCTTGGAGGATCATGAAATTACAAATGCAGGATACGGCAGCAATCTCTCTGCTCACGGCACGGTGGAATGCGACGCGACCATTGTGGACCACCTGGGTCGAAGCGGCGCCGTTGGCGCTGTGGAACGTGCGTGTAGAGAGTTCCCTGACTAATATCATTCTAGCTAATGAATCTTGCTTCGTAGATATTAAAAACCCGATTTCACTTGCGCGTCTCGTTCTAGATGTCTCAACGAAGCCACTGTCTTTGAACAGGGTGCCACCCAATCTTCTAGTTGGCTCAGGGGCAACAGATTTTGCATATGAAAACGGCATGCCAATCCTCCATGCTGACTTCCTTGTTTCTGGTGGTTCGCGCGAACGTTGGCTGCGGTGGAAACGGGATTTGGCACAAGTAGAAGCTGAGGAGGCCCAAGTGGAGGAGGCCCAAAAGGATCCTCAATATCAGCACCCTGGACACACTGCTTCAACTAGATCTCGTTTTTCCAGCCCTGGCCGCAATATTACCTCAAGGTCATGGTGGCGTTCGTCAAACCCTACAAATCCTCCGTCAAGTTCTAATAATGGATCTGATGGCGTGGCATCCCCTGATACCAGCATTCGACCTCTTACACATCTGCCCGATGCAAGTGTCCGTGAGTCTGAGGAGGATATGAACGCGGAATTCGTGGACATCTGTCTCAACCGGACAGAGCACGTTACGGAATCCCCAGGTGCAATCGATGGCTCCTTTCAATCAGCCGAAAACCGAAAGCGGAAAAGGGCCAGATTCCCCTTAGAGTTAGGAACTGCGGCATCAACCTCTCTTGGATATGCAGGAAATGCTATACCGCCGGAAATTTTTGGAGATCAGGCCCAAAACGACTCATTTGAGGAACCTCCTCGGAAAGGCTATATAATAGGCTCGGATGACAACATTATTGACACTGTCGGGGCCATCGCTGTTGATTGCCATGGAAATATCGCAGCAGGCTCTTCTTCTGGCGGTATTGGCATGAAACACAGCGGACGTACTGGCCCAGCGGCTCTTGTTGGTGTTGGAACCGCTGTTATTCCAGTGGATCCCGAAGACGAAGCCAAAACATGTGTTGCGGCTGTGACAAGTGGCACCGGTGAGCATATGGCTACAACGATGGCCTCCAATGTGTGCGCGGAGCGGATATATTCAAGTACTCGAAAGGTGGCAGGACAGCCGGGCGTTTTCGAGACCGTGAATGAAGACGAAGCACTAGAGGCTATGATCGATGTAGACTTTATGGGTACGGTGTTTGATTGGCTATTATTCCAACCCCTGAAATTATCCGCAACCGCTCCTACTCCCATGATTATTCTAACTTTACTCTCCTTAGGCCATCCTGGTGTTAGGAGTAGCCACTGCCATGCTGCTATTGGGGTGATGACCGTTAAAGTTACCAAGGAGGGAATTGCCTTTTACTTTGGACACAATACGGATTCATTCGTAAGTGCCAGATCCTATACATTATTTGCCAGGCGAACATTGTAGCTGACATGCATAGGCTCTTGCTTCTATGAACTCCGCCGATACGGAACCGAAATGTCTTATGTCTCGCAACAGAGGTCACGACAAAGTTGCCCAAGGAGGACGATTTATTAGGCTTAATAGGTATTTGACATGCCCGAAACCCTTTTTCATGATGTTGGTCAAATAATAGGGTCTCACTAGACACTTGGTCTGAGAAACGATGAGTAGCTGACTCGGTACTTTCTCTGTTCAGGTATTCGGCCTCCTAGCACCGAGTAAGGGGCATTTTGGAGATATCTACTCACCTACGCTCCTACCGAGTGTTTTCTATCAATACGTGACTCTAGCATTTAGACGAATCGAAGAAAGATACATCCTACTCCGTATCGCGTCCGGAGAGGGAAGTGTCCTTGCTGCCTAAGTCACGATCGATATCCCATTGTCAGGGCCTTTTTTGACTAGTTCTGTGTCGGATGGATTCAGGCGCAGATAGGAAAGCGAACATATACAGGGACAGCAACACATATTACGTTCTTTGCCCATACAGCGAATTTGGATCCTGTAAATTAATTTTCCCTTCTGCTGCTTTAACTTCAGCATTAGCAATCACCCCTGCAAGAGCATATTCAACTCGATGTCCGCATTGTCATCTCACCCTACCAGGTGAGATTTGAATTGTTTCCGCGCTCTCAGAAGAAAACTAACTAGGTAGCTGTACAAAGCAGGGAAGGCAGATAACACGACGAGACCATTTCATTGGATGGGATGCTGACGGTTCTAGATTGATGCGTTTTGATAATCCTGGGATGTCTTTTGAGGATGGCACAATGGCAGACAAGGGGAGACCTATCAACTTCCGGAGCTAGATGAGTCTGATGCTCCTCTATAGCCTTGGCTGTGTGTTCTGTCGGGAAGAACTGATTGGTTGGCATATCCTTTTTAGTAATTTCGTTACCGTTTTTTCTCTGTGCCACACCTTTACTCATCCTCCCTCCTCGCTTCTCACTCCTCCCTCTCACACCACTCCATGCTACTGGCGTTCCCTAATCTGCACTGCCAATCTTGTTTAATGTTTGCCTAGTCTCTGGTAGCGGAGGTGTGACGCTGTCAGACCATATAAAGAACCAAAAGGAAACCCTACTCGGTATATCTTACGCTTTTGATTCCTTGGGGTGAAACTTGCAACGTGTATTTGACTCGGCAGGGTTTGGATTTCGCAGGCCTCAGGGCTGGGCGTGATAAGCATCATCCATTTACTAGTTATAGTTAAAAAATAGAGCATCTGCGCAAGGTAGGTTGGTGGTATTTGGTGGGTTAGGTAGGGAAGGGAGGTACCACAGTCCTTGGCCGGGTTTTGTTACATACGGAGAGCCAAGGGGTTGTTGTGGGAGGGTAAGATTTGCTTTATGATGGTTGGGGGGAATTGTGCGGGTAGAATGAGGGTGGGACAAGTGCTGTGTATCTGATATACGAGAAGTAGATATAGGGCTACGATGCTGGGTGTAAGTTGGATGGATAACTAGGGTACCCGGTAGTAGGACGTGGGATAAATTTGGAAGGTAAATTGCGTCCCTTTTTGTTTTGTTCTCATCCGGATTCGAATTCACCACTGGGATGGATGGAGATATGATTTTAGAACACTTCCGAATTTGAGAAGGTAGATACGCCCCACTCTACATAAGTCGCTAGCTAGACAAGAAGAATGGAGAAAGATATCCTGTAGAAAATCTAAGATGGCTAATTATATTACAACCATGAAATGAGAATATGCCCTAAAATATATATATATATATATATATATATTGCTACCTACAGAGCTCCCGGCGTAGGAGTCGGCGTCGCTGACCCAGGCGATACACCCCCCTTCCCACCAACCCCTTTCTCCTTCTTCCTCTTCCTCTTCCTCCCCGCAACCACAACAGGCTTAACGGCATATTCCCCAACCCCCAACTGTGACCCGCACGTCAAACACTCCGCAACCCCATCAACCCCACCAAGCGGCTCGCAAAAGATACTCAGACAAATACTACACACAAACCCGACGTCGACAACGCGGCGGTGACAGAAGCACGCCGCGCGGAAATCGACGTCGACGCGGCTGGGCAGGACCAGGTGCGCGCGCGCGCGCTGGTCCGGGAGGAAGCCTAGCATCAGATACTGCAGGAAGCCGGCGGGGTGGGAGGTGACGGGGATGTAGATGCCGCGGGTGGCGTCGGAGGCTTGCTGGAGGAATGCGGCGTCGCCGGCTAGCTTGAGGATGTCGATGGGGATGTGCAGGCGCTGGCAGGCGAAGATGCTGTTCATGATGGGGATGTAGTGTTGGGCGGCGTGGGTGGTGCTGCTTAGGGAGATTATGAGGATGCGGGATTGGAGGGCTGTGGGGTTGGAAAGGTGAGGAGGGGTTGGGGAGGAGGTGGCGGGGGTGGTGCCTGGCGGGGGTGGGAGGCCGGATGCTGTGGTGCCTGTGGAGGTGGAGGTGGAGGCGGAGGTGCCGTCTGGTTTTGCGGTGCCGTGGGTTTCGGCGTGGGCGATTGTTTCGCGGTTTATGTGGCTGAGGGCGAGAGTGAGGGCGCCAGCGATCATGGTGGAGGTTGTGGAGGAGATGTCGGCAGAGGTGGTGGTGGAGAGGAGGGCGTGGAGGTTGCGGGTTAGTTGTTCTTCGACGAGGCGGAAGGGGCGGTATTTGTTTATAGGTTCATCATCATCATCATCATCTCTTTCTTCTTCTTTTCCTTTTCCTTGCTGATGATATTCTTCGGGGGAGGGTTGGCCGTTCATGATGACGTCCCGATCTGGCGGTGTGGTCTGCTGGTCTAACGACGAGGACGGGGGGGTGGAAGGGGTAGGGTAGAGCCAGGTAGCATGATGGCAGTGGGAGGCGACGACGGCAACCTTGTTTGCGTAGTTACAGGCCAGATGGGCGTTGATGAAGACGAGAAGGTTTGCGATGGCGGCGGAGAACGGGAGGGAGGGTTCAAGGCGGGCCCAGGCGTGGGGATTTGTATCGAGGATGACGGTGAGGAGGGAGGGGGCGGGGACTGAAGGGATGAATTTTAGTTTAGTTAGTTAGCTAGCTACTCTGAAAATATCTAATCTAAGGCTGGGTGAACAACAAGAGAAGAGAGCTGTTGTATACCGTTATTGGAGGAGGGGTCATAATGGGTTGCGCCGTCGACAGCGTTCATGGTGATGGTGGTGATGGTGGTGGTGATGGTGGTGACGGTGGATGGATGGATGGATGATGGATGGGGGTGGGTGGAGGAGAGAGGTAAAATGACTAGTTATAAAACTAGCTATGGTCGCATGGTGAGGACGCGACAGAGATGCAATGCAATGCTGTCTGTCTCTAGTAGTTACTGGATAGGACGGAGTATGTATGTATGGTTTGGGATATTTGAAGCTGTGTTGTTGTGCTGTTGAGTGTGTCTATATCAGTTGCACTGTACGTACTGTAGTTAGTTACTGTAGCTATGTCCATACCGAAACGGCGTCTTCAAGCTCAAATTTCAACTCCATCTTTCATCTTCATCTTTCATCTTTCATCTTCATCTTCATCTCCGTCTTCATTCATCTTCATCCTCAGCTCATTTTCCACTCAACGCTTGCATCCTTCGCCCAGCAGTCGCACACTGAAGGCAAGCATTGGCAGTACGAGCCAATATCTCAAGCTATTATTAGCGACTTACCTCGATCGCACACACTATAGATAGATATTATATTGACGTTATTTTTTTCTATAGTTATAGCTCTTGGTTCCGGCGTGCGTGCAGAAGCAGAAGAATCCGGTTGGATGGAGATTCATTCCTCCGCCGCGTCTTATCAATCATGATGTCGATGACTCGTTTCATTCGCATAAGCAAGCTGGTGCTACCCGGGCTGCTATCTCAGAAAAAGCAATTATCCCCACTGCAATTGACGCTAATCCTGGGGACGGACTGGGGACGGCGGGACTGCGGACTGGGGAGAAGAGAAGAGGAAGAGGGAGAGGGAGAGGGAGAGGGAGAGGGAGAGCTTGACCTCTCCAGTAGTAACTCACTCATAGTTATCTTATTTATTATTATTATTTTTAATTCCGCTTCCTGCAGGGCTTGTTGTAAATTATTTTTTATTATATTATTATTCTTCTTTTTTCTCTCTTGTGAGACTGTTATTATTATTACTTATTGCTTGTTACTCAACATATAAGTACTCCGCACATACATATATACTCATCATCCTTTTATATATTTCACATATATATATATATATATATCTCTCTCTCATCCTTCCCCGGACAGACAAAGAAAACACACATACATCTCTTTTTCTTTTTTCTTTTTTCTTTTCCGCACTTGTTTAACAGAATAGATAAGGGAAAAAGTATAATTAATTCTACATTTAGAACTCTTTCGCCGCCCAACTCAACTGCCCAAACCCTAAGAACCAACCCCCCAACACGCTTATTTTTATTTTTTTTTATTTTTTATTTATTTTCTCCGACTCCTTATTTATTTATCTATTTCCTCTCCTCTGTCTTTGCTTTGGTTGTTGCATCGTTGTTGCTGGTGTCTCCTTTCTGTTCTTCCTCCCTCCAAAACTGCGCTCTTCTTCTTCTTTGCCGGACTCCGATCGAGCCTCCGCCAACTCCGCCAACAACAATCTCGCCCTGAGTCAATCTGCCAAAACTTCTACCAAAACTTCTCCCAACCCCCAACCCCCAAAACCCTTCTCCCGTCGAGCTGCCTGACTCTCTTTCCCACGTCTTAAGCCCAGCGGTTATTCCTTCTAACAAGTTAGAGCGCTCTTGAGGCGATATCGCCGTCAATCGCGCTTCAGCCGATCCAGCCGATTCGAGAACCAACGTCTCCTCATCCAGAAACGAAACGAGCGGCCTCTTCAACAGATCGCCGCCTCCATGGTGCAGTCGGCCTCCGATGACCGCGCCGTCCAGCTGGCTAGAGAAGCCGTCGAATTAGTTGATGCAGGCCATCGAGAGGTAGTCCCTCTTTTCATTCTCTTTGCGCCGCAATCTTGTACTGGAGAACCGTGGTCTGACTCTTTCCTTTTTTTCAGGCCGCTTCAAGAAACCTCCGCGAGGCGATCTCCCTGGCTCCAGATAACGACGAAGTCAAAGCTGCCTTCAAGAAAATATCGGAGGACGAAGAGACAAACCACGTACTCGTAAACCTCTGCCGCCGGTATGTCACCCACAAAGACGAAAGCGCCGGTCGCGACGCCGCCGTACGCCTCCGCGTTGATGGCCTGCAGCCTCCCCCTGAAGCTGCCCTCGATACCCTTAACCTCATCCTCTCCTGCCCCGCCACGAGCCTCTCGAATATCCAGGACGAGATAATTACCGCCCTGGTGCGGAACAGCCCCCATATTCGCCGCCACTTTGCCGCCCAGCTCCAACTCTCCGTTACCCAATTCTTCGACGAGATCTACGACCGGGGAGATGGTGCTGTCGTATGTTTGGATACTGTGGTGCTGGATACGGCGCTCTGGCAGTCCGAACAAGTCCGCAACCACTGCAAAAGTGAGCTGTTCCAGCTCTTTATTGCCAAGCTCATGGAATCCGGACATGACCTAGACGGCCGCTCCCTTAAGGGGATTGCCCGACTTCTTGCAGTCGATGCGGAGAATCTGCAGCACTTGGTTGACGAGGAGTGCTTTGATGCCATTTTGTCTTCCCTGGACCTGAGGTTGCCCAGTGACGTCCGCAGCCAGGCCACATTGGCAACCGCCAAATACCTTGAAGCTGCGGGGGAGAACGGGCAGACACTTTTCTCCAAAATCCTTACGGCTCGTGTTGCGAGACAGCGGAATGACGACTATATCTTTGCTTTCTCTGCCGCCGCTGCTGTCTTTCCTATTATCCCCTCCATCACTGCAGCTCTCTTCTTGACTAAGGGATTTGTCCAATCTCTTGTTGCCTTGCTCGAACAGAAGCGTAAAGGTATCACCGTGGAACGCGCTGTACTGGAACTGTTTAACGCCTCCTGCATCGACAAGCAGTGCCGCGAAGCCATTGATAAGCATTGCGCAGACTGGCTCTCCCATACGCTCAGCAATGGAGCCGACGAACGCGCAGAGCTCGCTGCTGTTATCTTGGCCAAAATCAGGGCCTCTGAAAATGATGCCAATCCGAAACCCTCGACTGCTGCGTCGAGGATCCGGGCGGAGGAATCGTCAGGTAGTTCCCATGATCTAGTTGAAAGATTTAAAATCCTCCTAGCTAAGCGTCCGCAGAAAGGAGACTTCCATCATTTGGTTGAGGGCTTGGCATTTTCCTCCGTCAAGCCAGAGGTCAAGGAACAGCTGGTTTCCAAAGGGTCGACTTTCCAGTCAGACCTAGAAGCTATACTCAAAAACAATGTTACCGACGCATCTCTCGTTTACGGCGGACTCATGATCATCCATAATCTCACAAAATACCGTCCTAATTTATCTGAAGAACAGAAGAAAATCTCCCAGCTTAGATCGTACGCGAACGCATCTTCCCAACCTGCAGCGTCTAATCCCCTGGACGACGACAGCCATGTGAAGGAGCGCTGTACAACGGTCATCAATGCTGGTATCATGCCTCTACTCATCGACTGCAACAAAGCCAACACAGCCTCCAACTCCATCCAAGATCTGACCAGCAAGATCCTACTCTCCCTCTCCAAAGCCCCACAAACCCGTGGAAAACTCGCCCAACAAGGTGCCATCAAACTACTCCTATCCCTCATCTCCTCCCGCACAGAGAACAGCACCAACTACCGAGCAAACGACGAACCAACCCAAAACGCCGCCCACGCTCTCGCCCGCATCCTCATCTCCGTTAACCCAGCCCACGTCTTCTCCACCTCGGGCTTCCCCCAAATCACCACAGCAATCAGACCCCTTGTTCACCTCCTCCAACCATCCTCCTCCTCCTCCTCACCATCATCCTCCTCCTCCCCCACCCTCTCCACCGAAGCCCCACGCGACCTCCTCCCCACCTTCGAATCCCTCCTCGCGCTCACAAACCTCGCCTCGGCCCCCCCTTCCTCATCCTCCTCATCCTCATCCTCCTCGCCCCCTTCTGCCGCATCCCTAATAACCCGCCTCGCCTTCCCCACAGTCGAAGACCTCCTCCTCTCCTCAAACACCCACCTCCAACGCGCCGCCACAGAACTCACCTGCAACCTGACAACCTGCCCCGACGCCATCGCCAAATTCGCCGATGGAACCCCGCGCGCCGCCCAGCGGCTGCATATCCTCCTGGCCCTAGCTGATGCGCGGGATCTGCCCACGCGGAGGGCGGCGGGAGGTGCATTGGCGGTGCTAACGGAGTTTGAGGGCGTTGTAGAAGCAGTGTTGGCGAGGGAGGGGGGCGTGGAGGTTGTGTTGGGGATGTGTAAAGAGGGTGATGGGGATGGGGGGGTGGAGATGGTTCATCGAGGGCTTGTCTGTGTGAGGAATATGGGATGCTGTGAAGAGGAAGCGGGGAGAAAGGCGCGGAGGGTGTTGAAGGAGAAAGGCGCTGTGGATGTGTTGAGGGGTTGTTTGGTTGGGGGTATCGGTGGTGGAGGTGGGAAGGGAACTGCTGCTGGAGGGGAAGGGATGGGGGAGGAGGTGTTGAGGTGTGGAGTCGAGGGACTAAGGGTTTTGGTTGAAGGTTGAGATAGTTGATGCTCTAATTTGTTTTGTCGGTCTTCCCTCCTCTTTCCTTAATTTTGCGTATGGCTGTTGTCTATGTTTGATTGATTCAATTGCGGTGTATTTTTATTTGTTTGTTTGACCTGATCTGATTTCCTATATTTCTTGTTTTCTTTTTTTCTTTCTTTCTTTCTCTTTTTTTTTCCCCCGGTTTGTATGGGATCTGTTCATCTGTTTTCCCCCTCGTTTATTATTTGCTGGTTTATTCTTCATGGGTCTGTTCATTCTATCCCCCATTTTCTTATACCAGAATATATTGTTGTACTGCTAGTTCTTTCATATTTATTATTGTTTCTCTTTAGTTAAGGGGTTTAGATAGATAGGGCATGGATTTCTGCTGTTCATTTCTGGGATTTTCTCATTTTCTCGTTTTCATTTTCTATCTTTTTATTTTGTGTTTCTCTCTTCTCTGAGTTTTTCTCAAATTGGTTTTGTTCCCGTTTTAATTTCCCCTCTTAATATGTTATGGGATGGATTACTCACTCCACTTAATTCTTTTTTCCCCTTTTTAACGATGGCATTTTTACACCACGGAGCTCCACTTGGTTGACTACTTCAAAGTTCAAAAACTCTTCTTCCTTCATCATGCACGGTCTTGTTCCTTGTTATTTTTTGGTCGTTGCTCAATGTCAACAACCTAACGCGGCAGTCAGGAGTTTGTAGAAATTGAGAATATATATATACATGGCGCTGCAACAATTCACCTCGTTCTTACATTCATATATTCTCGAAATTGAAGTTAGATGAGCTTCTTCTTCCGCCCCCCCTCCTCCTCCTCCGCCCCTCCTCCTCCTTTCTTCTTGGTTGGAAACATTTTCACATATCCTAGTTGCCCGATGACTGGGAATAATAATAATGCATAATGCGTACATTCTGTCCTTGCCTTGGCAGAAGCCGGGGAAGGTGGGACAGTGGCTTAGGACTGGCTTAAATCTGTGCACCGTGACCACGCAGCACAGCATATCTGGGCATTCCAGGATGATATTGCTTAAGTTACAACCTTGTTCCGTAAAGGTCTTGCAAGATGTTGGAAGTTTGCTTGCTCTTTGTTTGCATGTGCTGTGCATATGTATGTAGTATTTCTCATCATGTTTATATATATATACATATATGACTGCCGGTACCCGGTGCATGCGGATGAATTGAGAGATAGATACAGATGCTCCTCTTCTTCTATGATAGGATGGACTAGGTTCCTTTATACCGTTGCACGTGTAGACTTATGTCTTTAGAAATAATGCTGTAATCCGTAACTAGACCTGCAACTGTTCCATGTCTTGATCGAGAAATAATAACCATCCTCGCCATGTCTCGCCCTGTCCCGACAACCAACTGTTCCACCAAACCATCCATGATCCCATCCCATCCCATCCCATCCTGTCCCATCCTGTCCCCAAATACAATACTGGCGTCAATAGATCGATGCCAAATATCAACACACGCCTTCCACCAGCCACTGGCCAATCAGAGCCAACATTCTCCTCACGCGCTGGCCCGCTGAGTCATCCTGGTCCAATAACTACAGTACATACGCTGTAACTGTCTGTACTGTCTGTATGTACTGTTTCTTTGTTTCTTCCAATAGTTAATCCCTTAACAACCTCCTTCCTGTCTTTCTTTCTTTCTTTCTTCCTTATTTCATCCTGCGTTGCCTTCCCTTCTCTTCTCAGCTGCTTGCTTGTTTGCGCTTCGAAACGCCACAGCGAACACACACCCACCTGATCTTTTCCTAGCTGCAGTCGGTAGTTAGCTTATTATAATTTAGTATATAACTAGTTCCGCCGCCCCACGGGAGGGCCCCCAATTTCTTCCCGCCCCAGCTCTCCACCATTCACAGCGCGCAGGGTCGATCCCTCACCGACTCCAGGGCAGAAAAATAGAGAAGAAAAGCTCTGTGGCCGGAACTGAACTAGGGCCAGCTAGCTGTTCGAGTCAGTCAGTCCAGTCTGCCCAATCTCCGGGACGCTCTCATCAGCTCGCTCCGTTGGCTGCTAGTTACTTCTCTTCGCGGTGATCGGAGTCCGTCCTGTGACCAACCACTCACTTGCTGATTTATCCTTCTGTTAGCTGGCGAAGAGGATAGGGGAAAAGAATGCAGTAGACCTAGGTATGTATGTACAGGTACAGGTACAGGGACAGGTACAAGGGACAGGCTCAGGGTACTCGTGCAACTTCTTTTTTGGAACGGCCTCTTTTTCCTTGCTGCAAGCCTTGTTTGCTTCATTTTGTCCAATCAATGTTGTCTAAAGAGTCAATTAAGCTAATTGGTGACGGTAACATTGATTTATTGTACAGAGGATATAGCAGATCAATAAACCTCCCCTCATTTACTCGAAACCCTCGATACGGAAAGGACGAGAGAAGCTGGATTAAAAAGCTGCACCAACGCCTCCATAAACAGATATCCAGGGAGAAACAGTACTCGAAAATATGTTTAAATAGAAGACATCTCCAGGATGGCATCCACGACTCCTATGGCCCACCTTTTCTTCCGTTTCTCTTGCTATTTCCCCTTTCCCTGTTTGTGACCATCTGGGAGGTTTCCCCTGCTGAATCTTCTTCCTCCGTTCATTTTTTTACTGTCTCAATTCTTTTTATTCCCTCTCCGGATAGCCTCTTTAATTCCTTCGATATATCGATATCCGTTTCTCATTTCCCCCGGAAGATTTTTGACACACTTCAATAACACAAATAGATCGGACATCTCCTGCATGCATCATTAACACGGGAGGTTGGGGGTCCGCATCCAGTTTTCGATTTATAGGAGATCAACGGGATACATCACGAAAGAAAGGAAAGAATAGACCATACCATACCATATACATCATGAAATTCGGCCGGAATCTTGCAAGGAATGTTGTGCCCGAGTGGGGTTCGTCATATATCAAGTATAAGAGCTTGAAAAAGCTGATCAAATCGGAAATCAATGCGCAGAGGGAGGGCCATGATCCAGACTTGGCTGGTGGGTTCATCTTGCTAAAATACACACTTGTGTGAGACCCCTTCAAGGTACTAAGATCTTTGTTTTGTTTTTTCGGTTTTATTCTACAGGATTTTTCTACTCCCTCGACCGTAACCTGGAAGATGTCGATCAGTTCTACAACAAAAAGTTCGCAGACTTCTCCCGCCGCCTGAAGCTGTTGGAAGACCGCTATGGACATTCAGTTATTGCCTCGCAGAGCCTTGATTCTGAAGACACTGAGGATCTCCTCGCGGCGCTTCTAGAACTGCGTGGCCAGCTTCGAAAGTTACAATGGTATGGCGAGGTCAATCGGCGCGGTTTCATCAAAATCACAAAGAAGCTTGACAAGAAACTTCCCGGTGCGCAAGCGCAGATGCGATATCTGCCAACCAAAGTCGACCCTGCCCCATTTGCTACGAATGCTGGCTTGCTGGAATCCCTAAAAACCATCAATGATTGGTTATCTGTTTTGGGAGATGAAAAGGGCTTCGATGATGCGAGCTCCACACATTCCTCCCTATCAGTGATGAAACCTAGCTCCCGACCAATTCTCAAGCTCCCACCAAGCCTACTTCTAGCTCTTGACGATGCATTGCGCAAAGACGATACCCACATTATGTTGGAGTTGCTACCCACGTTGAAGATTGCGGCGGAGGAGTTAGACTCAAGTCTCTATTCCAAGGCCGTGAAGGCCCTATTACAACGTTCCATTTTCTACCGTGCAAGGAATTCGGTCGTGTCTCTGCTAGGGAAGATCGACACCTTGGATGAAGATGACGACATCAATAGACGAAATTGCATCCACCGTCTTGTCATTTCCATTGGGCGCTCGCAGTCGACGAGCGACTCGGAGCTCTCTGCTGCTCAAGTGCTCGATTTTCCAACTGAAGCTTCAAATTACATCACGCCGGCTGCTGCACCGACCCTCCAGCACAGTCGCGTTGTCGTAAAGGAGTCCGACCGGACCCCCATGTTATGCAGGACGGACGATTCCGTCTCACTGTTGCAGCACCTCCTGGACAACCTCCGTCCGGAACAACGAGGTGCATTACTTGCCAAAGACATTTCCGGTCGAACCCCACTCCATTATGCTGCTCAGTATGGATTCCGTGTCGTATGCGAGGTTATCATTGAACATTTGCAGGCATGGAATATGTTCGACGTCTCCCAGGGTATTGATGGCCCAAACTGGCAGGATGACGAGGGTTGGGCACCTTTGCACCTAAGTGTCATTGGGGGCCATCTCCTGACCACTCGAGCATTGCTGAATGCGGAGAACTGGAGGGGAGCAAACGAGCACCAGGCTGCAATCCGGAAACATATATGCAAGTCGAGTGCCGTGCTTGCGCTTGCTACTAAATCCAATTTCGTTGATATTGTCCAGCTCCTGGTCGATGCTGGTGTAGATATCAATTATCAGGACGAGCAGGGAGAGACTGCTCTCCATGTTGCGGCACGGTTTGGCCATGATAGGTGCGCCAAGGCCCTTCTGGACGGGTCGCACGATCAAAAAGCCAATACTGAGCTCGCGGAGAATACATATTCTTGGACGCCATTGTTCATCGCCTGCGTCGACGGGAGTTTGGGTGTGGTGGAGTTATTGATCAATGCAGGCGCTGATCTGGAGCGTCCTGACTCCTCCGGCTGGACCGCCAAAGAACATGCTGCTCTTAGGGGTCATATGGATATCGCTCGACTGCTGGCACAGGCTACTCCACCAGTGGAGATCTCGAGCGATTCTGACAGCTCTACTCCGCGAGCCCGTTCTTTGTCTCCTCCCACACCAGCCTCGCTAGCAGATCGAAAATCCACAGGCCGAGCGGCAGAGCCGATCAAGACTTTTGGCCATCGCTATCTAACCGACGCCAGCATGGTTCTGGTCAGCCTTGGAACAATGGACATGCGGAAATCAGTACACGCTGTTAACCTCGATCGTATTCCCATGGCCAGCGCGTATCTGACGCAGCTGGACACCGCATTGTCCATCGTCGTTTCTGCCAGTGAGGCGCGTGGTGAACCCGAGATCATCGACCTACCCATCCAGGACAGCATTGCCACGGAGCCCATCGTCTTCCACGCGGCAGACGCCTCCAAGGTGAAAATTATCTTCGACTTAATACCCACTTACGCTGGCTCCAAGGAGAAAATCGTCGGCCGCGGCGTCGCATTGCTGTCCAGCATTAAACCCACCGTCGGCTCGAAGCGGATAAACCTCCAAGGAGACGTGACCGTGCCGATAATCGCAGCGAATACGCTCGATATCATTGGTACTGTCACGTTCAATTTCCTCATTATTACGCCGTTCAAACATCCAAATATGTCTATTACGGAAGACCAGACGTATTGGAAGAGCATGGCTTCGACAATGGTTATTGGGCATCGAGGTGATTCGATCTCCGACCTTCTTTCCTCTGTTTTCTCCATCCTCTCCTCTACCTCTGTCTTACGTCATCATATATGCGATGGTTCATTCCTAACTTGAACAAAAGGCCTTGGAAAGAACATAGCAGGTCGCAAGTCTTTACAGTTGGGCGAGAATACGATTCAGGTGTGTCGGGTTTGGAGGGTTTTTTCTTCCCTCGTTCTTTGACAAGTGTATCTAACATTCACAGTCCTTTATCGCGGCCGCGAACCTGGGAGCATCTTATGTTGAGGTGAGTTTAATAATTGTCTCATTGGCGAAGAGTGCATTATTATTACTTTGAAAGGTGGCTAACTAACAATTTTCGTGGTGATGCAGTTCGGTATATATATACCTTTCCCCTCCATTCGGCCCATTCGCTGTGTTAATCATTATGGGCTAACGGTTGTTAGATGTGCAACTGACGAAGGATCATGTGCCTGTGATATATCATGATTTCCTCGTTAGTGAAACTGGCATAGATGCACCAGTCCACACACTAACGTTAGAACAAGTGAGTTTCATTTCCATTCTGTCTTCTACTTTCTGCTCTTTTGGGCCTTCGTTTTGAGGATGTGAGCCCTTGTTCCGCGGATGCTGTGAACTGACCTCAATTTCTTTTTTCTTTTCTTTTCAAAAATACAGTTCTTACATCTCAGCGAAGCGCGTGGGCCACGCGAATCCGGCGGGCCAGGAGGATCATCCAAGGCTGTAGATCCTCATCTAGCTGACTTGAGAACGTCTGCTGCGCGACGCCAACGCTCGATGTCCGTTGGCGAAGAGTTTGTGTCGTCGGTTATGAGCGAGAAGATGAAACATACGCGCGACTTTAAGAAAAAGGGTTTCAAAGGGAACACGCGTGGCAGTCATATCCAAGCTCCATTTGCAACGTTGGAGGAATTGTTTAAAAAGCTGCCAAAGGAGGTTGGATTTAATATTGAGCTAAGTATGTTTAATCGAAAATTTACAGGACCCCCTACTTCTTCTCATATCAAAAACATGCATAGGCATAATAAGTAAGAGAAAAAGCTAACCAAGAATAAAACAGAATACCCCATGCTCCACGAATCCGAAGAAGAAGAAATGGACACCTATGCCGTCGAACTAAACTCCTTCGTCGACACGGTCCTCACAAAGGTCTACGACCTCGGGCAAGGTCGCAACATGATATTCTCCTCCTTCAACCCGGACATCTGCCTCCTCCTCTCCTTCAAACAGCCCTCGATCCCTGTCATGTTTCTGACGGACTCCGGCCTCACGGTCGTGGGCGACGTGCGTGCTAGTAGTCTGCAAGAGGCGATTCGATTTGCGTCGCGGTGGAACTTGTTGGGGGTGGTGACCGCGGCGGAGCCGTTGATTATTGCGCCTAGGCTTGTGAGGGTTGTGAAGGAGTCTGGTCTTGTTTGTGTCTCGTATGGAATTGCGAATAACGAGCCGGAGAATGTGAAGGTAATGGTCTTTTTTTTTTTTTTTTTTTCTTTTTTTTCTCGGGACGAGGGAGGAGACGCGGTAGAAGCTGTCCGCTTTGGCTTTGGATACGCTGACAAATCGTTTCGGAAAATATAGTTACAAGTCAAAGAAGGCATTGACGCTGTTATTGTCGATAGCGTACTTGCGATACGGAAGGGGCTTACCGAGGGCGAAAATCAGGACTTGAATGGGAGTGGTGGTGGGAATGGTCATACTAATGGCAATGGGACCGGGACTGGGACTGCGTCGATTACGGCAATGATACCACCGGGCTCTAGCGATGTGGATTGAAGGGGGGAAAAAAAGGAAAAGGAAGGGAAAGGAACTCACCGTGGTGGTGGTGACCTTGACCTTAAATGGTTTCTTGCTTTCCAGCACCGTTGGCCGAGCTTAATTCTTCAAAGTCGTATGGGATTTGTGAAGGTTGGGGGTATAGCAGATAGAGCCTTAAAGTGCGTGAACGTTTGTTAAGAGCATGGGTAGAAACGGGGGTGAGAAAGTTAGTCGTATTTTTAACTGAGCTTGATAGGGTGCTGGTGCTCGCTGGGAAGGGAGAAAGAGGGTAGTACGATAGTAGTTAGAGATTAGATATTTAGATTCATATTATTGCCTCGTCGATTGCTTCTGGCCCATTGTTGATTTTTGAATTTTTGTTCAAGATGACAGATGAGACGTACAGTATGTCGTGAGATGTTAATTCAGGGGTAGCCAGCCATCTGGATCAACTTAAGGCGCATAGATATAAATAGATGTGTTAACCATATATCAAAGAAAAAATATCCTATTTCCCCCTTTTCATATACCAACACAATTTCACATCAAACACCCATCCTTAATACTCGAATGCAACTCACTCATCGCAACACGAACCCTCTTCACCCCTCCGGGAGTTTTGCCCTTGTCGGAATCCACGCCTTTCCCGGCCGTGGATAGCGATGATGATGATGATAGGGAATAATCCTGCGGCGATGGCGATGAGGCACCGCTGCTCGACATGGCAGTGGTTGTTGCTGCGACCGATGATGAAGATGGCGATGACGGTGACGCCGATGTATCCAGCGCAAATACCTCGACGATCCATTCGTACCAGACCTTTCGGTTATCGGTTTGGCGGTACATTGTTACGACGATTTCGGAGTTGGAGGGGACGGTGAGGGGGGTCTGTTTTGTGGGTTTGGTTTTAGTTTGTTTGGCTTCTGAAGTGATGGGGCTTTCTTTTCGGAGTCGGGGAGGCCCGGGGGGGGAGGGGGAGGGGGGGAGGGGAGGGGAGGGGAGGAAACTAATTAAGATAATAAATAATAGTAGAAATATGTTTGACATACCTTGAGCGGAAAGTATATCGGGAACCAACTAATCATGCCAGCGCTCTTCGCGTCCATCGTCACTGGATTCGTCGATAGCTCAACACCCTCATATAGAACTGTCTCGAAGTAGCCGGCTAGGCCATGGCATGTGCCCCGTTCCCGGCAGGGAAATGTCAATCTGGTTCGTCGAACGTTGTGTTCGTTGGAAATTGTCGATGAAAGCGGGGAGTGGGGGGGAATATTGGCGTTGGGATGCGAGAACGACCAGGCTGATTGGATGATTGGCGTTGGTGGTTCAACGAGCGGTGATGGCGATGTGGTTCCACCACCTGGAGTACTCTGACCTCCTCCGGCTCCGCTTGTCGGTTTGCTGGCACCGGTGCTTTTCGTTGGTGCTGCGGGTTGTTGTTGGATAGTGGAGAGGAAATCGAACGCATGTAACATAACGACATAGGGAGTTTCTGGCGCTGCGGGATTGGTGATTGATTGGTTGGTAACGTCTGCATGGAGGCGTGGGGATGAAATGGGTGAAAGGTGTGCAGAGTATGACGCTGGGATCGAAATTCCATTAACAGGGTTGAGTAGATGGGTGACGCCGTCCAAACATTCCGGGGATAACTCATTGTCTCCAAACGACCCAAGTAGCTCTGAAACTAATATATCTATTGGTGTGTGGATAATTTTGGGTGGCTCGTTGGAATCTCCTGGAACCTTTTTTAGTCTCTGATGCATGTTTCCCACAATGGAGCTTGGGATGCTTACCAGACACGGGTGCTAAACGGTGCGGCCCCTTCCAACTGCGCATATCTGATTTCACCAAGTTCACACAGCCACCCCACAAGCTCTCGTTGTGTCTTTGTAATAAAACAAAGGCGTTAGGATTTTTCTCCACAACCCAAATTTCAATGGCAACGCCTGTTTCAACGCTCGCGCGAATAGCTCGGGTTACCAGAGGACCTCGACCAGCGCCAACTACAGCAACGACCACATGTCCCTCTGGGTGGCAAGTTGGTTTCCCCTGTTCCGCCCAATCCTTCAACGCCTTGGCAATTGCACGCTCATACCATTCATATTTAATGGGATCTTTCTCGAACACCTCATAAGTTATGCTTTCCAAGTTAACGGTAAGGGGTTGGAGAGGAGCCTGTAAATAATCTTGATACCCAATTCCAAATCGCTCCATAGGAGTCCGAGCAGGCTGTTTCTGTTGGAGATTCCTCATATAGGACAGGTGAGGGGTTGGGTCAAAATTCTTCTTGTTTGAGCCTGATTTGAAGTGTTGGTGCGCCTCCGCGGGAGTAGGAGCGTCTTTATCCGACTCAACTTTAGAACTGATTGTCCGGGTGGACTCTGTCTCTGAACCTGCTTGGCCAACCTCAAGACCAGCAATTGGGCCAACGTCGCACAAGATAATCCATGGCGGAGTACGGAGTCGCATCATCCGAGAAATCATGGCCTGGTGGGCTTTGGACAAGACTGGGTAGCCTTTCTGGTTCTTGATGAATGACGACCCTGCGATTGTGAGGATGTGGACCTGTTCAGAATGCCATCGTGACTGTACAGACATGGGAGGAAGATGCTTTGGGATTGATAACGCTGTTCCATCCAAATCAGTAAAAATTTCCCGCAAAGCAATTGCCTCATTTCACGGTCACACCACTGGGTTTAAAGTTGTGCTAAGGGACATATGAGAAATAGCAATAATATATATTTTTTTATTCTTACCTACAAAAAGTCTCGAATGATATCTACACAATTTCCTGATGACGTCCCAAGCTTCCCATGTACCGAATAAATCCAACTTAGGAGCCAGATCGTCTCTTGCGCTGAGATATTCCGCCCTAGCAAAGGGGGCGAGGTCACCAACATCGTTTGTTTCCAGGTCTGGATTATCTACCATACTAAACCAGATGTGCACTTGTATGTAGAGCCCAACGTTCAAAACATCCTGAACGGCGCGAGCATAGTACATCAGGCCTTCCCCATGCACGTTTCCATGGTGTAATCTTGGGCCGGGGATAATAACGAAACTGACGCCACAAAACGCTGCATAGGAAATCTCCAGGCTCAATATTTGGCGGGATATATCCGCTATCAACGGATCTGGCGAGCAGAGATCTATCCAAGAACTAGTGACACCAACCAACTGACTTGTGGACTCATTCGGGGTCAAGAAGGTATCTTCGGGCAAAAGTGGTGGTATCGTCACAGGGCTAGTATTATGCGACGTTCCCAAAGTTAAAGTAGCATCGCAAACCGGTGGACGGGAGTCGGATAGATGGGTAGAGAGCAATGTGAGGATACGGGAATGGAAAACCGGAGTTGTGATAGGGGTTGTGAGCAGATCGTACTGAGTAGGTAATTAGCAAATGGGAGTGCAAATGTGAAGTGCAAACACATAGGTTTACCAAAATACGTACATTACCCTCTTGCGCCAACTGGACTAGCTGAGGCGATACCGGCACAGTCCGTCGGGTTTCATGTTGTCCAATGCAAAAAGCCGGGGCCAAATCACCGTGAGGATCCATAGTGCAACAATCGAACGGCAGCAGGCTATCAGCTAGAAAGTTGTAGTAACTGGGCGGGAAGAGCGCATATATAGCTAGCCAGTGCGCAAAACTAGAAAACTTTTAAAAAAGAAATAACAAATACTGAAAATCAAAGCATTAAGGACTTGCAATTCAATTCTATTAGCTAGGAGGGGTTGTATAAAGCAAGGGAAAACATTAAAATAGGTCTGGGAAAAAGGAAGATTAGACAAAAATCAAGCATCCATTATGGTTCAATTGCGCTTCATCCCCTGGGTGAGAGCAGTATATTTCGATGGAAGCGAGGAAAGGAGCGACAACCCACAGGGTTCCGCCGTGGATGAAGATGTTGAAGCAGCCGAAGTTGAAGTTTTTCTCGGTTGTTTGGAAGTTTTTGTGAGGCTGTTTGTTGCGAGGCCAAAAGGGGAAGTTTAGGCGAAGCAGCTCTCGGTTAAACCTGCTCTTGTTGGCGTCTGGGTTTATCTTTTTTTTCCCGGTTGGCTCTCAGCATTCTCAGCATACAACACAACAACCGTCCAATTTCCATCTCGGTGCGTGCGCAATCCCGCAGACCCTCGAGAATCCGCCGCGTTGGAACTGATGACTATGGCCGACAATCGCCCCGACGGCGACAGTGCTGCCCGTGCGAAAAAGAGACAAAAGACGGAGCCCACAGACATGGATCCCCGACAGAATAAGTACCTTGCGCATTGGTATGAGAACGAGGCGGCTGGAAATAGCTATTCTACTGAGGGCTCGATCCTCGACGGATTCGAGCGACACAAAACAACAGCTGCTATGGCCAGGGAAGCGGAGGACTCTTTACTGAACCCTTTTAATGGTAAAGCGCTCTCAAATAAGTATTTCTCGATTTTGCAAACACGAAGGGATCTGCCCGTTCATGCTCAGAGGTACGTTTTGCACTCTATCATACAGGAGTTTCAGGCTGGCTAATGATGATGTCTACTGCAGAGATGAGTTCTTACGACTGTACCAGAAATCCCAGATCCTCGTCTTTGTCGGTGAGACCGGTTCGGGAAAAACCACACAGATCCCTCAGTTCGTACTCTTCGACGATTTACCCCATAAACGAGGGAAGCTTGTGGCGTGTACCCAACCCAGGCGAGTTGCAGCCATGTCCGTTGCAGAGCGAGTCGCAGCGGAGATGGACGTGAAACTTGGCGAGGAAGTCGGTTACAGCATTCGTTTCGAGGATATGACCAGTCAGAAAACCATTTTGAAGTACATGACGGACGGTATGTTGTTGAGGGAAGCGATGCACGATCACGATCTTAAACGCTACAGCACCATCATCTTGGACGAGGCCCACGAGAGAACAATGGCTACCGATGTGCTCATGGGTCTGCTTAAAGAAGTCGTTCAGCGCCGCCCAGATCTCAAATTGATTATCATGTCGGCCACTCTAGATGCCCAAAAATTCCAACGGTACTTTTGTGATGCGCCACTCCTCGCGGTCCCTGGACGGACCCACCCTGTCGAAATCTTTTATACACCGGAGCCAGAACAAGATTACGTCGAGGCTGCAATTCGTACCGTTTTGCAAATTCACGCCAACGAGCCAGAGGGTGATATCCTTCTGTTCCTGACTGGAGAGGAGGAGATCGAAGATTCCGTGCGGAAGATATCGCTTGAGGTAGATGAAATGATCCGAGAAGCCGATGCAGGACCTATGAGAGTATATCCCCTCTATGGAAGCCTCCCCCCCGCGCAACAGCAACGCATTTTTGACCCTGCGCCTCCACCTCGCAAGGAAGGAGGGCGACCCGGACGGAAGTGTATTGTGTCGACCAATATCGCTGAAACCTCCCTGACCATCGACGGTATCGTGTATGTCGTGGATCCTGGATTTTCAAAGCAGAAAGTTTACAACCCCCGCATCCGTGTCGAGTCACTTTTGGTATCGCCAATTTCCAAAGCTTCAGCGCAACAGCGTGCTGGTCGTGCTGGTCGTACACGTCCCGGAAAGTGTTTCAGACTGTATACCGAGAGCGCATTTAAGAAGGAACTTATCGAGCAGACGTACCCTGAAATTCTTCGCTCCAACTTGTCCTCCACAGTGTTGGATCTGAAGAAGCTTGGAATCGACGACCTTGTCCACTTCGATCTCATGGATCCCCCTGCCCCGGAAACCCTCATGCGCGCCCTAGAAGAATTAAACTATCTAGCTTGCTTGGATGACGAGGGAAATCTTACACCTCTAGGCCGTCTTGCATCTGAATTTCCACTAGACCCTGCTCTAGCCGTGATGCTGATCAGCTCCCCGGAATTCTACTGTTCCAACGAGATTCTCTCCATTACGTCTCTCCTTTCCGTCCCACAAATATTCGTCCGTCCCGCCTCCCAAAGGAAGCGCGCCGATGAAATGAAGAACCTCTTCGCACACCCTGACGGTGACCACCTTACGCTTTTGAACGCCTACCACGCGTTCAAGGGTCCCGAAGCCCAATCCAACCCACGACAATGGTGTCATGATCATTTCCTTTCCCTCCGTGCCCTCCAGTCCGCCGATAACGTTCGACAGCAGCTACAGCGTATCATGGAGCGGGAAGAAATCGAACTCGTGTCTACCCCATTCGAAGACAAAAAATATTACGAAAACATCCGTCGTGCCCTCGTGGCCGGTTTCTTCATGCAGGTCGCTAAGAAAGAGAGCCAGGGGAAGAATCTCTACCGGACTGTCAAGGACAACAATGAGCCAGTGCTGTTGCACCCTAGTAGTGTCCTGGGTCACGAAGCGGAGTGGATATTGTATAATGAATTTGTTCTTACGACAAAGAGCTATGTTAGGACGGTGACTGCAGTGAAGGGAGAGTGGCTTTTGGTAAGTTTTCCGGCCTGTTATACGATCCATGCGGACCACTTCCTTCACATATTCCCCACTCATTCTTTATCACCAATACTAATATCTTTCACTCGTAGGATATCGCCCCAATATACTACGATATATCCGGCTTCCCCAAAGGCGAGATTCGCTCCGCCTTGATCCGCGCGGCGGAACGGCTTTCTCGAAAGGAGAAGATGCGCGCCGACAAGGGAAAGAGATACTAACAAAATAAAACACGGATCTCGTTCATTTCTCCTCGCAAATCCTTTACATACTCCATTCCATACCTATTACAAAACATATGTTCGCTGATATGAGCGGCAGCCGCGCGTGGGTTATTTTCCTTATTTACCTGTTAAAATATGGACGAGAAGGAAAGAAAGGGTCTTAGAATTATGGGTATACATACTGCTTGTTTTCAAAAAGGCTTGTGTGTTTTGTTTTTTAAGTATCAGAAATACGGAGTCCATCTTCTTTTTTATTCTTCAATTTTGTGGTTTCCTGCCTTTATGAAGTTTCTCCTGGATCTCTACAAAGCTTTCTCGCTGTGGATTTTATCTTTTTTCTCTCCCGCAGGTCTTCACTCGGCGAATACCATTTCTAGATTACATATATAGAAGCCTTTTCATATTGAAAACGATTCCCTCCTACGTTCCTATACGTTGCGTTATAACATAGAAACGGAAAGCAAGAGAACTACGTCGATCGCCGTCTCTTCATGTAGCTCGCAAACCAGAGAAGGATGATCATTGAACTAGGGCGATTCAAACCTAAGAAGAGAAGAGAAAATATGGATAAAATTGGTTTAGTGAGATATAGATATACTCCTCCACCTATTGTACAGTACATGCATAGACCAACCACACAGAACTCCCTCCCTATATATCCAACAATCAGAGTGGCAGAAGATTACATTACCCTCTCTTCCCTATCATACTCCGTGTGAGATTTGCAACCGGTTCCGAGCTAAATCAAGTCTAGGAATGATAGATTGGTGTCAAAAATAGTGAAACGTAAAGAAAAAAAAGAAAAGAAAAAGGGTACGTCGAGTCAAGAAGTACTAGCACTATTATGCCCTTCAACCAGGTTAAAAAGGGAAGACCTGGTGGGTTAGGGGATGGTAGGGAATGAAATTGAGGATTTGGGAAAAAGCATATGTTCGTAAGGGTGCTTAGTGAGCTACGGAATGACCATGGCATGGCTGTTTTGATGGCGGTTTTTGAAACAAGACATCTCTTATCTTCACTCTTCAATCCAAGGTGATAAACTAGGATGTCGTGAAATCCATATCATGACTTCGAGCTTTTCGATTTCAGTCGTCGTTGCCGGACGTTGTCATCTGAACAAGGCTTTCTTCGTATGTATTTGTATTCGTGGATGTAGGATGATCGCATAAATGCGCAAAGTCTGGTGTTTCACGGATGTAAAAATCCAGTCATCAACTCTCCAGCAATTCAACCCTTCTCTCGATTGGCGCCCCTGAAGTGTGAATGTGAAGGCCAGATTCGTCCACTTCGCGCTGCAAGTCTCCAATAATTTTCTGAGAAAGCGCGAGCGAATAGAATAGTGAACCGCAAGCTTCCTCCGGGAGCAATCCTGTTTTGGATTCTGCAGCTGGTAATTCAGAAGCATGAACCCGAAGCTCGTGCTCATTTAGCTCCCGCTGGAAGTCAAGAATGGTCCTTTTAGAGACTCCCAGCGAATGGAACAATGACCGGTAGTCCTCCTGGAAACGTCTTCTTCTCATCTCTTCGGTAGATTGTGGAGCTTTTACACGTTCTTCTTCCGGTTTCCTCAGAAAGAATCTTACTATGTTCTTTTCAGCTGGTCCCTCATCGGGCTGGCTATTCTGGGCCTGGGGATGTTCGGCCTTACGGCGTGAACTTCGAGCCAAATCCCCTGCTTCTTTCGGCTTGGTCGATCGCAACTCATCGTTCGCAGGATAAGGTCTACTACCAGATGTTGGGTCACGATCCTGCGATTCAGAAATCTGGCCCGCATGCCGCACATCGAAACTCCTTTCGACCCGTTCCCGAGATTGTTGGAGATTATTCGACGGCGTTTGTTCACTGTACTCGATCGTCACTCGTATACTTTGCTCTATTTGTTTTGCGAAATCGTAGCATCGCTGCCCCAAAGGCCTACTGGCGGGAATATCTGTGGAAGCGTGCTCGGCAGCCGTGCTCCACTGTTTTAGAGCCGCTTTAACTGAGCTCCGAAGATCTCTCTTGTTGTAACTTGGTCTCCAATCTATTCCAGTCTCCACAGCAGCTTTGACGATAGCTTCAGAGAGTTCATTCTTTCCGCACGAGTTGCAGAAGGCCACCATGTAGAGGATTAATCGGTTAATGGCGTTTCCAAAATGAGCTTTTGTAGACATAATGAAAGCGACGGATCGTAACAGAATGTAGCCACCCTTTCGCCAGTTCGGTGATACCGTGTAAAATCGAAGGTAAGAACCCAAGACCTGAGCTCCTTCATTGTAGCCAGATTCTCGAAGGATATGGAGGTAGGCGTCAGCGTTTTGGGGCTGGTTGAAACTAAGACTAGCAGAGATGAGAGCACTCATCACAAATGGGTGACGAGGCTTTGGTGGAACGGCAACTTGAACGTCTCCAACACTGACTGTTTCCCATAACACGGGTATATTCACAGGAAAACTGTTCCCCTGGAGTAAGCGTAGGAGGCCGTCGAAACCGAAGAGATCCTTGGTTTTGTTGAAAAAGTTTATAGCGGAAACAATGACAGGAGGAGTCATCCTGATCCTGTTAGGAAATAGGGAGTCGATAACCATCTTTACAAGATCGTTATGTTTAGATCGTGTAAATTGCGTAATCATCAGTTCAACAGTCTGCGCCAAAATCGGTTCCTCCGATGCCAGTAAATTCTCAGAGGCTATTAAAAGTAACCTCTGGAGGGAAATATTTTTTCGATTATATGATTCAAAGGCGGCTTGGAGATTATTGTGTAATTCCTGGCGTTCTTGTTGAAGGGCTGACTGCTCTTGAATCGTTATATTTTTCACCAGATCATCGTATGATTCGTCCCTCCGAAACCTCAGGCGAGTGATCCGCCTTTTTAGCGCGTGCAATTCGATAAGATAGTCTTGGGTTTTAAATTTAGGGTGGTCAAACTCTTCCCCATAATCTGCAACCACTTCGCCGTATGAATGAGCGATGCTGGGTCGAAGGAGCAATTTTATGGCAAGTTGCCGTATTGCAAGGAGTTGAATCGCTCTTTCTCGAAGAACATCTTGCCCAGCTAAATCATACTGTCTCTGAAAACGTTCATTTTCGTCCGTTGGATCTCTCTTCTTGGCTGACCCCTTTTCAAAAACGTCTGTGATCATTTCCGGTCGGTCTTTAAATGCGGGCGGTTCCTGGTATTCAGAGCGCTCAATTGGGAAGGAGCCTACACCTTGATACTTTTCAATTGACGCAGAGCTCTTTGTCGCAGTAGCAGCAACTGTGCCGTATTGCCTTCGTTGCAATGGAAGAGGAAGCTGCCGCACTTTTCTCCGGACAGCAAGCCCATTCAGTATCCGAAGTTCCTCGATGCGCAATTGCTCCACCTCCTCTTTCACAGCTTCAATTTTCTTTTCCAATTCAGTCCGTCGTTTAGTTTTCGCATCTGCGTCGAACATCACGGCTGTTGCAAAGATAGCGGAATAAAGCAGTGTGACGGAGTTGCCGATGTAGAGCCTCCGCCGGCTGGCAGCAGTGCCAGATTGTCCAGCAACAGCATTGGAGCCGCTGCGCAGACAGGAGACACATCGACATGACCCAGTCGACAGGGCAGTTCTAGACCAGAGACTTTGCATTATATCTATATCGGCATCATTGAAGGGCGGGAATGGAGAGGAGGGGTTTTTGCGAGAAATTAGAGGGCAAGGTGGGTCACTCGAGAGTCGTTCTCCGGGTAGAGATTCCGCCGAATTGAATCCAGGAGACCTTTAAAGGTCGTTGCCTTTCGTAGTATCAGAGATAGCTGGCAGGAGCAAGGCGATTGAGCGGCATTGAAAGTCGCGTTGCGCGCTGTAAGGTGAGATAGTTAGACAGAAAGTTGGTATTTACATGCGGTGATGTCGGGATCGTGGGCGGATTGAGTTCCGGTTGACATTAATTGGTTTGGCGCTCGTGGGATAGGTGATGCAAACAATGCAAATACTTTGACATGCTGAGGACAAATACACCGGCAATACCATAGGGACCATACACATACATACAACACTCACCTGGTTATTCTATATGTTAGTTATATACTTGAAAATTTACCTTACTTACATGCAGATTCGCTTATATAGTAATCAACAAATGCTATAGTGAGTTATCTTTTTGATTGAGAGCTAAAATAGAACGCTTCTTACACACGAGGAACATTCCTATCGTGGCAATCGCTGCTTGTACAGTTAAATATGTACGGAGAATACTAGTACGTGGTATCAGCCAACACCTTTGCTGTTAACAACAACATATCATATGGAATAAGGAGACACAACACACCGTGAAATCTACGTCGCTATAACTACGCGGCTTTGGTTTGTGCTCACTACGGGATTCTGACATCTGCAACATGATTCGGTTTCTATTAGCATTCCTAGCAGTGACAAGGTTATGTCTCGCGCATGGATCTCACGACGATGCTGGTGATGTTACAGACTGGGCGACACGACACATGATAGGTAAGCGGGATCATATAACTATCGCTGTGGAATGCAGGGAGCTTAGTTGCTGATTGCGGAATAAATCTAGAGGAACATCACATCTCCAACTTTGACCCTGGTTCGTTTTTCATGCTTCACGACTACGACGACTCAGGAGTTTGGACAGTGGACGAAGTTCGCAGAACTTACGGACTTGACGACAAGTCGAACGCCCACCTGGCAGAAGAGCGCAAACAGCAGATCCTCAAGGAGATATTCAGCATCTTCGACCCCCAGAAAACGGGTGTTATATCGCAGCACGAATGGATGCGCCTGTCTCGCGAGGGAAAGAGGCTGCCAGACTTTGGCACGGGACCGGGACATCATGGCGACTTGGAATACGAATATGAGATACACCATTTTGAGAAATACCACGGCGACGGAGCAACGGAGGAAGACCTAACGCACCCCGAGGACATTGAACACTTTCGGCAACATGACCATGCCGAGGACGCTCAGATTCGACTAGCCAATCTCCAAAAAATGGTCATCGTGGAAACTAACATTCCTGCCAAGTTCCTTAAGAGCCCGTCGGCATAGTCGACATTCAGCGCCTATATTTTCCACTATATTTGTTGTATATTCTGGGTTTTCTTGTCTTTTTTGCTTTAGCGACACCGTTATTTACGGGGCCGCCATACTTGAAACGCATTAATGTCTTGTTTAGAAAGATACGAATGCACACGTTTGTGATATGGGTTTGAGTGAGATTTTCTGTAAACTATATTCCCATGCATTGTATGTTATTTTACGTTATCTCTTTTTTTCTTTCGTTGAATATACTCAGCATCAAAAAGAAGGGAATGGAGGTTTATAGATTTCATAATGTTGAATAGATATACTACGCATCAGGTTAATCTATTGCCCGATTCCAACCAGCCAGGGGAAGGTGGTATATAAACGTCAAAAACGCAATGCATCACGCCTGGGGCATATGTTTTAACTCTTTCCACATGGATACACTTCGCTGCTGGAATAGAAGAATGAGAGAACGATGATAGCTGTCCGCTACCTCGAGATGATCGGAGTAGAGAATTAATCTCTATAACAATATCCTCTTCCATCATCCTGATATCCTTCACATCCACATTTTCGTGAACATGTATCCAACCTCCCGCCTCCATATCCAGAACCCTCACAGCCCCATCCCATGCCGGCTTAGAAGTTGGTAATAGCCCAAGGTTAACATGCCGGATGCGCTTCCACATCTTCCTCTGCTGCAGTGCCTCTTTCAGCGCCCTCAACACATCCGCTGCAAACTTGTTATCGCCATGGAAAACTACCATACGATCTTCCTCTCTCAACTCCCTAACTAACCCGTCAATTCCCCCTTCTATCTCGCCCGTTTGCTTATCGACCTTGACCACCTTCACCCCCCATCCATTATCTTTACATCCCCTACATAACCCTTCAATCGACCACCCATTAATCTCCCAGCCCCATACCCTCCCGACCCCTCGCTTCAGGTACGAAAACACAAAGTAGCCAATGCCAGCATACATATCAACAACCGCAATATCCCCCACTCGCTGACCCAGTAGTCTCTTCCCCTCCACCTCCCCCTGTCCATCATCATCATCATCATCAAGCCCTGCAAACTGGGACTCAATCCCCAAAATCCTCGCCTTCTCCACAACATTCCCCCGACTAAACATGGAATGCAACGGCGCCCAAATCTGCACGATGCCACGATTCTGCACCGCACGAACCCACAACGCAGACTGCAACGCCGCCTCTGTTGGATAAGCTTCTTTTTCTTCAGCGTCTTCGCATTCTCCCCATACATCCTCATCACCATCATTACTCTCCGCCCCAAAATCCCCATACAAAGGCACCAACCCTGACGGGCTCCGAATACGATTCTCAACGCTAGGAGTGGCTGTCGTAGTCATAGTCGGAGCTATGGGCGCGTTCATCGCGATGTGCGTGATGCCCTTGGATGCAAAGGATGCAGCTATGCATGCATAAAGTTCCTGGCGCTGTATGTTGGATAGAGTACTGTAGAGCGCCGCCCACTCGGGTGGCGAGGAGAATGTGTTTGATGGTAGTAAAAGGAGAGGTGGGTAAATTGTGAATCTCTTTGGCAGGGGGATTGATAGTGAAACGAGATTAGGAGATGTATGTATATTGAGTTGGTGCCGGTGGTTCTTGAGATAGGTGAGTATTCCAGTTTGTAGAGGGTTGGAAATATTCTTTGGTTTAGGCGGGCGAGACGAGGATTTAGCAAGCTTGGTTGCTGGGGGGTAAGAGGTGGGAATATCTTCTTTTTGAATGTTCATAGCGTTCTCATTGACGTCGTCATTATCGTTCATAGTGGCATTTATCTGGACTATATCCTCATCTGGAGGTGTTCCGCTGGGGGACACCATTTGGCCAGGTGGGACAGTTGTTTCAACGTTTTTTATACATGTATGATCATGGCAGCCGTTCTGCACCGGAAAATTTTATACTAAGAAACGGGAGATAACGAAAACGAGTAAAATGTTAAATTACACTGGTACGGCGAAATTTGGTTTCCATCGAACTTTATCAAGGAGGAAAAATATATGTTCTGCGCCAAGAATATCTCAATGAAATATTTATCGCCTGTCAGGGGACAAACACATGAGGGCAAGATATATCTATGGTATGTAGGCCCCATTTCAAAACAAAAATCATAAAAACCAAAAGGAGAATAAAAAGATGTGAATAGAGACTCTTAGATTTCATCATCCAAAATTTGTTATGTATCCGTTGCATTTATACGCACAAACCCCAAAATTGTGAAAATCAACAAAAGCCAGCAAAAATAGGAGACGGCCAAATCACAAAGCATTAGTTAGTATATTTTCCATTATTGAGAATCAATTTTCGCAGGTTTCCTTCCGAGTTTCATTATCGTATTCCTGTCATCAATCCCATCACCCATTTTTAAAAAGTGAAAACCAAAAGATAACAGAACAGGTAACATGAGAGAAAAGAGGGAAATTTCGGATGTAAAGCTCAATGGCTTATGTTGAACCCTAACCGTGATTATATGAAAGCTTGCGATCAAAATGAATTCACTGATTTTTCTTTGATAAGCTGGGTAGGCACAGCCAAATTCCAGCATCAACAACAAGCATGGCTAGCACAATCGGCTGCAGGACTTGCACCCCTTTCACCTGAGCAATGGCACCGACCGCGAAGGGCAAGATTGTAGCGCCAGATGCACCGAGAGCGGCAGCGAATCCGATAGCACTGACATGTAAATGTTTCGGGAGCAACTTTGTCGCAGCTATAACCGCTGCCGGGAACAAGGGGCCTAGAAAGAACCCAAGAAAAGCGGCCATGACTGCAGAAACGACGAATTGGGGGATGAGCCAAAAGAGCAGCTCGAGAACCACAGTGGCTCCCAGATATACCGTCACGGCATGCTTTTCACTTGTAAATAGTCTGGGGGTTACGAAGCCTAGAACCACACGGCCAACAGTGATACCAGCCCAGAATCCCGTTGACGCCATGCCGGAAGCAAAATTTGAGGCGTGGCGAACGCGGATCATAAAGGTGACGATCCATCCGCCTAGAGCAACCTCGATTCCAACGTACGCGATCAGGAAGAATGCACATATCCAAGTTATTTTGTTCTTTGCAGCTTCGGCTGTGCGGCTGTTGCCGAAGATCTTGCTGAGGATAATATCTCGTTTGCTGACGTGCTGCTGTTGTTCTTCATCAGAGGGTATCATGGCGCTGTGGCTCACGTTATCGTTACGCTGGTGTGTCTCGCGGTACTGCGCCGCTGTCGCATTCCAGAACGAAGCCCCTAGAAAAACCAGTTCCAAGAAGGCGCTCCCAGCGACAAGGTAATAGAACTCATACCACTGCCAGCCTGCCTTTGTGATAAGAGACGTAGCAATTGTCGGAGCTAGTAGTGCTCCTAGGCCATATGATCCGTGCAACAGTCCTAGAAGTTCGTTGGCATTTGCCATTCCGCCCACCCATGCGTTCCATGCAGCGTCTGCTAGGCCGTTTGCGAAGCCGGCAATGATAAAGGCAATGACCAGGACCGGATATGGAGGGTGAAGGCAGACGATGACATAGGCAATGACGTGGGTGGCAGGCCCCAGGAGAGCAGGGCCGCGCTGCCCAAATCGCATGTGCAACATATTGTTCAGTATGGCCGATGTGATGTATCCCGCCAGAGGGGATAAAAAGACCAGCGATATGACCGTGTAGGAAACGTCGTAATAAGTTTCCAGCTAGAGGAAAAAATAGGGGGTAAGTCTGGTTTCCTTTTACCGGCTGCACTAGTGCATTATGGTTCACAATCTTACATATGGTATAAGGGCCTGTTTTTGGTTTAAAATTTAGCTTCTTTTCTCACGATGTCATATATGGTTTCGTATATAGTCTTATTACTTACACCGTAGGCTGCATCATTGATTCCCAATATGACAAAGCTGTAATTGGTCGCTATGAAACGGAAAAAGTTGCGCTTTGGATAGTTCCAACGCTCGGCGGAGCTGGTCGTTATTGAAGGAGTTGTGCTTTCGAATGTATTATGCGCTGAAATATGTGATGCGCTGTTGCACTTTGTATCCGCAGCCGCGCAAGGTAATTCAACGGTCTCCAGCTCCATCGCCATGGTTGAGCTTCCATTGGAGCGCTCAGCGAACCGTAAGGTCATTCCAGATGCAATCCCGCGACTGTATACCCAGGAAGGAATTCCCTGAAAAGATAGTATAAAAGGGGGAAAGAGCAGAGCAAAAGCCGAAGACTAGTTACCCTTGGCCCAAGCAATTGAGCGTAGAGCAGAACGCGGAGAGATTCCTTATATATAAAAACTCGTTTAACCTCTGTACTGTACTGTACATGACATGACCTCAACGTCAAGCTAGTCATAGCCATTATTAATCATCCTGCCAACCTGTTAGTTAGTTAACCAAGGTCCACCAAACCACACGGTCCACACCGCAGCCAATGTGGGGAGGGAGGTCGTAGCTTTTAGCTCTTCGCCTTCCGGCACAGAAAGCTCCACATTGTGACATCGGGAACCACATTTTTGTTATGTAGCATCTTTTTCCAGCACCAATAAGCCTCCAGGATAAACACCAATTGTCTGGCACATAGCCTGTTGAGCAGAGTTAATGGTATCAATAAGTTCTTTCCAGGCATCAAACTCCATGCGACGGATGCAAATGTCTCGGAAATGCCATGCTGTGTTGAAAGTGCGGTAGAGCACCATATCGTCTGGGGATCCCAACCGGCTCTCGGGCCGGATTCAACCTATCACATTCTACAGACATTGCCCGCCCGAGTCTGAATGCTGTGGGATAATGTGTGATCTAAGTGGCCAAGCAAGGAGTTGCATCAGCGTATTGTATTGGCGTATTTCGTAGTTATAGGCCTGGCCCGTCGACGCTATTTCTGATTTGGACAAACCCTAATTTGCCGCATTGAAAGCGGAATGACTAATCACGCTTGGTCATCAGGGCAAATAACCCCGGCGCAGAGTCCTCCGTCGCTAACTCTACATTATTACCCAATGAGGAAATTTAGACTTCATGGCAATCGTCTAGTTCTAGTTCTAGTCTACTCTGTATATGTAACAATGATATATCCTTATGTACGTGTTGATATCATCTGTACCATCCACTCTGTAGTCAACATTTGATGTGGCTGTTGTTTCATTGCATGCATGCATATTAACATTGTTGCATCTCTTCACTTGGGGGCTGATCCTGAACCATTTGACAAGAACGCCGAAGGGTTATCCAGTTGAATTGCGTTCGGCGGGTACACCGGCTCAAATCTGCCCTGCCTTTGCGCTGGGTTGGGTTGAGGCTGAATAAATGCCAACAGCCGCCGACGCCATTTATGCTTGATTCTTAGCTTGGAGGACGGGTGGTTTTCACCACCGCTGGTTCTTGGCTTCTGAGCTAAACCCAGCCCTGTAACATCCCCTGCCTGTGGCGAAGAGGCGCTCTTGAAGAACTCTACGTTTCTTCAGTATAAATGCCGGAGAGCTTCGTTTCTACCGGCGCAGGGTGGTGCCGTATCAATAATTTCTTATCCACGAAATACGCCTGAAACTAGTTAGTCCCCGCAAGTTACCATGCAGAGAAGAGTATCTCACAACAAGTCGCGCAGAGGGTGCCTGAATTGCAAGAAGAGGCATGTAAAGGTTTGTATGATTATTGCCTTCGCATCGAGACTACTTCCCTGCTATTTATATAGTGCAATCTTACGGAGTTTGTATAAAGAATAGCTAATCACGTATGGTCTGAACAGTGTGATGAGCAAGGGCCTCCTTGCGCGAACTGTGTTGTGCGGAAGAGTGACTGCGTGTATCAGTTGCCCGCGACTAAGCCAAAAGTCACCAGAAAGAAGAGGACAACAATTGCGCTAGCAACGCTCTCCAAAAACGATTCAAGCAATTCCCGGCAACAGTCTCCTGAGGAAAGGTCAGACTTACCGTCAGGACTGTCTTCGAGGACGGCCTCAAACTCCTCACTGGCCATCCACCCGTCTTCCTCCCCTGTGACTTTTTCCAGTACAATTGAATCTAACAGATTGTTGGAACTGGAGCTCTTGCATAGATGGACAACGAGGACCTGGATGGGATTATACAGCATCCCCGCAGATGAACCATACATGCAAATAATACTCCCCCGCGCAGCCTTGAAAGAAGGTTACGTCATGAATAGCCTTCTCGCCGCAGCCGCAGTTGACCTTGCTCTATCCTCCAACGAATCTGAGTCTGCCACCTACCTCTGCGCAGCCCTGGAGTACAGCAACAAAGCCAGCGCAGGCTTCCGCTCCCAGCTCGAAAATATCAACCAGGACAATCTCCACTTGCTCTATCACCTCGCAGCGCTGTCAGCCATCATGCAATTCGTCCTGCCAAACAGGCACCAGACCATCCTAGAGCGTGTAGAGATCTTCTTCAACCTGATGCTTGGCGCCTTCAGCATCGCAATGTTTAACATTAAGTGGTTAACAGACGCCCCATGCTCGTCCCGCGACATACTCAAGTACATGCCATTATCTCTGGATATCCTGGACTCAGACACCATCGCTGCACTGGAGAAACTCTCCACCGTCGCCCGCCAGATCCGCGTTCCCGCCTCAAGCCCCATGGCCATTTACGCCGGGGATGAAACATCGCTGGCTAGCGAGGAATATTTGCTTACCCTCGCCCAGCTTAAATATTCCTTCAGGGAAGACGCCTGCGGGCGCGTCAAGGGGTACTTTTTGTCAATGATCGGCATAGGTGGCCGGGAATTTTTAACGGCAATCAAGAAACGGGAGCCAATGGCTTTATTCATGCTTATGTATCTGGGTGTCCTAATGGATAGAGCTAGCAAGGACTACATGTCATGGTGGGTGGGGCTGGCTGGGAGAGAGCTCATCGAAGAGGTCTCGGGGCTTTTGGAACATTCTTCTATTTCTCAGATTCCAGAAGGGCGTGAGGGGATGTCATGGACCCGACAGCAGGTTGGCTTGGCCCCTTTGACGACGAATGATGCTATTGAGGAGCAAGCATGTTGCTCACTTTCAGAATTGTCGCTTGCATTCCCTGTTGCCATGTGAATTGCCCCCTATTTTCTCTAAAAGTCTTCCCGCCAGGTTTTCCTTTTCATTTTCTCGCTACGATTTGCCATAGCGTCCGGTTCCTCAAAGTGATTATTGGCCTCTCTCTTACCTCCTCTCAACCAAATCCGCGATGCCCGATGCCCTTTCCTGCACATATGGTTGACATTTAGTTCAAAAGCGTGTTTTGATAACACCTCTTTGCGCTTTGATTGGATACATGTGCACGAATAGGACTGCTATGCAATAGAGCATCATACACCCCGTTAATTTATGTCGTATAGAAATAAGCAGCATCCCTGTGAAATGCAATGTCCGTTCCTTGGTTTCTGAATTTAGTGTCTCTTTGGGCTCAGGTGTTCTTTAGAGATGGAGTGAAACATGACCAAACGTTCCAAGCGGTTGGGAGGGCCCTACTGCAACGGATCGCCGGCTAATTTTGGAGATGGGGTAACTGCCGGTCTGCAAGGCACGCCAAGAGATTCCGTAATGTACATTACATACATACATTTTATTCAGGTCGCCGGCAGGCTGCTCATGAGCGGTCAGCTGAAATGAATATTATGGCCCGTGTGGTGTGCAACCGCTTCAAGGACGCCTTGCTGCGCCACTAACTCCGGCAAGATAATCGAGTGGGGGCAACCAGAGAGATTGTAATAGCCCGAGGGGCTGGTCCTGATGATGACGCTGAAAATAATAAAATATTCTAATACGCATAGAAAGAAAAAATCGGGGTAGGGCGGTTTGATTACCATTGCAGATCAAACTGGTCATCACAGAGATCGCAACCACAATCGCCTCCTGAGGAGCAATAAATTCCCCCTTCTTCCGCCGCGTAAATACGCATCGTCATATAAGTTCTCCGCCTGGCACTCTCTGCGTTCTGGGTTGTTGCTGTCAGTGTTCACATAAATGACGTCCTGGCTGATGCGTTTGCGAGCCGGTCACCTAGCTAGGTATTTTCAGTTTAACAGGCTGGTCCTAGCCCGGAAAGAAATTCCATCTCTCCTTCCAATGGAGCTTTCTTCAAGGGTGCAGCTTGGACGTCCGCCGAATTAAACTGTGCTTTATGTATGTCAAAAAGACATGTAGGGTGTGTCACGATTGGTGGAGCTGCGCTGGAGTCGACAGTTTTCGCATAAAAAGGCTGGATATAAACACAGCCTTTCGTTTAAAAAAGAAAAAAAAAGAAGGGTTGCACTAGTAGAGATGTAGAGATTAAGCTCATGAATCGAGTTGTTGATGTGGTATCATCAATGATAGTCTTCCTCTACATTCTGCACTCTCCGAGACCGAAACCCAAGGGCGCTGGTCTAAGACAAGAGCCGACCTTAGCTTACAACGCTGACATACAAACACTATCGGCCCTAGGAGCGGTCTTGAATCGAGTCATGTTTTTCGGCGTTCACCGTCGTCGGTTGCACAATCAATTACTCGGGAGCCAATAAACTTGGCCCTGAGCTTTATATTTAGCAGCCCCCTCCAACTCCTCCCAATCCAGCTCCTACACCGTGCCATATGGCAGCTTCCCGAACATGTGTTTCTGCTCCACATGATTCAAGGATGATAGAGGCAGGAAGAGGGGTCGCATCGGACCTAGTACAGACAACGTGAAGGTGGGGAAACTGTCATATGGTCAGCTACAACTCCCAGTCGGTGTGAAAAGCACTCATGAAGACGCTTAGCATGCATGGACGGTTTGTACTCCGTACATACCTTGAAGAACAGGGAGACCCCTGACGACGCATGGAATCCACAAAGCCAAACTTCCCGCTGCTGGGCGAGGTGCAAAGATGATAGATGATGCGATGTTCCTGCTTGATAAAAAGCCGAATGCCAAGGCCCATTCAAAGTTTTCAAGCAGCACTGCGCCAGTCCTCCTTTGGGCTATGATCGACAATCCTATCCGAGTTGCTCTCTTGTTTCTCTTCTCTCTCGCACGAACGTTGTTTTGTTTTGCGTTTTCAATCCTTACTCCGAACAATTCTACAAATCAGAGTGAAATCAAAAAGGAGGTTACAATCTACGGTGTCATACACAGTGACAACAAAGGTATTGTTTCTCCTATCAAGATCCATGAGAAGCCCATGTCATGCTGACGGAGGGGGAAAGTAAAAAGAGACGACTGATGAACGACAGGGAGAGGCTAATGATATTATATATATTAGGATGGCATACCCGGGCCATTGCTGATATCTTTATGGTACTGTAAATATATGAAGGATATATACAGACGGTAAGAGATGGAGATGTTCTGATAATATATGCTATCTCTTCGCCCAATTTTGATCCTTGGAAAAAAAAAAAAAAAAAAAGAGTAGACCTGACTGGAATAGTGTGTAGAGAAGCAGAAATAGACAAGACAAACGGAGGTGGCGGAGGGATGGGAGCATGATGGCATTGGGAATGGGAGAGGAAAAGACACAAAGCAAAACCCCCGGTATCAAAGATGTAGACAGGGCTAAAGGAAATTAAAAAATGAAGATTAAAAAAATAAATAAAATAAAATAAAATGCAGAGCTTTGGGTAAATAGTTGAAACAGAGCCAAGACAGATACATGAACCAACATTGATAAACTCCAGCTTGTACGCTGCCTGTTCTGAATCCCTAAGCTCCCTCAGTTCAACATTTATATATCTTGTCAGATATGCCCGAACTGCTGATGGATGAAAAGCAAACTCCTCAAGCTCTCACTGGTCACCTGGTGGCGTATCCGGCTGTGAAACTGCAAGGTTAATCGTGCATGGCGAAACCAGTCCACGTATACACGCTAATAATTCATAAGAGTCATATAGATATAGGTAATATGGATTGTTTTGAGCATCATGAAGTCTTTTGCTCTAGCATATTTCACCACTTTCTTCGGACACCTTGTATCACCACGGCGTCTAGGATGGAAAGGTATGGTATGTGTTATGTTTGTCTTGTTTGTCTTGTTTGTCTTAATAAGTCCTTCTCATACTAAGTTGGTGTCAAGGTACACCGTGTTTGAGAAAGTACTCAAATATGCCAGAGCAAAAGACTTCATGTTGTTAAAAATAATCCATTCCAGCGGAACTGAGTTTGTCGCTGGAGTCGAGTACCCTGCACAGCGAAAAGAAGAGCACGCAGTTGTTAGTTGATGCTTAACCCCCCTAACGTCTCTATACTGAACCGAGAAGAAAACTTACGAGTACTGTTTGGTCAGCGTACCCTCTCCACCTTTAGACAAATCAACGTTGTACACATAAAAATTACCATCACTAGTAACAACCATAACCTGGGGCGTATTGCTGCTCATCGCCACTACGCTTCGCACGGGACCAGCGTTCGAACCCGGGGCACCTTGCCCTGCTGTCTTGGGAAGTTTAATCCACGCAAAATCCCGTGCCGGTTCCCACATCTCCGTCACCCCCTTTGGCAAATAACCACCAACAGTCGCCGCGAACGAATTGCCTACGCTTTGTGATGTCCGACGTATCATGCCCATAAATGTACCATTATGCTTTCGAGCGGTGATGTCGCTAGGATCATGATCCGTAGGTGAATCGTCCCCACCTGAAAACGCACTCGAACTCTGGCTGAATCCTCTTTGCCGGCTAGTTGGGCTCCGGGAACCACCGCCGATAGGAGAAGGAGGAAAATCTTCTGAAGTACCCTGGTGGAGTTTGAAAATATGAATAGTTTCGGTTGCTGAAGAAACGCAGAGAAGTGTGGATGTTATATTGAACGACATGCTAAAAATCCGAGAAGGCATCGAGCCCCTTCGGAACTGATATAGCTTTTGCGCGTCAGGAACGGAAAACACCCGGATAATTGTTCCCTTGTCGGAAGCTGTAGCCAACAGAGTGCCTTCCGTATTCATTGCGAGGCACGATAACGGAGACTTATGAGCCTCAACAACATTAATAGCTTCAAGCTTTAGCGTGTCGAAAATAAGAACTTCGCCGCTGGTGGGGGAGATGTGGGTACTACCGGGTGGAGCGTGCGAAGGTGGTGTGAAGGAAGAGGGAGGAGCCTTTTGCGGAAGAGGATAGGCAAGATAGCAGTTTTCCGATGAAGGGGAGAGTGCACAAATTGCTAGGACCAATAGTTAGTGACCAATTCTACTCCGACTCTGGCAAGAAGGATTCGGATGTCATATTCATTACGCACCGCTCGGATTTGGCGATGTCTCAATTGTGTACAAAAGTTTCATTGTTTGGATATCGTATAGGTAGATCTGGTCTTCCAGCACAATAACTAATCGTTTCCGGTTCAAACGGACAGCAAGGACAGTGGTAGGAAAGGTCAACTCGCATATTGTAGATTGCCTCTGATCCATCAGTTAATATCTGAATTTATATGACCTACAATGATATAGATGGAAGGGCAAGGAATACGGCAATTACCGACCTTGGTGTTTGTGATTTGTAACCGTCGCGGGGAAAGGATGAGGGCGACAAGGGAGGTTGAAAAAAGCATTTCTATAATCGCGATATTCCCTTCTTTCGTTTCGTAACTCTTTGCGAAAGGATCCGTGGTAAATATGCGGAAACCTTTCGAGGTACCTGCAGGTATGCAAAACCAGGCACCATCAGAAATGAGTAACTTAGTCAAGTGTAGTGCTTCGATAGAGAATTACACACCGACAGCTAAATAGCTGTAGTCCTGATTGAAGGTGACGAAATTCATCGCCATGTTGAAGAGCAAGGTAGCGTTGCTATCGCGCTAAAGAGAATGTACACGTTATCCCCCAGGCCATACAAAAGCTGACGCCGCGCGATGAAATTTATGTTTCTTCGTAAAATGTCTGTCACTGTCATTGACCTCCGTTGGGTTGACAGTCGGAAGAACTACGGCATCCGCATGCCATAGGCAGACCCAGACCCGGTTCGGAATCGAAAAACCCCACAAGGTGCAATGAAAGGGCAAATAGCAGCGGGAAGCGACGCCAACAAATGCGTAGAGAATGAAGTGAGAGAGAGAGAAGCGGGCGGGGGCTGTCTAGCTCGTTCGTTTGATGGTTGGTTTAGCAGGAGCTGGCGATGGTTAGGTTAGAGCGAGGTGAAGCAAACAAGACAAACACGGCAGTGACACCAACCTCGGCATCGCCGCATCGGGCGCTAGATCTACATTAGTCCTATTTTAGTTTAGTCCAATCGGGTTGGGACCTGATGATAGGCTCGACGCTAAACCTTACAGGGTAATTCCCCATGATAACTTACGGTATAACGGTATATACCTTGGTATCGTATCAGCGGGGGCGTCCCCAAAGGGCTGGCTGTACATATCTAAATGAGAGCAACATTGGAAGGGAGAAGTCGCTGGTACTTCCAGGAGGGCTACTCTTTGACACCATGGCACCAAAAATTACGAAGGCGGAGAGGGATGCGACGCTCGTGATGGAGGTAAGCCGTGCATTTACGTGGTTGGCATATTTTTGCAACTGAATTATCTGGCAAAACCGTGCTTACACTGGATAATTAGACCAATAGTGCCAGCACAGTTTCTAAACGCAGCGTCGAGCGCCTCTACTACCCTGAACCTCATTTTTTCCGCCATTTTGTGAAGAAGCCCTTGAGACGGTCACCATTGGTTAATCGCGGCTACTGGCTGCGCATGCGTGCTGTGGAGACCTCCGTGCGGAGGTTTCTCGAAGAACCTTCAGAACATCAGAAGGCGATAGTGAACCTGGGTTGTGGCTTGTAAGTAAACAAAGGCGATTGCAGAATACTCTCGAAGTTGATACTTATATGCTAATATGAGGTTGGGTTTATATGAAGCGATCCACTGCCCTTCCAGTTCCTGAGCCGAGACGCTGCTCTATGCCAAAATGCGATATTTGTTGATATTGACCACCACAAATTGATGCTTAAAAAACGGGACATCGTAACCCAATGCGCGGCATTAAGGGGCCTTCTTTCGGATGTACAATTGACGGCAGAAACCGGCAGTGTTCTAATGCGAAGCAAAGAGTATGTTGGTATTGGGTGCGATCTCGGGGATCTTCAAAAGCTAGAGGCCGCATTAAAAGATGTGGTAGGCTTAGATAAAGCCTCGATCCTTTGCATAGCCGAAGTGTCAATAACTTATATGGAAGTCAAACTAGCGGACGCCCTCATTCGGTTCATGCCGAAGCTAAGTAAGGGTAAGGACATCTCTAATCGTAGCCATCCAAAGTGCCCGGTGCCACTAACAGCTAGAAAGATGTAAATTTCTGTTTGCTGGAGCAGTACTTCCCAGAGGGGCCAGACCATCCATTTGCAGCTACAATGATGAAAGATTTTATAAAACTCCAATGCCCGTTACATTCAATCCATCAGTATCCCTCTCTCACGCAGCAGGAACAACGTTTTCGTGACTCCGGTTGGGCAAACGCGAAAGCAACGAATTTATGGGAATTCTGGAACGACCCTGCATGCCTCAGCGATGATGACAGGCTATCGCTCGATGCAGTAGAGGCATTTGACGAGTGGGAAGAGTTCGCCCTCTTCGCGTCGCACCATTTTCTGCTCTTTTCTACCACTCGTAGGACGGAGACCAAATCTATTCCCCCACGCGAGGCGGGAGAATCTCAGACAAAGCCAAAACCTTTGGCACTGACTCGTTTGTGTTCTCCAAAGCAGACCAGCAAACGGCGATTCGGCGCGGTAGTCCCTACAACCGCTCATACCTTCGGATTACACGGTGGCCTAGGTAAACATACTCGACTGTCCTCGACTGATGAATACGCGATATCTAAAACTAACACAGCGCCTGGTGAAATGCCACCACTTGACGTGGAGGCTAGGATGTGCCACACTATAACTCAATTTGATGGACAAGACTGCCTGCTTGTAGGAGGCAGAGCTGCTCCGAGCAAGGCTATGGCTGATTGTTGGCTAAGGTCTTCTGCGCAATGGCGTCGAACTGATAGCCTTCCAATTCCGATTTATAGGCACTGTGCAACTACGGTGAATTTTGGAGCGGACGATCCTTATGTACTCATTTGCGGTGGTAAGACCGGCAACGGTGATGTTTTGAGTACCTGGCTTCTATGGAATGTGTCCAAAGGTTGGCAGGAGGTCAACATTGCCAATCAGTCTCCCCCGGCCAGATTTGGGGCATCGACTGCAAATATCGATGGACAGTCGGGTGTGTTGTTTGGAGGCATATCACGATATGGTGTCATATTGGATGATTTCTGGACATGGAAACTGGTGAAATCCAGTGATGGGCAGATACACGTCGAGCTAGATGATATCACGGAGAGCATGCGTGCTTCAAACCATCTATATAAATGGCTAGGGCGGTTTGGAGCATCAATAACTACAACATCAAGGGGTTGCTTTATAATTGGAGGCATAACCAGCCACTGCTGTACCCCCCAGGACTATGAAATAATGTTTCTTGATATAAATTCGCTGAACACCCTGGATCTCAGTCCCAAGACCCCTCTGTTGGCAGCGAGTGGGTCGGGGGTTGAATGCAACGGACCTAGACCACTCTTTGTTGGCCACTCCTCTTGCAAAGTTGGTGATGACGATGTACTTATTGTTGGCGGCGGCGCTCTTTGTTTCTCGTTTGGGATCTATTGGAACGAATACACTTGGCTATTGCAAAGAGCAGGACCTAACGCAACCAACCGGTGGAGTCTCTGCGAACCGTCAACTAATGGAGAGGAAGCTAGCACGCCAGACGAGGTGTCTAAAGCGATGCATAGCCAGCCTAATGGACACGCTTCTGAGTTGGAGATAATTCCCCGCATCAGCATTTCGACGGCTCGAGAGTTTCAGATAATTGTTGAGAATGCGAAGCCCGTCATTCTTAGCGGCCTTGATATTGGCTCATGTACGAAATCTTGGACGAAGGAATACCTTGAGAAGGCTATAGGGCGCGATCGCAAGGTAGAGCTGCCCCTTTTGCTAAATGGATAATGAAGTACTAAAAATTTTGCTTAGGTGGTGGTGCACGAAGCATCGTCTGAAAATATGAATTTCCAGATTAAGAATTTCTCATACGTTACAAAAGAATTTGGGACATTCATAGACGAAATTTACGATGGCTCCCGGCAATACCTCCGCGCAATCTCTTCCATAAACCCGTCAGAGCGGCCTACAAACCTAGCCCAGGATTTTCCTGGCCTTCAAGGTGATTTCCATCTCCCTCCAGAACTTGTTTTAGTTTCCGAGAATGCGCACAGCTCTCCTCTGAGGTTATCCGGGCCAGTTATTTTATGGCTCCATTATGATGTGAGTTCCCCCAGTCCAGCCTGTCGAGGTCTACACACTAAATTCTTTTTGGTCCAGGTCATGGCAAATATTCTCTGCCAAGTACAGGGAGACAAAAGACTTATTCTATATCCACCATCGGACGCGCTACGTCTAGGTTTTGCACCTGGAGCGTCCAGTTCTTCAATCAATCTCTTCCAAAACATATCAGATACTTCCCCTAAGTCTCCACCAGATACCCATCCTCATGAAGCCCGCCTCAAGCCAGGGGATATTCTCTTTATTCCACCGCTTTGGCTCCATACCGCCAATCCAACCAATGGAGTGAGTGTAGCTGTCAATGTATTTTTCCGGAACATTAACAAAGGATACGCGGCGGGTCGAGACGTGTACGGAAATAGAGATCTCCAGGCGTATGAGAGGGGCCGGGTGGAGGTGGACAAAATCGCACGGTCGTTCGATGGTCTTCCTCGTGATATGGCTAGGTTCTATATTGAGCGGCTTGCTGATGAACTCAGACGTAAGGCACATTCATGATCTGCGTGTTCAGGATGGAAGACATCTCGCACTCAAGTCGCAGATAGCCCATACGTGTACATTTTGGCAAACAAGCCACGGAGACATTCAACTGAGTCAGAATCCTCGTCTGCAGCAAGGACCCTAGTGCCCATGATCTTTGCTACTACAGGCTCCGCGCCTTTCTATCTAACCAGACGGTCAATAAATAAAAACCTAATTAATTTAGCAACCTAATACACATCGTCGACATAGCCAGAGTGTCGTCTTCAGATGTGACACGATTATCCTGGGAGGGAGTTACTAACGGCTGGGTTGTTTGGTACGGATATTCATTGGAAGAGAAACGGCATAAAACAATCCATCAGTCCCTCTTCACCCTTTTTCACTGCTTTGACAATATGATCCAGAGGTATAACTAAACATAACCCCATGCTAAGCCTAGCCCACCTCCCACGTCTAAACTTTCAGTTGATTATGATTTGTGATTCTTGTGGTTCAAATGGGCATGATTTGGGCTGGAGATCCCATCTGCGGAGCACAGGAATCACTGTGGTGGTTGACTAGGGAAATCAGAGAGGGAGTCAAGGAGATTCTCGCATACCCCTTTGCTGCATGAAAAGGAGATAGCTATTGATGATATCTATGATGTACTATATATTTATAAATATAGAGATGGAGTTTTACAGATTTAATAACTCGCAAACAGACAGCGTCTATTCCTAATTTCACATGTGTGTCAAACACATGGGTCAATCTCTACGAAGTACTGTACAAAACACTGACTCAATGAAAGAATTTAGTGTTGGGGTAATCTAGAGATAAGGCTGGGTTCTGGATTTAACAGATGATATAAAAACATTGGGAATACTTGAGGATTACTACAGCAGCCTATAACAACATTTGAGCCAAAAGAGATTTGCATGCTAGTGTTACAGTGAGTACGGAGTACACATCAATCATAGCTCTTTTTATTGATAATTAAGCTCTTTCATGGAAGGCTATAGTGTAATAGTCTAGCTATTCAACTTATGTTTTAGAGATATCTAGAGATCTCTATAATGAGCACTCTATGTGTGTAAGAACAATCAATGTAACTAGATCTATCTAATGTGATTAACATTAGACTAATTTGAATTGATGTGTCTATAAATTGAATATTATGTGAAATTAAAACTTCACACTGAGAGAAGCATTTTGACTCAAATGCATTATAGACTGCTACGATGCTCTATTTACCTTTCTTTACACATCATTTCATTGTGCAGTGCAATTACATCTGCTTTGAGTTGATGTTCTGTTTGCCTGTTGCAGAGTGCTGTGTCAAGTTCAGAATTTATGTAAATTTAAAAGAGTTGTAACTAACTACTACACACTTGGTGATGAACAAATACATGCATTTCACTTCTTGTGATAGGAAGGCTTACAATGCTCTCTTCCATAGCAATCTTGTCATCCAGCTTCTGCTCAGCAGGGATTCAAGATTCATCCAATTGTGTTTCAGTTAAAACTTACTCATCCGAAGGTACGCTGGATGTTCCTTAAAAAAGACTGACTGAGTTAATGGCACTAACAGGTACTGATAATAAGTACGTACATACATAGGTTCTTCTGTTCTCATCTTCAGCCAGCACCGCGGTTCGTCAACTTGTTGTCTCAGCACGAGGTCGTCCGTATCGTTTACCTTCATATTGATGGCATTGCCCGCTGGATTCTATATTTATCCCAGCCATCCGACCCCCATCGCCAGGCAGACCCTGGCATCGGCTAACTAACCCTGGCGCTGCAAGGTGAAACTCTTTCATAAATACCAATTTAGGTTAGATGCCAGGCCGTTAGCTCGGCTGGTTGGTGACAAAGACCAACTCCATGCTGCTTGGGTTAGTTACGATGTAACTTATGTATGCTCTGCTCTTGTCCGCCAACACCCGGACACGAGACGTGTGTGTGGGAACACGCGGAGGCGTCAACACTTCTTTCAAGAGTGGTCTCTTGGATAAAATGAAGGCCAAGCACCCCGGTGATAACCAAATGGATACAGACCAACATGCAGACAAGCTCTCTGCGGAATCATGCCTGGGCTGTGCACAGACGGGTATCGTGAGACGAGCTTGCTGTTACGATTTGAGTTCGTCAATTTTGAGACGCCAATGATCAGCCACCCCTAGATCGTTAGTTTAAACTCAACCAAAGAGATGTGAGATTGGCGGCTGTGCTGATTCCCATGTTCCTGCAGGAGCTAGTATCCCGACTAAACGGGCCAGGCTTTTTCGGGGGTGTTTCCTGGGCTTCATCACCCGATTCGGCGCCCATGCTTGGGAAGGAAGCCTCGAACACTTGGGCACCACATCATGGTTATCGCATACAGCAGCTATGTACTACTGTACCTTGGTATCATGGTTTGGCGCATGGCCTCAAATGATCGGAACGCCGAGCAAATCGCGATCTTCGTAGGTTGACCGCCCTTGAACTTATCGTCGACGGAGAAAGTGGGAATGACAAGTCTATTACGATGAACCCGAGGAGGTTTGATACCTTTTTTCAATACTATTGAGGCCTAGCCAAACAGGCTAAACAAGCTCACAACCCATACATACACCGTAAACGAACAACGAGAAAGAATCATGATGATGCACCCACAAGGTCCGAGTTGCGACGGGGACACGAGGCGGGGCGGGCTGCGCTTGTTCAACAGCAAAGGGAGAATGATTTTTTTTCCTCGGAGAAGAACTCTGTCGCAGAAACTGCGACGGTAATGGGTTCTTATAAGTCAAAGGATCGCCGATCTCACCGACTCCTTGCAGACTGAAGGTCAGCGATTTACTGTTCCAGTGACACAGGAGCTCTGGGTTGGGTCTCCGGAAGGGAGATCCCTCATCCTTTTCTTTTCATGATTAAAAAACATTTTTCTCGGTGCCCTCCGTGGTTGAGCATTTTTATTTTCTGCTTTTGCTTCATGGCGTCGCTCGTGCCATTCATATGTCTACTATTATTCCTAAGTAATACTTTCCAATCGGCCCATGCCGTGGAGCCATTGGTTAACTTAGGTTATGTCGAATACAAGGGAGTGGAAAACCCTGGAGGGGTCACTCAATGGCTTGGAATGCGATATGCTGCACCTCCGCTGGGGAATCTTCGATTCTCAGCACCTGAGGATCCAGTGAAAGAAAAAAAGAAACAACGTGCAGATAAAGTAAAGCCTTTGATAACTTCCATCTCTATTCTTTCTCTGGTTGAAGTGGGTGGGAATGAATGAACGAGAAATAACTAACAACCATTTCATAGTTTGGCCATAGCTGCCTAGCAACTAGATCCGTGCCACGGAAACATACTTCAGAAGACTGCCTTTTTATCAATGTTTATGGTCCATCGAACTCTAAATCGGACTCTAAACTCCCTGTTTATTTTTATATTCAGGGTGGTGGCTTCAATGCTAACGCCGGTGCGCGTCTCAACGGTACCGGCCTCGTAGAGGCCTCGGGCATGAATATTATCGTTGTGACTTTCAACTATCGTGTTGGGCTTTATGGATTCCTTGCAAGCAAGGAGATCAGGGAAAAGGCCAGTCTTAACAATGGCCTGAAAGACCAAATGAAGGCTCTTGAATGGGTTAACAAACATATTAAACAGGTTTGGCCCCCCTTTGCCCTTCTATGCTTATATTGGTTTATTTTTTTATTTTTATTTTTATTTTTATTTTTTCTCTGGGCGAGCTTCAAAATTTTTAGACTAATTTTATTTTCAGTTCGGTGGAGATCCTGGCCATGTCACAATCGGCGGGGATAGTGCTGGTGCGGCTTCTGTATACTATTTGCTCAGTGCTTTCGGAGGTAGAGGGGTCAACACTTTCCACGCGGCAGCGGCAGGTTCCCCTTCATTTGGGACACAGCTTAATATCCGAGAAAGCCAGTATATGTATGACAATCTCGTCAAGAATACGAAATGCACAGGCAAAGATTCCCTTGCTTGTCTCCGCAAGGTTGATGTGAAGAGAATGCAAAAACTTGACCAGCGTTATCCGCTCCCTGGCGGCATTAGCCCACCACTGTTCATGTACAGTCCAACCGTCGACGGCTATTTAATTCAGGACTATACCTACAAGCTTTTCGCGAGAGGCCAGTTCAAAAAAGTCCCCATGATATTCGGCGCAGACAATAACGAAGGTACCGTTTTCGTCCCCAGAAACACAAGCAGCTTCAAAGAATCCGACACTTTCCTGAAAAACCAATTCCCAGCCATGAAGAAAAAGCACTTCCGTAAGATCCATGAACTTTACCCAAAGACCAACGACGTGTTTCCCGAAGCCAAAAGAAAATATGGCCCATACTGGCGCCAGGGAAGCAACGCCTACGGCGAAATGCGATACAACTGCCCCGCTATCATCCTCACCGTTGCAGGTAGCATGCACGGCGATCCGAGTAAAGTATGGAATTTTCACTATGACGTTGAGGACCCTCCGGCTATGAAAAACGGCATTGGAGTCCCTCACACGGCTCACATGGCGGCCATATGGGGCCCAAAGTACGCCTACGGACCCGGCTCATATAGGGGCAAAGGAGTTAATGCGCCTATTGTGCCCGTTGTGCAAGGGTACTGGACAAGTTTTATACGCAGCTATGATCCAAATATACATCGAGTCAAGGGCAGCCCTGTGTGGGGAACTGTTACGACGGCGAAGACTGGGAAAGCGCTGCACCAACTGTACGTCAAAACACGCAAGACGAAGACAAGGCTTATCGATAAGAAGCAAATAGAGAGATGCGAGTATCTGCTTCGTGTTGGGGCGGAGGAGCTTAAAATGTGACATATACCTGGAGGGTGACCTCTTCTTGTGTGTTTTATTAGCTTTGGTTTGTTTCATCTACATTTCTTGTTTTAGATTGCGGTGGCGCCGGGAGAATTGTGGTTCTTTTCTGCTTCATCTTATTCCATTGGCTTTTTGCGACATTTAGGGCCCGTTTTAGAGATGTCTGTCGCATCTGATTTGGTGTATAGATACCCAAGATCGACGGAGTTATGGAAAAGAATAACAGATGTTGTTTAGTTCATCACGTTTCAAACATTACAAACCTCGCGCCGTTTCATTTTTATATACGCCCCTTGAACTCTAAAATGGCCGTAGCCGCATCCACAACCGTAGTCCCTAAAACAGTACATTGAAGAAAGAAAATATATAGTTAGGTATATAGATGTAATCAAAAGTAAAAATGAACGAAAAAATTCCCCATCTACTTCCTCGCCGTCCTCGCCTTCTTCTCTCTCTCATACGCCTTCGCCTCTCTTCCCTCCTCACCCTGAATCTCCGCCACAAGCCTACGATACTTGCGCTCATACTCCGCATCCTTCTCGCGCTTCTCACGCAGGCTCTCGCGCGCAATGAAGTTCGCATCCTTGCGCAGCTCGCGCATGGCACCCTTGCGCTCGCGCTTATGCTCTGCTTTCAATTTGTTGAGCTCGGCGCGTTCGCGGTCAGGATCGTAGTGGCGGGACGGGTTGAAGGATTCTTCGAATTTAGGAATGGCCGTCTTGATTGCTAGGGGACGGTGGTTGTGGAGCAGGAGTGGTCGGCGGCCGAGGTCGGATTGCTTTAGGAGCGCTTGCAGCTTGTCGCAGGTCCTTTGCAGCTGGTCATAGAGGGTGCGGGGGGTTTTATTGTTGAGTGACTTGGTGAGGTATTTGAGGACACGGTTTGCTGGAGCGAAAATGTCGTAGAATGCAGATTTGGAGGACCAGAGGTCAGCGGCCTGGTCAAGAAGGGAGATAAATGTGCTGATAAGGGAAAGCTTGAGGGCTTCTTGTTCAGCTCCATCGGCGGGCGAGGTGGCGAGAATGTCCCAGAAGGTAGGTTTTTTGATGGTGGTTAACGGGAATTTCGATGGTGTTAGACACAGGGGTGTAGATTCCTGCCGAATAGGGAAGAAGCCGAGAGTATGCACGGGTTCGCTAGGCGCTAGAATGCAGAGGACGTTGACAACGTAATTCATGAATTCTGGTATATATCGTTTTGCTAATGCCTGATACTGAATGCAAAGGGTTGCGATATAAGCGCCAGTCGCGATATTTCCGAGGTTGGCGATATTGCTCTGGCCGAGATATCTAGCCATAGCAAGCATGGATGGCGTGACAACCGCATGGAAATGATCAGATGTAGGGAATATGGTTGCAACTCCCGTTAGAATAACGAGATCCCCTGGTAACAATTCCAATGGTCGACTCTCAGACATCTCTCGTAGATGATTCCTCATTGCACTGGCTACTGCCTCTGGTTGAGCCTTGGCCATCGAATGGATGTGACGTAGCAGGTTCTCGAGAACAGCGAACGGTGGGTGGTCTGGCTGGTTGGCTAGGTACACAGTATGCTGTACAAGCACTTTCGAAAAAGTCGCGAGCTTCGATTTATTGTCAATGTGGAGCCTGGGATGATGGAGAGCGCGAATTCTCTGGACTACAGTGGGCAGATCTTCAATTTTAGTATTCTCGACGATTTGCAAAAAGTGCTCATGGTTTTCCGGGCAGGGATATGTGAATGCAAGATTGTTGTTTGCCGTCGCCGTTGGAGTCTCCCCATTCGTGGTGGCGGGTCTCTTATCAGCTTCCGCGTCAGGAGGGAGAACCAAACCGCCAATGAATTCATCATCTTCTTCCTCGGACTCCTCTTCATCCGCAGAACTAGCCAGATCGCTCTCATCTAGAGAGAGCTCTGCTTCAGAGTCAGACTCGACAAGGTCGCTGTCGATAATGAAATCATCTTCATCCTCCACACCGAGCTCTGGCATGTTACTTGGTTGAGTCAGTCCAAAAGCCTTCGCATCGTCTGGCTCCGAATCATCATCCATGTCTTTGTCACCGCCGTTATCTTCCTCCTCTGACGAGTCAACCGTCGCCCCTTGCATTCTTCTCAACCGTTCTTTTTCTAGTTGTCTTAATCTCTCTGCTTCCTCTTCTGCTTTTTCCTCTTCCGTCTTGGTACGGTCTAACGGTTTAGCTCGCTTGTCGTAGGTCATTTGTTTCAGCCGTTGATCATACTCCTTATCAGCCTCGTCCCTATCCTTTCCATTCAAGAGAGCTGCACGGTCCGGATTCATCGTAGCAGTAAGATCGGGTTTCGGCAAAGGTTCAGGTTCTGGCTTTTTGACTCCTCTCATCATCTCAAAGATTTCAGGAAGGCCCTTGTCGAGAGACGCTCGCAAATCATCATCATCTTCTTTGGCCTTTTGGCGCTCATATTTGTGAAATTTTGACTTCGCAATAAGCTCCTTCATGACTTCGTTCTTTGATTTCTTCCGCTCCGGCTGCCCCTCTTCCTCTGAGTCCCCAGCTAGTCCCTCCATATCATCCTCCTCAGCGTTTCGCCTTCGCTTACGTGCTTTTTCTGACTCGCCGTCTTCATCCGAGGCATTCAGATCGTCCTCTTCGAAGTCATCCTTGTTCTCCTTGTCGAACGTGATAGTTTGCCCCAAATGGGTAAGTTGCATCTCTTCTTCGTCATCCTCAAGATTGAACATCGACTCCTTTTTGAGCTTCTTCTGGCTCTCTCTTGCAAACCGTTCCGCTGCTCGTTCTTCGGGCGTCATCGTAGGGTCATTTTCACCAAAACGTCGATCGAGCAATATTCCGACTTTACTCCGGCGTTGCATTTCCTTTAGGAGAGTTTCTTTCCTCTACATAATAATGAGCATCTAATATCGCCAAGCAAGAAACATAGACAGGAATAGAGAACTCACTCTCTGCTCTCCTAGGCTTTTTGTAACCCCTGGTCTGGACCGTGGTGCATCCTGGTCCGATCGCGAAGTAGAACTGAATTTCGCAGGCCTTGCAGGAGCCCTGATCTCGAAGGGATTGAACTGTTCCCGTATTCCCTGGAGCGCAGCATTGCGCTGTATTCGGTTTGCGGCGCCCGCACCGGACTTTGCATTTTTCTGTTTCTGCTTTTTGGATTGTTGGGGCCCTAAGATGCCACTTTCCCGTAGCGAGGCTTTCAGCTGCTTCAGCTGCGAAGGGGCCATTGTTGAGAAAATCTCTCGTAGCTGAAAATCGGAGGAAAGTGGCTAATAAACCTCTGGTTGTTTGGCTGCGTGCGATAAATAATTTTTTGTCAAGGCTGGAAAATCAAATGCTCACCGCCTTTGGGTGGGTTCAGATAAATAACTAAATGTTCTGCCACTCCAACCTCCCCTCAAGCTATTTCAGCTATTTCACCCGCAGACACGGGATCAATCTAGATAGTCCGCGAGAAAAGGGACACACGATGGCTATGGCTTCGCAAATTAATGATCGCGTCGTATGGCTATGTTTAGGTATGCTTTCCATGACTCTCAATCCTCGTGAAATGCCAATAACCGCTCTATGCAGGCGTCACTCTATTTTTTGCTGTGCGCGGAATCGCCGCTGAGCTACATCGCATACGGGAGCTCACTACAATCAGAAACGGAGACAAGGATGATCAGGTAATTGGTGAGGGGACGGAAGATGGTAACACTGTCTCTTCCGGTGTGGGAGAATTTGTAAACTAACAAGAGCGGTAGCTCTCAAACTAGAAACTCTACAAAAGCTATCAGAAAGCACGAGCTTCGATCTTCGAGCAGCGTAAGGGCTTGCTAGCAGCAGACGCTCTATCACCAAAAATTCTAACAATCGGATAGGGCATTGCGGATCATCTCCGAAAGATCAACGAAAGGATCTACGCGAGATCTACTTCTTGAAGACCTGTCAAGCAAGGATCCGGCTCTCCGAAACAAGGCTTTGAATGCTCTCTATTTCCTAGTCTCTAATCGAGCATGCAAGTATTCCCTTTCTTGTTTGGTCCCCTTTATTCACTTCATTTCGCTCTTTTCAATACATTCCCTACTATTCCTGCTAACTTTACACCTTTCCTCCAGTGTCCCGTTCTGCCGTTACCAACCGACTAAAAGACCTCCCTACCTACACTGCCCTCGTCGACTGCCTCTGCAACGTTCTCGCCGAACACAAAGAAGAAAACATTAAAACAGTCTCACCCATCCTTCCCAGAACCCGACCGCAAGGCGAAAAGAAGGCTCTAACCACTCTCGACATAATTCTCAGAGAAAACATCCCTGCTGCACTGGAGGCCGGCGTGATCAGTCGGTGGCTTTCTAAATACCCGTTCCCTTGCAGCACGCATGATGAATCCAAACGAGTAGACGTGGTTGTTTTAACCAAAACTTGGTATACAGATGACTCCGTCATGAGCTCCATCATCAGCACCCTCTCCTCCCACCCGGAGGGAGTCAGCCAATTACGGAAATATGGGCTGATGGGAAGTAGAATGGAGGAGCACACTCGCAATATATATGACAATGAAATTGGGGGAGACTATAACGGCGACGGAGACGACGATGATGAAACTGACGGTGATAGCGATGTCTGGATGGTTGGCGGGGAGGAAACTGCAGGTTTACCACTGTGGGCTGGCGGAAGGAGACGGCAGGAAGGCACTGCGGAAGAGCAAGCACTGCGTCGACGGCGGAGGGAAGCCATGGTTTTCAGCGAGGGTGGACGACCCCTGGGGAGAGATAATATTATCCATCCTGTTCGGAACAGGGAGGATGAGGAGCTGGATGCGGAGCTAGCACAGTTGGCAGATGAAGTTGACCGGGAGCTCCGTGAAGAAGAGTTAGAAGTTGAGAGACAGGAGCGGCCACGGCGCTCATGGTCTATGTGGCCATTTTCGTGAAACAGGATCGCGCTATGTTACGGGTACAAAAGGCGAAAAGGGATTTTATGTTGACCGGCGTTTTTGGAGAATTGGTGTACAAATACTCTATTATTTTTTAGTTATGGTGCTGCTGTAATAATGGGACAGAGCTGTTATGGCACTGGACGAGAACTATGATACCCCTATATCTTTCCTTTTCGTTCCGAAAAGTAGTTATCTATTGACACCCATGGTTTCTTATGGATGCATTGTGTACATCGTCGCTAGACACCTATAATATTACAAACCCATCCACGTTGACTTCGCCAAATGATCAATCTTCTTCTTGCTATGCTTGACCATTCCCATCATTTTCAATTCTGATAGAGCGCGGTAGAATACAGCCAACGTCTGTCGCTCATCTGGTTCCTCTCCATCATCACCGCCCGCCATTGTATAATAGGCACGCCACAGGTCATATACATTGACCAGGGAACCTGTTTCCGAATAGAGATTATAAAGAATCGAGATTGCTGGTTTGGAAGGCATCATTTCCTCGTCATCCGCAGAAAGCGCGCTTGTAGCCAGGTAGTCAAATGGAGTAGATAAAGCTCGCTCGATCGTGGAACGAGGTCGAGGGGTAAAAGCACCCTTTATGGGTGTTTTCAAGTCGTAGAGGAATGCCTCATGCATGAAAAGGTCGAGTGGAGATATGAGATTAATCGAGAAGTAATCCTGGAACGCAGCACTCAGATCATTGACAAAAGCAGTATATTCGATGTCTTGTTTGGATAATTTTGCTTTGGATTTTGTGAGTTTGACTCTCTGCCCAACAACCGTTGTTTTGTGGGTTGAATGATATTCATCGTATTCACTGCGGAGAGGGCCGGAGCCTTTTTTATTTTGTAATAATGATTGGAGCGTTCCCTGTACGTCCCTGGATGCATCAAACTCCACCATTCCTTGTGGGAGGGCGCCCAAAATAGTTTCGATGGTATTGGATGGCAATTTTTTTAGTCCCGCGAGCATGTCTTCAACAATTTTTGAACCCAGGAGCTCCCCAGCCAGTGCTTGAATGGTAAGTTCAGAGAGCGTGGGTGTTCTAGGGATCTTCAAAATACGTAGTACGGTTGATAGCGTCTCAACAGAATGTAACATAGCGTTGATTTTTTCCTGACCACTCCGAATGTTTGCTCGGGCATACCGTGCTAATAACTCGTCGTCTTCTAAAAGTGTTCGGGCTTTTCCCGCTTCACCCTCGTCTAGCAAACCATACACATGTCTAACAATGGTAGGTGAGTTATGCAGCAAGCTTTGAAGATATTCGGAAATTCAATACTGACCTGCGGAAGGAGGGTAAGTTTCGGATAGCCTGGCATAAATCTGATTGGAGGATATTTGCAGATTCAATTTTTGAAAGCAATGTACATAGTGGGTTGGCGAAAAAATGAGCCATATACACGTACTACTGTTGTCAGTGCTGTAACTCCGAAAGAGGGTACATTTGTGATATGTTTCAATATACATACCTTAATCCCATTCGCGAAGCCTTCTGGACTCTGAAAATGGTCCTTGGACCTCTCAAAAAGTATTCTGCTCACGTTATGACCCAACCATAGAGTTCCCTCCTGGCACATTTGGAGAGTAGTGTAGATTCGGTTTACGGAATCCCCAGAGTCCTGAATGTCAAATCGGCAGCCTTGCAGTAGATTTACCAAAGATCTCGGAAGTCTGGCCTCGAAAAGCTCGACAGAAGTTGCAATACCGAAGAGAAGAACGAAGGGGATTCGATCAACCCAAGAACTATATAAACGTTAGCTTTGGTCGGTTCGAATTCTTCGAGGTTTTCTTACCTGAATAATGATATTAGGTCTGCCAATAAGCCATGGTCAAAGGCTTCACTGTCTCGAAAGACAATTACCACTTTCCTAATCCCTTTCTGCTTTACGTGGTCATGCAAAATATCTAGGTCATAAGCAAGAGGTTTTGGGCCCTGTTTAAGTTTCAGCGCTGAAGCCCCGGACAAGAAACAGGAAGTTATACTACTCACTGCCCGATCAGTTGGTAAATCCTGATCCCCATCCACATCCCTTACCACACTTGTACCAGATCGAATGATATACTTTAGAACAGTTTTGAGATTGGATGCGTCTCCAGAATCTAGCGCAACCACCTGCCCAATAGCGGTAGATTGCATTTGTCGGTGCAATCGATCTAATAGCCGTCCTATCGATGAAAAATTTGAGCCCAAAGTAATCAATCCGGCGGGTATACGCCCATTGCCGCTACATATAGATTAGTTAACAACTCTCTCAGAAGAAGATATCAACCACGTACTTGTCATGGGAGGTTTGCTCTACGAACGTAGAAACATGGTCTAAAATCTCCGAATCTACGTCACGGAGTATCCCCTTTCTGAAAATTAGATTCACTTTATTTAATTTTTCACATCATCCTTAAAAATTCAACAAACCTGAATTTGCTGCTCCTGGGTCTCCCAGAATTCTTGGAATAAGCTATATCGCAGCTTGACGGATTCCATGTCCTCGTTGCCTTCCAATAGAGGTGCAAATAGCAAATCATTTTGTTTCTCATGTGCCAGGGCGCTGGACACTTTACGCCTCTTTGATGGACGCTCATTCTGTGAAGTATTTTTTTGGACAGGTTTGTATACGTATGTACTCTGCGCGATGTTAGAAAGTCCAAAGGAGCTTGATAAACATGAAGGGCAAAGACAAACTTGGTGCTCTAAGCCGTTGAGGCTTTCCAGTCCCCGATTCTCGTGGTGATAATCAACACTAGTCATTTTACTACTATTAAATAAATTCGATGACCGCAAAAGTGCTGTTCGATCAAATATTAAACGCGGTGTTGTTTTCTGCTCCCTAACATTGCGTGTTCATGGGGCTGATTACATAATACGCTATCGTAACGTATGGCTGTCATGCTACGTAATATTACACTTCGGCGTATAATTGCTTTCCATCTTTTTGACCTCCAATATATTTTTCGGAGCACAGGCAAGATATGATTTTTACTTCAGCTCCGATGGTCTGATTTTGCGCCTCTACATCCATGCGCCGCCTGAGTCTGTCCGGGGCTCAATGGCATCGTCATGGTGTTCAGAGTCGCCTTAACTCCTGCTGCCCTCCGCACCTGCAAACGCGCCGACCCTTCTCCTCGGGCATAACGGCGCTCTCTAACAGTGATGGCCAGAACAACAAATTTAAAGCCTCTATACGATGGTTTGAGCAACCTACGCGTTTGAGCAAGGAGAAAGTCGAGGTATACCCAGAGGAAGAAGAACGGGCCGAACAAGATGTTATTTGGGCCAAAATCCGAGAGCTACAGGAAGAGCTGAAAGAGATAAAACAAGGCCCTTTTGGGCCGAACAGCCCCTTGATGAAACAGTTGCCGGAAAAGCAAAGAGAAATAATCCGTGAAGCGGTTCGCAAATATGAAGAGGAGCATGTTGAGGAAGAAGCAAAGGATAAACAGCATTATGAAGACTTTTTTGCCGGGCTGGATGAAATGATTGCGGAGGAGGCTCAGGACCTGGAGAAGCGGAAAACAGCTGAATGGAACCCGAAAGAAATGCTCGAGCCGGTCAAACCATCCCCTAAAGAATCTTTCGAAGTCGAATTAAAAGTCCCGGACACCGCTCAAGCGCATGTTAACCGATTCAATCAGAATCTAAAGATTCTAATCAAAGATCCAACTAGGGCCAATAGGCAGGAATTGTGGAGGTCATATCAGCGATGTAAAGCCCTAATACCGGCCTTTATTGAATTATTGCCAGAAGAGACCTTGGCCATAATGTGGAACTCCCAAAGCCAGAGCGCCAGCCCCCAAGTCCCACAGCTGGGGCACTGGGAGGATTTGGCCGAAGATATTCTTTCAAATGGTCGAGATTTGATGCAACCCCAATGGCTGCGGTACATTACACTCCTTCTTGAAAATGGCCAGTCAAATAAGGCATTTACAATGTGGAAAAGTCGCGAGAAACATTTAGACTACGCATCGAGAACGGAGGTTGAGCAGTTTTGGAACTTGGGGGTTGAAATATTGATCGCAAATGGAGAATTGGAAAGTGCGCAAGATCTCGCACTGGCGTTTCTGGCAGATGACCATTCCCGCCCTCCACGCATTCTAATACCAATAATCGTTGCCTGGGCTAAAATCCCTGGCAATACAAACGGTGCTCGAGCTTGGACTTTGTATCTACGGCTCAAAACAATTCTTGGGCCTGATATAAATATGAATGACTACGATTCGATAAGCGTTGGGTTCCTAAAAGCTGGCCGAGTTGACATGGCCGTTGCAGTATTCAAGGATATGATGCTCACGGGACAATCCTCGCCGTCCGACTCAACTTCTCTCTACCACGCCTCCCTAGGCCTTGTTGACAATCTGCAAGCTTCAAGCATTACAGAAGCGGACGTGAATAAAGTATCCCTATCTGCCCTTACGATCATGCCCCGGAAGTTCCAAAACAAGTTCTTCTATGCGAGTTGGATGAAGAAGTTAATTGGCATGGGCGAGGTTGATTCTGCTGCTGCAGTTGTTGAATTGATGTACGAACGTGGGATTAACCCCGATGCAAAACATATGAATGGAGTCATAGGCGGCTGGCTCCGCAAAGAAAGTCTCACTGCCCGAGAGAAGGCCGAGAAACTCGGATGGGCGATGATTCAGGAACGGATTGATACTGTCTGGTCCCGCCAGAAGAACCCATTACCCGGATCGAGCAAGCCATCAGTTCGCGATGGCGGGGATGGCATCCGTATCCCCAAATTTGAACAAAGAACTGTTCCCCCTGCAAGCATTGAAACCTTCTCCCTCTTATTACTCTATTATACCCGGCGCGGCCAAGAACACATGGCCAACTACGTAATTGAATGCCTTGAAAAGGCCCAGATGCGGCCTAATGTGTTCTTTATGAACCACCTTCTCTTTGCAGAGTTGCGCAAACAGGACGTCCTTGGCGTCTGGACCCGCTATCAGCAAATGTCGGCGACTGTCCGCCCCGATCTAGAAACGTTCGCGTGCCTTTGGGACTGCGCCAAAATTCAATACGACCGTGCGCGACCATCCTTCGACTCAAACTTCCCCACTGCACGCGTCCTCTACCGCGAAATGATGGACTGGTACTTCAGCCTCACCCCACGCAGTCAGGCCAACGCCCGCAAATTCTTCACCAAAGACCTCTACGACCAAATCCTCCGTTGTTTCTCCTTCTCGCTCGACCCGCAAGGCACGATCGTCGCCCTGCATTCCATGCGGCATGTCTTCGGCTACATACCGGACGTCGTCACAGCGCGCATCCTAATGTTCGAAGTCGTCCGCCTCCTCCCACCACCACCGGAACTCGAAGACAACAAAAGGACTCGCCGCCACCGACGGCGCATCTCCACAAACCCACGCAGCAAGGAAAGTCTTCAACACGTGACGAAGCTGCTAGAAACGCTTCGTGATAGGAAAGTAGTCGAGTTGGGCAAACAGGGCTTGCTGATAGAGGATCTAGACATAAAAGCACGGAAGGATCATGAGGTTAACCTGTATTCGGATTTATTGCGGGTTGTGCTAAGTCGGTTGGCGGAAAATCCTCGCAAGAACGAGGATAAGATCCGCAAGGCAGCGCTCGAGATGGGAGAGAGCGAGGAGTTGTATTTGGGGGAACCAGTGCCAGAGGAGTTACTGCAGTGAGAATCAGTCTCACTGATCATATTTTCTCTTATCACCCATCTTCAACTACCTGGAAGATCCAGCCCTGACTTGTCCTGAGCAAATCTTTGTTAAAAAGATATACCTACCATTCCTCATGCTCTTGGTTTTCAACGCAGGGTCGCATGTATAATCTCTTTACCTTTTTTATTTCCCTCCTCACTTTTTCATACATATCGTCCGGGGAAAGGGGGCAAGGCATTTAGGGTAATTTGTTTGACCGTTATGTATCATAGAAAGTTCACTACTTCTCCTGGGCGGAGATGACAGGCGTATCTGGGATAAGTTTGGACAAAAGGGGGGCAACTATAATCGCATATTTTTTATTGTACCATAGCAAAAAGTAAATGATAATACATGCCTTTGGCAGACGTATTAACCGAGTATATGCGCTTTGATGCAATGCGAGCTTCTCGTGTCACCTCGCGGCACGCAAGATCCAGCAACAGCCGGAGGACAAGGTGTTGTTCGACAAAGCGGGGCCTTCATCCCCGCGCTCTCAAATATTTGCAATGCTGCTCTATTGCATACCTCTTGATTGATAATAACTATGAATAACAATCCATACACACAAGGATATAATAAAATATAATAATAATAAACTCCAGAAAGGAAAAGGATAAAACTGTCAGTCGGTAGGATATGCCAGCGCGATAATAAGCAGCGTATATACCACAGGAGATAAGGAAAACACCTGGTGCTACAGTAAAAAGAGGTTTGGTACAATAATAATTAGTGTTCAACCAGGGGCGCGGGAGAAAAGGAGACGTAGCAAAATAATAATAAAGGAGTAAAAAAAGTTTCCGAACCCCATTTTTCCGTATGTCTAAGGAAACAAAAACAACAAAACAGCAGGATCAATAAAATGTATATGGCGCACAAACCGTTTTCGAGAATTGGGCCATTCGGGCCAAAGTAAACGTCAAACATAGACCCAACGGTGCCTGAGTACCAACACCCATCCATGGACAAGTCACGAAAGTAGTGAGTGACCTTATCGTAAGTAGAGAAAGGAGAGGGAAAGGAAGGATATCAAAACATCAACCTCACTTCTTGCCCTTCTTCTTCTTGTTCTTACCACCACCGCCGCCACCAACAGCGGGTCCGCCACTCTCAACCAACACGGCATCATCATCACTACTATTCTGTCTAATTGGTGCAGAGCCCGAACCCGCACTGGTCTGTTTAGTAGAAGAATCGGTTATCAACTCCTTCATGAATTCTTCTTGGATGCTAGCCTTCTTCTTATCCCACCATTCCCTCTCCTCCTTAACGGTAGATTGGATCTCCTCGACTCGTTCGCGGAGAAGGTTGTTGACAACCATTTCATTGGCGGACTGGAAGATGGTGCTGCCCCAGTTGGGGACGAAGAGGTTGGCCTGGGCAATGGACAATTGTAAGCAAACAGGGCCAAAGGAGTGGACAAAAAGGGAAAACAAATGGAGAGCTAAACATACCTCCGCAACCACATCTCTGACCTCCTCCTCCATCTCTTTCTCCGCCCTCAGAAACCGCTGCCACAAATCATCACCAACACTGCCCTTCTGCAACAGACCCGCGAGCGCCGGCTTTTGGCTGCGCAACTCGATCAGACGGCGGATATCCTCTGCCGCACGTCGGAGGAGAGCTGCCTTTAGCACGGTCTCAGGTACCTTCTTCTCCTTTGTTGATGTCGTTGTTGGCGCTTTAGATGTGCTTGGCTCCTCGTGAAGGCAGGTGAGGGAGAGGTATATATCTCGTTGTAAATGTGGAGGGAACCATGGCGTTAAGGAGGTGGATTTAGCTAGTAGGGACAAAGATTATGAGTTAGAGAAAAATGGAAATAGGTAACCTGAAAAGATATCGTCACATCGGATCGACAGATAACTTGCAGCCGCAGCTACGAAGGCAGGCAGAAAGGCAGAAGGAAATAGTAAAGCAGAGAACTGTTTAAATAGAGTCACATCGAACGAGTTCAAACTTACCAGCTTTCCGTTTGCGATATAGGGAGGAGAAGGTCGCTAACGAGCCGACGAGGATGCCTATGTAGGCGATGGGAAAGGTTAAACTGAGCCAGTTCACCATCGTGTAAAAGGAGGGTATGTGAATGCGAATGCGAATATGAAAAAAAAAGGAGCGTCGAGCGAGAGAATTCGACCGCTCTATTTGTTTCCGTATGTATATCTTGCTCTCCCCGATGATTGTGCTGATTTTCCCTTGGGCTCTGTCGGCAACAATTGCAACGCTGTTCGCTGCTTGATATGTCCGTCACAACAGAAATACAGAATCGAATAGGCAGAGATGTGTCGTAAGTCAGTCCGTAAAGTGGTCGTTAGTTCTGTGGGTGATTAAAATTCGCAGAATAGGAGGTCGATGCTTCCCCAGGGTTTGATTGTCGCCCGTGTTGAAGGGGAAGGCTTTTTCGTTGCCCAAGTCGAGATAGGAACGTGTCGGCTTATACATTCGGCGAGACGACAAATATATGTAGAATAGGAGTCCTTGAGCTGCGCATGGCGGTAGCGTGGAGCCGTGGAGCTGGTCGTTGTATATCTGGCTCTATCTGGCCGCATGGAATGGATGCTGGAGGCCAACGCTTGCTTAGGTAAGATGACACCTGGGCAACTTCGGGGGCCGCGCCGCGCTAGTCTGTTTCTGGTAGTTACCCGGCAAATTTCCACGTTTGGCACGTGGGAATTCCTGATTGTGTATTGGTCTGGCAGACATGCAGTGCTCCCGTACTTATTCTATCTAACTCTCTGAAAAAGAAAATAGAAATAGAAATAAAATGGAAGGTTCATATAGATATAACTACCATAGAAACCAGTTCTATAACATAGGAGATGAGTTGGGGGAGAATAGGTGCATGAGCTAGACAAAAAAAATAAAAACACTACCTGATAAAACAAACCGCGAAAAGGGAATTATCGTACCCAAATACAAGAAAAGAAAACAAAAGGGATGAGGGAAGGGAGGAATTTTTTGCAAAAAGAGCTTAAATACACGGGACAGTGAAATCGATTCTCGCCCTGTTACCTATCATAGAAAGGTAATAAGCTTAATTGAAACAATAAGTAAAGCGTACAAAAACACCCAACCATACCGCCACCTGCACGCACACAAAAAAGGCTTTCATTTCAATCCTACCCCCTTCCCGCCCCTAAGATAAAAAGAAAAATGCTCAAGAAATCACCGAAAAGTCCTGCATAGACTGTATATCACTCAACACCTCTTCAAACGCCTGCTCCACCGCCTCCGCAACCTCTACCCGATTCCACTCCCCACGCATCCTCCACACGCAATCCATAAGGCTCGTATTAACCTGCTCCAGCTGTTCAACGGACAGCCCATTGGTCCTCTGCGTAAATGTCTGATGCAGTGCTTCGAGACGACGGTCATCTACAATCAACTTCCCAGCAGCAGGAGGGAAGGGAGCTGAAGAATGGTGATGTTCTTGTTGGGCACCCTCCCCGTGCAGAAGTTCCTGCACGCGCGCTTGGCGGGGCGTAGTTGTCGTCCTCGGTCCGGCACCGTCGAATGGTGGTATGGGAGGTTGTGCATCCCATTGTGAGAATTTGCTATTGTTGCTGTTGTTGATGTTGCGCTGCGATTGGCTGCCATTTGCAAGGCTAGGTTCCGAGTTCGCAAAGTCTACAATGCCCGTAAGGGGTGTGCCCCAGGCACCGCTCTCACCCTGCTGCGTATCGGGTAGAGGCTCATCTCCAGACAGGCGGTCAGGGTACAAATTCAGATCTGGGTACTCATGTCTCGCTGAACCACTTATTGAGCTTTGGGTGTTAATCTGGTGTGCATATGAAAGACCCGAGTGTTTTTTGTCTGAAGTTGTTTGCGTAGTAGAGGCATCGTTGGTGTAGTCACCTGGCTGTGAACCAGGGGCCATTGGCGTCAGTGTCCTCTTCTGCGACAAATTTGAGAGACCGGATTGTTGCCGGAGCTGTTGGGAAGGTGCGGTGTAAGAGTGTGGTGGTCGTGGTTGTGCCGATTGCCCAAAGGAACTATTCTGGGTATTGTCGCGCTCGCTGGGTTGAACATCATCTGAATTTGACATCTGAACATCGCCATCAGCACCAACAAATCCGTTGCTGGCTGGAGGTCGACTGCCGGTTTCATTCGCACCCACGCTAGTTTTACCCGGCCCGTGTCCATTCGTAACAGTACTGGCGTGAGAGATACGAGTCGGGGTGGTGGGTTCCCCATGGGTTGAGAGGTGACGACCTGCAAAAGGTTCGCCCAGGACAACCGGCCCCGATGATTGGTATGATGTTTCCGTATTTCCATGAGGAACATTCATTATTGGAGGAGGAGCCATGACACCGTCCGCGCCCGCCGCCCGCTTGGCTTTTTCGAGAGAAACCCTCTCACGTTCGACTTCACGAAGGTAGACTTGCTCGCACTCAGCCACAAGCAGGGGATCTGTGTGTTCAATATTACCGATATCAACTTCAACATTTGATAATAATTCGTTTGCCTTCAGCTGCCTATCCTGGTCTCCAAGCTGCCGTGCATCTTTCGCAATCCGCTTAATATCAGCCAAAAAGTCCTTCGGCCGCTTATAATATCCATTGGACAACCGTTTCTCGATTGTAACAATATCAAGGTTGTAATAAAACTTTCCGGATACAGTTTCGCGCAAACCAGGTACGCCGTGTTTGTCAACGTCCTTTTCGAAAGGGCGGAAGGTAGTGCGGTGCACTAAAGGTATATCACTTGTTACAATGTTCGGGTCCTCCTCTTCATACAGATACCCAATTTGCGCTTCGTCAATGACGCCAGCCCGGAATTTCTTATATTTCTTAATCTCGTCCATGATTGGTTGAATTCTGATCTTCAAAGCGTTCAGAGTATAGCGATCCCGTTTCTTCTGTGCCTTTATCTCTTGTCGTGTTGGGGGTACTGGTGGTGGTGGAGGAGCCGGAGGGGCGCGTTCTAGCGTTTCGAGCTTTCGCCTTTTCCTATTCTCTGGGTCGGGAAATTCGGGCGGAGCACTTTTAATATACTTGATTAAGTTACTAAAGAACTCGTATCGCCATAGACTTTCGGGTGCATGCAGATCAAATCGATTCTTTTTGGAAAAACCGAAGAAATCACGCATCATCGTGGTATCGATATTGTCACCATCATCCTCAAGTACCCCAAGAAGTAACACAGGATCCGTTGGGGGAAGCGAGCGTAGTAAACCAAGGAATGTTGAAATGACTGTTTGCCCGACTGTTTCGTACCAGGTTTGCACGTTGGGTATATAGATGACACTTGGTTTGTGCCGTTTCACCTCTGTAAAAAGTTGAACTACACTAGCTTCTGGTGACCTGGTAGAGTCGCTTATTAGCGTTGGAAGATCAAAAGCTTGTACATGCAGTCCCTCAAAGTGGTGCAGCAGTGCAGCCGCAAGATACTGCTGGCCCATTCCCGGATTGCCCCGAATCAGTAGCCTTGGCCTAAATATGCGGGAGGTCTCAAATTCTTGTTGCATCCGTTCTTTCTTGAATCCAGCAGAGTCCTCCGGCTCTTCAAACTGAGCCTCTTCCAAAGGCGTAAGCCGCTTCTTTTGCGGAAGAATCCCTGCGAGGATCTGCTTTATGTCGCGTAGTGGAGCTTTGAGGAGGGGTTCAACAATGGAAGGTAAAGGCGAAGCACCCGATGATGCAGACCTTTCCGATGAGGGAACAAGCTTTTTGATAGACATCATAAAGTCCTTTGGGGAAACTTCTATCTTCTTCGGGTCAATCAGGAGCTTCTCGTTCGATCTGTAGATTTGTGGATACTTTCGCTGGACTGCAGTTAAGGCTGCTTCTGTACATAGAGCCCGTAGATCCGCACCGCCATACCCCTTGGTCAGCTCTGCTAATTCATCCTTGATTTCGTCTGGAAGAGGAGGATCCCAGCCCCGAGTATGAATATCCAAAATCGCGCGTCGGGCTTCAGTATTAGGTAGAGGGAAGTAGAATTCGCGATCGAACCGCCCAGGGCGTCGCAGGGCCGGATCAATGGAATCCGGCCGATTCGTTGCCCCGATGACAATAACCTGGCCTCGACCGTCCATACCATCCATCAATGCAAGGAGAGTGGAAACAATAGACGCATGAATCTGTTCCTGTTTACTCGATCGAACTGGTGCTAAGCCTATATTTCAATTCCATCAGCTAAAGATCCTCTTGATAAGGGTAGTAGGATATACAAGGGAAGTAAAACACATAAAGCCTTACCATCAATTTCATCGAAAAAGATAATGCTAGGTTGGGTCTTTCGAGCTTCATCGAAAAGTAAACGGAGTTGCCTCTCCGCTTCACCCACCCATTTGCTGAGAGCATCTGCTCCCTTTCTCATATAGAAGGTTACCTTACGGCCCTCTGAACTCACGCTAGAGGCGAGAGCCCTAGCAAGAAGCGTTTTTCCGGTACCAGGAGGTCCATGAAACAAAACACCTCGTGGTGGAACGATATGAAACCGTTGGAAAATCTCCGGATAGAGCAGAGGAAGCGCAACCATTTCCTTGAGCTGGTCGATATGACCTTGTAGACCCCCAACGCTGTCGAAATTGACATTGGGATCGATTCCCAGCGGGTCAGAGTCAGCCAGAGCTTGCTTATCCTTCACCTTTCCGAAATTTGCTGGAGTGCCTGAGAGACCAGGGGCGGTATCAGGTGCGAATGCATGGCCAGGAGCAATATTGAACCCGGGTGCAAATCCTGCCGTAGGGGTCATCCCTGACATTCCACCAATCATTGGCCTTTGGCCGGAATCATCATCGCTACTGTCGCTGTCTGCTCCACCTGCTGCGCCCGTCCCCGGACCCCCTAGGAGCGGCGGAAGGCCACCTGCACCTCCAAAGGGGCCATAGGTTGAAAATAAGGTTCTCTGCCAGCCACTGCCTCCACCTCGACCACGCCGCGAAGGAGACCCGGAAGGTACGTTGTCTTCATCTTCAATAGGCAAAGTAATCTCAGGTCGGATGATTCTATAGTCCACAGACTTTCGAGTGCGCCGCGGTTTATCTTCATAGACTATTTCATTTTGTGCTCTCCGGCGGCGCCGACCAGGTCTCAGCTCTGCCAGTTCTTCTGCAAGTTCACCTGCCTCCGATTCAACACGCCCTTGGGATTGAGATTGTCGCTTTCTAAGCCTGGATCGACGGTCATTACTACTCTCATAAGCCTCGTCGATATTTTGTTGGCTGTCTTTGCGCGGCGAGGCCTGAGATGCTTCCGATTCAGATAAATCTTCATCATTGGCCTCGTCATCATTCGGCTCAAAATCGCTGCCATCCTCTTCTGGTTGGCGCGAACTTCGAGCGGCAGATTTGCGCGTGGAACGGCGAGTGGGTGGGTTTGCCTCTTCCACAGTCTCAGCTGGCATATTCTGCTTCCGACTCGCCCGGGGGTTTCTACTCGACCGTGGGGCCTCATCCTCATCTTCTTCCTCTTCGTTTTCCCCACCTTGGTCCGATTCAGGTACAAAGCCCTCTCCACCCATTTCAACATCCTTATCTTGAGAGTTCTCTTCTGCTTCAGGTGGAGGATTAATATTATCTGACGCAGCCACAGCTGGTGCGTCTTCCTCAAAATCTCCATGTTGGTCACTTTCCATTATTTCAATCTGCGACGCCACCGGGTCAGCAGGCACTGTATCACCTTCGTCTTGCAACTCCTGGTTGGAGACTTCCTCTTCCTCGTCGATGGTACTTTTGGAGGGAACATGAGCAGGCGCGGCAGCGCCCCTACGTGTCCGTGGCAAGGACTCAGGACTGCGTGTGGCTTTACGTACTGTCTGGACGTGGCGTCCGGAACCAGTGAGTGCAACAATATCCTCAGTCTCATCGTAGGTTCGGCGAGTAATTCGCCTGGTCCCTTGATACTCGGTGGGTGTCGGATTTTCCTTGCTGGCGCTTCGACCCCGGGTATTCCTGGTAGGACGGGTCGTGCTTGACTGGGCCGCGATGGGGAACTTCACTAATAATCGTCTTGTTGTTCTACCTTTGTCGGTATTTCGTGATTTCCCCTTCACCTCCCGCTTATCTTCCTCTTCCTCGTCTTCCTCCTCCTCCAGCTCATTCTCATCCTCATCGCTAGTAGACGAAACCTGATAGTTGGCTTTTTTTGCAGCCCTCCTCTTTATCGATCCTCGCGCGTTTCTTTCTAGGGTGGGATCGTCTTCATCAAACTCAGATTCAATCGAGATGTCGTCCTCACTGGTAAGGATGTCGGACTCGTCATCATCGTCATCCATCGAGTTTCTTCTCCGCCGTTTAGTAGGTCGTTTCTTCGATTTGGATTTGGAGGTAGTGGACTTCCGTGCAGGTCGCGGCTTGCTATCGCTGTAGTCGCCATCGTCGGAATCTGACTTCAGCACGATCTCCTCCAGCGTGCGTTTTGAAGTACGAGGCATGGTGTCCCACGCGTTCGGATATGGTAATGGAGGCCTTTTTTTCGAGGTCTAATATTAGCAAAAATAAATGCAGCCCAACGGATTCCTTGTATTCTTCCTATTTCTATATGACTCCCCAGATAGGGAAATATTCTTCTAATGATAATCAAAGAAAAAATCCGGAGTCGAAAGGCGCACGTACGGGCAGCGTTGTATAGTATAGGGCTGGAGTGAGTAGGAGAGAAGGGATGGGATGGAGTGTAGTAGGAGAGCGACGGGCTGAGTTGGATCAAACAAACATTTACACTCCTCCTAATACTCGAACACTAAAACGGGGTTCATCGATCGCTGCCAGGGATATCGCTCGAGGAAGCGGAGCAATTGGGATATGCGGGTCAGTTTCGATATGTGGTTTGGGGTCTCTGTCTGTCTGTCTGCCTCCGTTGTCACCGCGCTTGGAGCCTCCCTGGTGTTTTTGGCCGCTTTGCTTCAGCCACCGCGCTAGTCCTCCTTAGGTCTAGTTCAGATATGACTAATGGCGCGCTATATCCAAACTAGGCTTAGTGGAATCTAACCGACTGCAAAGCTCCTGGGCGTTGAGGCCAAACAAACGCGCAAAACTTCTGTGTTAACGCTTTCCATGGCTGTTTGGCCCCTCGATATCGCTTCGCTTGTGCGTTTGTCAAGCATTAGATGCCACATACCACCGCGAACGCTGCGGAATTGCTGCCAAACACATCTTCTTAGCGAATTCGTTCCCGCGAACAGAGTTTTGGTCATTTTGAACCGGAATTCGACGTCCCCATACCTCGCCAACGGCACCCCGAATTTTCATCTCGAAAGATATCAACATGGAAAAGCTTTGATGATCGACGTCAGAGTCCCTTGCGGCTCAAGACAAGCTTATCGGTCCTTAAATTCGCCGGCAGCTTGCCGCATGCTGCAGAATCGGCCCGTTTTGGGCCCCGTGTTATCACGTGACTTGATAAGTCAGCCATGATTTATCTTGTAGATAATTGTTGGGGGTCCCGAGTTGATCGGCCCTTCTACCAGCAGTGCGCTGGTGGTGACTGAGCTCTTTTGCCCCAGTAGCCTACAATAATTGAAGACAGGCCCTGGAACTAAATTATGTCTCCTTAAAGCTAATGGTAGCCAAGGAAAAGCAGGCCCACTTCAAAATTATCAAGTACGATGCTTTTCCTCTTCCCTACCCCCGCCTGCTTGGTATCGGAAGATGCCCCTATCCCAGTTGAGGCTGCAGAGTTCAATGTCCGCCTTACGGAGTACTACTTCCAACACTATTATTACTGTGGGCTGCTCGTCAATATTGAAATGAGCGGGGCCCTTCTTACATTTTGGTCGCGTGGCTCTGTGGTTCCACAGTCCCAGTTTATGAGATTGAAGCTTTCCCTATATTAACGAACTACCTTATATTTCCTCCAAGCAAGAAATTTTGCTTGCCCCCCAAGGATGTGCAATTTCAGAGTGCGAGTCCATAATGGCGATCGCTATTAAACACTCAGGGAACCACGCAGGGACGTGAAAAGCCAAAGAACTAAGTGTGAAACTGAGAACACGCAAGACTCCAGCATGGGATCACTCCAATGCAGCTGGCAACAAAAACCAAGCTGCATCATGATGGTCTAGATAATCAGCCTGTCATTCGTTGCTAAATCTCCTGGCAAGTTCAAAAATTATTGGCGGATTTTGAAATATACATACGGTATCGATTGGGGTGATTATCTACTGGGTGATATGTGGAGCGCTGTTAAGGGTGGTGGTATCATCTTGCTGGTCTCTCGCGGTCTCCATTTGAGTTATAAGATCGCTCTCGCTACACTCATGCAGTTGCGAGGGGCATCTCTCTTTAACAACACGTAATTGGCTTCTCTACTTGCCCAGGCTAGTGTTTGGCCATGATCAGGAGAATCGTGAATTCTTGATAAACCATTCCAGGATAGTTAATCAATTCTTCAGGCACGAAGAATTTCATAAGTCTGAGTGCAACTACAATGATATGCGTGAATATATTTACAGACTATGTTTATGCAGACGAAGGGCTTCTCCTTGAACACATAGTTAAGGGTAAATCACGACAAAGGCTGTATTGCATACTTTTACGTATAGACAGCGAAATCTTCGGAAAATCTGTTATCACGTGAGTAAATTCTTGGCGCTTCCGCGCTGTTTTTCCGCCAGCGCTCTTTCCGCCCCCTACCTATGTAATCTACAATCTACATCCAACTCCGAGCGGATTCCCCGTACATATTTTTTATCCACCATTCATCCCTCCTAAAAACAAATAGCAACAATGTTTCGCTCTTTGATACCAAAATCCACTCGAACTCCTCTCCCCCCATCATCATATCTTAGACAAAACCCCTTAAAATATACCTTCGCATCACCACTAACCCGACGAACGCTCACCTCAACGCCTCCACGACTCAATGATAATAGCACGCAGCATTCCACAACTACCAATGCACCTTCCGCGCATGTAAGTCCCTCAATTATCTACTTCTTTTTCAATTTTTTTGCACTTCCGTACGGCCTTACTGTTTCCGTTTTCTATTTCGCTATTTTATTTTATTTTTTTTTTTTTATCTAACATGAAGTGATAAACGCGCTGGCGCGTTCGTAATACAATTGGTTTTGACAGACAAGTATATACAAAAACTTCGGCGGGGCCTTTGCAAAAGTTTTCCTAGGCGGCGTACTCACATACCAAATTATCTATTGGGCATGGGTGAGGCTGGAGGTTGATGAGGAGAAGGTTATCAGGAATAGTAAGTTTTAAAAACTCTCTCAACTTGCTATTGCGTTTTTATTTTCTCAAAATTTATGCCTTTGAAATTTTGTATTTCAAATATAACCCTTCCTTTTCTTTAGGAAGTATTTAAAAGAGAGCTGTAGAAAAAGACCAAGTTGCTGATGATGCTTATCTTTTCCCCCTTCCTCTTTGTTTTCTCAATAGAGGAAATAGCTGAGCTAGAAACTAAGGCGCGGGAGTTGTCGGCGACGCTAAAGACGAAGAAGAATGATTGATTTGCCAAGGTGATGGATGGAGCTTTAATAATGTGTTAAAATTTCCAGGAACGGATATCACTGCGGCTGGAAGCTAAGGCGGCTTGTATATTATATTACTTTTTCTCTTTCGTGTTTTTCTTCTTCACTTGTTGAATATTATCCATGGATATGATCGGGTATCACGAGATGCTGATTGGGTTTGTAGGCGATGGTGATGTTGAGATACCAATGCACCGACCCTTTGCTATCTATTGTATATTCTGCTTTTGGGGATCGATGATTACGACACAGACTAAACATCTAAGGCTACTTTGCATTGATACAATGGTGAAGTCCTGATTCCATGACTTCTGTATTATATTCTCCTGCAAATAACCCGCACAAATACATGTATGTGCCCATATACCCAACGAAACACACGACCTAAGCAGCATCAATCCATTGAAGGGGTAAGAAACTTAGAGCATATTCACAAGTATCCCAATCCTCCCTTCCCAATTGCCTCCAGGTCAGCACGAATCTCCCATATATCTGCACCGACCCGATGCGCAATCTCCGCCTTTCGCTGCGTGCCCAAATCAAGCCATCTATGTAGCAGGTCACCATCAACCATACCCCGTCCACCAATGCCATCGCTCTCAATAGCTCGGAACGCACGGGGGTTGAGCCCACAAGGGTGCTCGAGCGTATTGATCAACTGAGATTGCAAGGCGGAGAGTCTTCGGTATGCAGTTTCAGAAAGTGGAGTGATGAGTGCGATCGACCCGGTTTCCGATGTTACAAGGACGTGATAGAGCGGCCCGGAGGAATCGAGTTCCATCATGTCTGGGTTGGCGTCTGGTCCCTGAGCTGATGGAATTATTGTTCGGGGGAGTAAGGTCATGGTTGAGGCAAAATGGCCCGTGTGAAAGGTGCTGCGGTGCAGTAATCTGTCACCCTTGGAAGACCCAGGGTCTTTTGGGAGGTTTTGTCAGAATAACTTTCATCAAATTAGCGAAAAGGAACTGTTTTTGTCTCACCTTCAGGATCATACTGCAGAACATGTATGTTGCAGTCATCATCAGCGACCAATATGTATAGACGTTTTCCATCAGGAAGGAAGTCGGCGGCCATCACTTGGAGCGTGCCGTCATCCTTACTGAAAAGAGATAGCTTGTATGGCTCCTCCTATAAATTTGCGGTTAGACATTTATGCTGCATCGGGGTATAGCAGCGGATAAACTTACCGAATACCCTGCAAACCAAATGCCCTTCAAAGCGTCTCCCATGATGCACATCCCCGTACCCTTGAGCTCTTTAAGAACATTAACGTAGCATTGCATATCCATGAACGCCACCGGTAAAAGACTACCATCCTCTTTGAGGCCTCTGACTATGCACTTCTGGCCCTGGGCAGCAATCAAAAACCCTTGACCACCAATTCCTGAGAGAGATGTCACAGCGCCCTTAACCTCTTCCTTGGCGATTAACTTGAGCTTCCGGTTGGTCTCTGGTCTGTCAACCTCAGGAACGACTTCAATGACTTCGAAAATGTAAATGCAACCACGTGCAGCAATGTCCTCTCCTCGCGTGACTGCTGTACCTACTGCAATCATATCCCTACGTTCATGCGTAATTTCCGATACCTCAAGGTCCAGGCATTTAACACACATTATACGCTCCGCAGTTCGCAAAGTATGACTAGAACGGGTGTTAAAATATTATATTGACGAATCGAATATATGCTCCAAATTTCCTTACCTATCGATAATCGACCACGTCCTCGGGCTTAATAGTTTAACACTCCCCTGATCGATTTGGGGGAGGAAGGATATCACTATATTTGTTTTTTGGATTAGCAATAGCTGCCTTCACGTGAACATGATTGCGATCATACCTTCGTTTCGCCATTCAGGATGGATTTCATCATCTTCAGGCAGGTTGAAGTCGACTTTTTGGCTGGTTCCGATAACGTATGTTTCTGACGAGGAGGAATACTCAACAATATCTACCTGTTCGCCGAGGCCAATTTTTCGTGTGGCCCACGAGCCATCAAAATGAGTGTTTCTGGGAAATCGACACATCCGCACAACATTCTAGGTGATGAACATAAGTTACTTGTTCATACGCTTGGACGGAAGACAGAAGAAAGAAAGAGACTTACATCAGCATCGACATAGACAAACCCTCTCTCACATGCGGGTATATTAAAACTGCTCAACGAATGGACTGTCTTGCCCCGGAGGTTCAGAACATGTGGAATGCTTGTGGATGATTTTATTACGAAGCAAGGAGAATTTCCGGGCATAAACACAGTTCGATAGCCGCAAACATCCCCTAAAACGCGGAGTGGTTTCGGCAGCGCACCGATGTGGGAACTATCTTCCACGTTTGATCCGGCATGGAATTTCGGGAAATGATGATTGATGGTTTTCAGAAAGCGCAAATCAGACGATTTCTTTTCAGTGGAATGGGTAGTATGGTATGGCTCATACAATATGAGGTCGTTGTTGCTGGATCGCAGCTAATTTTGTGAGGTTGGTAAGTTTTAAGGTTGGATAAAATCTCACGTCTCGAGAATGAGATAACTCACGATTAGGTACGGGGTTCGGCTAACAGAGTCCCCAATATCTGCGACCAGTATTTCCGTTAAGCTCTCACGATATGTTGCTCGTTTTGGAGGTGGCTCTGTTGAAAGTATTTGCGGCAATAGGTCAACACATTCCGCAGTGAACACAGGCTCCTTTGCATTTGGGAGGTGGAATATCTTCAAGCTTAGTTAGTTTATTTTAATCCTAGGCAATTCAATACGAGCAATCCTTACATGAAGTTTGGATTCAGAGCTAAGGAGGAACAAAAGGACGTTGTCGGATAGCTTTCTGCTGGGCGCTGTTTCATAAGACATGAACGACCGATACTTATCTTGGTAAAGCGATCCTGAAATCCATGTTGTTGAATTAATGATGCCATCAGCTTCTATCTCATCTAAGTCGCCAGACCCATCCGCTTGAAGAAGCAGTACCGATTGGTCGTCGCGGATAATAAGGACGTATGGATCGGCGAAACTCGCATGCACGACATATTTTTCCTCGCTCATATCTTCGTCCCACACCGGGAATATTTGAGCAAGACCAAGACCTAGCTACCAGTCAGTGATATCATATTTAAAGCTAACGATATTGATCGTGAGATAAGGAGGGGGAAAAGTTTGACATCAATAACAAAAAAAGTCCGTGAACTTACCACTATCGTAACTCCGTACTTCACCTTTAAGAACTTGTACCACTCTAGTTCCGCCTGCGAGTGTTCCAATGTCAATAGTGCGATCTTCGTTAGGGTTAAACTCGGACGCTTTAGTCTCTTCTAGCCCTCCACTGCTCATTGTGTACACAACTGATTTCTCCTTGTCCGAGCCTTTGGACTTGGATAGCAGAAGGTAATGGTCATAGTTGCTGCTAGCATTCAGCGGAAGCGACCCGCTTTGCGAAGGCAATTTGGGGTCTTTAACATGCACAGACCATGCCCCATCTGTGTCCTTGATCATCAACGAATCGATGACGTAAGGATCTATTTCACGCCTGAGTATTGTAAGGCCGCCAGCTTTGCCATATCCCTGAGTTGCAACAAGCTCTAAATTCGTTGATAGGCTGGAGACAGGCTGGCGTTTGTCCTTATCTCGGGAGCCAGCGGGCCTACCGAGGGTCAAGTCTCTCATTGGGCCTAAATTCCACAGACGATCATGGATTCGAAAAGTATAGTCATTGAGGTTAGTACCTTTCACGGATAAAGAGCCGCGGGCTTTAGCTCCTGTTGGAACTGGTGTTGCATATAGGTCATCTTCATATATATCCTCATCATCTTCTTCCTCATCAGAGGAGAGCTCGGCGATGTTATCGTCGCCCGCTCCTTGTACCGGTGGATCCTTTGGTCTAGTAGATGGCCTTGACCATCCGATAAGAACCGAATCGCTTTCCTCGCTGCCGAAAAATATCTTGCCTCTACCGAGTGGAACCGAACAAGACGGCCTCGCTTTTAAAAGAGAGCCTCCCGCCAGGTCGGGGACTAGCCGTAGAGATATTCCAGATACCGATCGTCCGTCAAGTTTGAAACTAAGTACCGCCATTTTACCATTGAGTAATACCAGTAACATGTCGCCATTTTCCGTTCCCAGTTGTTCCACAATAGAGCCCTCCAGGCGCATTTCCAAATCAGATTGATCGGCCATGGAGAAACTAGATGCTTCCCTAGCGAACTCATTGACACCCACAGCGTTGGTCTTGCCTGCTTGGTCGATATGGACGAGTTCGTTGGTCCCGATTAATAACGCTCCTCCAACAGGCGGAGGGAGCGCAACAACCTTGAATAAATCGTTTGGGAGGCGGGAAACTGAGAGTAAGGTGGTAGACGCGCGCTGTTCTAGATCTAGCGTGAAAACCGAGTAAAAGACTACGTCTTTTCGATCATGTAATAGAGCAGAAGATGTAGCCACTTGTGAATATAGTATTCCAAAGGTAGGTTCCCGATATTCGTATAAAAATGCTAGACTTATCGGGTGAAGCATTGCGGGTTCTAGTGCTGCTATCGGGAGAACAAAGGAGGATGCATAAGGAGTGTGGAACGCTAGTCCATTGGACTTTTTTGCCTCGTCTTGTCCTTCTGCCGTATGGTTCGTATCCCTGGGGGGTTCTTCAACGTCCGAATCAAAGTCATCCATAACCAGGTCATCGCCCACCTGGTGGAAGGGCAAAATAGCCAAGTTCTTTTTCCCAAAGTTGAGTACCGCGCACCTGCTGCTCGGATCAACTGTCAAATGGCTGGGACAGTTCGCAAGATTCGGAGTCCAAGGGCTAATGTGCACATCATCCCTCTCGTAATAATGAATGGATGTTGTAGCAATTTTGTGACGTTCAGGATCCCATTCAATGAGACTAAGTTTGGCGTTCCGGGTTCCAACAAGAACAGCTTCTCCACCGCTTTTAGAGTTGAGTATTTTCACACGACCCAGATCGGTAATAGTACCCGAGAGAGCATATTCAGCCACCAGCACTAATTTGGTGTACTGTGATCTGGTTTTCTCATCTGACTGGCCAGGAGCAGATCCGTAGACGACGTTAACAAGGTTAAACACCTGGAGAAGGGTAGATTTTGCCACTATCAAATTGTTGGACGTTCCCGAAAGAAAGGGGACGGACAAAGCATGCGTTACCCCTGAAGGGGCCAGCAGCTCCGTATAACATTGCATGTTTAGTGGGCATTGGAGTGGACTTCGAACTAAAATGTTAAACTCGCATTGCGAAGTCCAGGCAGAAAATATGCTATCGCACCATGAGAGTTATTGAAACGGGGCAAGCGGAAGAAACACAATCATATATCAAACAAGATGCAATGGGTGAGGTAGGTCGTAGAGCCGCAGGTTGTTCTCTGGCGTTGAATATTTGAAGCTTCCATTTTCGTCCAGCTCTCGGCCAAGACGGGAAATTCCCCAATTCGGCTTAGCATCATCCAGGAACCTCTCTTCAGTTATTTGAGTTTCACGCTAAACTATTTTTATGCCAAATCAGAATATTGGCACGTGATATCGCGTTTTATGACGACAGCCATCTTGATATCAAGTTCCGAAAAAACGAACACCACCCTAGATTTTATGGGATATTCATGGTCCATAAACATGCGGAATATTGAATTGTTGGAAATTTAGAGATATGATTGCTTTCATGCTCTCTCTACCTTCGATGAATCTCTATTTGGATTACTCTTCCTAACAGAGCACTACTCCGCGCCAGTCACTTTTAACTGGGCCTACTTGCCTAGGTCGCGAGTCCATATATATCCGCCCTCGAATTTTTGTACAACTTTTCGATATGGCATTACTACAGTCTTCTTTGATATGGATAGTATATGCGATCGTTGTTGTCATACTCATCGCCGTGGCGTCCATTTTCTTTTACACCTACCAGACCCCTCGTGAAAGGTCGGCATCTGTCACGACGGCATGCATATTCACCCTCACAGCTTTACTAGCAACAGTTCTTTTACTACCAGTCGATGTGGCTTTGGTGTCTTCTACCAACTTGCCCAAGGAAGGGAGACGAAAGTCCTGGGCGACGCAGGATGAGGTCGACAAGATTACCTTTTCCTTAACAGTTACTTATTACTTCCTTTACTCTCTCGACGCGGTGCTTTGTCTAGTGGTGGTGCCTTTCACATACTTCTGGTATGAAGAATATGATGAAGTAGCAACTGAAGAGGGTTTGCAGAGTTGGAGGAAAAGATTCTGGGGTGCTTTCAAATACACTATAGCTTTTATTCTGCTAACAGTTATCCTATTTCTGGTTGGATTCTTCGTACCTGTGGCACGAAACAGGGACGCGCCAAATTTTGATCTCGACTACTTCAAAAAATTGCTCACAGAAAATCGTACGTTCTCTCAAGATTTCTGTGAAAATAATGGATATGAGCATAATTGGAGCCATACTAACATATCAATTTTAGATGGAGAACGAGCATTAACCTTTGCGCTTGGTTTGCTCATCACAATCGGGATTTTGGTGTACGTCTTGTATACATCTGCCGGCCTGGCCTTGCTCCCCGTCACTTTTATCAAGTCGGCTCCAGCCATTTCCAGTCCAACTCTCAGTGCCAACACAGCGTCACGCCTGGAGGAGAATATAGAACGCCAGCGCCAGCTGGAAGGCCGCTGCGGTGGAGATCCAGATCGACTACCTTCGAAACAGCGAAGAGAACTCGATTCCTTGGTGCGCGAAGAGCGGACCTTACGACGAAGGCAGCGCTTATCAGAGGAAGCTCGCCGGGAAAGGGGAAGTTGGCTCCTGAAAGCATGGTTTAAGATTTCGGCCGTCTTCCGCCCACTTAAACTTCTGGGTGGCCTTCTTTTACTTGCTATTGCTATGTTGGTGTGGGTCTCTATGCTCCTAACCAGTATCGATAAGGTGATGAATTCTGTATGCAAACAGCATTGTGGCTATATCCTCGGGAAAAACAACATCTTCAATCCGGTGAACTGGGTATTTGTCCAGTCTGCCAAGGTTTTTCCGGTTGACTACATCCTCTTCATCCTCCTGGTCCTCCTCTTCTTCTGCAGTTCTGTCGTTGGAATTGCCACCATAGGAGTACGCTTTTTATGGGTCAGAATATTTCAGGTCCGAAAAGGCCACACGTCTCCGCAGGCGCTCCTTATCGCGACGGTGATGCTGACCCTGATCGCACTTGCACTCAATTACTCCATCTCGATGGTTGTCGCTCCACAATATGCAACGTACGGCCCGCAGACCTTCTGTGACCACCCACCTAAGCACCCCGGGGAACAGCCAGACTGTACTGACCTTGAACCCCTAATCAAGCCCTGCTCAGAACTAGCGGAGAACCCCTCCGCCAAGGAAATCTGTACACCCACGGTCGTCACTACATTTTTGAACCGTATCACGTTGAATTTCCCGGTTTTCGGTATCGTCTATTTCTGGGCGCAATTCGTCTTTCTCGGTAAGTGAATACATTCCTTAACCCTAATATATGCTTCCCGGACGGCCGCTATATTTTCACAAAATTTAGAAGCCCAGTGAAATACTAGTTGACTAACCACACCACACCTCGTCCGCTTTACATAGGATTCTCTCTCCTTATCTTCCTTACCACGATAATCCGGACTCCAAAGTTGGATGAGCAGCAACTCGATGAGGACATGGAAGAAGCAGAGGAAGAAGGCTTGTTGGCAAGTACAGGGAGGAGGTTTGGAGCCACATGGGAAGATATAACAGGGCGAGCGAGCCGATCGCCCCAAGTTTCCGGCTCCGCCGGTCGAGGAACCCGTGAATGAATGGAAACGGTGGTAGAAAAGGAGAATATTGAATATGCCGAGCATTTCTTGCACTTCTGTTCTCGGATAAATCTCGTTTGTATTTGTATTGTTGGCGACTAGTTCAAACTTTGGAGATGTGATAGTACGCTAGAAATCATCTCATGTGGTTTCCCATACCTGAGTAACAATACAGCTTTGGATGGTTTGGTCAAGGACAGTTTAAGGTTGGGTTGGATGGTAAATTATGCGGCGGAAGACATGTAAATTTTCTCACTAGTACGGTTATGGGTTATTTCACTTGGTTGGCTGGGAAGTTATTTATTAGGCAGAGTTTTAGGCTTGGGTTTCCCAAGGTATTTTCAGGCTAGGATCAGAAGTGCGGTACAGAAACACGCAGATATTTGACTCATTGTTTAGCTCTAGAGCTCAAAAGGGTGGTCTACATTATTTCGTACGTTAGGTTTTCGTTGGATATCGACATGAATCAGATACTGAACCTAGCAAGAAAAAAATTGTACAACGTAGTGAAAGAAAGCAACAAATCGCAGAGAAAAATCAAACATGAAACCCCAAAACTCTACTCAGCCAACGTCAGGAAATAGAAAACGAAACATCATGATTTATCCCTCTCAAACTTAACCTTCCTATGAGCTCTCTCCTCCGAATCTCCCTCTTCAACATGCACCTCTCGCCAACAACGAGCGCAATACAACAATTCCAGCTCGCAGTCAATGCATTTTATGCTAGCATCATCGCTGCAGATACAACACCAAAATGGCTTCAGGTTATCACTGATGTCCTTCCAGCGCCGACTGCGTTGGCTGCTAGTGATGTGGATAGGGTTTTCCGCAGGCACGAATGTAGGCGCAGAGGGGAGCTCTGGTGAATTAGGGTCGGGATTGGGCTGAGGTTCCTGAGGTGGTGGGGAGCGGAGTGCTGATGGGGTTGAAGGAAGATCAAGGATTGATGTTAGGAAGGTTGAGTGTGGTGGTTTAGTTGTCTCAGTGTCCGATTCCGTATTTAATACGGCTTGTTTTATGTTCCCTGCCGCATACCGAGTTGATAGGTCTTCTGTCTCTGTCCCCGGCGAGTCCGCCATTTTTAGTTCATCAAGAACCCTTTGGAGATAATCATCAGCGTCTTTATCTTCCGAACTGTGGTCGGTATCAATTGCTTTGATGGCCCCCGACTGCGATGGACGACGCTCACGATGAGTTTTTAGGTCCCTATACTGAGAAGAAGAATCCAAAAACTGTTTGGATTTCTTGATTAAATTTTCAACATCCTCCCCGTTGTCCACCTCCCGGGACTGCTCCCAGATCTTGCTCTGGAGGTCTGAAAGTAAACCTTCTATTTCATCCCCGGAGTTGATAAAGGAATCCAGATCGCCTTGCTGGAGCTCAGATTTTCCAAACGAAGTGGATGTACCAAGGCCAATGAATCGTGCAGACAAATCAACGCTTGGTTGATCGTCCACGTCTGTGTCCGATAGTTCAAATGGAAGGCTATACAGCGTCAATCAGAACCATTATTCTGTACAACTAGATTAAACTGCTAGAGTGTTTACGAACGTTGTTCGTCCCAGCTGGACGGTGGAAGGTTTTAGAGCGTTTAAGCGCTCCAAAAGCGCAGCATCATCTTTGGATGGTTTACTCTCCATAATTCATATATGGTATCCACAGTATATAGTATAGCAGGCCGAACAGCAAGCAGAAGCAATTGCAGAGTCAGGATAGCACAAGACAAGTCGACTGGCAGAATAACTCAAGGCGGTGAGCCGCCACCTTGGGCAAAGTCTTGGCGGAACAAGCCAATCGAACCCTGTGTACTCCGTACTGTACTATGCTCGAGTAGAGTAGCTACGGATATCCAGGATACTGCTTTTAATCCACCCGGAGGAGTGCAAGAGCATCTTCAAAAGCTCTCACAACATTCGCATCTGCAGGGCAGGGTGTCAGTATGTATTGTATTGTTTTCCGGCGGCCCATGACCATACAGTGTTTCTTTTTTTCTTCCAATTTAGCTTCAGAATTCTGGGCAAACCCCATTCGTGTTTTGAACCTTGCCAAATAGATGGGTTAGCTTCTTCATGTCTTCGCGGGAGGTATCTTAGGACAGAACCTACCTCTTGTATGCTCTATCTTCATCACGGTAGGCTGTCGTTTGTGACCAGGCGATGAACATCTGCCGTATATCGTTAATGTCTACTGTGTCTCTGGAGAAGAAAATATACAGCACCAACCTCAAGTAATTCGGCAGTTTCTCTCTGTAGAACCATTTCTGCCTGGGATCTTTCATCCATCGCATCTGTAAACTTTTTCTGCAGCTGTTCCCAGTCACAATCGCGAAGGGAGAGCGCCAATTTCTCATATCCATTGACTACTCCATCCTCGGTTTTAGGGCCGATATCCTTACGGAGATGTTCTGTGCTTGTTTCAGGATTTTGAGTATTAGAGCCCGCATCTAGGCTTTCTTTCCTGGGCACTGAATTTACAGCAACCGGGCGAGGTATAAGCGATGGTGAGCTGCAGTGGTCATTCGACATGGCGATATGATATCCCTGTGTTAAAAAGCACACCGCTTTATGCCTAGATGGTCACGATGACTTCAAAGCTTGCTCAGACTAAGCCACGCCCGTACCGTACCATACACCTAGGCAATATATATCAGCGAGAACTAATAACCACTTATACTGATATAACTTCCACTGTTTGTCGTCTTTTGAACTGTCGACATGATCTCCCAATGTGACTTGCAAGGCGGCGTTGCCCACGAGGAAGGAGAGTTTGCAGGAAGCAAATATAGGTGCAAACAGTGCAAACAGTCTTTAGCTATCAGGTGACATCATCCAGAGCGGTTCCAGCACGCTTTAGGCACCTTCACCTTCGTCGATTTCGAGTCACCAAATAACATCTAAATGTACGGTCTACGGCCGGCCTGCTTCTTGTTTTTTCTATGGATTTAGTTGGAAATATATGGATATTTTTAAGTAGCATATATGTTGAGCCACTGGCTACTTCTTTCTTGTCCACCCAAGTTATGAAAATTGCCCATGATCTCAACAGCCGTGGCCTTTCTAGCGGTCATTTTGAACCAACTGCGGTTCTAGCTTATTGAGGAATACTGGAGGGAGAATGGGAGGTTGGCCATTTTTGTTGGACAGTTGATCAAGAGACTTTAGTGAAATCCCCGGTTATGAACTGCCACGTATGCGATCGTGGGCCTAACTCCCAGCTTCATCTTCTGTGCCCGACGTGTTCCCGTAACCGGCTCTACTCTCTTCGCTTCGATCATGCCAGGGTTTTATTGGAAAAGGAAGCCATTGGGAAGGAAATCGAAGCTGCAGTGGTGACTAAGAAGACACATAATGCTGAACCTATGGAGGATGGGCGCCCGGGCGACCTGGGATCTCGGCAACGCTCGTCTCGCTGGGCCATCCAAGCAGCCAAAAGTCGTGCTTCGCAGTCGACCGCGAGGACATCGGCGATTTTCGACCAGATAGCTACATTAAGGGAAGAAATAAGAGAAGGGAGAGAAGACATCGCCCATCGCAGATCTTTACTCAAGAAGCGACGATCAGATGTAGAATCCGCTACATATCAACTGACAGACCGACGAGCTTCAAGTTTGGCTACGGTGCAAAATAACACCAAGAGAACCGAGCACTTATGGAATAATCTGCATAATAAAACTGCACAGTCTAGGGTTTTCCTGTGTCGCGAGGCTGCCAATCTTTATCGTTTGCGCCAGAGAACGAGGCGGAGAAATGGCGAGCTCGTTGCAGTTTACACCATTGGAGGGGTCAGTATTGTTGATCTCAGGGACCTGAACGGTAAGTGTATCGTAGAATGATATCCTGTTGACCTCAATTGCTAAGCCAAATGTACAGGTGCAAGTCACGTCCACATTACCACGTCCCTTACCTACATCGCCCATCTCTTGGTTCTCGTTTCGCATTACCTCTCCCTCAGGCTACCTGCAGAGATAACACTGCCCCATCGAAATTACCCACTACCCACTATATTTCCGCCATCATCCTCATATTTGTCACAAGAAGCAATATTCCCCGGCACATCGCTTTCTCAATCATCCCCGTCGAGTCCTACAGCTTCTCGGACTACGGACACCAGACCGCCTCCTCGTCCAAGGCCACTCTATATCAACAAATCTTTACCGAAGCTTGCACAAGAAGACCCTGCGGCTTATGGGTTGTTCCTCGAGGGAGTTGGGCTCCTAGCTTGGAACATTTGTTGGGTTTGTCGTACTCAAGGACTGCATGTTGTTGTTGACTCCTGGGAGGATGTTTATGATATGGGCCGTAACTTGTGGACGTTACTTGTTGCACAGCCATCCCAATCGTCAGCCTTCACTAGAGTGTTATCAAACCGGGATAACCACGCAAAACTTCAGGGCTCTGATAAGGATTCCCCCAAACCAACTATCCAGCGAACCAGGTCCTTGTCAATGCTTGGCCATTATTCTCATGGAACGGCACATTCATTCCTTGGAGGCGCGGAAGGAACTGAATTTATGAGAAAATGGAAGCAGCCTTCCACAGCTAAGGTCGTTGACAAGCTGAAATCTGTTCTCCTAGGAGAAATGGCGAGTGCAGAATGGGAGTTGCTCGACAAAACAGAATGGGAGGACGAAGATTCCCAAAAGCATATTCTCCGGGAAGGAGAAGAACCTGCTCCGATGGCTATTAAATCCCCTTCAGCTGTGACGGACGGCGTCCTAAGCGATACCGCGAGCATTGCCACTGCTAAAACACTGGATGAAAACAACCTTGCCGATGACAGCATGACAAACAACCATAAACCAAAGGGGACACGGGGGTGGACCAAGTTAAAGAGTAGATGAAATTACGCTCTCTGTTTTGTCAAGAAGTTAATGTCGCCCTACATCAGCAATGAGTTCGAGCCTATCTGAGCATTTGGGCTAATCCTCGTGAGAGGATTTCCCACCAGGATATTCCTGGATGACATGTGCAAGCCATACATACCTATGGCAGATGTCCTTTGTATGGATTGGTGTAACGAACTCTCGAAACCATTTCTTAAGCACCTGCCCCTTCGACCTATACAGGATTCGAACTTGATATGACACAATGAAATGATAACAAGGTTATCATTTCAACCCCTCTCTGTATTCCAAAATGGTCTAATAGCTCGCCTTCTTGTCACCAACCCCACCATACTCCCCACCCATTTTGAGAGGAGACATTCAGTTCCACGACACTAGCGTTTCAGTTACACCTGCCCACCTCGATAGTAGCAATATTGGCAGCTGGAATTAGCAGCGGGAGGAGAAGATGCAGTATGTAGGATCCGAGGAGATAGCCACAGAGCACCCATTTCTTCGGGAAAATTTTGACAGGGGGGCCACGCTGGGATCTACAATAGCATCTAAGCATTTATGCTATTAAGGAAATTGGGGGGGGGAGCGGGGGGGGGGGGGGGGTTCCTTATCTATCAGCGGACACAAACAGTTTCCAAATATGATACCAAGGCGCCTCCGAATCAACAGGATCTTTTTTTTACTTTGGTTTTCAGACTTGTTTAGCAGTTCCTTTAGATGAGGTTTGCTGAGTTGGCCACGTCTGGAATGGGTATGGATGTATGTATAATATTAATGAACCATAATAACAAACTATCCAATTATATTGATTTCAATTCAGTTAAGAGAGGGAATAGATGTGTTGAATTCAAGATAAGACCAGCTATTGGCAGAAAAGTGCTTAGTAATTAATAATTATTCATTCTTTTACTGGTGAATAGATATAGAAATGAGATATGTACTGTACTTCTAAGATAGTTAGATGATCATGATCATTTCTCTCACAGAATCTCTCAGATGAGTGAGAAACTCTTGGGTTAAATCACATACAAATCAGTCACTCAGTCACAGCCTGGTTTTTCTGCATTGTCCGCGCTGTGCAAGTTCTTCAGATTTCAGTATATAGTTGTCAGTAAGTATATATATATTTAACAATAAAATTGACAGAGAGAGCATGGAGTGATTCTGATCATCAGAGAGAATTACTCAAACAGAAAAACAAAATATCACTATATCTACATGCTCTACTCTGTACATGTATAAAGATCAGAGTGACTCTTCATAGAACTAACAATGACTCCAGAATACTGCATATTCACATAACTATCTCTTATTAATATGATGAAAATAATGTGCTCTGATGAATCTATAACTACAGGATAGTAAGGCTGCCTGCCATACTGCCAATTGAACCTGCACACAGAGAAGCAATGGCAGATAAAACAGAAGTTGAGGGTTAAGTTATGACAGGATTTGTCAGAGTGCGGTAACTCAAACTATCGTAACTATGGTAAATGGATAACTTCAGCCAGAGTTTGGGTTGGGTTTGCTAAAAGAAGCTTGATCTATCCTGGTAATGGGCTCCGAGAATTCCTAATGAACCACTCAAGCCTCGTGCTTGAAATAGACGCGGAGGCCCCATGCATGTGCTTGTTCCCCTTCTGACATGGATTTCGTCATATCGAACAAACAACGGAAGAATCCAAGTGGTAGTTAACATGAGGCTCTTGTGGATTCATTATTGCATTGCTAACTGGTGCTTGTCAAGGGGGTGTGTTTTTTGTGATGATGATCGGCCGGCTACGCAGCGCAATTGGATAAAGCCCAGGTCGGTCCGGTCCAGAATACAACGCATCATGCAAGGGGGCTGAGCATTATTGTGGTGCAGTGGTGCTGCGGTGCGGTGCTGATTTGGCGAGGCTGTCAAGCCAGTTGAAGCGAAACACATCCCTCTAGCGCGCCTAGCCTAGTGCCTTGCTGTTCCTGGCTAGAGGGTCCAAGATTTCGCCAGCTGGGCCGTTGGAACTTGGAAGACATGAAAGTTGCTGATCTTGGTTTTGCTGGCTTGAACACAAGTCGGCTCGCATGATATCCAACCCAGGAATAACTAACTACCCTACGAATAGCAAAAGTGCAGAAAGAAAAGTCAGAATTTCCTCACCATCAGTCAGCCTTCATTTTACAGTTTCGACTGCTAAATGGCCGGATTCTCAAGCATGAGTGCCTTGAATGTACATACATGTACAGTACATTATTACAGTATTATTATTATGTGAAGGTAAAAATAAGAAACGAGAGCACGAGAAAAAAATCCGCGGTTTCGAGAACAAAAAAATCAGGAATAATAGAAACAGGAAATCCCCACCAAGCAGATAAGAGAAGAGCGTATAACCTCAGCCGGACATGAAACATGTCATGCGAACTGGCAGCCGTTATCGATTATTGATATCAATTGGAACAAAAGACATAACTACTGCGTAACGTACATGTAGGCGGCAAAACTATCATGGATCCCATAGGGCTCACACCGCATCACATCCCCTCATTCCTACGGAGCAATATTTGTTGCCTGGGTCTGCTGGTGGATAACTAGCTGGTGCCTTCTCCGTGGTTACGTCCCGCTCCCGGCCGTCGAGTTCCACGAAGCAACTCCTGAGCAACCGCCCAATAACCAGGAACAAAGCAGCCGAAGTAAGTTCAACTCCAACCAGCAACCCGCGACTCCGCGGTGGCAGATCCGATCCAAGGCCCCATAACTTATAAGGTTCCACAAGAGTGTTTGTTGTTGTCCTGGGCTCCTCCCTGATGACAAGCAAGGAAAAGGCAGAGAACTTCCAGGAGCATCAGTTTGCAAAGAAAATCGGTTGGAAATAAGGTTAGGATGGTCTCTGGGATGAGTCTCGGCCCTGCGCAATTCGTCGTTATCACCCTGCCTAGTCCAGCTTGTGGGATGTTAGCGGGCTTAGTTGGGTGTTAATTTTGCAGGAGTCGAACTTTCGCGGCTCGTGGAGTCGTTGGTCGTAGTCGTTGGCCGCTATCCTCATCCGTTCCCGATCGGAGAGGCGCTTGTATATCTCCCTATCCCATCCCATACTAAAAAAGGGTGCACTGCGAGAGTGGGAATAATGGGCGGATGGATGGGAAAAGGGGGTCAAGCAAGCCGCTATTATTATTATTCCCCTCTTCCCCTTGCTTGGCCCTGTGTCCTGCCAGAGTCAAATTTCCTCCTGGATTTCCAGAATAAAACCCGGCGTGGGCCCTCAACCCGGCCGGCTTCGATCTCCCTCTCTTCCTCCTCTCCTTTCTCTCTCTGTTATCCTGTCTGTCCTACCAAATCCCTCTCTCATTCTTCGTCGCTCATTTTCGGTCGTTGTTTTCCTCACGGATTCAACCCCAGCCATTCTTTATATTGTTTTTAATTTATATTCATTACTTTTTATTATTTTTTATATTTTTTTTTTTTTCGGAATCGAGAATTGGTTTGATTTGACCTGGTTTCTTTCATTTTCGAACAGATCTACAATATCAAAAGGTAGAAAAAAGGTATGTGCGACATCGAGAACACGAGACACAATAGTATACTGTACATATTCACAACTTGCCATATTCACTCACAATCTTCAACAATCAATGCTCTTTTTTTGGTCTTTCTATTTCGGCCTTAAACTTGTGTTACTCCTATCACTCCTTTTCCTTTCTTGCCAACTATTACTTCGGCTGGGTTCCCATTCATGGCTTGAGCGAATCCAAATCCATGTTTTATTTATCCTGTCCCTAGGTGGCGCTTATCCAGCGTATCACAACCCAACCATTCGACCCTTCTTGGACCATTCACTCTATTTCACACCCAACGACCCACCAGAACTATATACAAATACCTACAATCCCCTTCCTGATACACAAAAATGATGTTTCCCATTCTGTTCAATCCCTATAATATAAACAACTGTGTCGTACTTTACCATGAAAAAGATCCAATCTCCAATCTCCATTCTCTTAAAGACCTGTCCCGCCCGCAAACCCTGGATGACCTTGTTTTTAACAAGCAAGAAACAAAGACACCTAGAGCTAATTAAAACCATCCAGTGTATAAAACTTATACAAACACTCCGCATCACGTTTCCTTGAAACAACTGGAACAGGAACCGCACATATTTATAAATAAATTATGCGCACCACGTTCGCCGTCGGAGCCGTGCTGGCTGCCACTGTTTCCACCGTCGCTGCCAACGCATGTGCCCCCGGCACCGCCCACGTGCTAGGTGGGAACTGGTACTGTTCTGCTGTCAAGGCCATCACCTATACCAACTTCGGCTCCTCGGGCACCTACAATGAGGTCGTCAGTATGGATGGTGGCGCTTGCTCATCCAGGCCAAAGGGGTATAGCGGATCACTCGCGCCATTGAATGAGGAGGTATGACTGCTTTTCAAAAATCCGGCGGAAAGGGAAATGGGGCGGAACATATACTATATACATATATGTATTTAGTATATTACTCCAAAAACAAAACTGACATTGACCAAAAAAAAAAAAAAAAAAAAAAAAACAGGTCTCCTGGCACTTCCGTGGCCCAGTCAGCCTAAAGCAATTTGCTTTCTATAGCCCCGGTTCCGGTGCACCACCAGAGGGCCGCTACAAGCGTGAAATGAAACCCAGCATCCACGAGCGACGCCACCAGGGCCACCAGCACCTGCACAAGCGGGCCAACGAGAAGCGTGCCGTTGGTGACATGGTCACTGCCACCATCAACGGCCAAGTAGTCTCCTGGGTCAACCAGTATGCTGGTGGGGCCGCCCCTGCCGCCCCGACTCAGGCTCCCGCTTCACCACCAGCTGGAGGAAATAAGTACCCGACCAAGAAGCCCGCCCCGGTCGTCAACCCGGGTGCTGGTAACTGGGGCCGCCAGGGTTATTACAATGCTGAAGCCGGTGTCGCCGATGGACTTACGTTCTTGAACCATCGTGGAGGTGACGGATCTGGTGTTTTTGATTAGTATGTTCATTGTCCAGCTTAATCCCACTCACTGGTGTGGTTACTTTCCCCCCTTAGTTCTTTCTGTTTGGTACTGACTGATTTGCACAGCGATCTTGGGAACTCTCTCTCTTATGCCTCCGAGGACGGCTGCACGGGTTCCGACAGCCCTAAGGTCCTTAGCAACAAGATGATCCCAGACAACGAGGAAATCGTCATCATGACGGACAAGCCGTGCAATGGTGACTGCGGCACCGTCCGTCCCGGCACTGTTGCCTATCGTAAGTTCTCTCGATATTTATGGCCCCCAAGCCCCAAATAATATGTCATAACTGACATGAAAAAAACCCCTCCCAGATGGCTTCGACGGCGACAACAAAATCTTCCTTGCCGAATTCGACATGCCCGTCACCGGCAAAACCGGCTGGAACGAAGACATGCCCGCCGCCTGGATCCTGAACGCCGCTATCCCCCGTACCCTCCAATACGGCAAAGCCGAGTGCTCTTGCTGGAAAACTGGCTGCGGCGAGTTCGACGTCTTCGAGATTCTCGACGCGGGTAACATGCGCGCCAAGTCGACCCTGCACGGCAACATCTCCGGCGGCGACAGCCATTTCTTCGAGAGACCCTCTGGGAAGACCGTGAAGCTTGCTGTTGTGTTTAATGCTGCGGGTAGCTCGGTGCATATTAAGATTCTGGATGATTCCTTTGAGTTTAAGCCGACGCTTGATGGGGAGGAGGTTGAGGCTATGTTGCAAGAGGAGGTGGCGGCTGCGTCGACGTTTGTGTTGTCGTAGATTTCTCTCTGCCTCTTTTTTTTAAACTAATATATTACTTTTGGGTTTGGACATAGTGTTTTTCTCCGCTTCATTAATTTTTTCCCCCTCTTTTTCTCTTTTTTCTATCTCTCCCTTTTTTTGGTTCTCCTGGAAAAGGAGGTGTGTTTATTCCTGCTTTGGGTATATGCAGCCTTGCGGGAGGTCAGCGCGCGAGCTCCCGTCACCCAAGAAATAAAGCTGTGAGAAATTAGGAAACGATTGATTGCTGGATACCCCGTCAAACGTCCGTTGGAAAAACATTGACCTGCATGTCTTTGGATCGGAAAAAAGCGACGCTCAACCACATGGGCAGGGATTTTGAATAGAGCCTAGTTCATTGTCAATGTTGGTCTCTCGTCCGTTATCCCTGTATCTCCTCTATCCATCCACCCTCTCAACTTCAACTGCTCTCAAACAGGACACCATTTTAGCAACCTTCCTCCTACATGTAAACCAAGCGCTGGATATTTCGCCCATCTTTCCATCCCGCCCACATACATACATGTGCAAAGAAGTCGAAAAATGAATGGAAAAGAAGGAAGAAAAGGATGAAGGGAAGAAACACGTACGAAATAGCGAGAGAAGACCCGCTGTTCCGACCCAGATCTGATATGTCTGTATACTTTTTTTTTTTTCTTCTTCCTCTCTTCAAATGCGTTAGCCGCCCCACCTTTTATGCTATATTCAAAATCTCTCCGATATTTCTGCTCCTTATTTCTTGGTCATAATAGCCACTAGTGTATATACATTCACGATACATGGGAATAGTTTTTCTTCTTCAGAGGTCCTCACTGGTCTTGAACAGTGGAATGGGTTGGGTTGGTAATATGGTCCTCACATCGTTCATTGGTTCAGGGTTGCTGCGAGATAGATAGAGTGAGGGGCACTTAGAAATGTGTATAACCCCAAGTATTCAGACAATAAAAGATAGTGCTGCGCTGCATTCCATTTATCTGCTCTTCATGTATGTGCATTATCACCATGTTTGTAGTTCGCAGAAATGAGAGATGAAGATGTTTCAAACGACTCCGAGAGTTTTTCCGGCCGAAAACTGGAACACGGTTAGGTATATTGCAACTTACTCCGCACGGTGTCCTCTTCCATGGGTGCGTCTGCTTGGTTTGACACCACCAGGATTAATTGTTTATAGATATATATATGTATATATTTATATATATATATTTTCTCTATTCCACGCGGAGCACCGTACTCTGAGCTTATATATCGTTATTCCTACGGAGTTATATTGCGTCTTCGTCTCGCGCAACTGGGAGAGCGACCTCATTGATCGTACCGCTACCTGGACGATACGACGCCGCAGCCAAGCCGGGCGGAGCCAGTGACCTGCGCAAATAAATACACGGATTGCGGGTGGAGGCAAAATCGAGAGGAGGGCAGGGCAGGGGACCAACCCTGAAACAAGAATCCAACAGGCGATCCTCTGTTTACGTCCGCTTTTCGCTCTGTGCGCAAAGGAGGGGGATGCAACACGAATGACGAGAGACGGCTGAACAAGATATCTTACCTTTTCCTGTTATATTTCTTCGACGGAGTATTACCACCTCTACGTCTACGTACGCCCATCCGGCTAGCGGACAAAGGATACAAGGCACCGGAAATCCTTGGAGGAAGACAGAGGAAGGGCACAAGTGTCGAACGGGTTTCTCAATTTCGTATTTTGTGGCCTCGACGGCGCGAATCGGCAGAGTACTTCATACTTAAGTGCAATGGAAATTGGCGGAATGAACAGTTTGGGATTTTTGGTTGCAATAACGATAACAACATCTCTTTAGCTTGTAATTATGTTGGCAGCGGGTGATCGTGGTGATGGCAAGGGTCCCGGGGTTTCGATCGGAGGTAGGTTCGGCATTTTCTATAAGATTGGACTACTATAGATGTCCATGGCATAATTGCTATATAGATAGCGATGTGGGAAAGGAACCTTTGACTAAACTATCGACTTCACCTAGGCCCTTCATTAACGAATATTCCCCTTGCGATTCTAAGGGCGGAGCTGGAACGGCGGGGATATGTTGGCATTGACACCAGAGCGGGCGGCGACAGCGCAGACGGAAACGCACCAGACGGTTCAACATGCGGCAGCGGTGAAAGGACCGGCACATATAACACTCCGCTGCACGTTGCGGCATTAGTACTTATTTTGGTGCTCAGTACCTTTGGTTAGTTTGTCACGTTATCGTTACAATTGCTCGTTCTACATGCTTCTAATATTTACACTGCTCTATGTCCAGCATGCTCATTCCCGATTATTGCGCGTCGCTTCCCACGCCTGCCGATCCCCCGACACTTCCTCTTTTTATCTAGACACTTCGGCACAGGCGTGTTGATTGCTACCGCCTTCGTCCATCTCCTCCCTACCGCTTTCATCTCCCTAACCCACCCATGTTTACCAAGATTCTGGAACAAGGGATACCCAGCTACCGCTGGCCTAGTCGCAATGGTCGCTGTCATGATCGTTGTGACCATCGAGATGTTCTTTGCTTTAAGGGGTGCAAAACATGTCCATGGCAGTGAATACGATACCCTAATTGATGAGGGGCCCCAATACCATGAGACCAGCTCGATGCCTCTGGTAAATGGCGATAGTCGCGGGGGCGTACATTTAGGAAAAATCCGTAGTACTCCTCACCCACACGAGGATTCTCCCTCCAACCCAGGCTCTTCATCGCCGCACGGTTTGGCTTTGGAGGAAGGGAGCAGTGAGCCAATGCTCCCTAAAACTAGAGGCAGCGAAACACAAGCCGGAGACGATGAAGATCTTGACCTTGAAGAGCTAGACCCTTTCCCAGATACATCCTCCACCTACAACGAGTCCCGCTCCCACCACTACCCCCGCCATAACCACAACCACCACCACCCGTCCTCCCAAACCATAAGCGCCCACGCCGCGCAAAAGCAGCTCCTACAATGCCTACTCCTCGAAGCGGGCATCCTCTTCCACAGCGTCTTCATCGGCATGGCCCTCAGCGTTGCCACTGGCACCTCCTTCCTCGTCCTCCTCGTCGCTATCTCTTTCCACCAGACCTTCGAAGGCTTCGCGCTGGGCGCGCGCATCGCCTCTCTAATTCCCGCCCTGTTCCCCGCATCGTCTCCCAAACCGTGGCTTATGGCGTTTGCCTACGGTGCCACCACGCCCATTGGGCAGGCTATTGGCTTGGGTCTACATAACCTATACGACCCGGCCAGTACAGCGGGATTGTTGATGGTGGGAATGACGAATGCGTTCAGTAGTGGGTTACTACTATTTGCAGGCCTGGTGGAGTTGTTGGCGGAGGACTTTTTGAGTGATAAGAGTTATGAGACTCTGAGGGGGAGGAGTAGGGTTGAGGCGTGTATGGCGGCTGCGGCTGGGGCGTTGCTCATGGCTCTTGTTGGGGCATTTGCTTGAAAGCAGACAAGAAAATTGGGGTGTCCCTATTTTTGGTGTTATTTGTCATTTTCATTTTCGTTTCTATTTTTTTGTTTTGATATAAACCGTTCATTCTTATTTTTGAACAATATTCCGCACCACTGGTTGACTTTTGACGGCTGGTTCTCGCTGTACCACATATATATCTTACATATAGACCTCTGAGAGATATATACATATATATGACATATTTTATCCTTTTGTTTTCTGCCCTACATATTGACTTGCTCAATTGGATAATGATTTGCCCCTCTTTCGGTCTCCTTTTTTATACTTCTACTCCCTACAAATTTCTCAGAAGTCCCGCGATAACCCGTGGCTTTCGTTGGCAAGGATGGATCACAGCAAATTGCTTAGGACCGTTTCCTAAATTAATTTCCTGTTGTCGCATACCTCTCGGCATGCTGTATTACCCAGCCAACCCCATCTCTTACCAGGAGTTCGGAATCGAAGTCCGATCCCCCCCTAAGGATTTTGGGGTCCGGTTTCCTGATGGCTTGATCAATCCCGGCGGCATCTGATATCTTGTTGGGACTTCACACACAATGAGCTTTTGTTGAGCAGGTGAGTATCAACGCATGTCTTTTCAACCATGTAGTACCAGTACCAATTTACATTCCAGTCATAAAGTTCTCACTAATGGCCCCTTTCCAAAACAAGGAGTCCAACTTCGAGGCAGATTAAACTATAGCACCCCTTGATATTCCTTCGGATGGCTCCTTGGCAGGCTCACCGCTCCAGCCCTATGTTAAAATAGTAAATAATCTTCCGCCAGGCGAAAAATGGCGGGCCTCATACCCAGTTCAATCCACCGGCAAAATGCCCCTATGTTGCCGGCAGTTGAAACTCTAGGTTCTCCACGCTGTGGATTCTTCAACGCCACGGGGATATACCCCAAGCTCCGCGGACCTTTTATCCCAATAATCATGGGCCCCTATCCTAAAAACCTGAACTGAATAGTGAATCTGCTCACCAACATAATATGCGTCTCGACAATTAGAGCCCAACTAGTAAGTGGTTCAAGAAAGAAGAATTTGTGCTTTGGCTTGTCAGCATGCCACTTTCGGAGCGCCAGGATGCTCACGAGCCGGCTCACTCGTGAAAAAGACATGAAGACCATCTCATCTATATACCCTCGCCTGCCTGCAATATAAGGTTGCTTGCTAGGATTGATGTGATATAGTGATATATGGTTCATATGTTGAGGATTGATCATTGCTGGTCAAGAGTTCACCCTGAGGCTCGGTTCTACATCCATTGGATTGAGACTACAACTCCGACTTTGCTCATCCTGTGCACCACCCATCGGTATCAAAAGTTAGTGATGTATCTGGCATTCGGCTGACAGCAAAGAAAAAGCTTAATTTTCACCCTTTCCTGTAACTACGGATTAAGCATAAACCCCGCGTTTCGTTGCAGCTCGAGTCAGCAGCGGAGGACAATCAAGACTGTTGGCCAGCGTCATCACTGTCATGATCCTTCACCCCAGCAATATTTAACGCGGGCTAGTACACCAGCTAGAATATTCGATTAACTACCAATGCCATGAATGAGGGGACCGGGCTGGAAGCCAGAAGCTGAACAGGGCGTTTTTAGTAGTTATCTTTTGAAAACCCAGCTAGCTGTGCAGGTCAGAACTTTGACTCTCCTCCGCGACCCCCAGGCAGAGAGGAGCTTGTCTGGGAGTGGACAGGTTACAAAGCCCCATAAGGTCCACTTATCCATGGCGTGGAGATACCGCTCAGACTATTTAAATGCTGACATGGCAATGGAAAATGGCCCCGAAGCCAGCCCCTGTCTTTTTTTTTTTTTTTCAGTCAGAACAAATACGCTAAGTTCTGCATATATCGGAGGGGGGCGGGAAAGGAAAGCAGCATCTAATATAACATGCCATAACGCACTCAGTTGATGGGCATGAGTAGAACCAACAGCTTTTTCCTCGATAACTACCATGGCAAATGTCGCAAATGAGTAAAGGTATGCGAATATCCATCCCTACAGGACAGGACATATTTCTACAATTTTCAACCATTTTCTTATTGAATGTATATCTTACCTTTTCTATCTATACAAAAGTGCCCCGAAACACGACCAGCATGCGACAATTGCATGTTAAGGCAGCTCGATTGCGTTTATCCCTCGCTGTTCAAATCACAATCACACCAATCACACCAACCCCACCGTCGTCTGCAATCAAATTATAACGACAAGAATTATGTCCCTGTTATGCACTATACAAGGCCGCCAATGCTGCCTCCACTAGCTATCAGGCCAGCTCCCGCGCCGCCGCAGTTTCCCCCTTTTTCACAATGGACGATATGCGCTTCTTCCACCATTATTTGACTGCGGGCTATCCGTATTTGCCAGATGGCTGTGATACAGTGTGGATTACTGAGATACCCCTTCTCGCCCACCAGGTAAATATGTGCAGTACACACATATGTGTGTATTTATATACATGTGTCCATAACTTCTCGCATCCCTCCCATACATGACTATCCAAGCTGACTTCTCAAAAGCACGAATTCCTTATGCACGCCATCATCTCCTTGGGCGCCTCGCACCTCTCCCTTGTCGCCATCATCTCCTTGGGCGCCTCGCACCTCTCCCTTGTCGCCATGGCCGGTTCAGGCCTTGAGGAAATGCACGGTTACTCAACCATGCTATCCCATCGCGGCCTCGCTCTCCGCGGTCTCCAACAATCAATAGACGAGCACGCACATGCCGGCCTTCCCACCGCGTCCACCATGCCAAACATCCCCAAACTCAACGCCATGTTTGCAACCTGCTACGCTCTGATGACGCAATCATCCCACCTGCGTGACGGCTTTACTGACTTCCTCATTCTAATCCGCGGCTCCGGACCCCTAACGGGCCACATCGCAGCCATAACAGGCCTCGACCGCAACGCCCTACTCCTAAGCCTGAAAGAGGGCTTCGACCCGCGCACGCGCTTCTCACACCTGACCCTCACCGGCAACGACGACGCTGAGGATCTCGACGATGACCCTGGCGACGCTATCGACATGGGCATTAATATGTGCGTTGTCAAGCGCTTTGCGGATGCATTGAGGGCATTGATTCCACTCCTACAGCACGAATGTCACCAGAACTATTACGCAGCCATCCTCGATGCTGCCGAGGCATTGCAGCGACGAGCGTGGGTCGATGCATTCAATTCGTTCCACAAGACGTATGTGGTCCTGTGCACCATTGACGAGGTCAGTTTCCAAAATTACATCATCTCGCCATCCGTGAGAGGCGCGGGGGCGGGAACCGGGCGGAGGCCAAAGTGGGAGGGGGAGGTGGAGAAGAATGCGATGTTCCTGCTTTTGTTCATGTACCTCACGGCATTGAAGGTGGCGATGTGTCCGATCATTTGGCGCGTGATACCTGAGCGGGCACTGTTTCCGCAGATGATATTGCCGCAGGTGAGCTGGTTGATAGACATTAGTGCGCGGATTTCGCCGGTGCTACGTGGGCATGTGGTGCTGCCGTTGGAGGTTATCACGAGGGTTGGAGCTGAGTATGGGGTGTTCAAATCGGTATTTGGGGAGCGGGTGAGAGAGGAGTTGACTGTGAGAGCGGAGGAGATGGGGTAGGCTGGGCTGTATGATGGGAAATATATGGATATACCTAGGTAGATAGATCCATGTTTATATGTGGAGTGTATAAATGTAACTTGTCGCCTAGTTCATACTCTTCCCCCTTTCAAATTTGTACCTTGATATATATACATACATACTTTCTTGTAGGCGGAAATCTGTCAGTTAATTTTTTAGTGATGAATGGTTATATCCATCATTTTATTTCGGAAATTTTTAGTTTGCATAACAAGTGATATGAGTCCCACGCATACGTACAGTTTTCCCCATATGAGAGAAACTATGCAAAACAATACATAGGAATCATTTATTTCAAATTGATTGGTCTGTGAAATGTTCTTTTCCACGAGTGAAAAAAAGGGGGCTTATATATATATATAGAGAGAGAGAGAGAGAGAGATATGCGTGTGCCACAAAAATAAAAGTAAGTCAGTGTACTTACTTTGTGGGGACGGCTATCAGGGAATTTGTGCTTTGAAAAAGAGGGACATAATTCTCCATCATCCCCACCCTCAACAAACCCATCTGCAAACCTACTGCAAAGACTCAACAACCAATGCACTAGCACCACCCCCTCCATTGCAGATACCTACACATCCCAATTTCCCCTTCTTCTCCTTCAACACACCCAACAGGGTCGCTACAATACGCGCACCGCTGGCACCGAGCGGGTGTCCTAGCGCAACCGCGCCGCCATGCATATTAACCTTGTCTTCGCTCAGACCCAGGAGTTTAAGATTAGCCAGCGCAACCACGCTAAACGCCTCGTTGATCTCGAAGGCGTCGATGGCGTCCTGCGCGACGCCGGCGTGCTTGAGCGCCTTGGGGATGGCGAGGGAGGGGGCAGTGGTGAATTTGCTAGTTGCTTTGGCGGCGTCACCCCAGCCGAGAATCTTGGCTAGGGGTTTGATGTTGAGCTCCTTTAGCTTGGCTTCGGAGACGAGAACGACGGCTGCGGCACCGTCGTTTAGTGGGGAGGAGTTGGGGGCAGTTACAGTGCCGGTGCCGGGGATGAAGGCGGGTTTAATGGCGCGGAGCTTTTCAGGGTGGAGCTGTGAGGTGGAAGAGAGGGTTAGTATATATTTTTTCTTAGTGATGGGTTATATTCTGAAGTTAAGGCTTCCTGAAAACGTACGTTCTTTGGTTCCTCGTCTTTATCAACAACAACACCGGGCTTGCCTCTGAAACCGGGGATTTCAATAGGGGCAATCTCCCCAGCCAAGAATCCAGCTTTTTGAGCAGCTTGGGCACGCTCATATGATCTGATGGCATAGTCATCTTGTTGTTCTCTGGTGATGCCATGATCAGCAGCACATTCTTCAGCTTGTAGGCCCATGATCTCATTCTTTGACGCATCAGTGAGGCCGTCCCTCATGATACCGTCCACCATGTTTTGGTGACCGTATTTCGCACCGGTGCGCATGTTGGTGATGTAATGGGGGGCGTTGGACATGGATTCGGTGCCTCCAGCAACAACGATATCGGCGTTGCCAGTCATGATGGTCTGCGCCCCTAGGATAATGGCTTTGAGGCCTGAGGCGCACACTTTGTTGACTGTTGTGCAGACGGTGGACTCAGCGAGTCCTGCGCCGAGAGCGCATTGTCTTGCAGGGTTTTGTCCCACACTGTGAGATATGAAATTAGTATATGATATACATATACATCCAATTGAAGGTAATAATAATATGTGAAGGATATATGGGATTGAGTGGGGGTTTGTTTACTTTGCGGAGAGGACGTTTCCGAAGAAGACTTCCTGGACATCACTGGGCTTGATCGCAGGCACCCTCTGAACGGCAGCTGCGCGGGGTCCAAAGTCAGCTTTGGTTATACAATCTGGACCAAGAATAGTAGATTAACTTGCCCTTGATGGCGTGAGAGCCGAGTTGAGGTGCTGTTAAGCTAGAGAGAGACCTAGATGGAGGGGCAACGAAACGTCAGCATGTTGCACCATACCCCACATATTGAGATAGCTAAGAAACAGTCGAATTGTTCGATGACCATTGCAATGCATGCTGCAACTATTTAGAAACTCTCTACTTACCCTAGAAAAGAACCCACGGGGGTTCTCGCGGAGGCGACGATATAGACAGGAGGGAGAGAAGACATGGTTTAGACTATATCGGCGGCGGGGGTTGCTCTGGGAAGCGATGTATTACAGCACGATGGATCCACGGAATGGAGCGATTGGTAGAGGAAGCAGAAGAACGAAGCTGATAGAGAACAACACGAAGGCACAAGAGAAGAAAATTCACAGATTGGCAGCAAGTAAGATGTAAAAGAAGCGTTGCCTGTTGGCGGTAAAATAGGTGGGGGAGAGCGACAAAGTTAAGTTACATAAGTTACATGCAATATTTAACGCCGAGAACAGTGTTTACATACATATATATTGCGGAACAATAGGGGTTAAGTAGGCAGCAACGTTTCTCCTTTTTATTTTTTGCTTTTATCTTTGTATTCCATTTTCAATTAAGCTATTTGATTTATTATTTTGTCCGTATCAAGTTAGCAGCTGTATGGAGTATGGAGTAGTCTGTCCTTGATCCGCTGCCACTAAAAAGTAACTAGCTGTGTATTTTTTTCTGTTGGTGCCTGAGGCTATTTAATATTAACGTAGTTACATAGTAAATATCCAGCTAAGAAACTTTCTGTCCACCGCAAGCTTCCACGCCAAAACCCAGTCAAAGCACCAACCTCTGCTTTCCCCGCCAACCCCATTGCTGCGATTTATAAAAGCAATATTGTGAGATATTGTATTACACTTCTTCTACAAAGCAACCGGTGCTCGCGAAATGATTCATTCCCTCAAGTAATCAGACCGCGCGCTTCTTTGCATCAATCTGCTGCAGCCATCATGGATGATCTTTACGACGAGTAGGTGCTTTTTACTTTCAAGGCAGCAGCGTTTCAGCAGCTCCTCTACCAGGGTCGCGCTAACGGTTTTGTGTTGCGCAGGTTCGGGAACTATATTGGGGAGGCTGAGGAATCGGAAGATGAGCTTAGGCATGGTGAAGCTCGTCCAGACGCTTACGCCTATGACCTCGAGTCGGAGGAAGGTGAAGAGGCCGGAGAAGGAGTCGCTCATGACCAGCAATTGATGGAAATAGATGGTAATGATCACATATATGCATACGGAATTGAACACATCCTTGTTGTCAGTTTTATCGGACATTGTATAATTGGATTTTTGAGCGCTGACATGGATATCGCAAAATCAATACAGAACAAGGTCCTTCGAATGCGGTCATCCTACATGAAGATAAACAATATTACCCAACGGCCCAGCAGGTGTATGGTGAAGGCGTGGAAACACTTGTCGAGGAGGAAGATGCGCAACCGCTCACCCAGCCCATCATCGCGCCCGTCCAGCAGAAGAAATTCGCGGTCCAGGAGGCGGATCTGCCGTCCGTTTTCTATTCTCGCGAATTTATGACCGACCTCCTAAATTTCCCTGACCAAACCCGAAACATCGCCCTTGCCGGTCATTTGCATCATGGAAAAACCGCGTTTATGGATACCCTGGTAATGCAGACGCACGATCTGTCAGAACGGCTGGATAAAAGGATTGGGAAGCGGAAGGATGAGCAACTACGATATACGGATGTCCATTTTGTCGAGCGGGAACGGGGCTTATCTATGAAATCTGCGCCCATGAGCTTGGTATTACAAGGCACCCGCGGGAAATCGCATCTATTCAATATTATTGACACACCCGGGCACGTAAATTTCGTCGACGAGGTTGCCGCTGCGTTCAGATTGGTCGATGGTGTTGTCCTGATAGTTGACGTGGTTGAAGGGGTCCAGATCAATACGGAGCAGATAATCAAGTATGCTGTGCTAGAGGATTTACCTCTCACGCTGGTTGTGAACAAGATGGATCGGCTCATCCTCGAACTGAAACTTCCACCTACAGACGCTTATTTCAAATTGAAACATGTCGTCGAAGAAGTGAACACTATAATTGAGCGGACTCTACCAGGCCAAGGTGAAAAGAGAAGATTGAGCCCAGAGAAAGGGAATGTCGCTTTCGCCTGCACTAGCATGAACTGGTGCTTCACGCTGCAATCTTTTGCCAAGATGTATGCCGACACCTACCCGGGCATCGATATTGCAGAATTTGGCGCCCGCCTCTGGGGTGATATCTTCTTTAATCCTAAGAGCAGGAAGTTCACCCGCAAGGGCGTTGAAGAACAGTCGAAACGGACTTTTGTCTACTTCGTTTTGGAAACTATCTACAAGCTTTTTTCTCACACCATTTCCGAGAGCCCGGAGGACCTTAAAGAGACTCTAGCAACCCTGGGAATCTTCCTAAAGCCTTCCCAGCTGAAATCGGATGCAAAGGTCCTACTAAAGCTCGTTTGCGAACAATTCTTTGGACCTGTTGACGGGTTCGTTGACATGGTGGTCCAGCACATCCCCTCGCCTAAAGAGGGGGCACAGAAGATGCTCGAAAAATACTACACTGGGCCTCTGGATACGAAAGTTGCGGCATCAATGTCAGCATGTGACCAGGACGGACCTTTGGTAATCCAGGTCACAAAACTATACAGTACACCGGATGCATCAAAGTTCGACGCCTTTGGTAGAGTCATGAGTGGTATTGCTCGACCGGGTCAGCAAGTACGAGTTTTGGGCGAGGGATACACCATTGACGACGAGGAGGATATGGTCATTGCCACAATAGCGGATACGTGGATCGCAGAGACCAGATACAACATCCCTACGAGCGGTGTCCCTGCCGGAAACTGGGTACTTCTATCTGGGGTTGATAACTCCATAGTGAAGACCGCTACGCTGGTTCCCTTGAAACTTGAAGATGATGAGGACGCTTATATCTTCAAGCCAATAAAACACATGACCGAATCCGTTTTCAAAGTTGCAGTTGAGCCCATCAATCCTTCTGAACTCCCCAAGATGCTCGAGGGCCTTCGAAAAATCAACAAGAGCTATCCATTAATATCTACGAAGGTCGAGGAATCTGGTGAGCACATTGTGCTAGGAACGGGAGAACTTTACATGGACTGCGTCCTCCATGACCTCCGCCGCCTCTACGCAGAGATGGAACTTAAGGTCTCAGACCCCGTCACCCGTTTCTGCGAGACCGTCGTCGAAACATCAGCCATTATGTGCTACGCCATGACCCCCAACAAGAAAAACAAAATCACAATGATCGCAGAGCCTCTAGATGATGGGATTGCAGAAGACATCGAAAGCGGACGGGTCAGCATACGCGACCCTATTCGCAGAGTCGCCCAGTTTTTCGAACAAAATTACGACTGGGATAAGTTGGCTGCGCGGAGTATTTGGGCATTTGGCCCTGAGGAAATGGGTCCTAATATCCTCCAGGATGACACTTTGCCGTCTCAAGTAGATAAGAAGCTATTAGGGACGGTGCGAGATTCCATACGGCAGGGTTTCAGCTGGGGAACTCGAGAAGGACCCCTATGCGAAGAACGTAAGTCAAGGACTATGTTTCCACTCCCATCCCTAAATAATAAGAAAAACAAACCTACCATTCTAGCGCAAAATCTAACCAATCTCCCCTACCCTAGCAATCCGCAACACCAAATTCAAACTGACCGACATCTCCCTCGCCGACCAAGCCATTTTCCGCGGTGGTGGCCAAATAATCCCCACAGCCCGCCGCGCCGTCTACTCCTCCTTCCTCATGGCCTCCCCACGCCTCATGGAACCCATCTACACCTGCGCCATGACAGGTCCCGCCGATTCCGTCGCTGCCATCTACACCGTCCTCTCCCGACGGCGCGGCCACGTACTCTCCGACGGCCCCATCGCCGGTACACCACTGTACGCCGTCCGCGGTCTAGTCCCTGTCATCGACTCATTTGGCTTCGAGACGGATCTGCGCATACACACGCAGGGCCAGGCGACGGTAAGCCTTGTCTTTGATAAGTGGAGTGTCGTGCCGGGGGATCCGTTGGATAGGGAAGTGAAGCTGCGGCCATTGGATATGGCGAGTGCGATGGCGACGGCGAGGGATTTTGTGCTTAAGACTAGGAGGCGCAAAGGTTTAGCGGAGGATGTGAGTGTTAGTAAGTTTTTGGAGCCGGAGCTTTGGAAGGGGTTGAGGGAGAGTGGGGTTTTGGGGGAGGGGTAGTGGTTAACTGATTTTTCTTTTCTTTCTTTCTTTTTTTTTTTTCGATCTTTTTGGCCCGGGGTTACTATTTTCTTGTTTGCTTCAAGGTAGCTTTGATATGTTAAGAAATATTTCATTTTGGTTGGGTTGCAGGTATTTATGTATAATTAAGGTAGGGGTTGATTTATATTTGTGGGCAAGAAAAGAAAAGCATTGAATGAAACCCAAATGATATAATGTATAGAATTTTAGATATGAAATAAATAATCCCGGTCTCTGTCAAAACACATCCGGGCATGGGAGATACTATACTATGTCATATCATTCATCTCATTCTCCCTCTCCCAATCGAAAGCATGCAATCCAAATTCCTTCCCATAGCAACAAAGCAAATAGATAAGAAATGAAGAAACCCCAACGCCATCCCATCTCTATATGAAAGAGCCGATAACACAACGCCCTCCCTCGGGAAGTAAGAAAATAACCCCTATGCCCAACAGAAAAGAAAACAAAACCCCCAATCCTCACTCACTGACACGTCTCCAACATCTTCCCAATAACCCCCATAAGCGTCCCATTCTCCAACGCAGCCGCAACCCGCTCCTTATCCGCAAGCTGCTTATTCACCTCGTCCGCCGTACTATGCGTGCCCTCCTTGATGCGCACATCGACGCGGAAGCGCGGGGGCAACGACTGCTCCAGCCGCACACGCACACCTAGCCCGATCACCGTGGCAAGGGAGCAGTGGGTTATTGTAGGCGTTATGAGGACGGAGACGGTGCGGAGGGGGGAGTCGGGGTTGCTGGGGAGGGAGGGCTTGATGGAGATGTCCGGGAGGGAGACGACGGCAAGGGCGCCGAGGGATATGGGGTGTTCTGGGTCGGCGATGGTGGCTATTAGGTCTGTGGGAGGGGGAGGGTTGTGTTTGGTTAGTTTTGGGAGTTGGGTGTATTATTATACAGTATGGGTGGGGAAATTCGGGGAGGGGGGAGGGGGGAGGGGGGAGGGGGGAGGTGTAGGTACCGTATATTTCCTGCTCGTCGATGGGCTCTTCCATTAAATCATCACTGTCGCTTTCGGATTCAGAGGAGCTGCCGTTAATGTAGCTTGTAGCAAAGGGATCGTGGAGAAGAGTTGAGGTGGGTTGGAGTTCATGGGCAAAGATTCCGCCGTTATACTGTGACTCTGCTTTTGCGGCGGAGTGGCGGGATTTTTGTTGGCGGGTTGGGAGGTCCGCTGCACTGAGGATTGTGGGGTTTGAATTTTGCATGGCCATTTTTGTAGTCGTTTGGAACTCCTTTCCTTTCGTAGTCTCTTCTGTGCTTTTTGTGTAGGTGATGTAGTGATGTAAACTGGGACGATCTGGGTTCCGGATATGTTGCGGGGCGGAATATTAGTGATTGAGAGAGTCGGGAAGTGTTCTCAGCCAATAGGAGATCCGGGACCATCATGCTGCTTCACGTGACTACTCTGCGGAATTGTTAACTACGGATTAAGTTAAATATACCTGAAACATCACTGTATGAAACGGATTTCTATGCGACCCGCCATTGAGTTTACTAAAACATCGCAAATTTCTAGAGAGGGAATAATGATAGAAGAGAACTTCAGCTCCTGCCATCGAAATCATGCATGTCTCAGCAGGCCGATTGAGCATCTACTATTATTGCCCCTGAATGAAGTGCGCTTCAACTCTTGTTGGATCATGGGGCAAAATGATGAACACCCCACCGCAGCTCTCCATGGACATACCTAGGAATCGGCAAATGCTACTAAACAGTTCCCTCCCCTTTTTTCAAGAGGAACATCCAGGGCTGTCAAAAAGCCATTCTTTTTTATGCCAGTTGTTCCACCACCTCAAGCATCCCACTCTTGGAATCCATCTGAAGACCAGGCTTCCCTTCAGAGCAGCCTGTCCAGCCAGCGCATCCCTCTTCACATTGTCTGAAAGGGCCTCTGCAAGATATCAGGGATGGCCCCTTAACGTCCGTCCCTACTAGGATATAAGCTCATATTCCTAGCCCCCACCACTGATAGACCACATTAATAGCTAACAATGAGCCTAGAGAGCGAGGCGTCGGCATGAGGGGCACGGATGATTCAGTTAGTGAGCATTCATCATGCTGGGCTGGGCAAGACGGTCCATGGATTGTTAAGGTTTTGCAAAGACTGGACGACTGTGTGGAATATTGCTATCCTAGCTCACCAAATTTCGCTTTTGCTTCTGAAGTAAATGTGCGGGCCTTTTAAACAAAATGGAAGGCCGTGGCGGACGTGCTACTGAAGTTAGAAAACTAATGGACATTTCGTCTGGCTCGGCCCTTACATGTTTCATCGCATTGTGCAGACTCAGAAGTGTAGGCCCCCCTCCCTCGACACCCAGTAAGCACTAATAGAAGTTTAGATTAACAAAATTATGAGAGTCCGCGAGCTCTGCGATTCCTTCACGTCAGGCACCTTGTTTAAGAAGTGGGTTCCTGTCTGTGTACGACGGGAGCGTTGTTCCAAGGTTTCTATCCTTGAGCAAGTGGCAGTAGTTAGCCGGAAACTAGGATACCCTCTGATCCAGTGATCCACCGGAGTTCTTCCCCTATTACGGGAGCATGGGAGCTAGTTAGTTAGCTTTGTGAAGGTGTTTCAGGTTGGCTTCGGCATTGTGTGTAACGGCTGTGATGGGATTACTCTTTTTCCATTGAGGGAAAGTGAAATAAGCCCCTCATCTTTGGCTGAAAATGGGGCGGCAAAACTTGGAGGCAACTAGGATATAACATTTGGTAATGGCAGACCGAACTTTGATGTTTTAATCTCACACGGGTATAAAACCAAGGCACGCTTTTGTGTGCAGGTGAAACTTTGGAGATTCGTATAACTTCGCAAGTTTCCTTTTTGGGTGCAGCCGACCCTCGGCCTGCACGCTGACATACAGACATTCTTAGGCAAATCTTAACTAACTAGCGCGCCCTAAATGATGACAGCAGGCGGAGACAAGGGGGAAAATCTCTATAGGAGAAAATTAGAACGCTTCTGAGAGTGGCGGTAATGGATTCTGGCGATGTTCTTGGTGAGACTGAACCTAATTCAGGGAAGCTCTACAGCGACGAACATTACTCATTAAGCAGAAACACGGAGCTGTTCGGGAGCAGGGGATAGATAGGAGGAAGGCATGGTGATATAAATATGGATTGAAGATGCCAACCTCAAAAAGATGAGTCGGAAATGACTAAGGACTTATAATTTAATCATCTCCTGGTTTCTCCATAATTTCCCTGATCCCATATGAATATGTCCCTTTAGCATCATGATATTCTATGCAAGAGGAGTGCTATCGAGCCTTTGACTGGCAAAGGGTCCCCGGTGTTTCGGAAGAAAGCTTTTGAGCTTGAATCGAGACCTCATCAGATTATTTCTGCGGCCAGGATGCTCAGGGTTGAGACTATATAATATTCCACATTCGGAGATGCTCACTAAAGGGGACCAGCGCTGCATAGGTCATGTTTGTTCAACATTGATAGAGCAAACGTCTATGGAGCCTCGTGAAAATATGCCGTACGGTGAGGATTAAAGTAATGGTCAAATCAAACAGGAATTGTTTCATAGGTCAGTGATGAATTTTTGTTTATTTCCTTTTTAGCTCGAGTCTGTTTTTCAGAAAGCTGCTTGGGAGAGATTCCTAGTTGGCTCAGGGAATTGCTGAAACACCTATCTACTACCATAACGTATTTCAAGCGCCAAGTGTGCATTGACATAAAAATAGCGACAGCGACAGCAACGGAAGGTTGTAGAGAGAGAATTGTCGATATGAGGTTCAATAACACCTACACGTAACCGTGATTTGTTCCAAAAATTCCCGACAATTTGGATTAGGGTAGGGGCATATCTTTGTGGATGGAGTTAGAGTAACGCAGCAAAACGTTACACTTTTGTGTATGGAGCTGATGTAGCGGAGCAAAGGTTACACTTTCCTTGTGGGAAAGCAATGATAAATAAACCGCTGCAGTGGCTATTTCACCTTGGCATTGTCGCACTTTAAGCGAAAAGTGCTAAGTGATGTTTGTAAAGCATTCCTGCACATGACATGGGTATTATTGTCTCCATTGATTTGAAAGCCGGATTGAAGGGTGAGATACCGAGCGTCAGGTGCAAACCCTAATTCTCCTCAGAGGCCAAAGATTATAGAACAAGTTGATAGCGTAGCGGGTAACTAGAGGTTATTTTACTTACCCTGGCTGCATCAATCGTTGAAAGGGTGGGAAGAGGCTAGACTGTAGAGGGAATGTATACTTCTCAGATTTCAAGGAATAGTGCCTGTTTGCGAGTGTCGCTTGTTATTTTTATCCCTTGGTGTTTCTTGGGTACCATATTTGATGGAGAAAGATGGTAGATGATACGGCAACAGACGGGGCAAGGCCAGACTTTTTTCAGGGTTTCTGCGTGGTTAAGGGTAGCCCTGTAAAGCACCCATGCTCGACTTTGTGGCCATGAATTCTTGTTGAAAGAATTTGAATTTTGTCTTTCCATTTTTGGGATTGCATTTTGTTGGAGTATGAGGAATTTAAAAGTAGACGTTGTCCAGTGAAATAGCGAGGCCTCTGAATTCTGGCAGAGAAAAAAAAAATTATTAGGATGTTGTTCCAGAAATCATGATCGACTAGAAAAAAAAAGAGTATCGGGGGTGAAATTGGCCTTTAGCATTCCGATTTTCAAATATTGGACATGGTCGGCCGTTATGTATAAGTACCAGATTTTGGATTCTTTGCCATACTCGGTTGGTTGTCCATATGGACGTTGTGAGGTCCGACTTCTAATTCTCTTGTCTCTGGTTTTCTTCACGATTTAAAAAGTGATTGAAGGGGTAGTTTTCAGAGCCCTGCGCTGGCATTCCTGTTCATCCTTTTCACCAAAATAAAAAGCATTATCATTCATACTTTTCGGCAACGCAAGATTTCCATCGGCCGCCTCTGAGAGATTAGGGGCTCGGCCAACCATTGTTGAACCCCGTATCATGGCGTTGAAGATTCTTGCTAATATCTTCCAAATTATTTGCGGTTTCGAATTCATATTTCAAAAGGGCTGGCCTGAGATCTTTGAAAATTGCATCTTGGGTTGGTTGAGCAAGTTCATGAATCCTCTTAGATCAATTAATTTTCTTGTCCCGTCAACCAATGGAGATGGAATTGCTGGATCATCCGCCGCGTGTCATCCGTGCATAGCGTCCTGAGTAGCGGAGCCATGGGGTGGCATATATGCATGGGCTGCACTTGATGAACCGGGCAAATGGTAGAGAAGGCTCCTTGCTTGCCACGGTGTTTATGGGGTTGCACGTCAGGAATGCTCTGATGTGCCATCCTCTTGTGTCTGCCAGTGCTTTTTACACAAGGCATCCTTCCATCCTTCCACAAAAGCAACTAAGGGGAATTTCAGGAAGTATAAAGTGCAGGCCACTAACAAGCCAAGTCATGCAAGCGAGTAATGAATGGGGGAAGCTGCATTAAGCCGTCCATTCAGAGAATGAATAAATAGCCGGGAGTCGGGGATTAGATGGACGAGGTACCCGTGAAGAATTTTAATTGTCGAAGTCTGGAGAGAAAGGTCAAGGACAAGGGATCTGAAAGGCCAATTAGCTACAGTAGCCCCTAATGATGTCTGCTCTGGGTTGTGTCGGGATGTAGTCAACACACATGGAAGAAGCCAGGATAACGACAGATGGAAGGTTGCAGTTGCGGCTGACGTCAGTGGCTGCGAAGTGATGATTATCTAATGACTCACGTGATCAAGAGCCCTCCATCCATCCAGCCCGCCAAACGTCACGTACTCCGCCGCAACCATAATCATAACGTCGCACAGCATGGCATGCGGACAATAATAATGCTGGTGGAACTCTCAGTTTAGTCGACCGTGCATCTTCAACGAAGATGGGAAAAGGGCTTTTTCCGACATCACCAACATACCACACTTGATACTGATGGATCGCAAATAATATTGGAATCGACACCCGGGGTAGCCGAAATGGATATCCCCAAGAGCCGGACAATAATGGCGGGATTGCAGCGCCATCAATAGATATTCTGCAGAGAAGGTTTCATGTTGGCCATGGCCACTTTCAGGATCGACGCCTTTCATCCGTTCTTCATGAGCTGTTTTTGTGGACCAGACATGGATAATAATTCTAGTCAAAGAAGCCCTTCGCGCAGAGAATGAGCCTAAAATTGATCCCTGGCCAGGCATTGGCGTGTGGGGCTCTTGGGTTGAAAATCTCGGCACATCTCTTCGTCTCCAGCTTGACCCGCATCGCTTATTGGCACCCCCATCTCCTCCCCACGTAAGTTTCAAGAATAATGATCTTCTTGAACATTTTCCAGGGGAATGTAGCAGGGTTCCCACGCCGAGTGTTGCAAATAAATATCACCAGTGCTTGCGTGCACCGTTTTCGCGGAATGTCAATGGGTGACAATCAAAAGGCGCAGCAGGTTTGTCCTCTGCCTGGAACATCCATTTCTTTATCCTTCTAAGCCACGCCTCGTGACAGGTTGCAAGGCAGGGGAGGGAGGTCATGGAAGAATAGGCTATTCTGGAAGCTGGGGCTGAGAACTTTTCTGAAGCCTTTTCTTTGGCTTTGTTTTATGCTCGCGGAAATCTGCCAAAGGTTGCGGATATCATATCTGCAATTGGAATCCATGCTTGGATTGTTTTTATTTTATTGAGAGATTTATTTCTTTTAATTCTTTATGTACTTTATGTATTTTATGTATTTTTATATTCTATTTCAAAATAGGGGGTTCAATTCCGTGCGGCCTAGCCAGTTCCGGTTTCTTCATGGCTGCTTATTTTTTCAAACGACCCCCACCCCCAAATTACGCCGTGCTCCTTCGCAGTCTTTCCCCACTTTCTCACTCCGCTCATGGTGAAGATCCCGGATTTGTAGTGTTTGGTTGTGGGAGGGGGGGAGGGAGGGAGTGAGTGTCCGTGAGGAGTCGGCAACCTTGAGAAGATCTGGTCACAGAGCCTCCTGACTTGAAACCATGCAGCTTCTTTCCCATATTTTCTAGAGCCTGGAGCTGCGTGGGGCAATTCAATCATTATTGTAAGCAAAAATAAACCAGTTGGCAGCAGATGAGCGCGGGAAAATGGAGGGGCAACTGCAACACAAACTTCCCAAATCACAGGGTCACTCCTGCACCTGTACTCCGTACAAGCAGCGATGTGCCGCCCGTCCAGCCACCATCATTTATGCAGCACGTAATTATTAGTTATGGATGGACCCATGGATGCCGTCGCTTCCATATGTTTAGCTGACTAGAGAGCCACAGATACCCACCCACCCATGGGATTACCGGTGGACGCAGCCGGACACCCTTGGGCATCGATGCCTGCCTTCAATCTGCCTGGAAGGGAAGGCTAACTCTTCAGCAAACCCTATAGCGAACCGATCCGCCTCTGAGATACGTTGCTTCCCATTCTCCTCACTGCACTTCAATTAAGATCCCTTTTGTTAGTTCCTGATTCTCCCCATCCTCGAGTGACAGCACGCTACCTGCTGGGTAGAGAGGTATCGAGATAGATGTCGTAGCAAACAGCCATGCGCTCCGTAACATAAAAAGGAAATAAAATCTGTTGGGCCCGAAGCTTCTCGAAATCCCCTTTCGATGACTTGGTCCGCACCACCGTAATATGTAGTCTACTAGCCATGCCACTGTCTCATCAATCGCCTCCAACATAAACTTCCACTTAGAAGTGCTTTCTCCTGCCTGCTTGGCCGCCGTACTAAAATAGCGCCGCTTTCCCTTGATCAGTTGTGGCAAAGCAAAATGAATAATATTAAGGATTGGAAGGCTCTTGCTGTTCACCTGGACCGTGGGGATTTCCGCCGAGACGTCCGATTGTATCTCCAACCGGGGGATCATCTTATCATCCCTATCCCACCAGCACACGCCTTTGGCGCTGTCCGGTATATCTGCTGAAACCCTGCTAGAGGTTATTGCCTGTAGGGGATCAAACGCTCTAGCGGAGGCCCACTGACGACGCACAGTCTTAATATTATAGTCAGACAGACGGAGCGCAGTACGATCTCTTGAGTTCTCTGGAGTGACTTGGAGAGACGAAACGCTTGCCGCCGTTGTTTCTTTCCCGCTCCTCTCTCTCTGCCCCTCTCTCCCATTGTTAGCCGCCTCATCTTCTCTCGTCCTTTTCACCCACCCACCCCTTTATTTAGTTTTTTAAGACTTACTCTTCACATCTCTCACCCACAGTCAGTCACACCATCCCCTCTCCCTCCCCTCCTCCGCACAAAAGTGTCAACATCCCTGGTGTCATAGATAAAGTATGTGGCGTCAATGATTAGCTCCGCTTCCCGCACACTCTGCCGACTGAATCACCCGCCTTGGTGCTTTTCCGGCTCCACGGATCGATCCGCTGCTCGCGTGTCTGGCTGACCGATTGCTGGTTGCGTTGACTGAAGAAGCTGGAGTCTACGCACAACAACCCAACCCAATTAATAATCCCGTGACCGGGCGCTTCACATGTTTCCGGATTAGTTAGTTAGCAAAGCTGCCATTTTGCATTTCGCCTCCTCCCTCCACCCCCCTCAGTCAGGCTCCTCGACTCTACCCCATCCCCCCTCCCCACAATCCTCATTCCGCTCGGACTCTGCGAAATAATGCGGCCAATAATGACTGTGTTGAGTACTGACTGCCAATGCCTTATTCCTCGTGTTTAGGATAAGCCCCGTGCTCCTGTCTCATCGACCCGCTCTTTGTTCACCGCGTTCCTGGCGCCCTCGGTTTGCGCCCTCGGTCTGCCCCAGAACCTTCCAAACTGTGGATTCACCTTGGGAGCCGCGCATAACTTCCCCTACCTACCATGAACCTGGGGAAGCGGGTAAATAACACACCGTTGAAAATCCCCGGTGTATGGTTTTTCGCTCTACGATCCCATCTCAATAACCTCCTCCGATTACTCCTAGGCGCTAGAACATCAGTATCCGTGTTTGCACGATCGCACGCCTGTCCCACTCTGTCTACATTTATCGTTGAAACCCCACACGCGTGTCAGATACAGTGGCACTTGCACAGCGGCTGCAGGCTCAGCTGTCCATAGCCCAGGCCTGACTTCTACCACCTTTGCAATACTTTCGCACTGCCCGCCACAGCAAGTCCCATTTACTTGTGGCCTCGGTCAGCGCTCCGCTCCCGATTGTGCCGATGCAGGCGTTCTCATTTGTTCCCCCTAGCATGGGCCCCGCCGAGGGCCAGAAGAGTAAGCTCTCGTTGCTCTTACGCATTGTAGAGAAACTCGCGTTACTGCAGGGATATATTTGTCCTGCTGGTATCCGTGGTGTTAATGCGCCTAGTGTTTTGATTCTGACGTGAATTGCATACGTAGACTATGTTTTTGTGGACGAACACAACAGACACAAGCGTCTCAAGGGTATGCTTTACACCTTGACTTTTCGCGCGCTCGGGGAATATTTTTGGACTAATATTTGGATAGTTATGAGAGCTTGCAATGGCTGTCGCAAACGAAAGATTAAATGCGATGCTGCAACCACCAATACCTGGCCCTGCTCCGCGTGTACTCGATTGAAACTTGTTTGCATCCCCCCAACCATCGGCCAGGATGGCGATTTTTCATCCCATGGCCAAATGCCTGAGTCGAGTCAGCAGCCGCCGCCAACGAATCTTCTTCATTCCGCAGATTTAGACCTTTCCTCCCAGAACATATCTCACCAACCGCTTTTTCTTGATAGGACACATGCTCAGAGTATTGGAGGCGGCCGAAGCTATAGTGAGGAATCCCGGTTGTATCAAGCGCAAGCATATACAGAACATGCGCAAAGCCCCCGGCATATATATCACGCCCTCTCTCCACCGCATCTTGTTCCTATGCAACATAACCAAACATTTCAACATAACCCGAACCTATACACTACGTCACCACCTCATCAACTCCTAACGAGAGTGGACACTACATCGTATGCGAAATCTGAACATTCAAATGCAGAAGATCTGAGCGATGCACTTGGCGATCTTAAAATTGACGAAACTGGTGTTGGTATGTCATTAGAATTACAGCTGGTGACTTTGTTTGCCAGTTCTTTTCGTATCCAAAGCTATTTATGGCTTTCCCATCCACACTTAATATCTATATTTTCTCTTCTGCATATAAACCAAATTATTGTTAACGCTTCTTTTCCAAAGCCGCTTATATCCGGCAACCTCGAAAAGGAGACAAAGATCCGGAAGTTCCGACCGCAGAGGAAGGTGACGCGAAGCTCCCACCCTTTATTTCGACCTCTGGCGCAACTATTCGTATACCCCCTGAACTGATGCCATCAGACGACGACGCTATGAAATATTTCGATATTTACTTTACCCATATCCACCCTTATGTACCTGTCGTGCATCGAGGCCACTTATATCAGCAATGGCAATCCGATAAAACATCCATATCGCCCCTTCTTTTAGAGGGCATATTTGCTTGTGCCGGGAGGATGTCGGATGATCCCGCGCAAGGAGCACAGTGGCTTGCGCTGGGCAATCGTGAGTCTTCTTGAAGAGAAAAATAATCGTAGTTCTTACCATTAACTTTTACAAGGGCACGAAGCGGCATTTATGGAAGCTCCTCGACTGAGTACGATCCAGGCCTTATTACTTTTCCTAAAAGCTAGAGAGGGCTCCCCGAAAAAAGGTTACTTCTACCGCTCTTGGCAGACGGTGAAGACTATGGTTTCCATGGCGAAGGACCTCGATCTTCATGAACACCACAGCTATCATGCTGAAGGACAACCTTGTGGGCTTGATACAGTTGAATGCCTCGTCCAAACCAGAGTATGGCAAGCCCTTTTGGTGGTCGAAACAATGATCGGTGGTCCTCAAGGTACGAAAACATATCTCCATATTCATGACGAAGTTCTAATTTCAAAATATAGGGCGCTCGGATTTTGGAGTTGATCCAGATTCTGTTGAATACGGGACTTCATTGAATATTCCCAATTTAGACGCTTTTGAAATCGAAAGGTCACGATTATTTGCTTATTTTATACGCAATGTCCGCAGCATTCGACTGATCACAGATTCATATCATAAGCTCAAGAGACAACCGGACTGGGGAGCCGATCCTCGATTTATAGAAAACAACACCCTAATCCCAGACTGGCTCGCCAACCTTCCGCCCGACTTGCAGGTCACATATCCGCCAGATGGGTCTCCGCCATGGCTTCCATCCCACCTTGTGGGAAATATGCATTCTCATTTCCACCTTTCCACCATAATCCTACACCGTCCTCAACTTCTGGCATCGAAATCTTTCGCCGCTGGCGGGAAATGGAGAACTCATATGCTTCTCTGTTATAATTCAGCAAAAAAGCTCTGTCGCCTACAGGAAGCGATTATACGATCCTTTGGTTTGAACGGCTTGTTTTACATGCAGCGCGGTATCAGCTTTACTGTATATGGTATCTTGACATGTACGATGTTGCATCTCGTGAGTACAACCGAATGTCGTGCACCCCGCATTATGTTGTCTTCTGACCTTGTAACCGGTAGATTGCGATCACCTCCCCTGACCCCGAGCTTAACTCCGATGCAAGGATATATTTCACCCGCCACATGCGTCTCCTCGAACAATGTGCAACTACATGGCCTGTTCCCGATTTACAAGAGTCGATCAACCAACTTCGATTAGCGTTTTCGGCCGATATTAACAAGCCATTTGAGCTAAAACGGAGCTTTCCCTATGGTAGTCCATCAGATCAACATCACCCCAGTCCTCCAATGGACTCTCACTACTTATCCTCGTCCTTTGCTGCAAGTTGCCCAGAACAGAATCAACTCGCATATGGAACCCACGCACTCACGCCTCCTATATCTGCTGAGGTTAATGATAAGGCAGGCGGCCCTACACTACAAGAGATAATGCAGAGTCATGACCAAAACCAAGACCTGCTCAACATCCCATTGGCCGATAGTAACACCTGGGATCCCACTCGAATTATCAAGTAAGTACCTGGGAAATAACAGAAACCATGCTATAATAAACGATACATATGAAACATGGAACCTTTTGACTAACCCTCCCCCCCCCTTTTCACTTTGATAGCCAATGGGACCTTGCCTTCTCTGGCGGTGGATCCAATGCTTCCAGCACGAATTCTCCTCCACTCTCAGCAACCAACCCCTCGCAGGACGGCCAGAGCCTCCCAGCCCAATACCGCATGCACTATTCCCAAACGCCCAAGATGTCCTCCATGCCTGTCCCGCAACCTATGGCCCAGCCCACTTATAGCAACATGCAGTCGGTGATTAGCGCGCGAGACTGGCAACGCAGTGTCGCTAGTGTATACGACCCACAAGGCTTGAAAAGGAGGTGGGATCATCAGGTAAATTTGGACCAGGACCGCGGATGAATGTGAGAAGAGCGCTCCATTCTCACCATTACGCACCCGTGAAATACCATGGGACGACTACCCGCCTTCCGGACCATATGGTAGATGCATGTGCTAGTATTCAAGAGATTGTGCTGTTGCGCCAAGCTTGATGCGGGAACTTGTTCCCGTTTCCAATGCATTTCCATATCCAAACACATTTTGCATCGATAGTGGTGACTATCTAAGGTGATTTTAGATATAATGCTTGTCATTCATGACAATCATAGTCCAGGGGTGCAACCAAGTCGTTTTCGGACTCGAGGCATCACATCGTGACATCATACCGGTCCTGCAACTCCCCAATCATGTTAATCCGATTACCATTTATATACTCATACCAACATTTACCCATGCTTGATCAACGAACAAAAAAGAAAAAAGATAAAGATAAAAACAACATACAGATTTTTTCCCATATATACCCCGATATTTAACGCCCCCATTTGCTTCTTTCGAAGAACGAGAACACATCGATGCGTTTTATGTTAATTTTTCTCTGCTATGATGGGACGAATGTGTGCGATTTTTGCGTTTGTTCTTACTGCTCTGCTTAATTACTATTCTTGTTTAGCATACACACACACACACATATATATATATATTTCTGGCCCTTTCGGTTTCTTAACCAGGCCTGGGTATCCATTACAAGTTACTATCTAGTATTTGGGAACGGCTGCCCGCATCTGTTAGAGGATGATGGACACCCGTGTCTAAATGTTGTATGTGGTCGCTAGACCCATTTTTCTTTTCACACCTTTTCCTCTCATCTCACCTTTTCCCTTCCTTCTTCCATCTATTTCAACTTTTATTTCATATCCCTTTTTATTTTGTTATTGGAAAGGAGGCCCATGGTTTGGATGGGAGGCTATTTGTTACTTGTCATGTTCCTGTTTCGTATGTGCCTGTACATTAGACAATTGATTCCATTGAGGATTCAGGCGATTGGGCTTTGAATTTCTTTTTTTTCTTTTTCTTTTCTTTTTCTTTTTATTTTTCTTTTCTTTTATTTTATATTTTATTTTTATCTTTTGCTATAATTTTATTCTATTAATTGGTTTACGAGGGATGTGAGGATTTGGCCAACTGGCATTTCCCTACGTCCCCTTTCCTCTGAGTCGATTCGATTTGGCTCAGTTGCTGAAAATCCGATCTTGAGATAGGAGGGAAAGCGGCGACCTAGCGTAGCCAAAAAAAAAAAAAAAAAAAAAAAAAAAAAAAAAAAAAAAAAAAAAAAAAAAAACAGAATAAAGGAAAGAGAACAAAAAGATGTGTACATTGCGTGATTGTGTATAGATAGATATTGTTATCTCCATCTATTGTAGCTATTTCCTCCGCCCCCTTTTCCCCTTTGCGATTTTGAGTTTATAACTGAAGGGAGTACAGGTGCGGTGTTCACGGATGGTTTCGAAAGGTAAATTCAAAAGAGATGAGGCATCAAACAATGAGAAAGGCTATTTTAACATGACCTGGCAATTACACGTATAGATGCAACACCTTGCTCATGCAGCCAGCTATCCGTGCGAGAAAGTAGGTGTCATCATTCCTCCCCTCACTATGTCCTGCCTCCATATCCTTCAAACCAGGCAGACCGTTCGGCATTAGCGTTGATGGGATAGAAGGCCCGCCCACGCACGTGTCGATGGCGAGCGCGTAACAGCATGCATGCTTGCTCCGCGGTTTTGCGAATGGGGGCAGGGGGGTATTTGTGTATGGAACATCTGTAACTGAACTTCTTAACCCTCGAGCTCTCATTGCCAACACAGATCATACCCTTTGTAACCATGTAACCACCATCTTCCCAAATCACATTTAAAGCTCGTCGGATAAAGTTGAAAAACCGGAAATGGCGTAACTTGAATATTCTGCCTTCTTCAACTTTTTAATGGATTTTTGTTTTATTTTAGGTCGCTCATTGCAATGGGGCAAAATGCCCTGGGGCTGTCGCTAGTCCGTATAATTCCAGGTTGGCAGGAGTTTGAAGGGAAATGGAAGCAATTATTCGGTCTTCAGCCGGAAACAAAGGTTGGACCGTGCGCTATACCCAGTTTTTGTGAGACGGGTGGTAAAGAGCAACTCCCAACTGGTAGTATGAGCTAGTGGTGGGTAGAAGCCATCGGCTTAAAACAAGCTCCGTGTTTCTTTAGTCCAGTCTTCGCAATGAGTGAATTCAAATGAGAATGTGGACGATGGGACCGATCGTTCACCCTCAGGGAGTGGTGAAGACCTCACACAACCTCACCCCGATTCCACTTCCACTTTCACCTCGAAACCTCTTGTCTCGTTCACTCCCCGCAAGCTCCTCTCTGAATAGGTAGCTCACAAAGGAACTTGCCGCCCACAAAGAAAGATGGATCCATCCGAGTGCGGCACATAAGAGTGTTAAGTAAAGCCAAGGAGAGAAACACCCTCTATTCAAACCAGCTCTAGCTCATCCCACTCGATCACTTCAACCAACCAAGGTGGAGAAGACAGAAAAAGGTAAAGTAGCGCTTTCACCCTGCTCTCCCCAAGCCAATCCTTTCATCTCGCGTGCGCACAATCCGCGCCTTATCACCAGGCAGCGGCTTCAACTCATCATTAGGATCGTACGTCGCAGAACTGGATTGAAAGGGCCCGCCGATTCCACTGCTGCCCGTGCTGCTTGAGAAGTTGATTTGTTGCTGGTTGTTGTTCTCTTTGAGTTGTTGCTGGCGTAGGCGCGCTTTTTCGAAGGCGGCTATGTCTTCGGTGGTGATGGTTATGGCTGTGGGTTTCCGGCGAAGCATTCCGTATATATATTCTTTTCTCGTTTGTTTTGGTTTTGGTTGGTTTGGTTGGGCTGGATTTTGGGAGGGCGGATGGAGCTGCCCCGGAAAGGTTGAAATTGGTGGTGATGATGGGTTTTGTACTAGCGTTGCGGTGGACCCCTATAGAGATCTGGTAATTTAAAAACTAAGATAAATAATGATAAGGAGTCTGTAGATCCAGAGGAGGAAATTCAGCGAGTTGAGAGTAGAATAGAACCGTTGATCAATATTGCAAAGGATGTTATGCGCCTTCAATGCAGAGGCAACGGCACAAACTGCTGAGGATGTCTAAACGTCACGTGATGACTAAAATTCTCCCTGCTCCATCTTCATCTTTCACCAAAATGTCTCGATGCACTTTACCACGGCACCCGCATCCATGCATTGACGAGCCCCGGTCTCTTTACTCAACTATTTGGTGAAGGGGACTAGTTTTACGTTCGTCGTGAACCTTGCGGGGCGATAGTGCCCAATTTACAAATATGCTCAAGCCGCAAGGCGGGCGCCCGTGGGTTGCCATCGTCGACTCAGCGGCCAGCAAATGGAGTCAGGGAGCAGTAGCGGCTAGATCTGGCCGACACTTTTCTTCGTCGTCGGTCAGAGCAGCGGAGAATGATGCAGACTCAAAAGGTATGGTTTGGCGACGTTGAAGATAGTTCCAATGGACTGGGGTTTTCGCCTGGTTGTTCTAAGCTGAACGAAAGAACCTCATACTAACCCTCATTTCTCTAACTAGAAAAACAAAACCGTCTACACTCTCTTCACGAGACGGCTAAAAAGAAAGTTGACACCACATTTTCACGATCCTCCTCCACCCCCCTCATTCGCCGTGTCTCCGACGACTCCCAACCCCCTCCCCGTCAACGACAATTTCAGCAGCGTCGACCTCTCGATGCCCGCTCCCCTAGCTCTCTAGCTCGCCCCCAACCGCAACGTCGACCACTCGATGCTCGTGCACTCGGTTCCAGACTCAACCAAACGGGCGCAAAACCCACTAATATCCTCCGCGCGCCCGCTACTCTGAGAAAACCCGGAAGTGGCCCTCTCGGGGCCAGAAACCCTAAGCGTCCCGCAACGACCCGGCCGGCCCGCCGCAAGAAACAGGACAAGTCGTCCAAAAGTGACGGCAGTGGCGGGTGGTCTGGACAACGCGAGATGTCCAAGGAAGAGCAGGAAGCGGACGAGAAGGCTTTTCTTGAACAGTGGGAGCGCGACCGCCCCAAGCCAGTCCGCTATAATCCGCACGGTTATAATATCGATAATCTACAGCGGACGTGGCCGGCCTTGCCAATGGGTACGACTGGCCCTAAGGAAGCGCTGCATGAACGGCTAGCATGGATGAGTGAGCGGTACCCCAACGGTTTCGAGCCTACAGATCTACTAGCCCAACGCATCCATAAAGGTAAATGGACATATTTCTATAACGAGGAGGAGAAAAACGAGGCAGTAGAGTTGGCACAGAAAATGGCGGCGGAGCGCGCGGATAAATTGACGGATCGCAAGGGTTCGCTGGTTCAGCCGGAGGACATGTCATTTCAGCCTATTGATGAGACGCAGAAGATGCAGCTGGTTTCGCGACTTGTTTCGGGCGAGTACAAATCCGAGCAAGCGCAGTGGGTGAAAGAGCACGGAGCAAGACACCCAGTTATGAAAGATGTTTTGAGGAATTTGGCGAATAATTCAACATGGCAGTCATCCCATAAAACACAATTTTTGGAGGCATTGTCGAAGTCGTTGCCGAAGCCTAAGGCTGTGCGGGCCAAAGCGTAGGGTAGGTCATTTCTAAAATAAACAGGGCTTGTTTCCTACTAGGTTATTTTGTGTATTTTGTTCGAATAAGATTCATAAATTGTATACTATTGTTATCATATCGACCACAGGTTTTTGCATATCTCTTTTAGATACGTGTTTCTTCAGATAATGTGCGCAGCTCTTTATATAAACCTGTATATCCCAACTACTCCCAAAAAAAAAAAAAAAAAAAAAAAAAAAAAAAAAAAAAAAAGAAAGAAAGAAAGAAAGAAAATGGCAAAAACCCGTGTATGTATCCTACAGCACCCTGAATTCCTCCGTTATACAGCAATCTACCTACCCCTGCGATCAATCGACCGTTTTCACGCCCCCTGGTACAAATAAACAAGAAGTTACAAAACTAGGCCTCCAGGGCCTTTTTCGCCGCCTCAAAAACATCTTTAACCTCCTTTTGCCCTTTCTCTGCAATCTTCTCCATCTTCTCTACCTGCTTATGCAAATCGTCCGGTCTCACAAGTTTCTTGACGCCCATGTTCTTCAGCTTCTTGTTTATGGCGCCGCGGGCGTTACGCACGGCAGTAGATGCCTTATCCATGGCGGCCTTCGCATCCTTAACCGATTGATCGCGTGACTCCTTGGTTGGTGGCGGGATGGGGACGTTGAGCTGTAGGCTGTTGTGTGGGTCTGGTTGAGGGTTTAGGGATAGGCTGGAGGAGAGAAGGGAGGAGGTTATGGGTTTTATATACTAGAAGGGAAGGATTAGTATATGAAAGAAAGACTTCTGCGGGAGCAATGGCAGGGCAATTAGATATTCAAGGATCTTTCGAACAGAATTGTGAGGCATGATTTGAAATGTTTCTCGGTCCCCCCGTCCCCCCCCCCCCGGCGCGGGTAAAAAGTAGATGCACAAAAAATGAACAGAAAACGGTATATTTACATACCTCCTCCTCTCCTACCAAAATAGTCAGCATTCTCCCTCCCTTGGGAATAACCTGTGCCAACTCTCCTAGCTTCACTGTCTCCTTGCTCCCTTTACCGTCCCCCTTGCTCACAGCCACGCGCAATGTCTCAATCGCTTCCGGGTTAAACCTGCCGCCCGCCCTCAGCTTCGAAATATCATCTTTCAACCTCTGTACGGCCCCGGCTATGTCATTTTCCAGCTGTGAAAATCCAAATGGATCATCGCCATCTAACCCAGCTGCCTCTGCCGCGCCACTGCCCGACCCACCGTCTGAGTTTCGGGAGGCCTTGTTGCCCTTGTCCTTTTTCTTGGAGAGGTGGGAGGTTGTAGAGAATGGTTGTACACGGAAACTGGGCGCAGTTGTACGAGGGAGTGTAAGTGGGTTGCTGTTGTAAAAGGATGATTGGAAAGTGGATTTCTCGCTGGTGATGACGGAGCTGCGGGAGCTCATCGGGACGATGAGCGCGCGCAACGAGCCATTGGTGCTTGTGGTTCTAAAAGAGAGAAGAGAGAAAACCTCTGAACTGAGAGAGCGAATAACGGGAGGCATGGCTAGTGTGTAGGGGGTAGGGGGTGTAAGGTGAGGGGGGTGTTAAGAGTTGTAATTTTATCTCCAAAGGTTGCTGGAGGCAAAGAGTTTAATGTAAATAGTTACGAAAATGAAATATTTATTTAAATATTTATTTATTTATTTATTTAGCTTAAATATTTAGCCTCCATTAAATATGATTCTTTGACCGAAATCTTGTATTAATAAATAGAGCAATCAACCATGCAGAGAATACGAACTGGAATTTTGAAAATGGCATTTTCGCCGTCAAAACCTATGTCTAGAAATATATCTCTAACATGTCGTGGTGTTTAAATATTTAAATAGGCCCATGTTTGTCATATCCGAGCCTTCTGTACTAACTTACTGTTGGGGGTCCCGCGGTTGGTCGGCCCTTCTACCAGCAGGCGCTGGTGGTGATCGAGCTCTTTTGCCCCAGTAGCCTACACTTACAGCCCATACTATTAATAACATGCGTATTTATTTATCTGGATCGATAGGGGTCGAGCCTTTCAGACCTTAGCCTTGCATTGGCTAAATTAATCGTGGCCTTACGCATGTATAATAAATACAACACTCGACAATTGTTCCAACATATTCATGTTTTGGAAACTGCTATGGAGATATAATAAATAAATAATAAATAATACCGAGATTATTTAGCGGCTCATGCTAGTTAGTTAAATACCCTCCAACGCTTCTCTAGACCAGCCCTATCTATCCTATGGCAATGGGGACTTTCATTTGGGCAATATATTTGTTTGCAACCAAGACCCCAACAACTATCGTCGGCATAATAGATTGGCAATTTGTATCAATAATAAATGCCCGCGTTTATTTATGCAAGTCCAGTGGCCGTCTTTTCTTACTTAGCCCACCCGAAAATTACGAAGTTGGGATTGTCTAGCCGGAGCTACCACCAAACTTTGACCAAATGGATTCTGATGAGAAGGCTTTCGCGATAACAGAGAGAAACAAAGCTTTGCTATCAAAATGCTACGAGGCGGCTCTTGTTAAGAGTCACCTTGAATCATACTTAGCTTTGACTCGAGTCGACTCAGCGATACAGGACTTGCTCTCATGCCCTGAAAACATGTGGAAGGAAGGGATAAGTCCCGCTCTTGACACAGATCTCAGAAAATTGGCACAAATTAGGGCTTTCTGAACCTTGACCTTACAGCAACGATTTATCAAGGTACAGACTTCAGCTTTCTCAGTACAAGGATTGGCATAAAGTAAAAGAATACACACAGGAGCTGCTGCATTCAGATGATGCCGGCTGGGTACCGCCCCAACTTGACTTTGAGAAAGTTCAAGCAAGGCATAATGAACTATTCCAACTTTTATTTAGAGAAAATCAGAAGTCTTGCCAGAAGAGGAAGCAAAGAAGCTCTGGTTTTATATTGGCAAGTCAGATGCGAGAAAATAGGGATTATAGCTGCATTACAGAGGAATCCACTCGACTGCTGGAACAATAGAAGCGACCTCGTATCATGTTAAAGGTACCCCTATTAGACAGGCCAATCGTTTGGTCAACTACCCTTTAATCCAGGTTATCCTTGGTTTGCTTTTCAACACCTTGCCAAAAGTCGTCGAAAGCGTCCGAAATTTTGTCGTTGGGCTCATTGATATCGATATCCCCAAAAGCTAAATTTGCATGGCTTGTATTATTCTTCAGCCACTTCTGGAGTGACTGATTGATTGAAAAAAGCTTGAGGTAAAGCAAAGATAGGTATAGACATACAGAATACCAGCTGCTCCTAGTAGAGGGAAATTAGCTGGATTGCCTCTGAACAGCTATGCTCTGGCGAATGTCATACGGCCGGCAATGTTTACAACACAGTGAATTATAATTATAACACACTCTCTATATAGAGCTGCCTGCTGCTTTGGGCTTCGCGGAACCCTCTGATGGCATGTAGAGTAGGAGAAACAGACCTGGCCCGCCCAAATTGCAGTGTGAGCCATCTTATCGTGTATATATCCCATCGGCTATTAAGGGGAAATGGTTGGATAGCATTGAGTTGGAGAAGATTGACGATGTTGGGGTGGTGGTCGGTCATATTTTATATATATCGGCTGCAGAGATGGCTGTAAAAATACATCAGCATGGGATTTCACCCTGGATCATGACATCTGCATACATGAGCTGAGAACATAGAACATATCTGGGTTTAGTTCCGAAAGATCAGTAATCAAGAAGGTTGTTTGGTTTGATCTTAGCATTTAATGTATGAAGAACTGGCAGGAGATATAAGATGATTTGATTTCAAATTGAGCAAGTTCTTTATTCATTGGTTTTATTCTCGAGAAAGAAAATCCACCCCATACGAGTGGCATTGTCTGTAACACCCTTAGGTAGAACTTTGTCAAGTCAAGTCATCGGGCAGCGTCCGGCCGGCTATATCGATGTGGATCGCCCGCGCAGGGGTTATGTTCTTATAGACTTCTCCTTCTGCTTTGCCTTCGTGCATACTAAACAAAAAGATAAAATCTTGGGATCGGATATGGTGACACCGGACCGGGAGTCTCGAGCCAATTCGACAATCGTGTCAGCCGCAAGATGGCCAAGGCGTATGTATCAGGCAGGCAAGCTCATCGATTTTAGGACAGCTTTGCGATTGTTGCGAGGGGATACCATAAAAATATCATCATCGGGATTGTTTTGTTCCATGAGTTTCTTAATCTGAACCTCGAAGAAGCTCGGGATAGACAGCATGGATTTCGGAGCCGCTGCGTAGGCTTGTGATCTTGCGTCAATAACCATCGCGAAATTGGGCGACGAGATCGCGAAAAACCTAACCAGCAGACAGCACTGGTGGGGCTCTAAGCGAAGAATAAAATTCAGAAATGGCTCTGCTTCAAAAGTGGAGGGTCTACGGGATCCAAAACCCCCGCTCCATGTCGTGCGCAGCCTCAGCCGTCAAGCTTGTAATGTCTCTGAATCGCTGTGTAGGAGCCATGGCCTTTCGGAAATAAGTTTCCCGATCCGGTTAAATATCAGGTATTCAAATGACAGAAAAATGTGCAATGAAAGTATTTGAAAACGAGAGGCTTTAAGATGCCTGGTTTTAAGCCGCAAACATGGGTGAAAGGAAGTTTCCTTCAGGTGACTGCATACAGCAAGTCAAGGGTCAGATTTGACGACGGGAACTTCCCCATCTCTCATGTAAAGGCCAATCGATATACAGTACACACCGTGCCGGTTTTCTGAACAAAGGGGGTTGGAATCAACCAACTACTGTGAACGTAAGCCCAAGCGACACTCTTTTCTGACTCCCATGTGGCCGCAGCCGCCAACCACATGCACGTTGCGAAATCCACAGTTCGACGGTTGGAGCCCTTCTCTAGCTGAATATGTTACCACCCTCAAGCCCGAAGGGCTTATCCCTATTTATAATTGAGGTATTCATGCTGCGTGGGATATCCCGGCAGGATCGTGTTGTAGTGCAGTGTCAAACAGCTAGCTGCTCAAATCCTTGCCTTTGCTGATTGCAGTGGAAAAATTGACAGGACGGTTTCATGAAAGTCAGCTGTGCAGCTGTTGAGCAGCCAGGCTTTCTTCCATTGTTATCAGTATTGGATTTCCCGCCTACTAGCCAACATCAGAAGTTCGAGATGGAATCCAGGTCAGCAGAGTTTGTTTACTTCACGAAGTCACAAGATCAATGGAGGTGAGTTCCGCCATCGGCAAGCCGAGTCGGCTCCATATCTCGGGTCGGGCTTGGCGCGGATCCAGAACGACGGGGTGGAAAACTTTCCAGTGGAGACCATACGAAAATCATCATTCCAATCGGCTAATTTCGCAAATTTGAAATAATCATAAGCGCAGAAACAGGCACGAGATTCAGTTATGGAGAATTGGAGCGGTGATTTTATCTAGCATGCATTTATCTACTCGTAAGACGATTTAGGCCAGTGGAAGTACGGGAGAAGTACGGGAGATTTGTTTCGCATAGAAGGGTCAAGTTGCTATTCTTGGTGCAATGTTCTCCACACTTGGAAAACTGCTGGCGGCGGAAATGCTTCAGTGAAGCCTTACATCGCCAGGATTGCAACTGTCTATGCTACCCAAAACCCATTGTTCTCGGATGATTGTGTATTTCAAGGCGCTGTCTTCATCAACGCGCAATTTTGGAAAATTCATGCTTCGACCGAAAGGGTTCAACATTATAATTGATATCGGTAGGCTAAGTATGGGGAGCCTTTGTACATGTACATGTACTAAAACTAGACAGCCTGCAGGAAATCTAATTCACAATTTTATAGATGGGGAACCAGGATGAACATATATGTATATATGTCTTTCATTCGTTTCAGAGTTCATTCTGATAAGACGCTTCTTAGTAAAACAGATATAAAGTAAGCAAAAACTTTTTCTAACAGCTGTAAAAAGTACTGCGAAGGTGATAAGAAAGTGCGTGAGAGGCGTAAAAGGGAGAGAAGAGAGCATCAATTTGAAGAAAGACAAGCCCTCTAGTTCATGACATCACACACGTCTTAGTAGCTGGCGGTTTAAAACGAAACACAAACACACAACAAAACAAAAAAAAAAAAAAAAAAAAAAAACTAGAGATCTTAGGAAACAGGAGAAAAAGGGAAAGATGAAAAAGGAATATAATTCGTCTTATCTTCATCATGGCGTGGGATCGATCAAAGTATGTAGATAGGAAAAGATCATTCTCATTATAACACAGCAACAAGGCATGAAGGATAGCCAGCTATAGGGGAACAGGCACAGCGCAAACCCGAACGGCGCGGCCCCCCATTGCCCCACTCTCCCCTGCGCACGCGCAGGGCACAAAAATGGTAACATGCGAAAAAAAGCGCTTTCTATCATTTCCTTTCTCCCCTTTTCTTTAGATAATAAAAAAGAAACATAAACAAATTAAATAAACAAACACCCGGGAAAACGTGTATTGACAAACACAAAACGGGAGGGAAAAAGCGGACATGAAAAACGGATGGGGGGAAAATAATGAAAAGGGAACAAGTTTATCGGGTAGCCATCGCCTTGGTGATCAATCGCTTGAGCGCCAGTTCCTTCTTCTTGAGGTCCTCGGGGGAGGAGTCCTCGATCTCGAGCTGGGCCATAGCATCGCTGAGGGCGGACTCGATCTTGTCCTTGTTACCACGCTTGATCTTCAGCGACATGGTTGGGTCGGAGATGATCTCCTCGACACGAGAGATGTAGGACTCGAGCTGCTGGCGCGACTCGAAGCGCTTGCTGAAGGCCTCGTCGCTAGACTTAAACTTGGCGGCGTCTGGAGAATATGCGCGTTAGTGAATGGGATTTTTAAACCTGTTTATTTGGACAAGGGGAATTGGATGTCTTACCATTGATCATGTTTTCGATCTCAGTACTAGAAAGCTTGCCGACGGCGTTGGAGATGGTGATGTTGGCGCTGCGGCCAGTGGACTTTTCAGTGGCGGTAACCTTCAGGATACCGTTGACGTCAACCTCGAAGACAACTTCCAAAGCGGCTTCTCCGGCTCTCATGGGTGGCAGAGGGGATAAGGTAAACTCTCCCAGCGAAGTGTTATCATCGCAGTTAGTGCGCTCTCCTTGGAAGACGGGGAAGTTCACTGTCTGCTGGTTATCTACAACAGTGGTGAAAGTCCTAGAAATGGCAGATATACGTTAGTAATCGCAGTTGGTATGATACTTCGAAAAGGATTGCTCACTTTTTGCAAATTGTAGGAACGGTACGTCCACGCGGGACAACTGGAGCAAAGATATTGCCCTCTATAAAAAATGTTAGTAAGTTATTTTTGAAAAAGGGGATATTGAAAAAGGGGAACATGCCCATTGCAACACCAAGAGATAGAGGAATCACGTCGAGAAGGAGCAGATCGCTGGTATCGGCGGAGGTGGCCTGGCCAGACAAGATGCCGGCCTAGATAACAGTTAGTAAGGTTAGGGGCTAAGGGATTTTTTTTTTCTTAAATACCTGAACAGCGGCACCGTAAGCCACGGCTTCGTCGGGGTTGATGCTCTATGTGATTGATTAGTTTATCTAGAACGAATGAGACGAAAAAGAGGGGGTATATGTATATGTAAACATCTCCCATACCTTTTCGAGCTTCTTGCCATCAAAGAAGTCGCTGAGGAGCTTCTGGATACGGGGGATACGAGTGGAGCCACCGACAAGGACGATCTCGTCAACCTTGCTCTTGTCCATGTTGGCGTCCTTGAGGACCTGTTGGATCGGGTCCAAGGTGCCAGAGAAGGCCTTGGCGTTCAAATCCTCAAAGCGAGCACGGGTAATTTGGGCGTTGAAATCCTCGCCATCGAAGAGAGAATCGATCTCAACGGTGGTTTGGGTTGCGCTGGAGAGGGTACGCTTAGCACGCTCGCAAGCAGTGCGCAGACGCCGGAGGGCTCTTGGGTCGCCGGAGAGATCCTTCTTGGTTTTGCGCTGGAACTCCTTCTTGAAGTGGTCGAGGAGGTTGGTGTCAAAGTCCTGTCCTCCCAAATGGGTATCACCGGCAGTAGCCTTGACGGTGAAAACACCGCCCTGGATGTTAAGAAGCGAAACGTCGAAAGTTCCTCCACCGAGATCGTAGATGAGGACGTTTCGCTCCTTCTCGGAGCGGCCAGCGCCAAGACCGTAGGCAATGGCAGCAGCAGTAGGCTCGTTGATGATACGGAGGACGTTCAAGCCCGCAATAGCACCGGCATCCTTGGTTGCCTGTCTTTGGTTGTCGTTGAAGTATGCTGGGACGGTAACGACAGCCTTTGAGATCTTCTTGGCGAGTTTGGTCTCAGCAACCTCTTTCATCTATATGGACACCAAGTTAGTTTTTCGATCACGATTCTGAATATTGATACATAACCATGTATATAAAAACACAGGTTTCATGTTACGCACCTTCATCAGGACCATAGACGAAATTTCCTGGGGAGAGAAAGCCTTGGTCTCGCCCAAATACTGAACCTGGACAATGGGGTTTCCACCCTGGTCGATGACCTTGAAGGGCCACGACTCGACATCCTTCTTGACAATCGGGTCGTCGAATCTCCGTCCAATCAGACGCCTGTTATTGCAGCTGGGTTAGTAGCTATTCCTTTATTTAAAAGAAAATAAAAATGAAAATGAAATAAATAAAAACCAAGAGCACAATTCTGGAAAGAAAACAAACTTACTTGATATCGAAAACAGTGTTTTCAGGGTTCATCGCAGCCTGGTTCTTGGCCGCCTCACCGATCAAACGCTCATCATCAGTGAAGGAGACGAACGACGGGGTTGTAAAGCTACCCTGCTCGTTGGCAACTGTGTGGCGCGAAAAGAAGATCCCACTGTTAGCACACTAATGCTCCAAATTATCCCGATGTCGAAGGTGCTAGCAGTTGGTGCAGGAGGGGTAGTGCATATGTGTATCTCTGTGTGCGCGGAGTGTTGCCTGGCTGGATGCAAGATTGGTGGTGGGGATAACACATACTAATTTCAACATTGTTGCCCTCATAGTTAGCAACACAAGAGTAGGTGGTACCTGTAGCGTAGAAGAGTAATATTAGCTATTATGTTCAATCGATACCCGGTGATTCTGTTATTCTATTATATATGATATCCAATATATCATTTTGTTTTTGTGTCCAGGAAAATAGGCAGTGTGGAGGGGTTAAAAGGGCATGGGTAAAGAAAAAAAAAAAAAAAAAACATTAACAAAAAAAACATACCAAGGTCAATGCCAATGGCACCCTCATAAACTTCGTCAGACATGATGAAAGATGTGCTGTGTTTTTATTATGTTTTTTAAGACGTATTTCTCTGAATCGTCAAATGAGAGAAGAGGAGAATAACGAAGGGAGGAGGATGAGAGGGAGAAGAAGAAGACTGATGAGGGGCGGAGGAGGAAGAACAAGCAAAGACAGCGAGGAATCCTGTCAAGGGTTTTGAGATTTTTTTTTTTTTTTTTTGTTTTGGAGGTTTTTTATTTATGCGAACCACAAGGTTTTGGAGAAAAAATTAAAAAGAGAAAATTAAAAAAATTAAAAAAGAAAATAGCGTTGAAAAAAAAATGAATTTTTTCGGTGTCGGGCTGGGACTAGCCTGTTTGGGACTAGCCTGTTTGGAACATTGTGCGAGGCAATTGCCGCTGAGTCAGCAACATCTCCTTGCACGCCTTTCCCTCGGCATTTCACATTGCACATTGCCATTTAATGTTGAACTGCGCTTGAGTAGTAGAGTAGGAAGAAATAAATAAAAATAAAATAATTAGCTGTAAATTTATTCCCTAGCGAACTAGATAACTATATGAACCTATATTAATACAAAGAAAAAGAAAAGCGCCTGCTGAGAAATGACAGCTGATTGAGAAGCACATAAACTCCGGGAATTGGCCGCCCCTTGATTGAATCTGCCACACGCCACTCGAAGACCCATACGCGCCTGATATCGCCGCCAAAACCATATATCAGAAAAACAAATATATGAGAACAAAGAAAAGAAGGAAGATAGAGGGAGTGTAGGAAAGAACGAAAGGGGAAAAAAGGAAGGAAAAAAAAAAAAGGAAAAAAAAAAAAAAGAAAAAAAGAACTAAGAATATGTGCAAGGATAGTTCGCAGCTTCATCGAATCCAACGAGCTCTGTGTCCGTGAGGATACCGCAAACAAGATAACAACTTCCCAACCCCGCTCCGAATTGGCACTTAAATCTCACACTCTCATCAGGTTAGCATAGACTGTCAATCGCTCATACTCCGCATCTTGTCCGGGAAATGATTTCAGCCCATTCCCTCCGCGGGTGGCACTGCTACTAGCATTCATTTCAATATCAATCTTGGTAATGCCGATGCCCAGCCGGACCTCATAATAGGGTTTGGTCGGGTCCATGGTTCGCGACGGTGACAGCATCGGGGATAACCGTTGACTGTTGCCGACGGTAACGGTGAGCTGCGTCTGGCGTTGTACCGAGCTTGGGATAATCGTTGGGGTGATGCAGAGAATGTGGGATTTCGCGGGGAGGTTGATAGTTATGGACTGTTGCGTTTGGGTCGATGAGGGTGGGATATCTAGAAGGAATGATTGTCGTAGGTTGAGGTTTGGATGGCTGAATAGCCTGACATGGGATATTAAGGGGCCTAGGATAATATTTGAACATTTTAGTTTTGGACTTTCTCTATGAAGGGATATGCTTTCATCTAATACACATTCTTACCTTTGCCGGATTGCCTTGCTCTCAAGTCCATCGGGGACACCGCCGGGACAGGAGATGGGTATGGGTATGAACGGGAGCCGAACTGTTGTAATACTTCTTGGGTGTTGTTAGGTTGCATGGGGACAGCACCTGCCGAGGGGGTCATCAATTTTGATGGCTCAGCAGAGCCGGAAGCAACTCGACGATGCGCATCGTGGAGCGGCTTTATGGATTCTTGGCTTGCCAGGCTTCTTAGATTTGGCGTCGATGGCCCTGTACTTTCAACTTTGACAGCAGAAGAGGGCCGAACAGGCGATGCTCCTTGTGCATTTCGCTGCTCTCTCTCTTGCTCCTGCGAGCGCGTGCTTCGCGTCGATACAGCCCTTGTTCCAGACCCCGACCGATCTCTTAGGGTTCTTCTTGGAGGTGTTGGTCGATCTGGAACTTCGAGGCCGTTTGAACTTGCCTTAACGTGCTCCTGTTGCCTCCGTAGGGCTTCAGTATCTATAGAAACTCCGCCTTGGCGATGTTCCATGTCCGTCGATTGGTCACCAACTTTTCCCGGAAGTCGCAAAGTCAGTTTCTGCGGCGCTGGTTCTGGAGTCTTCGTGGTTCCCATGCGGAGTTTAATACGAGGACCCGGGGTATCGCCGTTCGTGGTGGGTGGAGGTTCAGGAACCTGCTTTCGTGCCTCCGCAAGAAGTCGACGGAAATATTCCTAGCACTTCGATTAGCAAAAAAAAAAAAAAAAGAAAAAAAAAAAAAGAAAAATAACAGGAGTAAAAAAAAGCATGCATTGCAATAGCAAATACCTCAAGCGAGCCCGCAAGCGCGACTATTTCGCTCCCGTCCTCATTGAATTCCCTGGCATTGCGCCAGATATAGCTGACTTCCTCCTCGAACGCGTCCCACGTTTTAAACGGCGTGGTTTTCGTAGAATTCTTCCGTCCGTCTGTGCCTCGAACGCGTTTTAGGATAGCTCTTAGAGACACAGGGTGCTTTATTATTTCATAGTACTCCTTGTACAAGTTCCGATCTGGCATACTGAGGAAGGGAAAAAAAACTTCTTCGCCGCTGAAGGAACGTCAGTACTCGCCTAGAGTCGAAGCATAGCCACGGTGTCACAAAGGTTAACTCACTCTGAATCTTTCAATCGAATCATTCCGGTGATTATCTTTTCCTGGGCACTTTCATACGTTTCCCCCTCGAAGTTGAAGTTTTCGTTATCGTTCTGGTTGACCACCTGATCCAAGGCTGGTGTCTCGGTTGTGGATTTCTTTTCTTCTTCATCTCCAGCATCAGCCCCATTTCCGGTTTCAGGAGACACCTTTTCGTCATCCGCGTCTTCCTCCTCTGGTATAGGGGTAGCAAACGGGGCGTAGTTTGGATCGTTATATGCTGGGTTTATGATGGACATTTTATTTGCTATTAATTTCCGTATGCGCTCCGCGTTCGAAAAAATCATTGAGCCTTTATCATTGTAGTATTTAGCGTTGCTGACCATCCTGCGGAGATCGCTTTCCACGGGAGTCAAACAGGGGTATTGGTGCTTCTTCAGTTTGTTCTAGACACCATTAAATACACGCATCAGTGACCAAATTACGCACTATTGGTTTAACGGAAAGGATATCGTGAGAAATCGCTTAAAGACAAATTTAAACTTACCTCCACTGTATCTAGGGCAATGGGAAGCCGAATGGCTTGGTAATAATGCGGGTTTTCTTTCTATATACGGACAAGGGTCAGTTGGGGTTTCTTTAGAGGGAGGAAGCTGTCTCGAAGCTCACCCAGTTAGGAAGATGAATGAATTCAGTTGCAACGAGTTGTCCACTGCCATGAAGGAACAGATGTATAGGTTAGCCTCTCTCCATCTTAGCCAAGCAAGCAAAGCTCCACTAGAGCTCCAAGCACATACTGCTTATCAGTAGCCTGTTTGATTTGCGCGATTAGTTCTAGACCAGCTTCTGTAGTTTTCTCGGGAGTTTCGTCGGTTTCGGGGACAAAAGTCTGGTCGCATCGGCCCGTTAGTTCATATATTTAGACCAAAGCACATATATAACACAAGCGACGGGTGGGGACGCGGAGGAACATGGTATCTAGCGGGCGTCGGGCAACAGATCGCACTTCGCACTCTCTACCCCTAAAACAATCCCCACCAGCTTCGGGAAATCAATGGTAGAAAATCACAGAATGACAGACTTACTGAGGTCCTGCGACGTTTCTGGCCCTTTGTTGGACCCTCTGGAGACCCCGCGACGGTCCCCCGCCGTTTAGTTGTCATGCTTGCGGAAGTTCTCTGGGAATAGGTGCGGCACGAGCTCGGGGAAGATTGAGGAGACAGGTTCGCAATCGTGTGGTGAGTGGATGGACGGCGGGATTCGGACATAAAGCGGGGCGGATAATAGCAGCGCTCGTTCAGCTAGGGAAGACAAGCGAGCAGATGACGGTGGTGAAGAATGTCAGGAGCTGGATCTATCAGCGCAACCAGCGGCGGTCGAACTGGCGATGATGCTAGAACGCGCTGATCACGAGATGTCTCGATCGATCGCTCGCTACGGGAGGCTGGACAGCCACAGCGGCCAGAACAGGCCGATACGGTACGGTATGGTACGACACCACGTCTGGGGGGGTGTAATTTACGTATTAACGGCGTATCCACTAAGTAAACAAAACGCCGGACTCGAACCATACGCCTGCGATACAGCTCGATTCGTTATTTCCTTGCCCCAAGTTGCAAGTCAGTAATAAGTAGAGTGAGTAGTCCGTAGTCAGTCTCTTGTGGACTCTTCCTGTTCATCCACTCGCTACTCGAAGTTGCCAACTCCAACTCCAACTCCAACGCGATATCTTTCTGACGCTCCATTGCTCTGCCGCCGCCGCCGCTGCTGCTGCTGGACACGCTTGAACTCTCTCTCCAGTGACAGCCTGTAAGGTTAGAAACAAAGCAAACCCCGCACCTTTGTGCAGTTCCAACAGAAAAAAGGTGCAGCTTTGCTTCCCTTCCTCTTCGTGGTGCCGCAGTCAGTGTCCTTCATTCGCATTCCGCACGCCTTCTCCTCCTTTTCTGCTAGAACTGAAGGCATCTTATATCCCAGTCCGTTAGACCTCACTCTTTCTCGTTGACAGCAACACTTCTTGCGCTCTCGTATCTACGTTCCGGGTTTTCGTGTCCCGGTCAACCAACGTCTTCCCCGCCTGCGGATTTGGCCCTGACGACCGCGACCTCTACGGCAAAGAAGGCTACCAACCTAGATACCTAGTCGTTTTCATCTTTCTTTCATTTTTTCTCGCGCGCGCGCGTGTGTGTGTGTGAGAGAGAAAACAGCTACGTTGGTAATCATGAACATCGACTACTCGCGAAGGAATAAGAAGCCCCGGCTACTTCTGGAGCCGGAGAGGCAGGAACTAGAGGAGTTTATCGATTCCATACACTATTCTTCAAGGTATGTGCGCGTGTGCGGTGTTTCTATACTGGACAAAGCGACTGCCCTGTTCATCCTATGTTTGCGCGCGCGTGGGGAGACAGACTACATTGACTACCAGGAAAGGGAAAAAAAAATAAAAACAAATGGAAGAAACCTCTGAGAAACCCCTCCAGTCTAACACCATTTGTATAGATATTCAGACAATGAATTCGAATATCGCCATGTCCAGCTCCCCAAACATATGCTTAAAAAGATACCCGCCGACTATTTCGACACCTCCAAAGGGACGCTGAAGCTACTGTGGGAGGAAGAGTGGAGAGGTCTGGGAATTACGCAGGTATTTTGATCCTGTCTGGTACATGTACAAATAATGTACATCCCCTATCGTGGAACAAGCTGACAGGCCATATCTCTCTTCTTTTAGAGCTTGGGTTGGGAACATTATGAAGTGCACGAGCCAGAGCCACACATTTTGCTCTTCAAGTGAGTTGTTTCGTCTCCATTCGTTGCACCATCCTAATTGGCGTTGCGCTCTTGTGCTTTCTCTTATCGTCTCACATAACTCTGACTGAACTAACATGATACAGGCGACCGATTAACTACCAACCACCCACCAATTAGTTAACCTTATCGTCTCTCCTCGCTCCAAAAGGAACACAAAAAAACTAATGATATACGCCGGGGCGTTCTTGCATTTGTCCACAATAATAAAAGCCAGTTTTCTAAAGAGCAATGTAGATCTCACAAGCGATCCATTCACGCTGTTCGAAATTGGCTTCAAAACCGACTTTGGGAGTCCAGGCATTGTTTTCCCGAAATTCCTTATATCGATCTGTTTAATTTGACTCTCCTTGTTATTTTCCAACTCCCATATAGATATTTCATTTCACTTTTCTCTTTGCTATTATTTTCCGCCATTGCTGAAAGACCGAGATATCTCACTTGAGCACGCTCCAACACACCCCTTTCACCCCTTTGTTTTATCATTACTTTTAGGTAATACATGGATGTGTCTTCCATAGCCTCTCTCCCGTCCACTCCCCATTGCTCTTCTCTTCCTATCTTTTATCATCAGAAGTTCCAACCATCGTTTCTTTTTCCCCCTTCATTCTGACATGTTTGTCTCAAATCCCTGACCGTACCAATAATGAATCAAACGACATTCTTCTGCAACCATTCTTCCCATTGTTCGCGGGTGAAGCTGCTACTAATGGATCTCTCCTCGACGCCCTTTTTGTTTTGTTTAAAAACAACGAATCATCCACTGGTTAGTACGATACGTGCTTTTCAAAATAAGGCAGCATTACCTGCGCGCATCCATTCCTGCGAATGGTCTCCAAGCAAAGCAAATAAAAGAACTTACATCGAAGTACACTGTAGGCGTAAAATGCGCCCCAATCAACCGCGCGGCCTTTTGAATAATGTCCAGGTTAGTACCCATCGCCATATACGTATATGTCTCTCTCTCTTGGGTGAGTAATAAAACACACCTTGACCATCACTTTCAAATCATTCGTAACACCATTTCCTATATTCAATCCCCCATCCTTATCCGGCTGATCACTAACCGCCAACAACTGCAACATCGCCCCCTCATCAACGCCGACCTCAGCCCCGATTTTCGCCAGGCGCACATACGTGTCGTTCCTCTTCTCATTGACGACGTTCACATCGAAGAACTCCGCCTGCTTCGCGAACAGCGCGGCGCTAAAGGGCCAGAATTTCTCCGGCGCGAGCTTGAGGACGGCCACGCCCGCTTCGTGTGTGAGGGTTGAAGACGGATGCCAGGGCTGGATTAGCTGGCGGAATATGACCTGGAGGTTTTTATGGTAGGTGGAGTTGGGGTTGTTGAGGAGCGGGGTTATGGTTGGGTAAAAGGTTTTGAATAGTTTGGCGGAGTACTGGGGGGGTTGTTTAGTTTTTAGCGTGATTTGATTATATTGCATGTGAACGGAGGGGGAAGGTTGGATGGTCGTACGGGGCAAACATAATCCAAGTCTGTTGTGGGAGGTTAGTAGTCAAGTTTTTGTGTAGTTTATATATGTTACCAGGCAAATAATATTTATGAATTGGATTGGGAAACGAGGAGATTAGGACGCCAACTAACAAATTTCCAGTGTATGCTTAGTCTCCAGGATGCCTCCGGATGAGAGCTTCTGGCCGGCAAATTTGGGTGCGAGTGTCATTTTGCGTGTTCTTATTTTATTGAGATGGTTTGTTAGAATTTGCTTCTTCAATGTATGAAGCCAGTGGCAGAATTGAAAAGATATGGAGGATTTTCTGTAGATGGAAAGTGGGTTGAAATGGAAAGCGGAAGGGTTGCTGGTTATAAAAACATGGATGACATCACGTTCATTTTGGATCTAGCTTTAGCTCCCCGCTCGGCGAAACTCACAACGATGACAACACCTTCATAATAATAATAATAATAATAATAATAATAATACTAATAGAGGGAGTCTAGCCCTTTTGCTCTGCGGCCCCTATGACGCCTTCTGGCTAAAAAGCCCAGCTTAAATTTTTCCTCGGAGGCTCTTCAGAAGCCATCAGTGGCAGATAACCTTGGAATAATCGCACCCTCCCTAAAAGAGGGCCCATGCTTATCCAATTGTTGTCCACTTAGTTACAAGCTTTCGGTCCTTTGCGAGAATAGATGGACAGGGTCCTCAGTGATGACGTGCTTCATCGTCTCCAATAATTAATCAAAGCCTGATTATCTGGGCAGATTTTTCGTGACATATATATATATATCGCATATATTTAAGGGGACAAGTTTATTCATCCCCATCCTAAAAACAACTACCTAATATTTCCCGTGCAAAACATCTTAGACGCCGCCACCCACCAATCGAGATAAACACGGATGCAAAAAAGATATATATAAAAAGTGGCGTGAGCAAGAAAGTGCCAGTGCGTGGAAGCAAATGTCTAGAGAAAACCAAAACCGCTGGGAAAAAAAAAGAAGAAAATGTTAGTATGACAAATGACAGGAACCACCTGACGTGAGGAACCTTGTCATATAGGAAGGAAAAAGCAATGATAATAATAAATGTACAAGTTCGTCCTGTGTACTCTAATCTAGGCCATGAGAATTTCAAGAATCCGACGCCTTCGATTCCAGTACCGCTTTTCGAGGCGGTAGCCTGTTAGCGGCGTTCGATTTGTAGGAAAATGTGTGAAGTATCTCCACTTCTATCGCATACCAGTTCTTTGTCGCTGGTTCGTAGATTCCCACAATATGTGCTTCGCAGCCGCCTTTAGGGCCTCTAAACCGGGCAACGCCATTCAGCTTGAAAGCCCCCTTTTGCGGGGTTTTATTTGTGTTTTTTTGCCGGGTTAATAGTAGGAATAATGTAAATATCTTCATAGCATCGCGGATGTCGGAGGTAGACTCGCCTAGTAAGCTGGGTTGGTTCCGTAAAGCGGAACTGGGCTTTTGAGGCTGAAAGTCGTTGGAGGTCCCCTGTCTTGGAATTTCTCCTGGCGTTGTGTTAGGTATTAAGGGGTAGTTCCGAGGGGACTGAGAAACGTTGGGCGGACCACTAGGACCCGCGCGGGGTCTGCTATCCTGATTGTTGGCGGTATTTTCCCCTACCAGATCTGTGGGCTCAAACCCCAATAATTTTCGAAGTTTTGCTAGCTTTACTGTAACCAAATACTCCCCAGCTGCCCAAGATGCAATCACAAGTGGCCATGGTTCGAATACACTGCGAATCCAGTCGCCACGGTTTGTTGGTATTGGGCGGGTGGTCCAAAATATCTCGTCATCCCTAAGCTCGAAGCTACACGATTTACCGTTAGCACATACGAATGATTCAACCGTTATTCTACTCTAGGGAGTTACTCACCCAGGTTGAACATAGGTCGACGGTTTCACGACCGGAAATGAGGGCTTAATTGTGGTTCGGTGGACTGGCTTAAGCGGCGAACCAGTCACATGGACAATAGCTGGCAGAGCGGGCTTTCGATTCACGATCGCGGTAGCCTGGACTAATAACTCTTCTGGAAGTAGGTGAGCAACCGTAGACGTAATAAAAGTGATTAAATGGCAATGGGTGGTCCCTACCTCTTAATTTTTTAAATTGTGCTGTTTCAATTCCAAATGACCTGAACGTTTTCCATTCAGGATCATCTTCAGTATATGGTCCGCCAGGTACGGAATAGGGAAGTCCAATAGGGATGAATGATACGGCGTCTTCGTCGCGCTGCCTCTCTTTCTCGGCGCGAATTTTTGCTTGTAAGGCGGTGTCTTTACTAATGGTTTCGTCTACGTCTTCCAGCCGATCCAGCGAAGGTCCAATGAGCGCGAAATACACTTGGGTCGCAACGACTGCGGTGAGGATCGTGGATATGCCTCTTCTTGTATGGCCGGTCAGTTTATTTTACGAATAGGCGGAATTAAACTTGGGATATCATACCTTAACCAGGGCCTCTTGAACCTCACCCGCTGAACTTTTACTAGTCCGTCATACCTGCTAAAAGATCGCTGTGTACTCCTAGGCACTAGGAGGTGACAAGCTGGAGTGGCCCGTCTAAAATTCCGAAACATTTGGATCACTTCTTCTGCCACAAAACTCCCATTCTGCGGGGAATATACGACCAGGTTGTGGGGAGTCACCAGACCATTTGAGCAATTGAAAGTCCCTGGAATCGAGCGTAAAACCTAGTTTTGACCAGTATATATCGTTAAGAACCGCTGAAGGAGTATGCAATAAGGATAGTAGCTGTTAGCGCGGTACGGATATGGATATCGAGTGACTGATGAGTGGGAGTTGCGCGATCAAAATTGAATGCCCTGTAACAACTCAAGATGCCAAGAATTCGATTCACGTGATTTTAAGCGGACCCGCCATCTGATTCATGGAGCTTACGCGCTGGTTAAGATTCTTGACTCGCCAGAGACATATTCGCACTGACACAGGACATCACAGCAGCTAAAAATTTTCTTCCACCATCGGGCATCTGATGTGGGTGCCTTCTACATGTCTACCTCTCTGGCGTATGCACCACGCATTCTAATTGATTAGGGGCGAAATATACAAACCATATGAAGATTGACTGGGAAAAAGATGCAGCTGACTTCTCACTCATACCATCCATTTTAACCATTGCTTTTCGGCGAGCAATTATTCCATTCCCCTCAAATAATAGCTTAACGGGGGATGAGCTGAGAGCTAAATTCTTGTGTGGCCGGACTTGGAGCTATTGCATCTTTCAGAATGGTAGGTATCGTTTATTTCAATAACCAAAAGTCTCAATGAAGCATGGCCTGCAAACTGTCGATGAGCCTTTTTTCTGCATACAAAAGGAGTGATCTAAGGCGATGTGTATCTTCCCGCTAGCTGTGGGAATCCAGGGGATGCTGGCTTTAAGATCCTGGAAGGGTTGAAATATGAAAGTTTTCTATTTTTGAGCAAACCGAAACTGAAAACAGATATGCATACATTAACTAGTGTGAGATGATTTCATGGCGGGTGATCGTGTTTAAAAGCCAATAGCCGATTGGATGGGTTTTATCAGAGAAATGCCCTTAAAGCCCATGCCCTCAATGCACCCGATCCCTGTATGATTACTGCATGAGAAGTGAGCCATGAAAGGATGGTGCAAATTGCAAATACGCCTAGAAATAATATTCAGGGTCTGGCAGGAATGCAGCAGAAAATATTAGCAATGTTTATCCATGAACAAATGCGTCACCAGCGGCTGAGTCTTCCTACAGCGTAATAGAGCTTCGTCAGAGCGATTTCAGAGTACGTAGCGTAGGGCTGAGGAGGTTGATGCGAAGGATGCGCGCTAATTCTATTTAAGGCTAGCATGTGGCTCCACGAGACCGCGGCCGGTTCATGTTTCCGAGATCTGCGGCTTACAACTTTAATCTGACGGTGCGTGGAACTTTTTTCTCTTGCAATCGGGCGGTTTCCATCCACTAACTCAGAATATTGCAAGGGACCTGTACGATCTGGCAGGCTAAAATCTGAATGTCCGTTATGTAGTCGAGTCGAACCTAATAATTCCGATTAATTGGCCACTCGCTCCTATCACTAGAGCCATTGTTTGGACCTTTGCGAGCAATGCAACTGCGACTTGAAGCCAGGTATACACATTACACCCATATCTTCAGGAGGCTAAAGTATTTATTTTGTTAAGTTGTGTGTAGCCGTGGCAGTTAATCTCCCAGGTTTCAACCGAAATTTACTACAGACGAAATGATGAAGGAAATAAAATTGCGCAGTGCGAGTGATTCTATTTTAAGGAAAGAATTTTCCGAAGCCAACTAACATTTGTGTGTGAATTACGGGATTCGATCCAACACACCTGCAGCCTTGATGATAACATTGGTGACTCTCTTTGGCATGCTCAACATACAAAAATGACCCGCGTCGCATATCTCGGTTCGCATTGACCCATACGCTTAGCAGACAATGGCCTTCCGAACCTTGAAAGGTAGAGCCTAGTTCTGGGTGTAGAGGAGGTAGGTTGCCGGCAAATTTTTTTGACCAGCATAGGCCAACGGGTGGGTGTATATGGACGCAGCGTGTGGGAGCAACTTCGCTGCAAGCTCATCGGCCATCGAGGCTGGAAGGTCGTTGTAGAATATATCCCGTGCATTCTCAACGGTTGTCCACACGCCCTGTTCAATCATATTAGCTTTCATGGAACGCGATGAACTGTCTGAGGAAAGGACCTCACGTCCATATTTCTGTTCGACATCGCTGAAGCGGAAGAACTCACCTGGAATTTGACCCATTCTGGAACATTCTCAACAAGAATCTCGCCTTCCGTGCCCAGGAGTCCGGCGAGATATACCAAATGACCGATCCCGTCTTGCTCACTCTGTGCTAACCTGTCCGTTTTTAACAAACCTTTTGCACTCTCGGACCCGACAAACCCTCCATACGAATGCATAACCAGAATGTCTTTTACCTCATCAGCCAGCGCGCGCGTTGTTTTCTGAAAAGTGATATGTCGTCCACTGGTGTGCTTTTTGGGTCCAGGCCGGCAGTAGGGAGGTGAAGAGCGTGAAGTTCATATCCACGCTCCTTTAATTGAGCGATCACGGCGCCGAAATACTCCGGCCCATTCCAAGCCCCTGGGAGAAAAATGATGCTTTGTTTTTCCTTCCTCATTTTCATTCTCACTTTCTTCACTGTTCTGGGCTTTAAGTGGTGTTTAGGGAATCTCGGATATGCATTGGAATTGAGCAAGTGTTCATTCAGTACATTAAAGGTAACACTCTTAACAAGGTTTTTTTCGAGGGGGAAGATTTGGGTCTGCTTTATGGCCATCGCTATCACTTAAATAGCCTACCTCCCGACCTCGCCTCGGCTTTATCATTTCGCCCATCTCTGAATCTCACGCAAAATACACCAAGGGCTTTAAGGGCTTGTAGACAACCAACAAAAGCAATAAAATATGGGTCAATGCTAACTCCTTGCGAACGGTTCGTCAGCTTACCATTTCAGCTAGGCTATATTGCGACCCGCAGGAAAGTGTTCCAGATGCAATCGGCCAACGAATTCGAATCGAAGCTATCATGGTTACGACAACCATCAAAATGAGGGGGCACCCTCCAAGGTACACTGATGCGTCGTGGAATACTCTATTACTAGTTTAACACGATCGGTATGTTTCCTTTATCTTGCATTTCGAGCATGACGTAGTTATTGTAGTAGTAAGAATGCGAACCCCTGTTGATTGTAGTAGCATGGAAATCTTTCCTCACGCGATGATTAACAGCCGCTTGATGGATGACACGGATAGCAATGATATAGAATAATTCAAATAAATTTTCAATAAGCTATATACTTTTCATCAAGAGAAGAGTAGAAGCGCAATCAAGCGAAACATTAATATCGACCAGGCCCTGGGGCTCTTACTTGCCAGTCTTCCTCTTTTTGTTGCTATGCTCAGGCACAAACTCATCTCTGTATGTCTTAAAAAAAAGCCGGAGGCTCCTGAGGATGGCTTCCTGTCACGTCGTGGAACGCAGTGGTAGAGATATAGTTCGTTTTTCCCTCACAAACCAAAGAATAATATTCGAGCAGATATTCAAGTTCAGACTCGTTGCTTTCTGCTTGCGCGCGTAACATTTTCTTGGCTTCCTCCCTGCTCAAGCAAATACTAAATTAGGATCTTGCTTTTAAACTTGGCATTTTTACTCGAAGGTGCTAAACTTCAATGGTGTGCCTAGCGCTTGACTGGCTGCTGTGGCAAGCTCCTCTCCCGCAGCAAGGATTGGCGGATGTTAATATCGGCAATATATGTTAAACTTCTGGGCAATGGGAACATGATATGTACCTGTGAGAACATGGGCGACAACTTGAGCTAGATCCTGTGGCAATGTTAGACTAATGCATATCAAAATCAATAACGGCAGCTTAGTCCTAAGGTCGTTGGAGCAAACTTATTCTGCTTCCCAATAGGGAGTGGTAGTGTAACCCTCCTTCGCTTGAGGGGAATAGAGCAAGAGGTTTTCTGCATAGAAACCAGCGCTGTATTTTCTTATTGACATAGCAATCCTTTCTCTGAGAGAGTATATTCGGGCTTAACCGAATTACCACTGGGCTATGTCCTGTTGAAGTTGAAGGGTCTCCTTTGCACGACATAAAGGGCACTCCAAATCAATGAATTGACGAGGGCTAGGTAGCTTATATCTCTCAGCAAGGTCTGCACCGACGGAGCTAATAAAGTACGTGTTTGGCACATTGGCCATCTTTGTAGCTTCGATCAATTCACAAGTAATATTGTACTTATCTTTTATGCGCTGGCGGAATAACGCATACAGTATCTGCACCTGTCTCTTCCAGCGTCCTAGTTAGCTTCTGCGCCTTTCCTAGCATGTGCGGAATGATTTTCGCACCCAGCTTTTCCAGTTCTTTTCCAGTTCTTTGCAACGGCTGGCATCAGGATGAAGCGAAAGCCCGCTGAGTCAAACTGCTTTTGAAATTGGCGTCTGTGAGAAGCAGTTCGGTGATGAGATGGCCAGTATGGCCCATCTACAGCGGTAACGCAGATATTCCGTGACATTGCGAATAAGATTTTCTAGTCAGCAGGATAAAGCATCCCCTATTAACTAGCACTGTTGTTATAGCTATTTATATATTGTAGTCTTCTCAGCAGCCTGGGATGTAGCGCAGAGACATGAAATGTGGGCTCATAATGACATCAATTAGTCACGCCCAGCCAAGCGATACACTTGGAGCAATATGTTCGTCATGCCTACGAATCATCTCTGGTCCCTGATTCAAACAGCAAGAAATTCACTTAAATCGTCGCAGCCAAGCTTTGAAAAGCTAGTCAGTCCTATCTCAACCATGCAGAAGAGGAACGAAAGAAAAAAAAAACATATAAAAAAAGAGGTGGTATAATAGCTTAAATCTGAATTGGAATCGGATATATCATTGAGAAATAGATAATTCTATATGCTAGAAGGAGGAATCCCCAGAATTCTTGTTGACAGCAATCAAATATCAAACCTTACTTGTGTAAGTTGCGCTCCGACATGCCAAGAGACCAGTGGGCGCTAAGTCTAAATAGGTAATTCAGGCGCTTGGCCGGATCGGGACTCGGGGTTCAACCGCACGCCGCCGACGACGAGGGCGATATCAAATCGACACAACACCACTATTGCAACTTCTTTACTACGAGGCCAAAACTCTATAGATCTCCCAGCTCCAGGGATTGGCTGGGTCTTCCACTCGTCGCCTTGTTTTTCTCCTTCCGTAGGTCGTGCTGTCAACCAGCCATATTGCAGCATGAGGCGCCTGCTATCATTTCTCCCCCTCTCGCTCGCTGCGATCACCGGTGTAGCCGCCTACGATGCCAGAGCTTACACATTTGATACACGGCAACAGTCTGTGCCACCGGTCAACCGAGTAGTGACTCCAGAGACAGCGAGGCTAATATTAGCCAGCCGATTAGATCTCGCAGATGGTTCAACGTTAGGCCAAGTCGACGAGATCCTTATCCGGGATCTCAATACGTTTGGAGGAGCACAAACACCTATTATGGGCGATACATCGGTTGGCGATTGTTCAACGAAGATGGCACTTGTTTGGGAGGGCGTTGATGTCCCTGATCGTATGTCGTCGACAGAAATTGTTTGACACCCAGGTCGAGAATACTAACCCAAGCGTCAATAGTTGCGTCTGTTTCAAAATATTCGACCGATTCTTTCACTATTCCCTCTGCGCCTGCTGACCTAGTCTCGGAATCTTTTGTTGAAAACCTACTCACTCACTCCTCCGCTATGCTGACTACGTCAAAACCATGTCTATACGATTTTGAGGTAGATGGTCGACTTCAGGGCACGTTAATTCTGGTGGGAGCCACTCAAAAATTTGAAAACCCTTACGCTCAAGTCACTAATAGTAGATTTTATATTCAGAATGCAAACCAATGCCCCTCAAAGAAAGATGTCTTCTCGGCAACGAGCTCGATATTGGAGGAAGCGGCATTCCGCCAGTTTCTGGCCCGAGGTGCCAAGGGCTGGGGAGGTGAATGCGCAACCGCTATTCTGCGGCTTTCATCTACGGTAAGTTACGCATTATCTAACTACAGAATCCTATATATTTGGACCGAACACAGCTAATCTCCCTTTTTGCAGTCAAACACGCCCGCAGTACGGAAAACCGTCTTTGCAACCATTGCAGAACTTAGTATTCTGGCAAAGGACTCCAAACAGGACTCTGTCATGATATTTACTTCTCCTTCGCCATCGTACCACACGCTTAAGTACCGATCTGAAGAAACGAAGCCCGGCTTGCCGAATACTATACAGGCAAGATCCTCAAGAAACGTCCGACGAGGCCACAAATTTCCTTCAACTATGATGCCCGTGTGCTATAGCAGCAACGAGACCTGCACAGAAGCGACAAATAATTGCTCTGGCCACGGATCGTGCTACCGAAAGTTTGCATCCAAAGAGAACGCCAAGGGAGACTGCTTCGCCTGCAAGTGCCACCGGACTGTTGTGCGGACGAACGACGATGGTACCGTCAAAACTGTCCAATGGGGTGGAGCTGCATGCCAGAAGAAGGACGTCAGCATTCCATTTTTTATTATTGCTAGCCTTACGATCCTAATGGTTATTGCGGTTACGGGAGGTATCCGGTTGCTCTTTAGTGTTGGGATGGAAGAGTTGCCTAGCGTTATTGGTGCTGGGGTTGCTGTGCCAAAACCGCAAAAATGAACGGTTTATTTCTTACTTCTCCATTTTATTTTATTTTCTTCTGCTCCTATCGGTCTCATATTGGCGTGTGGGTATTTGCCTGAGTTACATTTTCGTATCTATTTTCTCGCTTCTTGCTTTCATTTTGTTTCAGCTGCATCTATTTTGCCAACTCAAGATCTCTTTTATACGGGGTTTTCTCTCTTTTCCAAATTTGGCTTCCATTTTTAGTTTTTGGTTTGTGTCTCCTGTAGTATATATCACCATCCTTGGATACCTCTGTGCTAACTAACTCCATATTAAACATACATAACGATAATGGTTCAAGCGACCGGTGTTTTGCTGCTTTTTCTTCATTTCGCCAGTTTCTCACTTTTCCCATCACGATAAACCCATTGTTATTTGAGGTCACTACGATCACCCACCCAGCACAAGGACCATCTGACCGAATTTACATGCCGCTCAGTTGGCAAATATGCAATTTATTTACACGCTCGCTACAAACCACATACAGTGACACCGCCTCGAACTAGAACCCCCCTGCCAACGCCAAAGCACACTGAGAATCTCCTAATCATCCTGCTTTGCAATCCGCACTCTACACAGGCATTAGCTATTAGCCCATGCCACCGCCTACACACATACCATACACGCCCTTCCCCAATGTCTCACATATTCCCCTCGAGTAAACGTAAATAATAACCGTTCGTTCCCCACACTCAATAAAACCACAGCGCCATGCTCCAACAGGGGGCAGTGCATGTATTAAACCGGTGGGCCTGGGTCTTTTACACTGACCCTCGTCTCTGTAAACCGGTTCCGGGCATCGAGGCACTGTCGCCGTAGCCGCCCATTAAAATTATGTACAAGTACATGTATACAATACACACACATGTACCCCCATACCACCGGTGTACATGTATGTATGTTATGTGCTTAATGTTTTCTAGGCATGGTCGATCCTGCTCTCTCAAATAAACAGGAAACTTGAGTGAAATTTTTGCCTGGCCGGATATGCCTGTAGGAACGGGTCAGGTGTCAGCCCGCCACCGGGAGCGGTAATCAGAAAACAGATAGATATTGGATAGGGGAAATAATATCAATTATACCATATTGAGCAAAGAGCTTAGCTTACATAAAAAAATCAAAATATTTACTCTGGTTCCCTTTCCATGGTCTGACGAGTCCCCCGTGACTCCGTTTTTTTTATTTTTTTTTTTTTTAAAAAAAAAGACAAAGAAAGATAACTAAGTTATTTATTGTATGTGACCTGGCATCGGCTATATCTGGCTGGCTAAAGAAAACACGTAATAGGAAAATTCTCAAATAAATACAGTTCGCTCGATTTGATTGATAAAAAATAAAAAAAGTAAAAAAATAAAGAACCAACGTGGACGAAGAGGGGCAAAGGGGCTACACACACACAAAAGACTACACAAGGCAATAATAGGGTCCGCATAACAAAGCATGATAGTGGGGAAAAATACACATAGGTTTCTAGTCTTAAAGGAACCATTTGTCGACTGAGGAGAGTGGGATTGGGGTATACTGCGTTAAAAGTCTTGGGAATGATGTATGTTCGGTCGTGATAAATTTATGGTGGTGATGCGAATAGATCAACCACCTTGGACGTGACAGATATGACTGGAGACGTGAAACGAAATACAGACACGATAGGCCAGGATGGGTGAACATATGTCGCTAGGTGGGAGTCTGTGCAATATGTGGTGTGTACAGATGGAAACGTAACATCTCAAACGGCTATTTTCTGCGCGTTGCGTATATATAATATTGTGCGTTGTGGCGTGTGAGCGCGGTAGCCTTCTCTCGTGGACTGAGGAAATTATTCTTCGAAAACGGAAATGAAGTACTCCTGCCAAAACCTCGATAATACCTAAATCCAACCGGGGAACTTGATCTTACTCTTGGAATGCCTAGAGCAATGCGAATAGCGAGTGAAATATCTAGCTAGTGGAAGGTGGTCAGTCCGTTAGAAAGGCGCCAGTCCGTTGCTTCATCAGAATACAGAGTGTAGGATGTAGGAATGCACCAAAAATAGGCGTGAGATGATTGAAAGCGGTAATCGTTGAGTGTTCGCCGGGATATATGTCCATATGAGATTTAAAGGTAAGGTGGTGCATTGCTAAGATATGAGAAAAGAAAAATCGGCTTCCTCAATTATACACTGGGATTGGCAAGTCATTACGGCATTTACGCACGTCTGGTTGCATGAATCTGGCTTGCGAAGCACAAGAAGATTCAGGTAAGCCCCGATTCAAGTTGCCGTGGCGATGGTTCATTAGGGGTGGTGGAAGCCTGTTCCGTTGCGTTCTGGTTCCTCCTACCTGGAAGCCGGAATCGAGAAAAGGTTACAGGTGGGAAATTAATGGAAGGGAGTCGTGATCTCCATGTCGTTGAGCCATCTGCCGCGTTATTTGAAGAATTGGACCGCCCTCGACGAGATGAGTTTCGCAGTTCGTAAACAGGTCTCGGGAAACCGGGATATCGTTCATCGGGAGGAACTATGGTGATGAAGCGTCCTGGAAGTACGAGGCGCGACACGAACGGGTTGGCCCGGCCAGCGAAGAAAGCGCGCTCTGGTTCTGTAGGGTCATTATTTCGATTCAAATTGCGCCTGCTGCGACCAGAAGAGCTAGTCTGGTTTCCTTCCGCACCCTCCGGGCGCGGTTTCGGAACGTAAAAATCAGCTTTGCATAGAGGGCAACATGCGCGTCGGCTTGTCAACCAAGGGTCCAAGCAGGATGCATGGAACGCATGACCACAGCTGAGACCACGGACGTCGTCGTCGTCTTCAATCGTATCAAGACAGATGGCGCAGGTATCCCCAGGGTTCGCAAGTAGTTCGGCAGGGACAGCGTTACGGATGTGTTCATCGGCGTCATCGTCGTCCTCCATGAATCCTGATGTTTCTTTTAAATGTTCGGTTGAGGGCCTGCTTTCCACCCTAGAAGCAATGGTTTCCTTCTGCACAGCAGGCAGAATTACGCCTTCCGGCTCTGTTTGTGGATTTGGCTCATTTGATGATTCGGCATTTGTGGTCGGATAACTCTGGACGATAGTTTCTTGGTTTTCAGCGGATGAGAGTATGATGCTTCCCCCTTCATTCTTCAAACTCTGCGGTCTACTAGTTGGCGCCTGTATGCCCCCAGCAGTTGGAAGCCCTTCATCCGCACGGGTTGCCCGCCAGGTTTTGTACTTCATCAAAGGAAAGCGGGCATTGACATCGTCCATGCTCATAAGCTTCTTTTCGCGCCGTCTCCGATGGGTTCTTGGAACGGTAACCAGATCAATGGGGTCGCCATTCTCTTCGTTTCGTATTTGTCTGTTGCGCTGATTGTACCTGAAGCAGTATTTTACGCCAACGATAATCCTACCAAGACATTCCGAATTAGACTTAACAATATCGCTTCTAGCACCGCCATGATTGATGAAGTCTTACCAGAGATTGGTGAAAACCACACCAAACCCCAACGCTACAAAGAATAGCAAAGGTGAACTCGTAGGACCCCCGGAACTGTTGTCCGAGGAACTGGTATTTGTCGGCTGTATGGGGAGGGTCCCCGCTTGAGTGCTTGTAGCCATGACTGCTGTGCCGATTACTGGGCGCGAGTATAGGCGAAATCAGATTCTGACTCCACACGGCGCATTACCATTCCTTGATCTCAGCAAACGTAGACAGCCATCCAACGGTATCTGTATGTTAACGCCAGTCCTTAACGAAGTAGAAGGTGCGGTCAAAGTTGTGCAGGTATGTAACCAAGCCAGATAATAAATAAATTTCAAGAGGGGATAGGGGAGACAGGCATATGTAGGCGGATCTCGCAGGAAGGTTCAAACGGAACCAGCCGTCAGAGGACAGCCAATTCCAGGTTACCTAGAACCAGATTTTATCAGCCCTATATATTTGTGGGTGTGTTGGGTGTGTGGAATCTAATGAGTGGCGTTGGGTTGAGGGCGGACGGCAGGCAAAGTTTGCAGAGTTGGGCGGTTCGTAATCGGGCGTACGGGGCAAGTCCAACGGAGGCGAACGACAGACGCAGACAGAGAAAAGGATAGAAAGACAGCGACAGTGATCAGACTGTCAAGGACGACAAGGATAGGGAGAGAAAGAGGATCTAAATCGAAAACAGTCGACGGCCGTGGGTGAGATAGTGTGGGATGAGATGGGATAGAGAGTTGGAGTGGAGGAGATGAAAGGTTGGTGGTTGGATGTGGATGTGGCCAGGTTAGGCTAGTATGAGTTGGCTCGTGCTGGGGTACGGTACATCGCCCATCTCCCACCACCCATACAAATGCATGTACTACGCTTTTTCATAGTTAGTGAGGCTGAAGTGCCGCCGCCGGACCCAACGGAGACTTGCCCCAGTATTATTATTAAGTTAATTACCCCAGTTGAACAACGGTTGGGATATCCGAGACTTCCCCCCGCAAGACACGGAGAGGTATGTACGGAGTACGGAGTATATCTATGTAACTATGTCTACGCAGTATGCTCAACCACCACTAGTTCTACCGAAACCGATCTCCAAGGGATGATGTCCTTACATTGTGATTATTGTTGACGGCCACGGCAACGTTCTCCTTCCCATTCATCCATTCGTACAGCCATTTCTGTTTTACTTCAGGCTGACTATGATGAACTACTTCGCACCATGACAACTCAGAACTGTCTCAGCTCTGCCCTCCATCGTATTTTCAAAAAAAAGAGCTAGGTTGTCTTCCAGGACCGGCGGTATTTCACTTAACGAGTAAGGATTGCCTGAGTCAAACAATATTTCGAATCATTTGCCGTGAACAACAATCAGCTGCAAATGCACTGCACATACCAGCCGGCACTCTTCGCATATATCCTGTTTGACTCTGAATCCAAAAGCAAAGTTCATGGAAAACTGGCGGAATGGGTCCATTATTGTCCGGGAACTGTGCCGGCCGCGTATGCCTTAGCCCGGAATAGTGGTTGGTCACTGGTTAGAGACCCTGAAAAGGAGGGGTATTTTGCCTCTTCTTTGGCATCAGGCTGATCTGGCTTTTTAGGGGGGGCTGGTGTCCATAATCTTGGGAGGAGCAAGGCCCAGCCAAAAAATGGCGCAAAATGCGACTGCCAATAAATAATAATACGATGATCCTTGGTCGTTATCATGATCGCTGCTAAATATTTGGTTGTCTGTTCACGAGAAATTTCCTCCTTCTGGCGGGAAAAAAATAATACAGAAAGAAGAACTGTGTGATATTTATCAGGTATGGCACAGCCGTAGTTCCAAACTTCGAAGGCCGCTTCGCCTTCTCCCATAATAAAATGGTTCAGCTTTTCCACAGCCAAATGTTTGCCCTTCTTTGGTCGAACAAGCTGTTTGAAAGAAGTCAAACAATTCGTCAAGCTTCGTCCGAGCCACAAAGTAACAACATCATCGTCCGAGTTTAGCCTTTTTGATCTCAAATTCGGTTCATCATCCTTATTCATCGGAGCTCCATTTGTCTGTTGTGAGGGAGAAGTTCAAAGGTTTCTTTTAAGTTACCTAATCCCTCGGGGAGAGTCGGTGTAACTGAGAACGCCGTTGAATGCCATCAACTCCCCACCGGCCACAGCTCCGTTCGTTCCACCGCATACCGCTCTGTCGTCAAAGGTTATCTGCATCTTATGAATGAATGGAAGGACTAAAACAGGAAACAACAGCTAGGCTTTGATTAACCTTTTGCTGCATTTCACCTGACATTTCATGTAGTTATGGACAGGTAGGTTACCTGCCTTGGGAGCGGCAGATAGGAAAAGCTGTGAATTACCTGGCTGTAGCTGTCCGTCCGTTTGTCTGGTAACTAGTGAAGGAGAATCAAAAGCAAAGTTCTGCAAAGCTACAAGTACACAAATAATACAGTTCCTAGTACGGAGTAGTACGGAGTAGATGGAATCTAGTACGCGCCGCCTTCCTATCTAGGTTTAATCAGCAGAATTGTGGCATGACGCTAAGAAGATAGGGGCTTCTCTGTAATTTTGATTGTTGTATTATTGATTCTGTATACGGAGTACAATTATATATATTTGTCTAACTAATCAATTCATATTGTGTATGTAATATAAAGATTTAGTTAGGATCTAACCATATAAGGAAGGCCTTACGGCGCTAAAGCTTTCCGGATACTACGCAAGTAGGTTGTGGATCGGTGTGAAAACATCGCAGGAACAGACCCACTGCACTGCAGTGATAGTGGCTTATAGTGGCTTGCACTAAATACGCCCCAAAACGCCATTCTTACAAGATGCTAAACTGTATAGGGAAGGCCATGACTGACTGCGATTAGTTATGGGGGTGTCTACGCAGTAAGCCCGTGAACTCCGTAGACCGAGAAGGGGAATATGGGTGCAGATTATTATTGAGAATCAAGCATCAAAGCGAGAGGCCGCGAAACATATAACGGTAAGTTAGCATTTAAAGGACAAAGCAGGGCAAACCGTCAAGCAAGAGGGGCTGGTTGCACCCAACTCTGAAATCGATATCTGGTGATTAGCCTACCAAGGGTCTCTTCACAAGTTACCCTCGAAATTCGATATAAATTTAGCAAAGTTCGGGATAAAATGCAGACCCAATCTCGAAATTTCCTGAGTATTTATTAGTGTTCTAACTCGCCACTTTCGTTGATATTTTTGGAGAACACATCTCAACCGTGGTTTTGCCTCGAGGCTCCTTCCCCCATGCGAAAGCTTCGAGGGGAAAAATATCAAAAAGTTTCTCGGTCCGATCCCTTCTGCATTTCACGTCTATTCGATTTTATATTACGAAGAGAGTCCGTCCTAAATACAAATATTAAGTACGCGGATTTGCTCACGGTTCTGACATACAACTACATACAACCTACATACACAGATCGCACGATACCATTCACTTAAAGTACTATTCACCTATGTAGTTGCTAGGGTGCTAACACAAAACAAGGAGAACAACGATGGTATATCAATTTGAAATGTCGAAGGGCCCAGGCATCACCCCAGATGCCGCATGGCTTAGATCCCATACTGGAGTACCATTTTCCTCCGGCGACATGTCCCTCCGCTCGACTGGCTGACATCAACGGAAGTTGACGTTTCATTGAATCCCTTCTTCTCTGCTAGGCATTTTCGGTGACAGGCCTGGAAGAAACCCATCAATCGTTCGTCAATGGTGCTGACTGCGTTTACCTAGCTTCCCGCGCAGCTAGGGGTACGCGGAGGTTCAGTTTTAAAAGATGCCCACGCCACTGTGGTGTGGATTGTAGCACTAGCGCAAAAATGCATGATTCCATGACCGAATGGTATGGTGATGGGATGATGGGAGATTTCCCGCAGCGCTCGAGAAGTCGAGACGGAAGTTGAAGGACCCCCAGTAAGTTTGCAGTTCGTTTCGACGAAGGTGTGGTCGTCCGGCCGGCTTCGTCGGATCCCTTAGCTGCCAAATTCCGCGCGATGGGATTTAGACTTGGTTTGCGCCAAGCCATTACTTTAAGGAATACGAATTGGAGGAGTTCAAGCGCTTTGTGCTCGCAGTTTCGGTGCCAAATGATCTCGAAGGGTACTTGGTGCCTACACTACAACATTTTTTGCATAAGGTTGGTTTCGACATGGGGTAGTTCTCCTCCGCCGCTTCAAGGTTCATATAAAGGAAGAGGGAAAGAAATTTGTTAAAGATCACAGGTAAATCTAGATAGGATAGGTTATGAATGGTGTGAATATAGGAATAGATTCATAGTAATAACTATTGAACTTTTGTTATGTACTTGACTCCCGATGAAGAGAGCAACCCCGCGCCCTTTCCCGCGCAGTATCACACCGTGATACCATTCTCAGCTTAAATTGGAAGAGCACTGATCCTTAGTGCGTGGAAAAAACCTTCCATCGCAGAAAGGCCATCTGGTATGTAGCAGTGCAAGCTGCACAGCATCACAAAACTTATAAAAGAACACAGCTCAGACTTGCCTTTTAATGTTGCATCAAGCAAATTCACCGCAGAAAACACTATGTCTCAGCAAAGGCATGGGCCAAGCAGAGATATGGTTTTCTGTCCGCGAATAACTAGCCATCAGAAGTATCTGTTTATTGTCATCATCGCTGCGTTCATTTCCTGGTAGCCTCAATGTTGGAAGGCTTGTCAGAGGGACATGCGGCTTGGAGACAAATGGGTATAGATTTTCGGCACCCAATGATATGCTTTGGACTCGAACCACAAATGAGTACGGAATACTTCACGCTAGGATCTGAGTTCCCTTGCTTCGCCCGCTTTCCATCTTCGCGGTTCGAGATCCGAATTGTATCGCTCTCTTCTTTTCACGGGCAACATTTTCCATACCAAGTTTCCATGCGAGGAGCCGGAGAGATCTTTTCCCGGGCTCTAAGGACTGCTCCGCTCCTCCTAATTCTTCCATATTGCTAGGAACGCTAGCTAGACTTAAGGGCAACGCTCCAAATCCACATTTCTCCCAAACGGGGCAGGCAAGAGCCCAAGCTAAGAAGTCCTCGTCGAGATACGGATATCTGGCCTCACGGCCCCAGTGACAGATAACACGATCATCCCGTCCCAGATTTCGTTTGCCCAGACGTCCAACATCCAAAGCAATTTCGTCCACAAGCCCCTGGAAGCCACGCCGGTTGAACGCAGTTGCATGTCTTGTATAACCCGCGAAAACCTCGTCGGCACCCAGTCCGGAGAGCAGAACCCGTGCAGTTGTTGTATACAGTATGCTAGCATGTTCGTCCGTATCGCTTGTGATTTCCCCTATCCCACGCGATGCAAAATAGAGGGCACAGGCAATGGAGAGATCCATCTCAGTGTTGTGGGGTCGCATCAAGCGTCTGATCTTTTCTCGATGATTTAACGTTTCTGCATACGGAATGTTGATGGCAACAAACCGCCAGATCCTATCGGGGCAGATATTTTGCAGCTCCATGTGGGATGATCGCCCCGTTATTCGATCTGGGCAGGCTTCATATATGGACAGTGATGCAGTTGTTGGATTGGAAGATAAGGAAGTAGCCGCAGCTGTAACTCTAGGATTTTCAAATGCTACATTAAGAAGATCAATTGGCTCATCTATGGGAAGGATATCGTGTGCTAGTCTTGCGAGTATGGTGCAATCAAGGCCTCCCGAGAAAAGAACAGCTACTTTAGACCTATAATGTGATGAGTAAAGGGGAGGCTTTGGAATATTGCTTAGTCGAAGCTTTAGTGATTCACGAAGCTTGAGCTCCAATTTCTCTATGGATGGTGAGTTTGTTTGAAGCAGTGGAGGAATCCCGTTTATAAAGACAGATTTGTTCATGTGAGGTAAATGGTATACCTACACAAGGATTAGTTGGTAAGAGTTTAGAGACCATTGTGGGGGGTAAACATACAATAAAATCCCCTTCTGAATCGGGAGTTATTTCGTTTCTCCAATTCAAAGTTTTTATGGTGAATATTGAACGCAATGCATCGGATGGGGTTTCGTTACAGCCAGTAGTTTGGAAAAGGGCAGCAAGGTCGATCATATGAATGCCATCAGCTTCGACTTCTTCGAAATGTTTGGACGAGGTCCCATCACAAATACTAGCAATTTTGAAACTTCCGGAACTGTCCCATCCACTCAGTAGTGCCCGTCTTCCTAGACGATCTCTTCCATAGAAGATCCTCTGGTGATATCCGTCGTAGAATACAAACGAAAATGGACCTGAAATGGCACCCACGGTGTGAGTTACCTTAATTAAACATTGACTCTCCGCGGTTTGAGACGGCAGTAAGCCATCTGGATATTTGGATGGCTGTATGGCCTTTAACAGCAATTGAAAAACAAACTGTGCATCATTCCCCTGAACTGGATTGTTATGGATTTTCCAAGCCTCCCCGTTCCAGCATAAGACCGACCGGCTGGCGGAGTCTACAAGGGGTTGAACCTGGAGATGATCCCCCCGAAGAGCCAGTACTGTTGAAATATAAGTTAGGTAGAGGGATGTAGGAACGTCTTCGAAGTCCTGCCCAGCTTCCTTCGGACGGTGTAAGTGAATAGTGTGCCTCTTAAAACTATCGGGACCTCTATTTTGCAGGAGCTGAGTCGTTTCCTCGTCAGGCGGTACGTATTCCCTTGCGCTCAAGGAGAAGAATATGCCGCACATCGCGCTCTGAGCTGCTTCCTGCGCCGTTGAGATATGATTTTTGCAACAGCAATATATATATATATGGTTTCTGGATGCCGATTTTTGCGGACGCTTGAATATAATCATGTGACCACTTAGCTAATATATTCTGGTCGGTGCAACAATATTCCGAATTGAGGGACAAATCCGCATGACAGCATCAGAACCTCCCCGAGTCGGACAATATTATATATATATATACCTTGACTATCCGTAGACATAGAGGCTGTTCCAGAAATCCTGAGGCTAATAGGAACCGTGTCGAATATTCTCAGTCGAGAATACCTATCTCTCTACGAGAGCCACCTCAGCATGGGCGCTGCACCTTGAATTCACCCCTACGACTTGACCCAGCCAGGCTCCATGTGCAGCTTATGTCCTCCCCCGAGCCCCGAGAGTGCCTACCAGGAGGTAACGCCCCACGACAGCCAGAGAGTCAGCAACCTGGCTCTGATGTCGTAAGGGCGCAGACAGACCATTCAAAGGCAGACGGCTCAGAACCTAAGACACGTCCGTTTTCCGGCAGCTATGAACATACTCCCCCTGGATTCTCGGCCAGCACGATGAATGAAGCAGAACAGAAGGAAACTAATGATAACGACACTGAAATTGTCGGAATGGCACAGAGCTCAGCTACGCCTGACCCGCCTGGGGCTCAGGACGACCGTGTTGATATAAATATCCCCGTCCAAGAAATAGAGAGGCTGGCGGTTTCTTCTCGAGAAGCTGAGCGCACACGGCCATCGGCCCTAAAGACAGACATCGATTCGACTTCACCATCGCCCACTCAAGATGAAAAACCTTATCTAGACCCTACCCCGAAGACGCCACAGGTGCCACAATCACCTCTAGAAATATCAGCTGATTATACAGAAAAAGACCTGCCACAGGTGCCAGGAGGTGGTCCCTGCGACGAAGGCGTTGCCAAGCAGGCGCAAACCGAAGTACAGAAGGACGAAGATTCACAGTCAGAAATACAAAGTATTATGGACCAGTTTACAGATGACACGAAACATCTGGGACAAGGGGAACTTATGTCGCCTCGACTTGAATTGGCCGAACACTTCCTCCCTGGACAGGCACACTTCCCACCGCGCAAGTCAAGCTTGGAGCCCCTCGCTGCGCCAGGTGGTTCTGTTGAAACTTGTGTTTCCAATTCATGGAAATCGCGCCCAGGGTCCATCCAAAGCATTGGCTCCCACATAATCTCCGCACCCGCTGTACCTCCGAAGTCCCCCACAACCAACTCCCAAAGTCCTGCTGGGGCGGAGTTGGCTCCCTCTTCAAATTCCGCATCGCGCCCGCCTCCTCTTGAGCCAGAACCGGACCAGCCCTTCGATTTCCATCGTTTCCTTGAGCAACTCCGCCATCGGACTGCAGATCCTGTAGCAAAGTTCCTTCGGTCTTTTCTAACTGAGTTTGGAAAAAAGCAATGGATGGTTCATGAACAAGTGAAAATAATCAGCGATTTTCTCGCGTTCATTACAAACAAGATGGCGCAGTGTGAAGTTTGGAGGGAGGTATCTGACGTTGAATTTGACAACGCCAAAGAAGGAATGGAAAAGCTTGTTATGAACAGGTTGTATTCGCAAACGTTTTCGCCTGCCATACCACCGCCCCCTACTTCTTCTCGAAGTAGAAGCAGAGGTAGGAAGAAGGATTTGGATAGATACCTAGGGCCTGGGCGAAGGGGGCAACATCAGGAGGATGTTGAGCGCGATGAGATATTAGCCCAGAAAGTCCGTATTTATAGTTGGATACGAGAAGAGCACCTTGATATTCCTCCGGTTGGCCCTAACGGACGACGCTTCTTGGCTCTTGCGCAACAAGGTATGTACGGCACGGAACGTTGTTGGATAAGACTGTCCCTAACCGAATTTGATAGAGCTTTTGAAGATCAAGGGTTATCGTGCTCCCCGAGACAAGGTCATATGTGTTTTGAACTGCTGCAAAGTGATATTTGGTACGACACCGTGAATGCATTCGGCTCCTATTTCATCTCAAGCTGACAGTCCATAGGCTTGCTCCGGAACGCGCAAAGTGGAGATACATCGGCGGACTCGTTTGTTCCTCTCTTAATCTATGTCGTCTTAAAGGCAAATCCAGAACATCTAGTTTCAAATATACAATATATTCTTCGGTTCCGAAACCAAGATAAACTGGCTGGCGAAGCAGGCTATTACTTATCTTCATTGGTATGATTGGGTGGTATTTATTCCCAATACTATAATTTTTACTAACTATTCTATTCTTGTAGTCTGGTGCTATCCAGTTCATTGAAACACTTGATCGAACTAGCCTTACGATTAGCGACGAGGAATTTGAACGAAATGTTGAGGCTGCTGTATCCGCAATAGCAGAGCGGAATGAGGAAGCTGCAGGCCCTCCCGTCATGCAGCCAGAAAAATCAACACTAAGTGAACCTGAAGTGACACCACGGAATTCTACGGAAGGAGAGTCCTATTCGAGACGGAAAGACACCCATCAGTTTGGTAGCAGCGAAGAGAACGTAGCTGTAGCAGGGCTGTTACGCACAATCCAGAAACCTCTTACCACTATTGGGCGAATATTCTCTGAAGAATCACCACAGCCAGTCGCTCAACAACCGGTCCCCCCACCGAATCTTTTAAACACACAACGAACAAATGAAGCGCGGCGTTCAACCGAGAGACAGCGTGGGAGAGAAGACATCGCCCCACAGCAAAATAGCAAGCTCGATGCTCAAGAAGCCGCCGCTCGCCAGGCAAGCGCGGAGGCGGCTGAGGCGCGCCGGATACAGCGAGCAGAACATAACAATGTAGTCGAGTAAGTTGAAATATCTCGATGCATCTTTATTGCTCCCTACGTCTGCTAATGCGAATAAAAAGAACTTTATCGGGAATGTTCCCAAATCTGGACAAGGATCTCATCGACGATGTCGTGAGGATGAAAGAAGGCAGGTGAGTAGGAATCAACTCCTTGCTGGTTTCTGTGAGCGGAACTGACCTGTATGTTGTCTTGCTTTTAGAGTTGGTCTTGCTGTAGACGCTTGTCTGGCCCTGAGTGCGGAATAGATACCCCGGACGTTAAATATATTTATTATACAAACCCGACATTCTATTTGGTGTGTATCAACTTCAAAGTACGAAAGCACTGCGTTTTGCTTCCTATTTAGAGCAGCGGAGGCTGTTTAATTGAGAAATTAAAGAAGTTATGAATCATGTGCTCGACACTGGTTTTGCGCAACAAAGGAACATTCAGAAAGGGAACACCCCGATGGAATCAATACATATAAATTATAGGCAAAACTTTGAAAGATCCCGGGACAAGAATTCGCGCATTCCTTTTGTCCGCCACCACATTCCTGAACTTCCAAGCCCTGCTGAGATCTACACGCATGTTATGCCTTATCTGTAATATTCCGTTTATGGATGTCTCCACCGTTATTCGTAAGCAGTAAAATAATTTGTAGAAGTAACTTTTCCTACACCTGTTGTGGTAGCTACTTGGTAAATATCAGCGGTCGCCAACATTTGACGAAGACGTGATGTCAGATATCAAAGCTAGAAGTATTTTTTTCGGCCAAACCCAAAAAAAAGTCAATATTGTTCCACTCCAACCAGGACGACCCATTGAATCGCCAGTCACCAGGTCTACGAGAAGACTTGGGCCAGCTTGCAAGTTGCACCGGCATGACTAGGAAAAAGAAGTCGCAGAATGGCTTGAGTGCGAAGGAAGAACTGGCTGGGAGCCCAAGGGACGACCACCCTGTCTCAACAGCGCCGTCACCACTACCAATTAATTCTGCAGCATCGAAGTCGCCGCCAGAACCATCTTCAAAAGACTCCAAGACAAAGACCACTAAACAGTCAACCTCCGCTCTGATAATATGCCGCAACAAGTATGCCGATTTCCCTGCTGAGTGTATTTTCTTTACCAATGTCCAATTCGCTTTGTAACCCATCTACTAAACTCCGCATAACTCTCCAAACCAGGCACTGGCGGTACATTTCCTCCTTTCACGGACCGTGGCTTCAGTTACCCCCAGAAGTCTTGGAGAGCCTTGCATATAGCAATTATGCATCCCCTCGCCCCCAGCCCATTGACCCCGCTGTGTTCTTTGACCTCGTAAAGATTCGCCGCTTGATTGAGGAAGCTACCGATCTGGCTGTCCGCGCAGCTAACGGAACTACATCGTCCGCCCTCAGCAACTCACTGAATGCTAGCAATGGGTTATTAAGTGGCGGAAGTAGCGCGGTGTTAGGTCTAGGCTTAGGAGGAGGTGTTGGGACTGCCAAATTGAGCAAGGAGCGGAGACACCGGATGCGGGAGCACGCTACCCAGAAGCTCTCCCGAGCATACCATCTGGATGAAATTGCTGCCAGCGTCGCTACCATGCAGTCTGCTTCCGCGCTGGAAGAGGTGGCGAAGATGGTTCTCCAGCGCAATGAACATGACTCAGACGCTAAATACGTTCACTTTTTCCATGAGAAGATCCCTTCTCGATCTCTTGCACAGTGTACCACTCTACAACCCTTGGACGAGGTGATTGCAAGCAGGCCCCGTGAGGGAGCTGTTTACCGAACTAGAGCGGTTACGAGAGTTTTTAAGGATGATTTTGTGGGTGCTGCCAGAGACTTGACAGAAGGGCTAGGTGTTTGCCGACTCTACGCAACACAGCATGGGACCAGACAGGATCAGATGGAGCTTGCAAGCGAGAGCAGGAGGAGACTACCATTGCCCAGAGATTTCAGGTATGGCTTGAAGGTGGATGAGAAGGATCAACCAAGTAGCTTGGAACCTCAGCTCTTATTTCATCGTGGAGGGGTGTATCTAACGATCGCCTGCCAAAATATCAATTCTGCACTTGATGCATTAAAAAATTATCAAAAGGAACAAGCTTCAAACACAAATTCGGACGGAGAAGGTAGCAACACGCCCGCATTATCCCCTGTTGGGAAAGAAGCCTATCGACGATGGCTCGAAGCGCGGAAAATTGTCAAGACTAATGCTAGTCGTGCGCTGCGTGATTACGTGAAGTTTCTTTCCCACTTCGACTATACCCCCGGTTTACCGGCTGAAATTGCTGAAGAATTTCTCCGCAAAGTTAACATTACACCTGGGGGACACGACAGGTCAAGAGGCTCTCTTGCGCAAGCCAGCCACTTCCAAGAGACTGCGCACACGCCGGGTGTCGACACTAGTCCTCCGCTATCTCCGAGTTCTGAAGGCGGTGGGGGTGCTCAAGACCAGTATCTGCTTCCTCCTACGGACGTATACCCGCTATCCGTTCTGTTCTCCGAACAACCCCCGCTTAATCTTCCATCTTACCCCCCGGACTCTCAAGAATTGGTGCCTGCCCGAAGAAATGGGTTGGGAATATCGTCCGCCTACGATGATGCAGCTCTTCTCGCGAACTACGATTGTCATGAAGCTGTAACCTATCACCCATTGCTGACCGATGCACTCCATTCCCTCCTTCTCTGCCATGCTCTCGTTCAAACATCCCCCAAGGAACTTCTCCGTCACGCCCACATGGTTGCGCGTCTAGCCCGCGTCTGTGACGGCTACCCAATTTTCCTCGCACCTCGATCCCCAGCCCGAGCAGATTGGATCGAAGTACTTCACCGTGTCGACAACTGGATAGGTCTCAAGCAATCGTGGGAAGCGCTTTGCGCTCCCGCCCCACTTCCCGGCCACCCGGGCTCTGAAAAGAAGGAGGTGACCTCGGAGGAAGTGCGGGATCGTCGCAAACACGATGTGATCATTGAAGCGCTCGCGGACGACCGTGTTGAAGACGAAGAAAGCTTTCGTGCAGCGGTGCGGGCACGCGAGAAGAGAGCTGAGAGCTACCGGAGGGAAGGCGGCGGCATTAACCCGCAATTGGGACCAGCCATTAAACGCTGGGCACAGGAAGATGGTAAAGAGTATCCCATTAGTACTGAGCGGGCGGAGTGTATCTCACGCTGGATAAGGGAGGCACCGATATCCACAGGTGATGGGAAAGGAAAGGGCAAGAGACGCAAGGGTCGCGCTCCGATGGGTAAAGTCGTTGAGAGTCCCTCTCTTGAGGATAGTGTATATGAAATGAGCGTTGGAGAACATGGCGGTGTTGAATAGGGAATTTGTAGATGTCTAAAATTGGTTAACGGCAATTCTACTTGTCTGCAGTGCAAGAGTTTACAGACCGTTGTTTCCCATAATATACTGCCTCTATTTGGGATTCTGGACAATTCCATATTGATGTGCTAGGAGTAGAAGAAAAGTTATCAGCACTCAATAGGGGATGAATTCATATTAACCCGTGCTACCTGTTAAATGCCTTCTTCGAGTACCATTTGCCGCATGTGCTAGCCGATTAATTGTCTATCCTTTGTGAGATTTTGTTTAATAGGCCATCCCGGAGACTTCATCCCTTAAAGCTGTTCACGTGATTGGCTCGAAATAAGATTTCCAAGGCTGAGGTATAAAATCCAGCGGCCCTGCAAGGTAACTAAAGCATTGGCCGAGTTTCCCGATGACGTTGACCAAAACTCCACACCTAAATAACCAACAACAAGGGCTGCTAAACTCCTTAGAGGATCCTTGTAAGACTGGACAGGCAACTTTTCGAAGGCCATCCTCTGTGAATTGCCACAGAAAGCCACTATAAAAGACCACAATCTGCCACCTATCCTGTTGCGAAGGGAACCATTTTACCCTACATATTTTTCCAAACATAGAGAACTCAACCCAAATTTGCAATCTATCAAATAAAAACACAAACACTCCCACTACTCGCACCAATATGCCCATCCCGCTCAATACCTCGTCTTTAGGGGCTGGCACCAGATCCACGTCCTCTACCTCGCACCAGCAGCAGCAGCAATCGCAATCGCAATCGCCCCCACAACCGCAACAAGCACAGCCGGGTTCCACAACCACTGCAGATCCATCATCGCATACGACTGGACAATCAGGAAACGGACAACTGAGCAAGGAGGAAGCAGACCGATTGTTTGAGGAGCGCATGGAGGAGGAGTATGCGAAGCGAGAAGGAGGTGCCTGAAACGAACCTGGAAGAACAAGAAATATATTTGAATGTACAGCACATACATACATAGTGAGATGCACTTGGCACAGTTGATAACATCTTCTACACTCTGTTAGAAATTGAGTAAGCTCAGATTATGTGATATCACTTTCTAATCTAGTTAGTGTAGAAATGGTAGAAATGATTTAATGCCGCTATAAGTTGAATGCTGCTTTTTGAGCGGGGGACTCTTGAGTTTTACTGAGATAAAACTAGACTTTGATTCGTTTGAATATTCCTGACGCATAAAATCAAATGACTTACATTTATCGCTGTGCTGATTGGCTGGGGCTCTAACAAGGTTTGGAATTGGAAATTCTATGGAAGCTCAACCGAAGCTTTTGACGTTGGAGGATGGGACCACACGGGGAGGTGGCAAGGTATAAATGGCAGGGTAGACAAAGATAAAATGATGTTGAACGGGGGTAAGGAAGAAAAAACTCAAACTTGACACATCATCCAACCGCTCGTTGGCCGTCTCTTTTACTTAAGGCATCCTATACAATTCATCTCCTGATATCGTCCTTAGCTCTACGATATCGATAGTGCGCCACGCCCTCTTGATATAGACTTCCCACGCCTATTCTTCGACCCGATCTGCCTGCTCTCCGGTGATATGCCCTAAGGCGCCATCAATAACTTTAAGAGAGAACGTGCATGGCCCTTCTGCGCAACATATTTTCGTGGATGGCACCAAACAATGGTAGAACCACGTCGGGCGACGATCAGTTTTCGAAACACCGATCTTCAAGCCAGGATGCGAGTAAGTACCCCGTTATCCCCGTCCCCTCGTGCGCATGCCTTGATAACTCATGCGAGAATGAACGAATTTGTTTAGGAGAACCTCTGCTTCCCCGTACGCACGGAAGGTGTCAGCGACGCGCTGCAGGCGATCCCGACCCCGAGGCGCAAGACTGGCTGCAGTACCGAACTGTCCCCTGCACACGTACCAGAAGCAATGATTCGGACGAGAGTCAGGCTTCACGTAGCAGGGTAAATCCTAGAGTAATATCAGATGCAATATTGGGCTTATCAGATGGCCTTACGGTGCCTTTCGCTTTGAGTGCTGGACTGTCAGCTTTCGGCAATACGAAAGTTGTAGTCCTGGGCAGCCTGGCAGAGCTCGTTGCTGGGGCCATCTCGATGGGGCTGGGCGGTTATGTGGGTGCGAGAAGCGAAATGTGAGCGTTTTTCAAATCAAAGGTTCCAGGTTCACGACTCGAAGCTGACCCGTTACCTTTCCTTTATTAGAGAATCATACGAGACAGCCAAGCGCGAGGTAACCGATCTTGTCTCTTCATGCTCTTGCGAGACAACGTCAATGGTTAGAGAAGTGTTTGCTCCCTATAGTCTTCCCGATCATCCGGTTTCAGAGATGAGTTCGACATTGCACAGCTCCCCCAAGCAGCTGATGGAATTCCTGCTGGCATTTTACCATAAACAACCTGAACCAGATCGCAACCAAGCTTATATCTCTGCAATCACACTTGCTATAGGGTACTTCGTTGGAGGATTTATACCGCTCATCCCATACATTATCTGCAATCAGGTTTTGACAGCGCTCAAGTATAGCGTAGGAGTTATGGCTATTACGCTGTTGGTGTTTGGCTATATCAAAACGGGCATTGTGCGAGGGTGGAAGGGAAGAGACAATGTCGTAGCCGGTTTAAAGGGTGGAGTTCAGATGGTTTTGGTCGGAGGAGTGGCTGCGGGGGCAGCAGTTGCTTTGGTTCGACTGATTGATAATACAGAACATGGTGGATAGGTCAAAAGCCCCAGATGTTATTTTGGTTCCCCGACTGTCGTTACTCGTACTTGGATCTACCTACCTAGATACAGTTTCGAATTCACATTAGGACCAAAACCCGTGTCCATAGTGTGGGCTTATTTCGCATCCGTTTTGATTGATTGAAATTTTAGTATATTGGCGTCACTTGCAGTTTCTGTTGCACGGTTCTTGGTTCTTGGTAGTGGGCCTGCAAATGAACAATGCAGCATCTGTGCCCGAATCCAAATTCACAGAGATAGAGCTTTCGTAATGAGCTCCTTTGCGCGGTCCGACATTTCAATCTGCAAGGCTAATCCATGTCCCTTCGCTGACATTTTCGCCCAAGTTTTCCTTAGAATGCTCACAATCTTCTCCTCGTCATGTTCTTTCTCGAACTTCTCCAATTGGTCATCCAAAAATACGAGACATGCTACATCTTCCAAGGCCTGGCACTCCTCATCCTGCTTCATATTTTCTTTGCGAACCAATGAGGCAACGCGCCCCGCCTCCGCTGCATCATACCCGCAATCGAGGCAAATATCTTTGACAATATCAGCCTGCTGATTCTTCAGTGCATTCCTCCAAGCGAAGTAGCCCGGTCTGGTCATTGGGTAGGACGATCTGGGGACTTCCCAGCGGCGGAGATGCTGCGCGCGTACAGCCAGCTTGAGCATTTCGGACGCAGAAGAGGCGCGCTTTTCGAGGTACTTCGTCATTTTATTCGCATAGTGGAGCTCGTATGCGACTTCAGAACCGTCCACGGTGACGATTTTCGGATCCTCTCGATGAGCGTCATCAATGCGCGCAAGCGCCTGGTTAAATCTGGAGCTCATTGGAGGGTGATAACCGCTGGCTGGGAGGGAGAGAGAAAACACCGTTGAATGAGGTACACAATGCAATCAGGCTTCCCAATTCGTGCGCAATTTTTGTAGTTAAGAATAGCTTAGGTTGTGAGGGTAGGGTAGGATTGGTTCTGAAAGGTGACAGGAAAAATGCAATATCCTTTAGCTCGCTCCTAGGCAATCACTGTAGCAAGACAGAGAGCAAGCCAGGCAGAATGTTTCTCAAGTCTTCACTCGCACCCTCTTCTCAGTTTCTTCTCCTCCTCCGCCGCTTGTTTCATAGTAGATATTTGTAGGATAGTTGAAGGTTGTATTGATAGATCTATCTACAGGAACATAATATAGTGGTGGTGGTGGGTCACGTGATCTAGTGGGATCGCTAACCGCAACGGCCGTAAGGGCCAACACCCCCCCTCAAGATAACAAGAATCACATACAAAAACACTCAAACCACCAAGATAGTCTGTCAAAATCAATACAAATGTAAAATTAAACATTCCCAACTTTTATATCTGTAAGACCTAGCAAAATCATGAATCATGTAAATATTATATTATCTAAGAGTTTAATGAGTTCATTCATTATTATCTGAGTAGTGAGAATATATTCTAAATCAATGATTCTCTGATTTAACTGTCAACATGAAAAATGAAAATGTGTGTAATATGCTTGCTTCAGATTATAATAACTATCATCTTTATAAAATCTATAATACTCTTATTATCAGTGAGAATCTGTATTAAAGATGTAGTGATGAAGTTAAGTTCAATTATAAGATTTCAGATTCATATTATCTTATAAATTATCTTACTAAGAGTTACATATTCAGTCTTATTAAAGCTTAGAGATATACAAGATTGCTTTATCAAATATTATAAAATTGAGTTATCTATAAGCTTAAAAATATAGCTGAATATTGATTTTCTATTATTATTTAAGAGATCAGCTCAATCAGAATCTGAGTAGCTGAAGAGTAGATAGAAATCATTGAGAAAATCAGAGATAATGAAAAGATTAGTAGAAATGAATCTCTTATACAGACTGTATTCATAGAAAATGCTCAGATTTATAATCTCTTTTAAATAATATATAATATATAATAGAGTCTTTCAACATTGAGATATTAAATCAATGTTTCATTGAGTGAGTAGTGAGACAGTGTGAGTGATATCAGAATATATTTTAACTGTAAGATATTATAAGTAACTTATATTATATTAATATCACTGAATTATGAAATTAGTCTCTTTCTCAGATATAGAGAAATTATTAATATAGAATTTATTCTTTATTAATATTCTAATAATAGCTGTATTATCAAGATAGAAATCTTCAATAAGATATTTAATATATTAATAATATATTAAATTAATTCTCTTGTCTGAATAATTAATCTTTATATTCAAATACTTAATTAACTAGTGTAGATTCTTGACTTTCAATTTCTTACTAAGTATACTCACTAGTTAATCAGCATTCTCAGAAGCTTTAAATATAATATTAAGATTATTAATATAGATTATTATATAGAGATAATATCTGAATATATAATATTAGAGTACTGAATTATGAGCACTGACTATAAATTCAAGATTACTTAATAGAGTTATTAAGTAATTATATTAGATCTTTATCACAGAATTTAGATTATATAAACTACTCTCAATTATACAGATAAGTGTTTTCAGTGAATCTGTTTTAAATCTGATAAGTTGTCTTATATAGATCTTCTTAGTGAGATGTTTATAAAGATATATTATCACTATATTTACTTAACAGAGTATTTAATTATATAGTACTGCTATTATAAAAAGAATATAATTAACAGTATCAGTGATAACAGAAGTATAGATCTCTTCTCTAGAACTCTTCTTAAATCAGTTATTATAAATCACTTAATATAATTTTCTAAGAATATTATCAGAATTGATATTCAGATTCATGAGTCTATCTTTCTTAAGAAACACTTAACAGTCTGAAGTAATCAGTTCATCTCTCAGAATATCAGATCTAGAAATCAAACTTTATATATTATATCTCTTCAGATTAGTAATCTTGTATTATATGAATTTCTTTTAATAATCTTCTATTCTCTCTGACTGAGATGTGATATTTTTATAGAACTTCAGAAGATTATCTGTAATAAGATTTAAAGTATAAGTAGTCAGTGATTTCATAAGCTGCAATTATATAGAATTTAAATTATTAATATCAGAGACATCTTTATTATTAATCAGATAAATATCAGACTCTGATTTAATAATATAATTAATAAGTTTTATAGATGTAGTAACTGGTTTTTCAGTGATTAGAAATCTCATATTACTACTAATAATAATCTTATCAGATTTGAAATATTATAGATAATATATCAATATATCACTGAATTTAATAATATAATAGAAATTAGTATATAAAGAAAGCTTATTCACAGACTGCTGAGATTCATATAAGTGAATAAAAATCTCTGTACTTAAGCAATGAAAATGCCTTATATTCAGTGAGATATTCATAAGTGTATATTATAAAATCTTATATAGACTTGAAATCACAGAAGTCTCTGCAGTAGAGAATCAAAATCTCAAGTTGTAAAGAACTGTAGATATAAGAGTATTATTAGTTATTATAATCACTGTCTCTAGAACATCTGCTCAGAACTTCTTAAAGAGATTATCTTTCAAAAGAGCAGCTCTAATCTATTTTATAATAGTATGAATTTCATGTTCAGAAATATCATTCTGATGTGATGAATATAATACTGTTAATTCTCATTTAATATCATATAAATCTATGACTGTGTATATACATATGAATTGAAAAATATCATCAATATCAGTTCATAGAAAAGCAGAGACTGTATATCTGAGATTACTCATGAATCTGAGTCATAACTCAAAGTATTGAACAGTCTCATTCTTGAACTTTAAAAAATACACTTAATAATAGTGAGTTATATCATAGATAATAAGTATTCAGTATTTGATTCTCTGATAAGATTTTAAGAAATAATTAGAAAGATCTTTCAATATATATCTATTATTTATAAGATTAATATAAATCTTCTTAATAAGTCAGATAGATCTAAGTATTAGTGTTTTTAAATAATCTCATATTATATCTGTCTTAATACATTTCTTATAAAAGAACTTAGTTTTAGAATTCTTAATTATAACTTCAGTATGAGAATTCTTGATCATAGTAATTATAGTATCAGTGTGAATATGACTAAGATTATAATATCAATTCAAAAGAGTCTTTGATATCTTTGATATCTGTGTTTTTATATCTGCAGAATTAACATTATTAACAGTAGTAATAGCAGTCACAGAAAGATCAGCTTTTCAATTAAAATTATACTTATAAAACATTATTACAATATACTTAACTACTCTATTCAGATAATTGAGATTCTTATTAAACTCTTATTTATTAATCTTATATATATTGTTCTGAGCAGTCTGAACTGTATAAAAAATAACACTGTTCAGAGCTCTATAAATGAAAAATGAGAGAATAGTGAAAGATAATATAAATTGAAATCTCTAATCTTCAAGCTTCATAAATAAGAGTAGATTAACTGTAATATTAGAGATATAGTAAATATTCTGTAAGTTAACATTATTACTTTCAATCTTCAAGATAATAGTTTTAATCTTCTTAATAAACTCAGTTCTTTCAGTTGCAGAATTGACAGAGATATTATTATTAAAAGATTTAATATTTAAAAAAGAATGAAGCTTATCTATCATATTCAGACTTATATATATATTCAAATATCAAGATCTAGAGAATGATTTTTCAGTGACTGTGAAAGAGAAATAGAACTTAATCTTTATAATTACTATATTTACTGCTGATTAAGAACTTATTAAGTCATTCTTCTTCTCTTTCTTCTTATCATTCTTCTTATCATTCTTCTTTTTCTTTTTATCAAAGTGTAAGATGAAACATCTATTAATAGTATATTCATATCTTCTACAGTGAGTGTACTTTTATACAGATGTGTTTTTATTCTTATCTTTATTCTTATTCTTTTTCACAGTTACAGAATCAGTCTGAGACTGCTTTTTTCAGTCAGTGATAATCTTCTTAAATATATAATTGATCAGTTACTTTATTAAATTATTGATATTAATGTTAATAATGAGTTTCTGATTAGTGAAGAAAAACTTATTTAAATATATCTTAATAAATGATCTTTAATAATCTTATAGATTATTAAGAAAAAGATTATAATATATATTCTCAATACTCTGACAGAGCTTCTTATAATAAGTAATAAAATAGTGAAAATATCTCTGAAAAGTAAGATAATCATTTTTCTTAACTTATAATTTTATCAATTTCTTAAAGATATTAACTTATTCTTCTATCAGTGATATTATATATTTTATATTAATTTTATCTTATAGAGCTGTAGTATTATCAGCTTTCAAGATTTTAATAGTGATTCAAATGTTTTTAATAAGACTTAATAGTATACATTTATATAGAGACTTAAAACAGATTTTTCACTTTTTAAAGTTAATATAATATATAAAAGAGAATTCTTATTAAGTTTTTAACAGAATATCAGTTTTATTAATAACTTCTATATAGACTGGCCGCCGGGACCATGAATTTCACATTTGATCCCATTTGGTCTGGTCCCATACATTTCTTGGCGTGAATCCCGCTGGGACTGGCTATCAAAAAAACATGCAAAGTGACTATATATCAGATTTTAAAATGAGACCATGACTTGAAAAAAATGAGAAAGTGGTCCCATTTGGTCCCATTTAGTCCCATTCTTGGCATAAAGTTACTATTTTTAGACATTTTAAGGTTTTTTTTAGACTATTTTTAATTTTTTAAAAAGTAACACTTTTTGGTAACACTCAAATGAGATTTAAAGTCATTTAAAGCAATAAAAATAATTTAAATTGAGAAGTGAAAATCATGGTCTCATTTGAAAAATGTGACAAGAGTAGACAGTAAGTCTCACTGAGACAGTATAAGACTACTATCTAATGTTAAAACTGTGTAATGGGATCAGTCGAATTGGTAATGAGACTATCAAAAAATCTGGTCCTGGTCTCAGACACAGTCACACGGTCAGTCTACTTCTATATCAGTTAATATATTAATATATCAGATCTTATAATTAAAGCTATTAAATATAATCACTGATTTAATATCTAGTGTATATTTAACTTTCTTCTAATATTTCTACAACTCATTTCTTATAGTGTCTCTTTATACAGAAATAGATATAGTAAGATATTAAGTAATTTCAGCTGCAGCTATTTAATTCTGTAGTATTATTTATATAAGATTTATAAGATTGTCTGCAGTGTAATAGATAGATTAATTCAGATTATTATTAAAAATCAGTATTTCAGAGATAAGAAATAGTGAAGAATTTAAAAAGTTAAAATAAACAGATTCTATAGATAAATATTAACTCTGTTTTTCTTTATTTTAAAGTTTCTTCATTATCTTATTATTATTAAATTTCATACTCTGATGAAAACTGATTTTAATTTTATCTTATAAGTTAGAAGCTTTCTTATAATAAGTAATTATTCTATTAATGAGTTATTTAATAAAGTATGTAATTCTAAGTCTTGAGCTGAACTCTGAAGTAATAGATATATTATTTATATTAAGATAACTCTACTTCTTCTAGATATATATAAAAAAAATAATATTCTTTATAATGAAGAATATACTTTCTTAAAAAAAAAATAAAGTATATGAATCTGCTGACTAGCAGATTCAGAGAAAATGAAATATCTCTAATAAAGAGTAAGAGTCTTTTCAAAAAAGATAAACTATTCATATTAAAAATATTAATGCAAATGTTCTAAAAAGAAAAACATGTCATTCAGGCTATAACCTGTAGAATAGTTGAAGGTTGTATTGATAGATCTATCTACAGGAACATAATATAGTGGTGGTGGTGGGTCACGTGATCTAGTGGGATCGCTAACCGCAACGGCCGTAAGGGCCAACAATATTTTCATCTAGTCTCCACGATCGGAGCCACCTTGGCGGGAATTATGCTTAGTCATGGAGAAAAAAAAAGTGTCATCCAAGTTCCAAGTTAAGGTTTGGTTGCTTCGCGAAGAAATGACAAGAACAGGTTCAATCACTGGGTTGTCAATTATTTCTTGTTCGCTGATTGACATCCCTTCTGGCTATCTTTGTATATATCTGACTTCTGTTTCGCAATTATCCACTGAGCCAAAAATATGTCGGGGACGGATTCCCAAAGGTATCTGAGTACGCGGGGTTCCTCGTGCGGAGTGAGTAAAGCCCCAATTGTTGCAACCATTCTTCGTTTGTATTTACATTTCGATGATGCGTTCCGGTCCTTAGACTGACACGGAATTCCGCTTCCCACTAGCTATCGTTTGAAGATGTTGTCCTGAAAGGCCTTGCGTCAGATGGTGGATTGTTCATTCCAGAGGCCATCCCCCAACTGCCAGATGGCTGGGAGGAGAAATGGCGGGATTACACATTTCAGGAGCTGGCATTTGAGATTATGTCTCTATATATCTCCCCTTCGGAGATCCCTCCTGAAGACTTGAAGAATATCGTCAGCCGTAGCTATTCAACTTTCCGATCACCAGATATTACACCCCTCGTTACCCTCGATAAGCCGAAACAACTCTACCTTCTTGAACTGTTTTGCGGTCCGACTTTTGCATTCAAGGACGTTGCTCTGCAGTTCCTCGGAAACCTCTTCGAGTATTTCCTTGTACGGCGAAACCAGGGTAAGACTGGTAAGGACCGACATCACCTCGTCGTGATCGGAGCTACGAGTGGAGATACTGGTTCTGCCGCTATATACGGTCTGAGAGGAAAGGAAGATGCCTCTATATTCATTCTACACCCCAGGGGGAAAGTTTCCCCTATCCAAGAGGCTCAAATGACGACCGTCCTTGACCCCAATGTCCATAACCTTAGTGTAGAAGGTTCCTTCGATGACTGCCAAGATATGGTCAAGTCAATGTTTGCCGATCCAGAGATGAACGAGAAGTACAAGTTGGCGAGTGTGAATTCGATAAACTGGGCACGCATCCTCGCTCAAATGACTTATTACGTCCACTCCTATTTCTCCCTCGTCCGAAGTCCAACATATGTCAAAGGAAAGCCCGTACGGTTTGTCGTACCGTCAGGCAACTTCGGTGATATTCTTGTAAGCAGATTCCAAGAGTTTTTGAGGTCGATATATTATAGGTGTACATTTACTGTGAGGCTAACGAAGCACAGGCTGGCTGGTTTGCAAAACAAATGGGCCTTCCCGCAGAGAAACTAGTCATCGCGACAAACGAAAACGACATCCTGGACCGATTCTGGAAGACGGGCAAATACACCAAGAAGCCAGCCAAAAACGAGGCCACAGGCGCAGAGCCAAGCGGTGTTAAAGAAACCCTCAGCCCGGCCATGGATATCCTCGTTTCAAGCAATTTCGAACGACTCCTCTGGTTCCTTGCCCTTAAAGTTCATGGCGGAGACGGAGATATTCATCAACAGCGGCAAAAAGCTAGCGATATTGTTCGGGGATGGCTTGGCGATCTCAAAACTAAAGGTGGCTTCAGCGTTGAACCAACTGTTCTCGATGCCGCCAAAGACCATCTTGAATCAGAACGTGTCTCCGACTCAGACACCATCCAAACTATTCGCAACATCTACTCGTCCTGTTTCCCTTCGACTCCCGTCAGCAACGGAACGAGAGGTAAAGCTGGTGGATACATCCTTGACCCACACTCTGCCGTTGGAGTTGCTGCTTCACTTCGATCTATTGATCGCAACCCTGGCACACATCATATTTCCCTATCGACGGCACACCCAGCGAAGTTTGCTCATGCTGTTGATTTGGCACTAGCAGGCCAGGAGGGCTATCAGTTTGAGGACGTTCTTCCGCCGGAGTTTGTGGGGCTGGAGCAGAAAGAGCGCCGTGTGATTGAGGTCCCGGCCGGAGAAGGATGGAAGGCTGCGAGCAAAATCATCGACGCAATTGTTTCGGTGTAGATATTTGAGACACAACAACAGGCGAAGTGACTAGAGTAATCAATGCATGAGTGGGATGTACAGATCTTTTTTACTACATATACTAGTATTTACATAATAAATGTAGACCTTGCCATGACCTTTTAATGAGCAATCTATCCAACAACCCGAGAGAGTTTCACATAGCGCGTTTCGTGTCAGTTTTCAACCCTCCCTCCAAACCCTAGGTAAGATTGATAGCGGCTTAACTAATTCGAGGTAAAACATATTGGTGGTCTAAAAAAGAATTGGTCTGAGCGCAAGCCAGGGCACAGCCGCCGGATAGGCGCTTATCTAACCTTATCAACATAACTAGTTAAGTCACAAATCGTTCGATGCGCAGGTGCGGGTGTCGAGACCCGCCTCGAATGTGGTTTAAGAAAGGCTTGGATTGGTTAACGGCAGTCTATAGTGACGAATGTGTCAAATAGCTTTTTTCAAAGTTTTTTCAGTGTAAAGGCTTAATTTCACATGTGACATAATATTGATTTTATAATCACGCACCAATTGCACTAGTTCTAATGTAGTATATTTCTATATATAGTTTAGTTAGTCTTGGCTTTCTGACTATGAGTCATCTCTTAATATATAATGTAGGCTACTGGGGCAAAAGAGCTCAATCACCACCAGCGCCTGCTGGTAGAAGGGCCGACCAACCGCGGGACCCCCAACACCCCCCCTCAGACCAGCTACCACAGAGTACAGTACTTCCTCTCAGTGACTCCTCTCAGTGGCTCCTCTTAGTGGCTCCTCTCAGTGAACTCACTCCTAGAGCTCATTCTTTCAAGGGCTCACTCCTAGGGCACACTTCTAGAATGTCTCTTGACACTGTTAAAATGTCCAGGGTATTTGTTAGGAATTTTTAAGTCCATTCTGGGATCAAACCCATGCATGTTGACCACAGCGGGGCTCACGCTCAACAGTCTCATAACCTGTAGGCTACTGGGGCAAAAGAGCTCAATCACCACCAGCGCCTGCTGGTAGAAGGGCCGACCAACCGCGGGACCCCCAACATATAACTCTGTAATTCTCTTAAACACTGTTACTGTAGAGCCTTCTCTCACTATAGTAATGAAGGCTCTCAGGTATATAACTAGATATAAATTTTCTCTGTGTATAGAGACTCTCTGAGTAGAGGCTCTCTGTGTATAAAGCTCTCAAGTATAGAAGCTCTCTGAGTAGAAGCTCTCTGTATATAGAACTAGACTGACCGTGTGACTGTGTCTGAAACCAGGACCAGAATTTTTGATAGTCTCATTGTCAATTCGACAGATCTCATTACACAGTTCTAACATTAGATAGTAGTCTCATACTGTTCTAGTGAGACTTACTGTCTACTCTTATCACATTTTTCAAATGAGACCATGATTTTCACTTCTCAATTTAAATTATTTTTATTGCTTTAAATGACTTTAAATCTCATTTAAGTGTTATCAAAAAGCATTACTTTTTAAAAAATTAAAAATAGTCTAAAAAAAACCTTAAAATGTCTAAAAATAGTAACTTTATATCAAGAATGAAACTAAATGAGATCAAATGAAATCACTTTCTTATTTTTTTCAAGTCATGATTTCATTTTGAGATCTGATATATAGTTACTTTGCATGTTTATTTAATAATTAGTCTCAGCAGAATTCACATTAAGAAATGTATGAGATCAGATCAAATGAAATCAAATGTGAAATTCATGATTCTGACGGCCAGTCTATATAGAACTCTCAAGTATAGAGTATAGAGACTCTTAAATATAGATTTCTCTGAAGACTCTGAGTATATACACAGTATACACTGTGTAGAGACTGTTTTAAGTCAAGAGCTCTTCACTGATGTAGATTATTATTATAGAATAGTTTAAGATTGTATTAATAGATCTATCTACAAGAACATAATATAGTGATGAGTCATGTAATCTAGTGAGATCACTAATTACAACAGCTGTAAGAGCTAATATTCTCTCTTGAGATAACAAGAATCACATACAAAAACACTCAAATTATCAAGATAGTCTGTCAAAACCAAATATAAATGTAAAATTAAACATTTTCAACTTTTATATCTGTAAGACCTAGTAAAATCATGAATTATGCAAATATTACAGTATTTAGAGATTTAGTGAGTTCATTCACTATTATCTAAGTGATGAGAATGTATTCTAAATTAATAATTCTCTAATTCAACTGTCAATATGAAAAATGAAAACATGTATTAATGTACTTACTTCAGGTTATAATAACTGTCATCTTTATAAGATCTATAATACTCTTATTATCAGTGAGAATCTGTATCAGAGATGTAGTAATGAAGTCAAGCTCAATTATGAGGTTTTGAATTTATATTACTTTATGAACTGTCTTACTAAGAGTTATATATTCAGTCTTATTAAAACTTAGAGATATACAAGATTACTTCACTGAATATCATGAAATCAGATCATCTATGAGCTTAAAAACATAGCTAAATATTGATTTTCTATTATTATTCAAGAGACTGACTCAATTGAAATCTGAGTAGCTGAAGAGTAGATAGAAATAGACTGACTGTGTAACTATGTCTGAGATCAGAATTAAACTTTACAGTTATTATATTGTCTAAAAGTATTACTTCTGATCATGATTTGTGTTCATTACATTGATTTCAAATCATATTATTTCAAATATTAAAGGTCTCAGATTCACTTTTTAAATAAAAATCTAGTTCTGAATAAAGAATATATTTAAATTCTTAGTCACATTTTCATTCTGATCTCATTATTGAGAATAGTATTAAATAAGACTATGAAATCACTTCTCACTTACATAATATTATAATATAGTACTCATTTATTGAAAATTCAATAGAGAGTATTATTAAATATTATTACTTTTCTGAACACAGATTATAATTTATATAATTTTAATTATGAAAAAAATATAAAATATAAAAAAAAAACAAAAAACAAAAAATAAAATAAAAACAAGAAAAAATCAGAATGAACAAAAAAAAAAAAAAAGAAAAAGAAAAAAATAAAAAATAAAAATAAAAAAAATTAAGATTACAGAGCTGTAGCACTCTTAAAATACTTACTTCTCAGAGTCTTTATAATGTTCATTATTAACTGTGTATCTCTCACAGTGAGAGTAACACAGCTGTAATAAGTCATTATCTTAATATTATCTAATAAATAATCAGTATATATCTGTATAAATGTGAATATTTAGAAAATATACACTTAAAAAGTATGGCTAGGATGAACTCTGCTGCTACTTGAATGATATTAAGAGTAGAATACTGAAATTGATAATTTCTCTTATCAATTTCATAGATAAGACAGATGAAGATAATCTTGAGAAATATAAGATTCTCTGACTTTTGATAAAAATGAATCTCACAGAGAGACTCTATTTTCATGATATCAGAGACTGAGTGTTATTAAAAAGTATTACTTTTATATAATATACATGTACTTACTGCAACAATTCATTCTCTACATATATAGTTAAGAATTGTGACTTTCTCACACTACACAGCTCTCTCTAAGATGCTGATATCAGTTTACAACTTATGCAGTCTCTCAGTTCAGTACATACTGTGTATATACAGCTCTGTATACTGAGACTGTGTTGATCACTATAGTCTGATGTGATACTCACTTTTCACAGACTATGTTTTGTTTGAAGAGAGAGGGAAAGACATAACTGTGATTTTATTAAGAGAGAATGAATAATTAGTAATGTTAAATATAATTTAATTCTTCTATATTTAAAATTTGATTAGTCTATACTCTTCAATTTAAGAATTTCTAAGAGTGTTTTAATAGTTTTCATACTGGCTTGAACTTAGTGATGAATTGAAGAAGAAGAGAAAAGAAAGAAGAAAGAAATGAGAATAACTTATCTTTATAATATAAAAATAGAGAATTGCTGTAATTATTCTCTCTAGTAATAAAGATCTGTTTTCTGCATGTATCTCTGATATAGATTATATAATAACTGTATACAAAGAATATCAATATTATATGTATTAAATGAAGATAATATTACTATATAACACTGTAGCTATTTCTGTATATCTCTGAAAGCTGTTAATATTTTCTTTATCTCTTTATATTTAATAAGTCAGTAATATATTTCAATGCACTCTCTCTTTCATTATTATTATTATCATCATCATCACTATTATTATTATTATTACTATTATCATCATTATCAACATTATCACTATTATTATTATTATTATTATTATTATTATTATTATATCATTTCTGACTGTCTCTTCTATCTTCATCTCTCTTCAACACTCACTGAAATTAATTATGTTATTTCTCTTTAAATATTCTGCAGTTCTGTGAATCATCAAGACATGTAAGTGCTGTCACAGATTGAAGAAAGAGAAGAAGAAGATATTTAAGTAAGAAGAGATAGATTACAAGACATGTTATAATATCTTGAAGAGACTTTATAAGAGAGTAGAATAATAATAATTTTAAGTAACACTTCTGATAGATTTAGACTGAATTAAGTATAGAAATAATGTAAATAATACTGTCTATGAGAGATTGAAGAAGAAGATAGTGAAAAGTCTTATACAGTAACAGTAAAATCAGAAGAAGTTCTGAGAATGATTTGAGTTCAAGATGAAGAGAGAGAGAGAGAAGAAGAGTATAACTGTAAATAAGTAACAGTAGAAGAAGATTAAGAGAGTATTAAAGTAGAAGATAAAGAAGTTAAAACTAGTAAGTTTTTTACTTATTAAGAGATAATAATTTTTGATAATACTTCTATTCTCTAATTGATTAGCAGAAGCTGGCAGAGAAAAAGAGAATTAAGACCTTGTTCAGATCTTGAATGTGCTTCATGATTCAGAATATTGAGAAGACAGCTCTACTCTCTGAGCATGTCAATCTGCTTACTGCTGAGATGAAACCTGAGACAGCAGATCAGAAAATACGGGATTTTGAGACACAGATTAATCTGGCTGAGAGAAAGCAGTGAGAACTCTTCTCT